GAATTGAATTGAATTGAATTGAATTGAATTGAATTGAATTGAATTGAATTGAATTGAATTGAATTGAATTGAATTGAATTGAATTGAATTGAATTGGGACGGCATGGTAGTGTAGATAGCGTAGGTAGGCAGTGTAGTGTACTCATTCGTACCCACACCCAAAATCAAAACGCAACTCTTAAGCGCGGGCAAATTCGCAAATCCGCAAGCAAACAAGCTGGAATTCTAAAACTCGCGGACTCTCAGCTTTTATCTACCAGCACTACCACCACCACCATCACGACGCACAACCTCGCGCCTCAACCACTCGCCCCAAACGCCCAAATCCGCACAGACATCCAGCGCCCTCGCCAGCTGCTTGACCAGCTCGTCCGCCTCGTGCGCACGGTCCATATCTACGTCTGCGTCCCTGCCTTGGTCCGCGTGCGGAGGAACGACGTTCTGCTCGGTGATGTAGAGGTCGGCGTTGGGCAGCACGTCGAGGGTGACTTTGAGCGCGGGGCGGTTGGTAATGGGGGATGAGGTGGTGGTCGTGGTGGCGAGGAGCGAGGCGAGGAGGGCGGCAGGGTCTGTAGGGAGAGCGGTGGACGAGGAGGGGTGCGGGAGTTGGAGGGTTAGGCGCGGGGAGGGGGCTGTGTAGGAGAGGGTTAGGTCGAGTTGGAGGGGTGGACGGGCGGGGGTGGTTTCCTTGGGGGTTAAAGGGGGGGAGAGAGGGGAGGCGTGGGAGGTTTGCTTTGGCGATGGTGGAGGGGCCTTGGAGACGAAAGTGTGTTGTAGGAGAGACGTCGTGAAGGCGTACTGTCGCAGGGTCGGCAAGAGCTCGACTAGTTGCCGCGGATGCGAGAACGGGAGGGATTCTAGCGCCCTGGCGTACTCGAGCTTAGGCACGTAGAGCGAGTTTGCGTGCGTCGTCTGCCTCTCTTTCCCGTCCTTATCCAGGACTAGAACATTCCTCTCGCTCCGTACTTCCGGTGTATAGCCACCCGCAGTACCCATCATCGCCGGATCCACATCGCCCGGTCGGATTGCAAGACCCACGAAGGTGGTCGCGCGAAGATCTTGCGGATTATACTCCACTCCCACATTCTGTGTGATTCGCACATATTCCGTCCACGGAACCACGAGGGGCGGATTGAACCGCGCTACGAATCTGATATTGGGTAGCCGACCCGGCGCGTTGCCAAGGTTCATGGAATCGTGGTCTCCTGCTGGTGCTACAGGTTCGAGGTAGGTGGGCTTGGGATCGAGCCAGTCTATTTGAGAGGTGTTGAGTAGGATGTTGTTGATGTCTGCATCGGGGCCGTCCGGCGCTTTCTCTACGGCTTCGGATAACCAAGAATCCGGTATTCTGATGGGTGTGTACATTGATGAAGGAGATGACTCGCATTCGATTGTTAATGAATAGATTCTGTTGGTGTCGGAGTCTATATCCTCGGAATACTCATCTGCGGCCTCGGAGTCGACGTCCATCTTCTCTTTCCCTTTGATTGATGCCGATTCTCGCGGTTTCTTGGGTATCAGGTGCCGCCGATCCATCCAGTACTCTAGCGACAGCCCCAGACAAGTTCCAGCATTCATTCGCGGGCGCCCGCTCTTCTTGCATAGTACCTCCCTCTCGGCTTTGTATCCTGCATTGGGCGTATTCGCATCCATTATTGCCAGGGTCATCTTCTTCTCGTGCTCAAACAGTTTCCTCAGGCTGTTATAAACCTTAAATATCGCCTTATAGACTGGGACACCCCCATTCTCCGCGCTTAGCTTATCCATTCGCAGCAGCTTCTCCAAATTATGCGCAAAGCGGTCCAGTGTGACATTGATCTTGTTTACTCCCGGTGGCGGCTTGAGGCTCTTGTACAGAATCCTGGACACGGAGTCCTTGAAGATATCGTCGTCGGACGCGAGTTCAAGCTTGACGCTCATGACATTGCCCTTTGCTATCGCAATGTCGCACATGGCTTCGTTTCCAATGACCAGCGTGAGTGTTACGTTGCTCTTATCCGTCGACTCTTCGTGGTCCACGACGATGCCCTCTTTCCCGCAAAGCGCGGTAATGTTCTCCGCGCTCACGCGCCCGGGCTTCCCTTTCAGCATCGTGATTATGCTTTCTAGTCTCCGCCTGCGTTCGTCCTCGTCCGCGCGTCCCATTTGGCTTGCGCTCAGCCCAAGCTGGCTCATTCCCAAGCCGCTCATGCTGATGCCCATTCCTACCCCGCCTTCGCTGAGCATGTTGAGCACCGCCGGTGAGTCGAAGTTGATTGGAGGGACGCTGCGCGGAGCTGGGGAGGAGAGCGCTGCGAGGTGCTTTTGCGGCGTGTTGGTCGACGGCGTAGGGGTCGCCATTGTGACGGTTGGGAGGAGCTCTCGGTGCGCTAGTAGGGCGACTACAATGTGGAAGATTCGGGGGCTATCTTTGTGAAAGGCGAGCTACCATGTTGAGTAGGTTGGTGAAGTAAAGTTGTGGACCGCGGGTGGAGCTTGAAGCTCTCGCGAGTCATTGCTTGGCACCGAACAGCGGGAAAGATGTCATGGCTTCATACAATATCGGATATCATTTCAATTGAGATTTCCTAGTATACCATATAGATCTACTCTCGGAGGTCAGGCATCCCACATGAAGAGAGCAGCTTGTTATCTCCTGTACAAAGACCTACTGTTACTCTAGCCTGAGCTGTGGCTGAGTTGGGGTGAGAGGATCCTGAGTAGAGGCTGAGCAGCCTGAGCGTCCAAACTATGCCTAATAGAGGTTAGCCACTTATACGCCAGAGGGATAAGCGGCAACAGTCTGTACGAAAGATCATAGTGCACCTGTTGCCGATTCCACTCAACTGAATGTCCGCTGACTCACCCATTAGAAAACATCCTCAGCGTATCAGCAAAGTGAAAGCGAAGGGACCTATTCGGGGAAGCGCATGTCTGATCTCTAAGTCCAGTGAACATACCGAGCAACAACATCCTCTCCCGGCGAAACAGACTTTGTGCAAGGAGGTATACCACTTCGTTACCATGCTATCAAGTCAACTCATGCTAAGCTGCTATATGGCCGGTTGGCAGCCAGGTGATATTTGCTCCATGCTACGTACTGCTTCTCGTAAGCAGACATCAACTCCAGCGTCGTAGAGTATTTGTCTCTGCCCCATCTCTAGGGCAACGTAGGGTATCGATCCGACATTCCCGTCGCTTGTCAGGGGTGACCGAGGCCAACGCTCCGGAAGCTCGTGTGCGTTCTTGATGCGGCCTTAGCAAATTAACCAAGAGTTCAGTGAAACCACGGATCCTCCAACAGCTCCTTCGCCGTGGGCCTATCCCTTGGGTCCATCCTCATGATCTTGCAGATGAAGTTTCTGTCCTCCACGGTAAGTTCCGAATCTTCAGCCATCGAGAAAGGTTTCCACAATCCGTTCTCGTTAATATAGTTGTTAATAACCGCAAGGATACCTTGTCTCTCTTCATCGGCAATATCGATATAACTATGAGGGAAAGGGCCGAATATAGATGCTTGCTTAACCAGCACTTGGGTGGGGTAATCCGGGTCATCCACCGAATAACCCTCAGGTATAAAGATATGCCAGTCTTGACCCCATATAAGACTTATGAGCTGTATTGAGTATTAATCAGTCTTACAAGTTGCGGTCGAACGTAGTAGACTATCGAAGGAACTTACTGTAGCACCAAAAGACCAAATATCCGTAGCGGTACCCCACCGGAGTTGGAGGTTTGCTTCAGGACTGCGAAAAATCGCTGCACCAATGACGTGACCCTCATCGAACGGATCAGCATTTGGGTCAACACAGTACGCGTCTGCACAGTCACCCAGCTCCACCTCGCTGAACCGATTCGTCCCGTTGCCATAGTTGACGAGGATGTTGTCAGGCTTGACGTCTGCAAATCAGTCAGTTATGTCTGATCCTCTCTCGATGATGCAATCATACCTGTATGCACATAACCTGCTTCGTGGAAGATATTCAATGCTTCAAGGACTCCTCTTGCAACGAACTTAATCTCTGGCCTCTCCAACCTTCTCATGTTCGACGCCTTGAGCAAGTTATCCTGAAGGAACTCCAACACCAGAGCTGGAGGTTCTTCGATCTGATCAAGCAATGGTCGAATATGTGGGCAGCCCTGAAACATGTTCAATATCTCCCGTTCATTGTTAAGGCGTTTTATCGGTGCGGTCTTGATGATGACCATTCCCGCGTTCGTGCCGCTATCAAGGTGAGTATTACTGAAGAGCTGCTAAGCGTTCTTACCTGGCAGTCCAAACATTCTTATGTAGACTCTTCAAAATGGTATACGTTCCCAGACGCCCCCGTAAACGTTGTCCAATCCTGAGTGCCGCGGCCATATTCTCCAGACGTCTTATTGCCTGTTGAGGTGAAGAATTGAAGGCGAGATCAAGAGATGCAAAACACATAAGACGCAAAGAAGATCGCCTCGCTGTTAACGCGCGGAGGCGGAGCGATATTGATTACGAAACGCGGGCCGACATTGGCGGTACAGCGGCGCCGAACTTTTCCCGAACAGGAGCTGCGTGACGATGTCTCGTCTGCTGCCCCGCCGGGAGGAGGTATGCTTCAATGTCAAACGCAGCTCTTGATGTGGCCCTAAACGTCCCATAGATATTTCTTGCCGCTCTTGCTTAGATGCTCTGCAGAACTTCGAGTGTCGTTTGAGTATATATATCTTCCGGAACGCTCCAGGGTTTCGCTAGCGAAACACGAACAGCGCTAATCTTCCCGCATCCGGACGCGTCCTCTCCCCAGCCTTTTCATCGTTGCCAATCTCTCGCATCGCAGGCACCTGCTCCTGATATGCCAACTCAGGTAGCTGCTCTAATAGACAACACCTATATTATGACGCGCGACCCTATGTCCGTCAACACTTCACCATACCACCTCCACATATCATCTCGAAATGGCAGACCCGGATATCATTCTCTACCTGTACCAGCTCTTTTTGCCCGCTGGCAAACCGCACAATATGGCGACAACTAAATAACTTTCTGCACTGATGTCAGCTATTGAGCTCACTAGAGTAATTGGTGCAGTTACGCGTTGTGAATGGCCACCGAGAAACCATGACCGTGAACGCCAGAACACCCAGCAGTGCGAGCGTGCATCAGAGCAGAGACCTCAGTCGAGCTCGATGTACTCCTCATCATCCTCCGGGATGTCCATAACCTTCCCCTTCGCCCGCGTCACCCTCCCCGCAGCCTGGCCCTTCTTCCTCCCCCTCCCTCTCGCCCTACTCTCGCCCGCCTCACTCGCCGTATCCCCCTCTTCCGGCGTCAGAATCCCGCTCTCAATCAAGCGGACATTGCTCGCCCTCACATCTCCGTCCGCACCCACGGCCTTATACTCGATCTCTCTCAGCCGCTTGCGAGGCCGAGCGGCCGCCATCGCGTCCTCCCGCTCGGACTTCTCCCGCGCCTCCTGCTCCCAGCGCTTGCGTATCGCGTCTTCTTCCTTGTTTTCCATGTTGTGGAACGATGCATGGTGGGCGCAGCCGTCACACTCGAAGCTGGATGTGCTCTATTTGGAAGTTAGCTGGTCATGTTGAGTAATCCGAATGACGGGGCTGAACCGCGAACGGGCGAGGCGTACCTTAAGAGGATGCAGCATGAAACGGAGACAGGGACACTTCGGCGACACGATGGATTGCTTGTAATTGCACTGCCCGCGTGGCGGCACGTAGCCCATCTGCCCCCAAACATTGGGCGGGTTGTTGGTGGCCATTGTGGTTGTGCTGTGTAGATAGCGGTGTGCGCGATCGAGCGTTGTCTGACGCGCTGTCGAAAAAGGCGTTAGAGGCACATAAGGAATTATTATTAGGCGTAGGGCTCCATTGCGGTACACAGTGGAGGGTGCGGGATGAGGCAGGGCCGTGAAATACCTCCACGGTTCGAACGCGGGGAAGACTCGTTTTCACGTGGATTTCACGGTAACCGCATTAGGATACCCCGCGACGCGGAGGTTGGGAGGTACGTCACATTCACAATACAAATAGCTAGGTGGTACTTGGCTTTTCATAAATGTTCGGACGATGAAGAACCTCTTACATCCGGTCCGCCTGTAGACGGCTTGAAATGTTCCTTCTTCTTTCTCCGTGCTCGTACTCTGACACCAGATCCGTATACGTGCGTGCATGATTTGGAATTGCATTCGACCCTTGGCGCATGTTGAACGCCGAATAGCCAGCTTGACTAACCCCATCACGGCGATCGCTGTCTCCATGACCCCTGGGATGACTACTCGGTGAACGTCCCCTGCTTAGCAGATTTGAATTACGCCTTTTGCCTTGCGTGCGGTCAGCTCACTCTTTTGGCATGTCTTCAGACCCAGACTGTCGGAAGGAGTTGGCATAGACGCTAAGACCGCTGGACCGACGGAGGGGAGTTGTGACCCGGATGGCGCAGCTTGATTCCAAAGATCAGCGCGGCGGGGTAGCTGTCGAAGTATAAAGCCAGAGCTTGTGCGTCGTTTTAGACATCACTACCAGAGCAAAGCTCAACCTCCCCACTTCAACGTTCAATTGCTCAAGCTTCATCTCTTCTCTTCCATCCTCAACAATAATGGCTCAAGGAGGCTGCATGTGCGGCAATGTCCGCTACACGATCGAAGGCGACCCCGTAATGCAGGTGCGCAGCGTTGTCCCGGTCCGCTTCGGATGATTGAGCTGACTTCCAAAGGCCCTATGCCATTGCGTTGATTGCCGAAAGATCACCGGATCGACGTACTCCACCAACTCCATCTATCCCGAAAGCGGTTTCAAGGTTACCCAAGGTACCACAAAGACGCACTCGAAGACCGCCGACGGAGGCAATACGATCACCAGCCATTTCTGGTACGTGGTTGTGGAGCAGAAACTGTTTGCCATTCTAACCGTATGCTAGCCCGGATTGTGGCTCTACCATGTGGCGCGAGGGACCTTCTTTCCCAGGCCTGAAGATTGTCAAGGTGTGTAGTCCGTTCGTCGCGAGCAAGCCGAATGCTGACGGAAGGATAAGACCGGCACTCTAGACGATGTCAACGCGTTGGCCAATGCCAAGCCGGGGGCTGAGCTCTATGCTCCCACTCGTGTGTCCTGGGTCGCGGCCGTCGAAGGCGCCGAGCAGAAGCAGGGCATGTCTTGAGCGATGTAGGATGCGGAGGAGCTTCAAGGGCGGGGCCGATGGAGGTCGATAGCGGAATAGTAAATATGACTGTGTTGGCCGTCATCAGTCCGAGCCCGAGTCCTCTTCTGGGTTCTTGAGGCGCTCCTTTATCATCTGCAGTGTGTTAGCTTTGCATGATTAAGGTGGAATCTGAAGCTTACGGTCTGAAGACGCGCCTTGAGCTGCGCGATCTTAGTCTCCTTGACCAAGAGATGCTCTTCGTCCAATTCCTCGATGATGAACTCGTTATTGTTCTTGCTGTCGATGTCGACAAGCATGGCCTTGATAGACGCGTCGCATTTGACGAGAGTGCCTGCACGGTTCGTCAGCAGCTGCAGGCCACACATGAAGGGATCAGTCCTACCTCGGACTGCTTTGACCATGGCGAAGGACCTGTGCAAGACGTTTGCGGAGGGCAGCTGCGGAGGGTGGACGGGCTGACGTTGGGTTAAGAGTTCAGCTGTGCTTGTCCATCACGGTGTTCGAGATCGCTGGGCGCTTGGGCCCTGATCGGTCCATGGATTGACCCGCATATGGAAAAAGCGCCAATCCGTTCTCGGGCCTAAGCTTCCGTGAGCCTCCGCCGCACATCATCGTTCAAAGATCTCTCACTACTCTGCCTAGAAGGCGAGCGAGCAAGCTTGCGGAGACCATCGGCCGCCTCAATTCGGCTTCCTTAGGAGTCATGATTGACAGCTTCTCGACTTGAGTCCTCCCCCATCCCTCTTCCACTCCATCGTTCCCTCCGCTTTCCCCGCCGTACCTTGTACCCCGACCGATATCGAGACTTGGTCTGACACTCCCCTTGGGGAGCTGTCACCCCGCGCGAGGATGCGCTTTTTACCCTCAAGAGCTCAGGCAGTAGGCCATGATCGAGCCACGGCCCTTCCGTTGTCGTTGCTATTATTCGCCGTATTGCTACCCCAGTACTCTACCGCCCAGAGCGTCCCAGTCGAAACCATAATGACGGCCGGGTTCATGACTACGGTCAGCGCTTCGATGACCGCCGCTGACACATCTTTCTCGAGAACTAAGCTGCCGAATTCAATGACGACCTCCACGACGTCATCCCACCCAAACTCCACGATATCGTCCGCCACGAGCACCACGACTAAAGACATAACTCCGCAACTTTTCCCGGGCGCCAACCAACCAGACCCGGCGCGTATGCGAAACGAAAGCGTATTTAACTATTACTTCTTATTCCTGGCCGTGTTTGGCGTGGCGGTGGCGGTCTTCCTTTGGTGGCTACATCGACGGAGAAAGCGGCGGAAAGAGCAGATGCGGTTGAGCGGACAGAACGCGCTAGCCAGAGACCTCGACGGGTGGATCAACACTCGGAGGTGGTTCCATGGCGCATGGAGACATAATCAGACGACAGCATTTGTTCGACGGGAGGAGGGGCTCAACGAGCATGGGGAAGCCCCGCCGCCTTATCAGCCCAAGAGCGACGTTACAGCGGCACATGATGGAATAGCACAGGATCCTGCGACTCGTTTAGCAATACCACTCAGGACACTTTCAAGAGACGAGATAGAGCAGAGCCGGCCTCCAGAATACCGTGAGACGATCAGCCGCGGAGGTCCTTCCAGCACCAGACCGGATACCGCGACCACTCGAACAACGCGACCCGATACTGCTGACGTACAATCCGGTTCTTCGACATAAGATCTTCTAAGACGATAGAGCGCCTGAAACTCGATTCGACCGGCCGCGAGCGGCATTTCCGATTCTGTGCATTATGGGATCCAAGATGCTACAGAACTTATAACAAGATCGCGGGCGAAACTCGCACCGAACACTCGAGCTTCGTTAGTTTAGGCGAAGAATAAATTTCGGCTCAACCATTTCGCGGCGCATTACTGGTCCTTCTTTTCTGTATTATACCCAACTTTACTATCGCGGAGGCGCTACTTTCCTGTTGTTTTGAAGGATTATGCATAGCACCGGCGCATTGGGGTTCAGCTGTAGGCAGTGCTTACACATCACTATTCATATCTTATTGTATTAATAATACTCCATACGCTCGCCAGCTATACGTGGGTGAGCGCCTTCGGTAGCCAGAAGGGCTTTCAGCGCTCTAGTAAGCGTGAGATCGCATCGGACGATTCGCATGGAGCGCCTCTGCAGAGAAGAGATATCCTTAACGCTTCAAAATGTGTCATCGTCGACCCCTGGTTCATGTACATAATCCCACCTGTTGTTGCCGTGATGAGCTTCCGATGTTAGTAGTTGAAGCCACCTGATGCGGTTCCTCTCCAATGGGAAGATCCATGGTGCCCGTACACTCTGGGGATATGTGCAAATGTGCTCTCTAAGTCTGGCTGCTCGTTATATCTTCCTACTCAATTCTCTCTCGTAAGACTATAGATACCGTCTATGACTCTGCCCCTGTGCCGTTAGCTCATATCGACCGCATACCACACGTCCAGCACCGACGGTACCACATCAGTAACAGGAATCCAGACAACATAAAAATTTACTCGCCTCAGTGCAAACCCTCTAAGGGAGCCCCAAATAAATGCTTCCTCCCGCGAGAACGGCGCTCACCGAGCTCTCTCACCGGAGTCTACGACTTACGGCCGGCTGGCCTGGTCGTTCCCCCCTCATCGAATGCGCGATAAATCCTTTTCCTCCGACCCGCAGCACACTTCACTCACATCCTCCGCCTCCTCCCCTCGCCATGCCACCACGCTGCCGCTTCCCAACCCCTTGGTCCTCCTTACAAACGCGCTCTTGCCGTCCAGTCGCCCGCACCATCGCCGACCCCCTTCGGCCTGCCCGAGCCATCGCCACGCATGCCGAACGCCTCGCCTCGCCCGAGGCGCACCCGAAGCGACAAAAACATGCTCGCGATACTACGACGTCACCCACCGCCAGGTGCTTGCTTATTAAGCTGAGGGTCAGCTTATGTTTGTTGGTATGCAACGCTTGCCCGCATACTGGGGTGGCAGGCGAGAGCGGTAGGCGATAATTGGTGTAGTGCGGCTATCGGGTCGTTCGGCATGACGGCATGGCATCGGCATGCGCTTGGGCCCTGCGTGCAGGAGATGGAGATTTGAATTACATTGCAGTTACTAAAGTTCAGGGCAACAGATGGGTGGCGTACACGGTGAACTAAGCTCGCCGCGGAGAACAAAAGCAAAACTCGGAAAACCGACATTTCTAATAACTCGGTCATCCTGGTATACACCGCATTATCGACAACGGGAGAGGGAGCGTACGATTCCTCTCAGTCCGAAAGGTCTCCCGCGGAGAAGAAAGCCACGAAGTTAAGGCACGCATTGCAAATTGCACAGTCATCCTCGCCAAATAGGTCAGCCGTTGAAGATTGACAAGAGGATAAAAGGCAACGCTCGGCTTGGCGATAGGACGGCCTACGTAGTTCGCATGGTTGGTATGGCTCGCTAGCCGATATGCGCTCATACATGCTCCTACGCCATGTGCCTGGAGCGGCCGCTGCAGGATCTCCTACGATTCTAATCATCTGGGCCGAGATACCGAGTCTCATCCAGCCAATAGCCATCCCCCAATCAAGCGAATAGCCTCACGGGTCATCCCAAAGCAGTAATCCAAGGCTCTTGTATTGCGATTTCGTCACAGTCAACAATGCCATGCCTCAGCGCCCCATACAGGCTTTCCACGTTTCCTACCTAGGATCTCCGATCTACACGCATACACGAGCTGCAAGATCATGCCCAGTTTCTTGCGCAAGCCTACGCGCGCAAGGCTGCCGAGATATCTCCCTAGGCAGATCACTAAACTATATCAGCGTCGCCTCCTTACCAATCCAGATTAGGAGAGACCTTAGGGATGTAGTAGAAAGAGGTGGTATTTTGGATATGACTTAGCGTGGCGGTCGCCGAGGGATGCCGTCCCGCACGAAACGGAGATGTTTCCTCGGTGCCGAGCTACATCTGGAGGATGAGGCGGTCAATGGCATGCAGCGGTGTGACGAAGCTACACTGAGGCGTTCGAGAAGTGTCTACACTGGGTTGCCTCGGGTGGAAGGGCCCAGCGCTCGTTCATTTTGGTAAGTTGCCATGGAGAAAGGGAGGTGTGGCATGCGGGTCGTAGAGAAACGAGAGAGGCATGTTGGTGGACTAGCTTTGTATAAGAGGAGCCCTTACGAAGCAGAATCATCCAAGTACCGAGATCAGTAACCAAGATTTAGACTGCAGGGACGGACAACAAGATTCCACATCAGCAGAACGAACAATGCCTTCAGGAGGCCTTGTCATTAGTGAGTATTCCATCCCCTCCCTTGACCATGCCTACTACGCTGATTAGTATACTGACGGATGTAGTCTGCTGCAACGAGTCCGACGCACGCATTGACCCTTCCCGTTACTTTAACCTCTCGGCCAACAATACCTCTGTGATCAAAACGCAAGGCGGCCGTACCGAAGGAGCCATCAACTCCCTCTACTCCATCGACCATTCGTCACGCATCGGCATGATTGTGGTTGTCCAGCACACCAGCAAGCATTCCATCCCGTCATTTCTAGCCAGTCTCTGACTTCGTAACAGGCTGTGCCTACGCAGCGGGCAACGTCGATGCGAATATTCGCTCCGACGTTCAGGCACTGAAAAACTCGCCGTACGTCAGAAACGATATCCCAATCATCGGGTATGTGCTCGACATTGAGAGTGGCCAGCTGCGTGAGGTAAAGTACGTCCACTACACTCTATAGGCCACCAAGCCCGCATTGATGGTGAAACAGTATCCGCCGCGACGGCAAAGACGAAGAAGCACGCCAGCGAGTACTGGGCCAGCTGGAGGACTTTGGTCCGTTTTGGAGCTAGTTGCTTCTTACGGTCCCAGCGTGGTGTCGCGACGTTGGGTTGACAGGAGTTTGGTTTTGGCGCAAGATACCATGGTATAGACTTAGAAATTTTTCTTTCGTTTTGTCGTTAACGCTTAATATGACGTCTTGATTCCAATGTGTGGCTCCTCGCTCATTCTGGAAAGCTAGACCTAGTATATAATTCAACTACTCCGCTCATTCTTCTCTTTTGTTCCCTCACTCGGACAATGCGCCACCGGACGCGCGATACAAACTACTTCTACGAACCAACACCCTGAGACTGACGCATAGTCTGAACTCCACGCACTCTCTTCACACCGCACACGCACGCGAGAGGCCAAAAATTCCCACAAAATTCATCAAAATGTCAACACCAACGCACAGTTCCCACCCTGCATCAACCACCCCACAATCACCAGCCCCGTCCTCGCCACCACGCCCTCCCTACAAAAACCTCGAGCGCCTCCTCCTCTCTCTCATCAGCCTCGCCCGCGCCCTCCACCTCGCCACATGTCCTCGCGACCTCGTCTTCCAGTATCTCAGCCTCCACTCGCGCACCAACGCCTTCTTCACCGCGCACCAGCACCACGACTTCGTCGCCGACGCTACCTATGGCTACTACCTCGAGATGTGCGTTCTGCTTAGACTAGTGGAGAGTATGCTGGGTCAAGGGCATAGGGAGCTTGTTAGGTTGCGGGATGAGGGCTTGGAGGAGGATAGGAGAGCGCTGGAGAGGAGGGTTGCTTGGGATGTGGAGTTTTGCGTTTTTCGGGGCGCGGAGATCGATGTTGGGAGGTTGCCTTGGAATTTGGGAAGGAAGGGTGGCGAGGGAGGAGGTTTGGTTGAGGGATAGCAGCCGTGGGTGGGAATCGCGTGCGCCTCACTAATAATTGGGGCACATGGCACGCGTGTCCCTTCGACGAAAGCGTTGTATATACGATAACGAGACGTCTGCCTTCGAAAAATTATAACCGCGAGCTCCTCGGCAGCCCCGTAGCACCCACCCTCCTCAAAATCTCCCAAACCCTCAGTCCCTCCTCCAGCCACCCGTCCTCTTCAATTTCAATCCTGCCATCCGGCTTCAGCGTCCTTAGCTGCATCGGATGCCGCGTCCCCCACTGCATCTCCTGCCCCTTCAAAAACCTCGCAAGGTTTTCATGGAACGCCTTGCGGACCAACACCTGCTCCTTCCTGCTCAGCCGCTCGCCGTCCCCCCAGAACCAGATCTTCATATCCGTCCCATGCGTGACGCCCATTCGCGCGGCCACTGCTTGTCGCAGCACTGTGCGCGCCACTCCATCCGGTACCGGTAGAGCAGGTCGCCCGCGCCGTGCTGCACCAGCGCGTTCGCCATGCCGCGCTCCAGGTGGTGGATCTGGATGTCGGCGTAGATGCGGCCAAAGGCGTCTTGCCAGTCGTTGTAGCCCGCGGGGAGTTCGCCGCTGGGGAAGTAGTAGTCCATGAGGGCCTCGCACGCTCTGAGCGGGTAGTCCGCCTGCAGGCGGTGGAAGAGGCTCGCGCGGCTGTTGGCGGGCGTGCGCCAGGTGCCATAGACGAAGTGCTCGTCGCTGCACTCGCCCATGATGAGCCGTACGCCGCGGCGCTTCATGCGCTGCGCGAAGACGCCCGTGTCGAGCTCGGCGAGCAGGCCGCTGCGCACGAAGGCGCCGTCGGTTACGGCGCGGAACTGGTGGAATTTCATGTTCAGAGTGGCTTCGAGGAGCGTTCTGGCGTCGAGAGCGCGCAGCGTGGCGAGTTTCTCGGCCGGTGTCATGGCGGATGGGATGTCGAGGTTTGCGGTGAACTCGTCGAATTGCATCTGCGCGTCTTCTAGCGACTTGGGCTGCATGCCCGGCCCGTTGGAAAACATGAGGGCCCGCCGCACGATGGCCTTCGTGTCCGGGACGCCGAGGTCGTAGGCGAGCTGGTAGAAGGTGGAGTGCGAGCCCGCGGAGTAGCCGCCGATGGTGATGTTCGATGCGTCGCCGCCGAAATAGCTGATGTTCTGCCACGTCCATTCGAGCGCTAGGCGCTGGTCCCAGAAGCCGGCGTTTACGGCGAAGTCAGATGATGCGTCGAGGAGTTCTGGCGATGCGAGGAAGCCGAAGATGTTTAGGCGGTAGCCGGGGGAGACGATGATCGCTTTGCAGCTGGTCTCGCAGAGCATGGCGCAAGGGTCTAGGCCCATGGGCGATCCGAATTGGAGAAAGCCGCCGTCTGTGGGGACCGGTTAGTACGTTCCCTTTTCTTCTTGCTATAGTGGAGCGGGCGTTGTTCTATGAGCAGTAGATGTACGCACGTATCCAAAACAGGACGGGCCATCCTGCAAAGCAACGTCAGATTGTCGCACAAGCACTAGTTAGATCTGTATATCGAACCTTCCGCTGGCGGCTTTCCAACCGGTATCCAAACGTTCGTCTGCAAGCAATCCTCATCCCACGCACCCTCGTCCAAGTTGTCGCTCGGGTCCGGCTGCGGACACATGCCGCAACCGCCAGTAAACCGCCCGGGGTTCGCCCTCGTCCCATACCTGTAGCATGCGGGCAGCGGCCTTGGTTTTTGGAAACGAAAGGGGCCTATTGGCGGTAGTCCGTATGGGATGCCTCCCAGGTAATGGCAGAGTCGCTGCTGGGTCTTCTTATCAATATATGTAAGGCCCTCGACAAAGCCGCGAAATTGGAGGTCGAGGACGTATGGCTCTGATATTCTCTCTGTGATGGCCATGCTGTTGTTGGATCCTACACCAGACGATAGGGTTGAGGTTGGATTGATATTGCCGAGGGAGATCTCATCTCGAGCTAGTGGAGACGTGTTCCGGGGCTGTGATTGGCGGAAGGGCCGGCTTACAGCAATCGGCATCTTACAACTGCCGGCGACATTCTGAAGGCCTTCTGCGACGTGTCTTCGGATTTTCCTGGCATCCCCGAGCGATATTGCGCAACAGCCATCCTGCTTCTTACAGCACCGCGCGGTTGAACTCGAGGCGCTTGCGACGCATACTCCGGAGCGAACGTGAAGGCCAAAAGCCCATATGTTTGGAAGGGAGAATACCGACTCAGCCAGGAGCCGAAATGGGAAGAGAGTGTAGCACGGATGCTACAAAGATATCAGATGGCACTTATGTCCCAAGAACTTGACTCCGCCGGCGAGCCACCCGCGAGCTCAGACGAACTAAGGGTATAAAAGAAAAAGAGAATTGAGTTGCGAGACTACATCCTCTCGTTCCCTAGACCTTCTTTAGGAAGACTAAAATAAGAACGACCGGTGGGTATGTGCGGGTGCGAGGTGGACCTGGACTTAAAATGACTCTCAATGCCATTGGTGGGGTTTCCGCTCTTCGCCCGGCCTTCACTCCTTTCTGCCACATATTTACCACTCGCTCACTCCAGGTACTACACAGGGGACATGGACAGGTGCAGCTGCGGTTGTTCGACCTTGCAAAGTAGGAGGCGGACGTATTTGGAATGAAGTAAATGACTTTTTGAGGGGGAGGCCATATGTTAGCGTGTGGTAGTCTTTTAGTGAGCGACATGGAGAGTTTGGGAAGAAGGTGGGAGAGGGGAAGAGGCGGTATTTATATCCTTGGTTTTGAGAGGGACGGATGCTCTAGCTAGGTCGCTGGACTGCGAGAACGCGATGATCGACTGTCCGAGGTCCCAGCAGCCACTTGCCCGGGGTGTATAAACTAGCCTAGAGGTGCTGGCCCTGGATTCCTTCTTCATACTCTCAGGTTGCCGACCTCTAAAACGATTGCTCAACAGGCTGACGGAGTTGGCCTTCTCACTTCCCTTGCGTTTCTACTATCGGATCGCCCATTATTTCATGCGCTCGATCAAAAGCGTGCTCCAAGAGAACACATGCCCAGTCTGGATTCTTGCGTTCGAAATCTCCAGTTTCCAGCCGAAACCATCCATGTTCCGCTCCAGATGGCGCCCGAAGTCCGAACAATCCCTGTTCCAAAACACAATCGATTCTCACCATGGAGGAAGACGAGGTACGGGTCCAAAGCACAAGACGTATCCCGCCATGAATCGCCCTTCTCCTACCGAAAACAACAGCAGAGAGGACATATGTGCGGGAAAGCAGCTCAGGGATTACTATTGCAGGGCAATACCAAAACGGTGGATATTCGGTCACAGGTTTTCCTTCTTTCCTCGTTCTAAAATACCGGCCTCCTGCTTTTATGCCGCGCCACTCCTGGCTCGGTCATTCGCCTTAACTTCCGCCGTGACCGGTCAAATTTGGAAAGAGACATATAGGACTGCGCCGTCCTCAAAGATCCACTGGACTTAGGAATGTGTGAGCCAAAAACCTGTGTGGACCGCTTGATGGGACCGCGTTCCTAGCGGAAACCTGCTGGCCCAATAACGAATGGGCATCTGTTCAAACTCCCTCCTGCGCTTACGGGTGCTGTCGGACAAAAGACTGAGCTGTCCGATGAATGGAGGAACTCTATTTGCGAACTGTCGAAGCAATTGCCCAGACCAGCCATAGCGTTGGAAAACACCATGGCCCTTATCTCAGACATACTGTCCACGCGTGCCAGAGCCGAAGATGTGCAAATCGACTCGCCTATCGGCGTATGTCTGCCGCTCTTTGGCTTGGGATATGAGGGAATCAGAGAAGAAAATTGCAAGCGAGTCCCATGATGAGTTCTTCTCCTGGTGGTCGAAATCCCTGCGCCCATGAAGTCATGCAGGAGTGGGACTCCAAAGCTACTTGCTTAGACTAGTGACTTCAAACACAACTACCGACCGTAAATGTAGTTCTTGCGGCCCCGGAGTACTCAAAATGTAGACGGGGCTCTGTATGTTCGTGTCGTCGCGTCCGAGGGCGCAAAAAGAATAACAACGATGGCATGAATTACTTCTCTTCTCGTGAAAGCAGATTGCTACCCAAAACGACTTTTCCAAATCAGAACGACAGGGAGAGAAAGACCACGTTTCCCTTCTGCCTGCCTACGAATCCTCCATCGCACAGACTAATGGAGGGACTTCCTGTTTTAAAAAGCAAGAAATATCAATCACTGGCCATGCCGTGGGCCCAGCAGCCCAGTTTCGCCGGCCCCTGCTCGAAAATAAGATCTCCCACTTTCCCTCCCATGAGGCCGCCTCCTCTCCGAACAAGAGCATCCCTGAACTCCCAGCACGCGGCAGAATCCAGGCGACCAAAAGCTGCCGAGCCGTTCCTATATATGCCCCCGAGTAGACCCTTAAAGCTTTGGAATCGCATGGATGCCTGCGTGAGAACGACTTCGAGGCGTATTGTGGAAATTCGGAATCAGTCCAATGTATGAATGGAGGGCCTTCGTCTATTTCTCCCCAATTGATAATAAACTGCCTCTCAGTCGCAATCGATATAATTATGGCTTCGTAAGCTCTAAAAGAGAGCATCTTCCCAAGCCATGTGTGTCTCTTTCGGAGTTACTCCCCTCAACCACCCTGCTGGACTCGGGGAAGAATCGAATGACGAAACATAAAGCTATCTTCCCGATTGTGTGCAGTTAGGTTTGCGAAGCTCAGAAGGCATTGAAGGGACGGAAATACGAATATTGAAGAGCTATGGGCACGAAAGTACTACATAATCGATCCAAAGAGGTCCTCTGTCTCGAGAATCAAAGCATATCATCAAGTAATCAATGGTGTGTGCTAGCGAAGAACCAAGAATGATGAGCCGCTTAGGATTTTGGGGCTCTGAGACGAGCCTTAAACGGATGACACAACATGCAAGCAATGCTCGCAAACGGTCATACTTTGGAAGGACTAGACCGTCCTTCTACACCAACACATGCGGGCGGTCAGCTCCGATTATTCCGCTCTAGCAGCAGCGGTAGCTAGGAGGAAGGAGGATGACCATACATTGTACGTTTGCGCTAGTACTATCACGTCGATTCGATGCTGCTCGCCAACACTATGCTTCAGTGATGAATTTAGATTCCTACTTCAGCATTTCCGTAAGACCAATTTGACACGGACGCTTGGTATTATTGGAATCCACAACGAGGAGGCAGAGCATGAGATGATTGGATGCATCCTTTCGAGAAACAGACTCTTCTATCGAAAGGAAATGGACCCATTTTTAGAGCACACGGTCCATGCTCGCGGAACGGTTGGTTTTTAGTCGAGCTCCAAAAGGAGAGCAGTGTAAGAAAGCTAGAAGAGGCAGATTGCGCCGTCTTTATATACGCGAATCCCGTCTGATTGATATCGGACATCAAAGCAGGGGCCAAAGACGTCCAGCGCTGCTTCATCCTTTAGAGCTCTTAGATTCCTCGCTTGGGCCATGGGATTAATGTTCTTTCGTTGTAGAACCCCTCCATCGACCAACGCGCTATGCGTTTTCGTTGGACACTGTACACCATGGTGAAGCCGGCAGTGGCATTGAGGTTTGAAGCCACAGTCTCAACCACACATAATTGCATGCAAGTCCTTTTACAAGTTCATTGTAACATAGAGCCAGATAGTGTCGAAGCGCCTTCCACGCCCTCCGTAGGCCGTGTACTCGAGACTTTTTGGTGCCAGAGCTGATCCGTCGATTCTTCTTTAACTTCGTTTTGGAGGACGCAAGCCCATGTATGCCATTGCTGAAGGTTTTTAGAGACGATATTTGGGGTCAGTTTCACCCTTTTTAGCCACGACAGCGTAGAGGGTGGAGTGAGGTGTGAGGAAAGAAGACCGAACCGGCGGGTGCGAGGCGTTTATATACCTTGGGGCGACAATGCTCCCAAGAACTGCGAGAGCCAGGAAGTGGGGGTATACACTGGGCCATTGAATCCCCGTTTTTCCCTTGGCCACAACCCCTAAACTTTCTAGACTCCTCCACTAGCCCACAGAGACATCGTTCGCTTCCAAATTACTTTGAAAGCCTCTCTTCGCCGGCACATGTCCTCAGCTCCAGCCTTGTTTTCGTCCCTCCGCTCTAATCTTATTCTTATCCCAACCCGATCCCTCCACTCCATACGCTGGTCTTGGAATGAATTTTAGCTCCCGCTGTCAGCTCCGCCATGTCTGCTCGATCTCTCCATCTTCAGAGTGCAATCCCACCCACTGCCAGCCGGACATGCTATCGTTCCATATTGAGTTTTAGAGCGCGAACTGACTCCTCCTCAGAATCCCCAGCCTATTAAAGCCCGTCCTGATGTTTTAGTCTCCGCAAGCGAAGACAGCGCTGTGAAGAAGTGAAGAAGTGAGGAATAAACCCTAGCGGACTGGCCAGATTTATACACCTCACCAACACAGCGCTCGTGCCATCACGACAACGAGTGTACGTTTCCCGGGCGAGAGCGCCATTCAGACCGACACTGCTCAGATCAAACCAGTTTCCCAGTTTCCGCGAACGCGGGCAGCGCTCCGCATCCGCGTCGGAGACTCCTTTTTTGGCTTTAGTGCCGCCACCAAGGAGCGTCCGCCCATTCACGCGAATCCCAAAGCTTTTAGTAGTGGTGAAGGGGTCCAGACTCGACGACGCCATGAACATCCAGCTTTGAGGCTTTAGTGGAGAGCTCCATGGAGGTTGCGGCTCATAAATTTTAGTGAAAAGAGCCAGAGGGAGAAAGACCGCGAAGGAAGCGCCGCCCTTCCATGTTTTCAAAGTCTCTGTCTTTTCGGTGGTTGAGAGGCCAAGGCTCGGCGGCCCCATCAACATCAAGCTTGAGGCTTTAGTGGAGAGCTTCATGGAGGTTGCGGCTCATTAATTTTAGTGCAAAGAACCAGAGGGAGAAAAGCCGCGAAGCACCGCCCGTCCATTTCCTCAACACCCAAGTCCTTTTAGTAGTTGAGAGGTCCAGCCTGACTCGACGGCACCATGATGATCTCAATTTCGTGTTTTAGTCCACACCCCATGCGTTCCAAGCAAGAGGACTTTTAGCAGGACGATGTAGCCTGCCAGGAGAAAGCATAAGAAAGAAAGAAAAGAAGTGAGTAGACGAACGAGCTTTTATAAACGGTGCATCATCTTGAGCGGATGCGGATCCCCGCAGAAAGTGCAAGGCGCGAATGCAGAGTGCGGGATGGGGAAAACGGGTGAAATTGGGACTCCTCCCGAACCCATGAAAGACTTCTTGATAAGGCTTTAGCACCTCCCTGCTCGCAAAAGCCCGATCCGACCAGGCATGACGATAATATAGAGTGACTTTTTCCATCAACCTCTCTGCAGACCCCATACGCCTCCATCTTTTCACCGGTCCGACTTTTTTAAGACCCTACGCTCGCAACCGCATGTCCATTTGATGTTGAGCGTCAGTGTTGGAAGCGAGAACACTCCATTTGTTGGAGACTTTTTGAATTTTAGAGTAGCCGTTCACGCTGCGTTTAAAGATCTCCTCCGGCTCCGGGGACACGCTCCATGATGGTGTTCTGCTCGCAGTTTTGGAGACTCGGATGCGGAGTCAGTAGTGTGAGGAGAGCAGAGGATGAGAGGTGGTGGAGGGGTATTTTATACTGCACTAGGGGGGAGCGAAGGAAGACCGGATGGGAGGTGGTAGATGAGGATAAGACGACACGGTAAAAAAAACCCCTATAGGGAGTATAGAGAGCTAAAAGGCGAAGGGGATCTGATACTTGCATAGACCAGAAGCTGTGAATCTCCGCTTTCACGGACATCTTACCCATTACTTGTACAGCACAGCCACAGAGCCCTTATTTCTGCGCTTTCTCTAGCTCCTTCAGCCTGTTCAGCCCTGCTCTTGCGTTGACTTGTCCTTCGGCAAATCCCACAGCCTTCGCCAGCGACGCCGCTTCTTCGTACTTCTGCCGAGCTTCCTTGATCCTACCTTCCATCTCGTAGAACTCGCCTAGGTTGTGGGTTGCAACTGCGCATCCGATATCGCATTCCTCGTTCCTGTCGGGGGGTTGTATAGCTCTCCCTCGGGCTAATGCTTTGCTTGCCCATTGGCGTGCTTGTTCGACTAGTTTAGCGCGCGGAGGGGGAGGGTTGTTCGGAAAGGATGTCGGCGAGGAGGGTGATGACGAAGTGGGCGGTGGCGTCTGTTGAGCGAGACATGTGGAGATGTTGTTCACTGTTATAAGTGCGATTAGCTGAAGGCAATGCAAGGGAGCTGTCAAACCTACTCAAGACGACGCCGTGGCATGAGGTCGGAGGACACAGCGCTAGGGCCTGGAGGAAGAGTGGCAGCGCTAGGTAATGGGAGTCGTTTTGTTCGTAGTGCTGGCCGAGAGCTGCGATGCGTGAGTGGTTGCACATCAAAACGTGGGGTAGTACGAGAATAGACGGTGAGGGATTAAGATAACATACCTTCCAGCGTGGCTCCCATCTCCTCATCCGTCATCCAATCGCCCTCGCCTTGCTTTACACCCTCTTTTTCGCGCCTCTGCTTTTCGCTCAGTGCGCTTTCCACCGCCTCGACGAGGCGTTTCTCGGCATTATCCGGCTCGTTCACATACTTGCAGTTGTACAGCTGCGCTAGCTTGACGTTGATCTGGACCATGTTCTTCTTTACCCGCGACCTGTTGCCGTCGTTCCAGTGCTTGTCGCTGAACTCGTCAATCCAGCGCTGGCAATCGGACCGCATGATCTCGAGCACGTCGCAAGCCAGCGCATAGTATCCCGCATCTTCGAACAGCGCAGCAATTGTGTATTTCACGCCCATTATCTCGTCGCTGAAGGGATCCATGCCCAGCTCATTCGCGGTGTGCAATGCCTGCCGAAAGTACTTGTTTGCCTCCTTGATGTCCAGGTATTTCCCTCTGCTGTAGAACAGGGCGCGGCGGAGCTTCTTCGCGACTTCTTCGGGAAAGTTGTGGTACGGCCTGAGGATGACGTTCTGATAGTACCAGGGGATGTAGTAGGCGGCCCAGCCGGAGATGGCGAGAATGCTGTTCCTGTTAGCTATGCCTGAGGACGGGGGAGGCAGAGTGTGTACCATCCGACCGCAAATGGAAATAGAATTGGGCTTCTCCGGAATTGAGCCCTAAACTGCTCGCGCATTGTAGCCTTGTATCGCCTGCTGAGGTGCTGTTGGACGGGTCTCCATGTTCGTCCAGGGAGGTTTGCGAAGGTATGGCGCGGTGGGTGGGCTTCGCAATGCGCAAAGCGACTTAGACGGGAAGCCGTCCGAGGAACAGCCCTTGAGAACATAATGTGGATGTTAAGAAGGCTGTGTTGAGGGGAGCAATCGAGGTGTGGGCGATGGTCGAACGGTGATGTCGGAAAAAGTTAGTGGCAGGCGCGACCCGCATAGGGCTGAAGCGCGCCTGCATGACGTCGAGCTTCGGCCAATCACCGTCGCGCGCAGAGTTACACCTCCGCAAGCTCTCTCCACCAAGCAATGCGCTGATCGCTCTGAACATAACCGCGAAATGTGCGGCCGCTACGTACTGGCCTTGGTAAGCACCCGCATGTACTTTAGTGTCTGTGGCTAACCGCGGCGCAGCGGCCCTCCGAGGTGCGGCAACAGCTCGAGCAGTCGCAGATGCCGGTAGAGGAGGCTCCCGACGACGACAGCGTGCGCCAAAGCTACAATTTCGCACCTGGCTATCACGGCTTAGTGTACCGAGCAGACGGTCCCGACTACGGCGGCAGCAGGGTGGAGGATAAGCAAGAGGGCGACAACCAAGAGCAGGGCAAGACGGAAAAGGCGACAGTCGTACCCGCGGATGGGCGCGTAGACCACACAAAGTACAAGCTACAGGCGATGAAATGGGGTATGCTCTGCGAGTCCGGCTCGATAGTGAGCGGTGAGCAATGTGCTGACATGCTTCGCTACCCCCAGGCTTGGTTCCGTTCTGGACGAAGCGCAATCCCGACTACGGTTCGATGCTGAAGACAATCAATTGCCGTGACGACTCGCTGTGCGAGGACCGCGGGATGTGGACAAGCATGAAGAAGAAAAAGCGGTGCATAGTGGTTGCACAGGGCTTCTACGAATGGCTAAAGAAGAAGAACGGCAAGGAGAAGATCCCGCACTTTACCAAGCGCAAGGATGGGCAACTAATGTGCTTCGCCGGACTGTGGGACTGCGTCCGGTATGAGGGTGAGTCTGGTCTTCGTCCCTATATCATCAGGCGCACAAGCATGGATATGGCACACCGCCAGAGCACGCTCTTCCATCACATGCCTCTCTATTTCCGCCGTCTGCTGTCATGCCAGAGGCAGACATAGCCACTCTCGCTAGCCATGTTGTAGCAATCGGCTGCATGTTGTAGCGCGAGCATTCCCAGGTTCTGACTTGGTGTGCCACGTTTGTGTGCCCGGGCATCAGGCTCGACTGACAGGTGACTAGATTCCGACGAAAAGCTGTATACCTATACCGTCATCACCACCGACTCGAACAAGCAGCTTAAGTTCTTGCACGACCGCATGCCGGTCATCCTCGAGAACGGTTCCGAGGCAATCAGGACGTGGCTAGACCCCAATCGAACCGAGTGGAGTAAGGACCTGCAGTCGCTCCTGAAGCCATTTGAAGGCGAGCTGGAGTGCTTCCCTGTGAGCAAAGAGGTGGGCAAGGTCGGCAACAACTCGCCATCCTTCGTCGTGCCCATCAACAGCGCGGAGAACAAGAACAACATCGCCAACTTCTTCGGAAACCAACGAAAAGCTGCCAAGGCAAAGAAGGATGAGGAAGCTATCGGGAAAACCGAGCATGAGCTTGGCGAGTCAATGACCAAGAAGGGAATCAAGGTGGAGCACGGCGTCAATGAAGCTCGTGGAACAACGAACCGCGTGGAAGGTAGCGAAGATAATGCTCCATTGCCTGTTCCAGCAACATTGCGCTCATCACCCGGAGAAGTCTCCAAAGACCTCAAACGAGAGCGCAGCGAAGGAGACGACGATGATGGTGACACAGCAGCCGGTGCTCCCCAACAGAAGCGGAGGATGTCCACCTTGGCTGCTCCGGCATCCAGCCAATCCCCCAAAAAGAGCGCTGCAAAGCCGGCTGCAAAGAAGGGTACCAGAAGCGCCACGAGTAACGGTAGTGCAGCAAAGACAAGCCCGTCCAAGGGCGACGGGAGCCGGAAGATCACCTCGTTCTTCAGCAACAAGTGAGGCCGGCAGTTATATCGACACCACATGGCCGGGCTCGGGGACGGCGACGGCGGCCGGGGCGTTGCGGGAACCGCCTCTCGTCCGGGCCGGTTCATTATGCAGCGCCCGAGGTTTTACGGGCGGGAGCAAGACGGGCGGTGAGGCCGATGAGGTTCTTTTGGGAATGCGGCGCAATAGTGATGGGATTACGGGGCGCATACGATAGCCGGTATGTGATTCGCATGGGAAGCGGCGGGTGACTGGCGGGCAATGCGTGTCATGGTAAGGGATTTCTTCCGTGGGCGCGCAGCGTATCATCTGGCGGCGTTTGCTCCGGGGTGCGGGTGGTTGAGCGTCGCCTATTCGGCCTGCTCGGGAGGGGATTTCCCTGCGGCGGGCTGCATCACATCGCGACTCTAATGTGCCATGCGGTTCCTAAAAAAGGCGTCCTGCGGTTGGTCGTGATGCACGAGAGATGGGAGCAGACTGTTTCGCGCCCAGGCGTCCCGCGGCCGTTTGGTGTGCGGGCTGGCGGTTGGCCCGCCGTTACAAGCGAGCCCTGAGGACTCTCCACGCCACGCCCTCCGCCGCAACGTCTCGTCGGCCGCTCGCTCGCTCATGGTTCCAGCCTCCAGCCTTCAGCCAGCCCTGCAGCCCTTGCCGCCGCGTAAACTATTCCGCATCGATCGACTCCCATTCTGTTGCTTGGCCATCCACATCTACATCCGCTGCTGCGCGGCTGATCAACACCTCCAGCATCTGTCATGTAAGTGCTACTGCCGCCTGCCAGCTGCCCTACACCACCCGGTAATGAAGGACGCTCGACATCCTCGGACCGGCTTCGTGCCTCGCTATTCTTCTCTTTTCAGCTTCCTTCCGTCGTCTCACCGGCTCGCGTGACAAGCTCACCGCCGCTCTATGCTCAACCGACATCTCAATTTTCCCTCGTCTCGTCTATTGTGCCGCATCTCGCATCTTCTACGCGCCGCCGCTAAGCGGTTCGGCCCATCTCTCTCGACATGCTCTCCCTTTTGGAACTCGTTTCTCAGAACCAACCCCATTTTCAGACAAATCAAGCTCTTCTAGTCCTCGGCCTGCAGAATGATTTCCTCCGGCCAGACGGCAAGCTGCCTGTCAGTACCCGCAGTGGATTCCTGGACCGCATCAACATCCTTATTCCTACCTTTCGCAAGCTCTCAGCAAACGTCATCTGGATCCAGACCCTCTACGAGACGGACCGACTCGCAAACGACCCCACTACTGGCGAGGGCGATGCCGTGGTCGTCGGCGGACTAGTGGACGGAGTTGAGAGCAGCACGGATGACGACGACGATCTTCCGAAAGATCTTATCCCGCCTACCCAGTCAAGATCGTCAAAGCATAAGCAGCGGGCGCTAGACCTGCTGAAGCGAGTTTCAAATAGAAGGCGTCCCGTTCCGCGTGAGGAGTCTCAAGCCGCCCCCGAAGAGGACGAGGAGCTGTTTCTGCGCCAATCCAAGACCGGCCCTGCCTGCCTGCCCAACACGCCCGGCGCAGAGTTTGGAGACGCTGTCAAGGGCAAGATTGAACCTTCAGACACGGTTGTGCAGACGACCAATTACTCCGCTTTCCAGAGCACTTCGCTTTTGTTGATTCTGCGCGCACGCCTAGTTACGGAACTGTACATATGCGGATGCATCACCAATGTGTCCGTGCTCGCAACAGTCATTGATGCAGCGCGGCATGGCATCAAGATCAATGTGGTGGGAGACTGCCTCGGCTTCCGCAAGCAGTCGCGGCATGCCATTGCGCTCAAGAGAATGGTCGAGTTTTTCGACGCCAACCTTGTCACAAGCTCGGAAATCGAGGATCGGAATCGCCCGGAAGACGACCAACCCCGCCGAGCATCGCAGCATGGTTCGACGAATGATGAGGAAAACCTGCAGCAAATGGTGGACAGGTTGAAGCTAAAGGAAGCGAACCACACACAACGGCCCGCTTCGAAAGAAAGCCCACGCTCAACGGGCGAATCGCCCGCGATCACCATCAACGGCCGGCGCCGCAACGTCTCAGATGCATCCGCCGCCGAAAGTCGCGCCACCACCGACACTAAGCTTAGCGATGAGCAATTCGCAGAGAAGCTGGTGCGGGGCGCAAAGGTTCCAAATTCGGAGCAGAACAGGCAGCCAGCTGAGAAGCAAAACCTGGTCAAGTCTAAGATCCGCATGAGGTCAAGAAGAAGCAAAAGCAAGAAAGAGGACGAGCAGAAATCGAAGGCAGAGCCAAGTAAAAAGGGCGAGCAAAAGGGCGAACCAAGTTCGAGTCACACCACAGCTGAAAGGACACCAGATCAGCCGCCTAGATCGCCCAAGGCAGCGACGCCGACCGTCGAACAGCCACGCCCTTCCGCAATCACGAAGGCTGAGAGTAGCGACAAGCTGCGGGAAAGCCCTACGAAGGGCGGGCGTTCATTAAAATCGTCAGCGTCGCAGCCTGTGTTGTCTTCAGCGAACCTGGAAGGCAATGATAAGTTATCAGCGTCTCGTGTGCGCCTGGCATTGTCCAGGTCACCAAAGTCTGACTCAAACCAAGAGCTCCCCACTCAACCACTACCACAACAATCGCTCGCTCAGAGCACAACAGAAGCAGCAAGTGCTACGCCACCTCAAACTGCGACCGCAACCAAGATGGGCAAGAAGCTACAGTCACTCGCTACGTTCCCAGTGTTGGGTCCCGGTGACCGCATTGCTGAGGGCGATTCCCGCATAATCTACCGCTTCTTTCCACCAGATCTGCGCCATCCTACCGACCCATCCAAGCCGTTGAAGGATCTGATTTTCCGACAGCTGTACAATGAGGTACGATGGCAGAAGATGCTCCACCAGACAGGCGAGGTGCCACGTCTCGTCTGTTGTCAAGGCGAGTTTGGGGCTGACGGCTCAATGCCCGTTTATCGACATCCTACCGACCAAACGCTGCCCCTTCTACATTTTTCGCCAAAGGTCCAGCTGATACGGAAGCGAGCTGAGAAGCTGGTCGGTCATCCTTTGAACCACGTCCTCATCCAACTGTACCGCTCGGGGAACGACTACATCTCCGAACACTCCGATAAGACGCTCGACATCGTGAAGGGTTCATCCATTGTCAACGTCAGTTTTGGCGCCCAAAGGACGATGCGACTCCGAGCGAAGAAGCCAGCCAAGGCCCGGGAGTCGGAAGATGCCGCACAGCGTGAGACCCAGCGTGTCGCCATGCCGCACAACTCAATGTTCATCCTCGGACTGGAGTCAAACGAGAAATGGCTACACGGCATCATGGCAGACAAGAGGCTGCCGTCTGAGCGCAGCGAGCCAGAGACAGCTTATTCGGGGATACGCATCTCACTGACCTTCCGCCATATCGGCACCTTCCTAGATGCAAAGAACAGCGTCATCTGGGGCCAAGGCGCCACCTCCAAAGATCAGCGCGACGCACAGGACGTCATAAATGATGACGAGGAAGAAACAGAGCGCATGGTTCGCGCCTTCAGCCGCGAAAACCACGCCACGGACTTTGACTGGGACGAGTGGTACGGTCACGGCTTCGACGTGCTGCACTTGCACGCCCCTCCTGAGGACCTGCCTATTTTCTTCGCTTCGAATAACCAGGTCGAGAACAAGATGATCCAGATCTTCCTCTCGGAAGCCAAAATCAATCATACCATGCTTGAGGCGCCGACGCTTGAAAAACAATATGAATCGGATCGGCGAGTGTGTTACAGGGACAACGACGTCAACCACACCGAAGTTGTCATCAACGTACCTATCTTGCTCTACCTCGACCGATACTACCCGCTCGACCGCGACGACCGCGGGCGCTACTGCAGCTCCAACTCGTACGACATGTTCATCCAGATCAGCACTCTGCTCAAATACTGGGTCAACCGTCACGTGCCGACCTACTACGCCGACTTTGTCAATATCCTCGAGAGTCTGGAGGAACGGTATTCCATGGGTCCCGGGCCTTTTATTGCGGGACGCAGGTTCTCAATTGGCGACTGTGGGATGTGGCCGGCGATTGATGAGTTGGTGACGGCGTGGGATGGGTGGAGCGAGGAGAGGTTTCCGAAGTTGAGCGAGTATTATAGAATGGTTTGGCGGAAGAAGAAGAGTGTCAAGGAGACGAGGGCGGAGTTGCCGACTATTCGGAAAACGGCAAAGGCGGAGGAAGCTGAGGAAGAAGAGGAGTGATTGACGCTCTTCTAGCCACTTCGTTTTCCAATCTTCTATTTCTTTTCACATCTCTTCTCATTCCTCATCAACCTCATAACTTTTTCCGCATTTCCTTTTCTTCAGTCGTTTATTTAGCGCCCATTCCATCACCACAGTGGCAAAGTTCACAAGGAGTAATCATTCCGCATCGTGTTGGTGTCTCATAGATGAGAGTTGGAGTTCGTTGGTACGGTACAAAAGCTGCCTGTCTCGCATCGGGCATCGGGCGGCACCTATTTCTGTCTCTCCCGTTTCCCGCCCATACCTCTTCCTATTTCACACAAATCGCATCTCAAAATAAGGTTCAGCATTTATAGAAGCGCATCTATTTCCTGCTTCATCTATCTCTGCGCTTCCTTCTAGCTACATCAGACCCCTCGGCAGCTACTCTTCCGAAGGAACGAAGGCCAAATGGGCGAGGATTGGTGGAAGCAATAGTTTGACTCGCTTTCCCGGCATTTGTTGATCATGAGAATTATTTACTAAATGTTCCCCGGATTTTCAGCGCCCGCCTATCCCGGTCGTCGTGGGTAAATCGGCCCTTGTTAATCTATATGCTCCACCGACACAATCCGCTCTCTGCCCCATCCCATCACTATACACTGTAACCGACATTCCTCCGACCAACGTGCCCATTTACCTACTACCTATAAAGGCCGACACTCGTTATTCTTGATTTTGCTTCGCTACTCACAGTCTGGCCTATCTCCAAACTCACTAACTACTAGGATGTGGAAAGCAACTCTCCTCGCGCTTAGCCTTAGCGCAACCGCCACCGTCCACGCAGCAAACTCCTGGATCGTCCCCGGCGCGGGATAGATGTCCACGTCCGGCACCAAAATTGATGCTCATGGTGGCATGGTGCTCCAGCGTGGAGATACGTTTTACTGGGTTGGACAGAGCGCTTCGCATAGTACACTCCACACTCCCCCTTCCTCTCCTGCCAATCCAACGCCGAAAGAGACACGGCTGATATAAACGCAGACGAACAACCCTACATGTACACCAGCACGAACCTGCTCGACTGGACGCCATGCGCGAATCCCCAGAACGCCATCCAATACATGTGGCGCCCGAAGCTCGCGAAGCCCAACGGCTCGTGGTGGATCTACGGGCAAGTAGATCGGAACGTGCAGGCGCTGAAGTCGTCGACTATCAACGACAACTACGCCGTTTCCGGGGGCAAAGTAACCCTTCCACCGAACGGGTATACTTGTATGTACCTCCATCCATCCACGGAACTCCGCCAGCGCAGAACAAGAGTAAGACCGATCTAACACGACAACGCGGCAGATTCCGACACCGGCATGTTCCTAGACGACGACGACCAGACCTGGTACCTCCTCACCAGCGCCGACCACAACAACGTGCAGATCAACCGCATCAACGCCGACGGCGCCATCGGCGACCGCGTCAACGTGCTCGCCAAGGGCGCCTACGAAGCCCCCGGCATGTTCAAAGTAAACGGCATCTACTACCTCATTGTCAGCGGGAAAACCGGCTGGCGCAGCAATCCGAACCAGATGTTCTGGGCGGAGAAGCTGGTCGGTGGGAGCTGGAACGGGCCGTATGGTATTGCGCCTGAGGTGCAGAAAACGTATAACTCGCAGAACACGTTCGAGCTTGCTATTAAGGGGAGTAGTAAGACTACTTATGTCTATATGGGCGATAGCTGGGACTCTAAAGGCGGGCCGGATAGTAACTACGTCTGGCTCCCTATTAGCGTGGATACGGCGGGCAAGAAGGTATCGCTCGACTACCACGCGCAGTGGCGAATCGACGTCCGCACGGGGGAGGTTAGCGTGCCGGCGCTGAAGCGGAGGTACGAAGCGGAGCGGGCGGAGGTCATTGGCCGCGCTGCAGTTGCAGAGTGCGCGCACTGTGGGACTAAGCGCGGTGTGCGGGGGTGTAAGTTTCCCCCTTCCCTTCCACGGCAGACGAGACGAGAGACGAGATAAGAGTAGAGAGTAAGACCAGAGCACTACTAACCCAAACCCAACCAGTTTCCCATTCCAGCACCGTAACGTTCCGCAACGTCACGGGCCTGGGCGGCTTGCAGTGGGTGCAGCTGCATTATCGCGTTCGCAATGGTGAGGGGGGCGAGCAGGCAGCGCAGGCGCATGTATCCGTGAACGAGGGGCCAGTGGTCAATGTGTCGAGCTTGAATCATCGCGCGGGGTGGCAGGATGTTGTGCCGATTCAGTTGGAGCTTAGAGAAGGGAGTGGGAATACGATTACGTTTGGTGTTAGCGGGGAGGCGGAGGAGGCGGTGGTGTTGGACGGGATTGAGGTTGTTGAGGATTAAGGATTGAGAGGGATTGATGATGGAGGGGAGGAGTTGCGATGGAGTGGATATAATGGAGCGATGCGATGTCCTTCAACCAACCCTAGCCACGCGGTCGATAATCCAAGGTATCCATCACCCTCCCCTCCCAATCACCAAACCACGCTCACCGCCTCCTCCGTGCTCCAATCCCACTCTCCCCACGGCTCAACACTCCCTTGCGCCAGGCAGTCCCCGTCCCAATCCGACTCGCATTCCGCATCGCCGCCCAGTCTCCCACAAGGAATTTCACACGCACACTTCGGCGGATAATGCTCCGCCGGATCCCAAATCATCCCCTGCGCAACCGCTTCCTGCAACCCAATCGTCCCAATCCTCTCAATGTGCGCCTCCCCCGCAAATCCCTCCTCCACATCCCCGCCCTCAAAGATCCTCATCCATTTCTCGCGCACCCATGGCTGCATGCCGCCCTGCAGCTTAATCTTCGGTATGTGCTGGAGATACCCGTGATGCCAAGCGTACGTGAGAATCCAGTCAATAAGCAAACCCTCAGTGCAGACGCCGGGCCGGCACCTCGGGACGACGCCATCGTCTCTCTCTCCGTCCCAAGCCGTGTCGGCGAGATCGTACCACGGGTGCGTCGAGCGGAACAGATCGCCGAAGCACAGCACGAGCTGCTCCGTGTGCGCCAGAAATACGGCCGCGCCGTAGGGCTCTTGGTCATGCAATGTGCTGCCCGGGCGCTCGAAGGGCGGGACGTGGACTCTGAAGAGGGCGAAGTAGTCCGCGGCTGTCAGGTCCAGGCGGATTTTCTCCAGGCCGTGCAGGCGCAGCTGTGGATGCGGTCTCATTGCTTCTGGGAGCACGGCTTGTTGGCAAAGCATTGCACGGAGCTGGCGGGGGGGTTCGAAGGCGCCGTGGGAGAGGGAGCCGAGGACCGCGATGTGCGTGGCGTAGAAGCGGTATGCATCGTCGAAGGATTTCTCTGAGCGGAGCCATTTTTGGTGCAGGAGCAGGTTGTGCTCATGCTGGAGGGGTAGAGGAAGAACTTTAAGTATTTGCGGGGGGATGGAGGATGTGTAGGTTGGAGTGAGGAGTGTGGGGTGGTAGGGGTCGGCGGGGAAGAGGGTGGGTTCGCCGATCCAGAAGTCGAGAATGGTGCTGATGATCTCAGAGGGGAGATTCTTGATGGGGAGGATCGGGGCTTCGGATGGCTTTTGGGGTGGATCTTTTGATGGGGAGGATGCTGGTTCAAATTCCCAGGACGTGGGGTTGGAGTAGTCGGTGGTTGAGGCGCTGAGTGTAGCAAGATGATCTTCGTCCATGGCTGTCTGTTGGTAGAGCATTGTTCGGGATTTTACGAACCGCGTGCTGTGCTTGCTGGGCGTGTTGCGGTGCGTCGAGAACGTCCTGGGGAATACAAGTGCGTGACTGTGGAAAGTTGAAGGAGACAGTTTATGAGAAGAGCGACTAACTTTTTACCTGTGGGAAGAGGATGAGTAGATAAAGATGGAACACTTGGAAATGACTCTTTCGGATTGTTGGTACACATTACCATGGTCCTGGGAGAATGCATTGTGTGGGCGGTTGACCGAAGCCGGCATTGAATTTGGTCAACTGTACGAAGATTAGAGCCGTTAGTGTGACATTATTGATACAGTGGATTTTGTACAGTCGTGTCCTCTATGTAGTTGTGTGACATCGTTGCCTTCTTCGCTTCCTGAATGCCACGGATTGCTACGCTCTTCGCTTCGCTGAACCTGGCGTCCAGCTTTGTGGCTGCCATTCATCGCCGGGATTCCCTTTCGCGGCCTGATTCCATGGCGAGTCTTTAGGCTCCGTTCGCATGCGCCTTCTCGTCTTCAATGCGGGTGCTTCATTTGTTTGCGCTGCTTTCGATGCCACATCCTCCTCTTCCACGGTGCGCTGCGGCTCGGCCTTACCTCTGACCTCCTGGTCGGCGTTCATCTGCCTGATGCCTGCATTTGGATCTCTTGATTCGAGCGGCTGCACTGGCTGTTGTTTATCGGGCGCATCCAGCACCGAGGGCTTCGCTGCCCATCTTGCGTCCGCTTCCTGCGCCAGCATCTTTATCCGTTGTTGGCGGAACACGTCAGACCGCTGCTCGGCGACGGTGGGTGGTTCGAACCGAGTGTGCCGGAGCCATTGCATCCACGGGGCTGAGGGCTGTCAGTCCAAATGTTCGTGGGTTGGCTGGCAAGTACTGACGAGGAACGGCAACGTCGCCATAGTGCGTCCGCCGGCCGTACTTTACAATTCTCCGGTTGCGGTGCGAATGTAGGGCGTCTTTAAATTCCCAATATGTGTTCCCTTCGAGGTCGAATCCTGGGCCTGTTAGCGATTGTTGCGCTGGAGACGATTCTGAGCAGCGTGACATACCTACCAGCCACCTCCGTCTCCAGGGCAGCTGCATCATCTTCCAGCTGTACCATAATCGCCGTATTGGGCCGGGGTTCCTCGCCATGGTGCGTGAATAGTAGTGAGGGAAAAGTTTAGGGCCGCGCAAAGGCGACTTGACACGCGAACCAGTGACGACACCGTGTGGCTGGGACCGGGAGGCTGATTCCACTCCGTCCGCAGGCCCCACCACCAACTCACTCTCTGCACGCTGGCATGCGACAGATACACACCAACACCGAACGCGCACATCGTACCACGTTTTGCTCTTGATTGCCTCTGCGCGCATTCTATTTCTCTATCTTACAGTTGCTTGCTTAGCCCCATCATTCCTCGTCGGGTACCCGCCGACCCCGTACGACGACATAAGCCGCTGCGCCGAAATCCACCACAATGGCGTCTGTTACGTCGCTGGACCAGGATATGAAGAGGTTGCGCATGGGGAGGTATACGCCACAGGCTGCGAATGAAGTGCGCAGCTGGATAGAGGACGTCCTGGGAGACCGCCTGCCTCCGGGGGATTTACTGGATGCGCTGAAAGATGGAACTGTGCTATGCAGGTACGGATGCGCTGCATATTCTCGGATTCTAAACCCACGGGTCACTAACTGTGTTGTAGGCTTGTAAATCTCGCCGTACCCAATCCCGGCGTCAAGTTCAAGAAATCGCCCATGCCTTTCATACAGATGGAAAACATCTCCCACTTCCTCCGTGCCTGCGAAATGCCGCCGCTGAACATGCCCTCGCACGACCGCTTTCTGACCGTCGACTTATACGAATCCAAAGATCCCGCGCAAGTTTTGCAATGCTTGAACGCCTTCAGCCGGGTCGCCAACTCCGTGAACCCCTCTAATTTCCCGACCACAATAGGTCCCAAGCGCGGCGGAGGCCCGCTGAGCCCGACGACAACTGGGGCCGGGGGATATTCCAATGGCGCCTCCCTGGCATCGCCCGGGTTAGGGCGAAGCAGGGGTGTCAGCACCACGAGCAACACGAGTGGGTCGGCCACATTCAATCCTCTCTCTCGGCCTCCAGCGGAGAGAGCACTGAGCCCTCACCTCACGGGTGGCTCCAACTCGTCCAAGACCTCCAACGGTATACCTAAGTCGCCCCCTGGCGGCGTAAGCAGTTGGAGTAAGAAAACTGACGAGGGAATTACAGCGCCGGCCTGGAATATCCATCAGTATGGCTACATGGGCGGTGCGAGCCAAGGCAACCAAGGCATATCTTTCGGCGGGCGCCGGCAGATCACCAGCGCAGGACCATACGTACCTAATATGGCGGAGAAAGAGCGAAGGCGGAGGGAGAAGGAGGCTGAAGAGGAGCGTTTGCGCATCCTGGCGGAAGAGGCTGAGAACAAGCGTCGCATCGAACGAGAGGCCGAAGAAGAACGCGCACGGTTGGAAGAGGAGCGGAGATGGGAGGAAGAAGCACGAAAACAGCGGGAGACAGAGCAGCGCCGGCTTGAGAAGCAGAAGCGCGAATGGGAGGAGCAAGAGAGGCAATGGAAGCTAGAGGAGGAGCAGCGACAGAGAGAAGAACAGGAGACCCAGGCGAGGTTGGCACAGGAGACGCGTCGAAAACGAGCTGGAAGTGATGCCAGGCTTAGGGGGCAGTACCTAAGTGAATACCAGACGGAACAAAGCAGCAAACCGCGCAGCCGACGGAACAGCCAGTACGATCCGGATTACGACGCTGAGCGGGACAGAATACAGGAGCTCGAACGTCAGCTCGAAGAGGCGAAAGAGCGGGAGCGGCAATATCAACGTGAGCGAGAAGAGCGCTTCAGAGATGACGACCGCCGCAAAATGCGATCTCGGTCGAAGAGCAGGACACGGGATTCAACCAGAGATCGATCGCGGAGCCGACCGCGTCCTCAACCTCCGCCACGCGCGCCTTCTCCTCAAGACAGTACAGCTTCGTGGGCACAAGCTGATGATCGGGAGTATGTACGGAGGCAGAAGCAGCAACCGCGGCCTCTTCCGGAGCCGACAGCACCTTCGCTTCCAGCGCGTCCTCTCCCGGAACCTTCAGCACGCCCTCTGCCGGATCCTGCAGCGTACGCCAAACAGAGCCGCACAGACCGTTATCTTGCGTCCAATCCTGCACCTCTAGCGCCCAAACCAACAAGCCACATCCCTCCGGAGCTCACCTCCACATCTGAGCGTGCAGCAGAGGACGCCCGTCGCGCGGCCTCTCAGACAAAGACGAAGGCAGGTGGATGGGCGTCCAAGTCGTTGCTGGAGCGAGAGATGGAGCGGGAAAGAGATCGCCAGCGCGAGTGGGAAGAATCTCAACGTGCACTCCAGAACGCTCCCAAAGACCCGAGCGCTGGTGCGGGAGAGGGACAGAGTTGGGACGTCAATCAATACGGGTATATGGGAGGTGACAGCCAGAATAAGACCAGCTCCGGCATTAACTTTGGCGGGCGGAGGCAAATTCTTGGGCCTCGTCCATTTGGTCCGAGATGATTGCATTACGACCTGGATGTAAGGTCGTATTTATAGCGCGGATTTTCGGGGATGCTTGAATCCTTAGCATTATGGGTTTAGCGTTAGTCTTGAGGATTCCCGTACGCTGGAGAGGGTGATCCAAAGGAATAGTTACTAGCTTGTAAAGCCATTCATATAGATCGACAAAATTCACCTATCTTCAAAATCTCTCACTCTTGCCTAGTGCTTGTGATTGGCCGTTACGCCAAGAGCCTCGGCAAATCGTAATGCCGATCGGATTATCTCTAGCTCTTTCGCGACGCGGTCGAGCACTTCAGCGCGAAACATACTCCTCTAGACAATCGACTGCTCTACTGTAATCTGCGCAACAGCTAATCAAGATGCCGAAATATAAGTATCCCTTGCTCTCCTTTCACGACGCTTACTAATTTTTCTCTTACTCTTCTGTAGGTTCCCAAGCTTCGATCCATTGCCTCCTGGCATCTAGCTGACAGACGAACAAGGCGACTATTGCGATGTCTACCTCACGCACGACTCGATGAGCGTCCGCAAGGCACATAATAACGGCCGAAATCACCTCCGAAATGTCCAAGCATACTACGAACGTACGACTGCCTCCAATCACATACTTGAGTTGGCGCTGATGGACTGTGTAGAGATATCCAGTGAACAGACGCAGCTTGTTATCAACAGTATCACCGATGCGTACAATGCGGAGGGTCAAGCAAATCCTATGACGCAGGGTCCAATGGGCGCCATGGGCGGTTTTGGTCCCCCAGGCGGTGGACCTGGATTCCCGCCGCACGGCTTTCCTCCACCAGGTATGTACTCCCCATCTGAAGTGATTGACACCAGGTGTTAATATGCTATAGGAATGCCAGGCATGCCAGGCATGCCGCCACCACCGTTCATGCAGGCAGGCCGCGGAGGTCGTAAGTCTACTTCAGCATTGACTAGGTCGCAAATGCTAACATGCCATAGCCGGTCCCAACATGCCTCCGAACATGCCACCCTTCCCACCGCCAAATATGCCCGGAGCTGGACCACCAGGGCCAGGCGGACCGATGCCCCCGAATATGCCTCCGTTTCCCCCGGCAAATATGGCAGGCGGCCCGCCACCGAATATACCTTTCCCGTTCCCTCCCCCGAATCAAGCTGGGTCGCCTCCCGGAGGAATGCCTCCTTTCCCACCTCCAGGAGCTATGCCGCCAGGCGGATTTCCTCCTCCATTCCCCCCGCGAGGCGGTCCGCCTGGAGGGCCGCTCGGTCGTTAGATACTTTGGGTTAAGAAATGTTTGAGAGCCGCATGATGGGCTTTGCCTTGTGCTACTCCAAGCGCGAATCGGACAAAGTCGCTCACGCAAGCGGCTGATGAATACCCAAGTCAAAAGAGAGGCGTCTTGAGGAACGATGGGGAGGCCCAGCTGTACGTTTTCTCCCACAGTATGGCTTACTGAGATCTTACCATGGTAGACACGTCTCGGGAACTTTTGCATGTCTATGGTTCAATCAAAAGCCTTCATTTCTACCCGTTCCTATGCTCCAAATAATCCCTTCGCATACGTCTCGACATCGGTGACGGGGACGCCCAGCTTGTGGTTCACCGTGAGTTTCTTATCCCACCAGACCCCATCTCTAGCAAAGACCAGCCGGTATTTCTTGATCAGGTTGTCTGGCTCCTTTGCCAGCTCCTTTTCCAAGTGCTGAATCGTCCACTCCTCTCGCACCACTGCCTTTCCCGTGACCCGCTCGACGATGTCCGCCAGCTGCGCATAGCTGACAGTGTCACCAGCAGAGTATATAACTCGATTCTCGGCTTCCATGTCTTCTGCAACAACTCTGGACAGTATCTTTCCGATATCTTGGACGTCGGTGACGGTCACCTTGTGGTCCCAATCTCGCAGCGCCCGCACTGTTATATTGTCACCCTGTCGATCCACGATGCCCCAGAATTGTTCGAACAGGAAGCTCATAAAGATACCGGTGGACATGACAGTCCATTTTACATAAGCCCCGGCGGCTTCAGCTCGTAACAAATCCCGGACGTCTTTCTGCTCCCCAAAAAGCGGCATCAAGCCCTGCCCGTCGCCAGTAATGTCATAGTCGACGCCCCATTGCCAGGGAAAGAACCACAGCTTTCCCTGTCCAGCTTGCTTTCGTAGTTTCCCGGCTTCGAGGATCTCCTTGGCGAGCTTGGTGACTATCCCGGCCGCTTGTCCGAATCCAGTAGCAGAGATTACGACGTCATATTTGGCGAAGTTCTGAGCCAGCTCGTCTGATGGTCCGGTTGTGTCCAGTGAGGTCAAGGATATGTTCGGGCCGGCGAGCTGACTGTACTTGGAGGGCGTGCGGACACCGACAATGACGTGAGTATCGGGGAGTTCAGAGAGATGTGGGAGGAAGGCGGTGCCTAACTCGCCGGCTCCGATGAGGAGGATGTGCTTTTCACTCGCCATTCTCTCGTTGTGTGCGTATTGATGAGTTTGGGGTTCTTGGGTAGGCTAAGCGCTCTTATACACCCGGTGCCGGGCCTCACGCAAAAGCATATGCTCGGAGTTAGGAGACTATTATTCAGCATGCTTCTTGGCACGGCTCATGATCAAAGGAACCAATATCTTGTTTTATGACTCCTGTGCAAGTTTACATGCCGAAGATTATCGGGGAAGTTGAGGAATCTCGATATTAGTATTGTGGGTTGTCTTGACGCACTGCGGGATCGGAGTTAAGGTCCTTCAGATATTCACAAATTAGCAGAACATATACGTACAATTATATACGAAGGACAATAACACATTCTCCACTTGAATATCACTCACCGCATGCTAGACATGAAGCGACCTGAGGGTCCGTAACGATCCCCGGTCTATGAGCGCTAGTACTATCTAAGTAGTCCAAGCGAATTTTCAATCGCACTTCGAAATCTTGAGCTCCCAGCAACATCCCCTCCGCCATACAATCTCCACGAGTGCGCCCAAAGTCCCGTCCCCAGCTTCTGCCACTCCATACACATCATGGCCGAGCAGTTGGTTCTCCGTGGTACCCTTGAGGGCCACACTGGCTGGGTTACTGCCCTGGCTACCTCCCTCGAGAAGTACGTTTACTGCGACACCTTATGCTCGCATGTCCGTTGGCGCTGGCACTCAAAACCTCGCGCGCTCGCTGCGCTAGGAAATTTGAATGGAATGACGAGCCATGCTAACCCGAGGCCAGCCCGAACATGCTCCTTTCTGCCTCCCGGGACAAGACGCTCATTATCTGGAATCTCACCCGCGACGAGACCTCGTACGGCTACCCCAAGCGGAGTCTGCACGGCCACTCGCACATCGTGTCCGACTGCGTACGTTACGCCCACACTTGAAGCAATTGGCTGGCTAGGAAGTCTGCAAGGCTGAGCTGACAATTGCGGCTACAGGTCATCTCCTCCGACGGTGCCTACGCGCTCTCCTCGTCTTGGGACAAGACCCTGCGTCTGTGGGAGCTCTCGACCGGTGTGACCACCCGTCGATTCGTCGGCCACACCAACGACGTCCTCTCCGTCTCTTTCTCCGCCGACAACCGCCAGATCGTCTCGGGCTCCCGCGACCGAACGATCAAGCTCTGGAACACTCTTGGTGACTGCAAGTACACCATCACCGACAAGGGTCATACCGAGTGGGTCTCCTGCGTGCGGTTCAGCCCGAACCCCCAGAACCCCGTCATTGTTAGCGCTGGTTGGGACAAGCTCGTGAAGGTGGGTACACAATTTCTTGACTTGCGGGATCGCTTCCGCCGGGATATCATGATGATTTGGTATTTTTTTTAATGTATTTGCTACTTCAGAGCCGCAAGGCTATGAGAAAAACAATCACCCGCGACTGACATGCAGCCTCTGTACTCTTTCTGGAGGATTCCAACGGGAAAAACCAGAAGCTAACAGACTGAGAAGGTTTGGGAACTCTCCTCGTGCCGAATCCAGACTGATCACATTGGCCACACCGGCTACATCAACACCGTCACTATCTCGCCCGATGGCTCCCTCTGCGCGTCCGGCGGCAAGGACGGAACTACGATGCTCTGGGACTTGAACGAGTCCAAGCACCTCTACTCGCTCACCGCCGGTGATGAGATTCACGCTCTCGTCTTCTCGCCCAACCGCTACTGGCTGTGCGCCGCCACCGCCTCCAGCATCATCATCTTCGACCTCGAGAAGAAGAGCAAGGTTGACGAGCTCAAGCCCGAGTACATGGAGGTTGGCAAGAAGAGCCGGGAGCCGGAGTGTGTCAGCTTGGCCTGGAGCGCTGATGGCCAGACCCTGTTTGCTGGTTACACCGATAACCGCATTCGCTGCTGGGGCGTCATGGCGAGGGCATAAGGGACAGCGGGAAACGGTGTTGGCGCGGTTTCGGGGATGAAATCATGATTCCACAATTACATCTGTAGCATGCCATGGGAACTGAGAGACGCTCATGCGGGTGGGTTTTGGGGATGGTCAATTCCTTCCGGTATTAGCACTTCCAGGCGCTCAGAGTCAATGAAAAATTCATTTGATCCAAAACCAGCCGAAAGTGATTCATTAGTTTTATACGAGTCTAGTCCTTTCTTACAGCTCAGAATCTGTGTCCGGTTTACAGCTTACTGAACGTAGGTTTCCGCTTCTGCAGCCCGCTCAACATGGCATCTTTTACGTCTTGCGTCTGCACCATGGCTGCGTTCCATATCGCGGTATAGTTCAATCCATCCGCCACCGAATGATCCCTCGAATAATTCAGCAGCTCCTTCGTCCCCATCGTAGCAACAGGACTCTTCGACGCAATCACACTCGCAATCTTCAAAGCCTAAATAAACATCGAATTAGCACAATCCTCTCCCCCAAAATCTCAAACAAAGACACAGAACACACTGACCTCCTGCACCGCCTCGCTCTTATCCCCATACACGCCGCTCACGAGCCCTACACTCTGCGCCTCCTCGCCCCCGAAGATCCGGGCCGTTAAGCAAATCTCTTTCACCCAGGAGGAGTTGCCCACGGCTTTGGGCAGCCGCGATAATGTGCCGATGTCCGCGGCGAGCCCGATGTCGACTTCTTTTACCGAGAAGCGCGTTGAGGTCGTGCTGAGGCGTATGTCACAGGCGAGGCTGAGGTCCAGGGCTAGGCCGAAGGATATCCCGTGGAGGACGGCTATGACGGCTGCGTTGGGTGGGGGGTTAGTGCCACTGGGTTGTAGCAAGGGGAATAGGAAGTGAGTATTGGGGTTAGGTTTGGGGTTAAGGATGACATGGCTTACGTTTCTCACACTTCTCCACGTCGGTGACGCATTGTTGGAATTCGTGGATGTGGCGGCGGAGGGAGTTTGCGGCGCGGGCGGGGTCTGCGGAGGGGCGGCCGAGGGTGCCTTGGGATGCCGCCTGGGGTTGGGATGGTTATTAGTATGTAGCGGAGTCTTGCTAGGAGAGAAGTGGGAGGGAGAAAGAGGAGGGAGGGCATACTTGAACATCTAGGCCTGCGGTGAAGGCGCGGTCGCCGGCGCCGGTTAGGATTATGGAGCGGACGGAGGGGTCTGGGCTCAGGCGGCGGAAGATGGTGGACAGGTTGAGCCACATCCTGGAGGGAGATCAGAGCTTAGCTGGGTAGATGCCGGAGGAAGGGAGGAGGGTGGGAGGAGGTTTGAATGAGTCCGAAGGAGAGTCGGAAAACATGACGAAATGGATGGATGTATATTTGAAAACGCAAAGGAAGAGTGACAACAAGGAGTGAGGCTTTTGGTCCGGACAATGCAGGCTTGGAAAACACCTGCACATTGCAAGGCACGTGAAAAGCATTTGTTGAGAGAAAGTCCGCCCGGGTATGCACTCATGAAACGGGAAAGGAAAGGGGGAAGATATACGATATGTAAGAGAGATACCACTCACTGCTCCACAAACGCATTCAACTTCTCCGGCCGATTGATCTCCACATGTGCGACATATTCCGCTGGGAAGCTGACGTTGAAGTACTCGTACTTGTATTCTTCCGTCATCTTGGTGTAGCGTTTCTCTTCTTTCTATTGGAGTTGATTGCAATGTCAATCTGAGCTGTTCCGGGCGTGTGGATATGGGGGCCGTGAGCTTGCTAGAAGGAGGTTTTGGGGAGAGGTGATGTTGGAGGCTTTGTTGGTTGCATCTGACAGCTGCTGCGAGTCGGTTCGTAGAGATGCGGATGTGCCTCGGTAAGTATGGATGTGGCTAGCAGATTACTGGATTGGGATGAAGGCCTGACCTCAACATCAACCCGTGGACACGTGGCTGGCCTTCTCTTTTCAAGACATCCTCACTCATGTTCATCGCACCAGGAAACACGGAAACATCTCCACCGTTGGTCGTCGTCCCAGCTTGATCTATCTTACTCTTGAAAATCCCAGGGCCGCGACGAGGTTAGCAACCCCTTGGACTACTCTAGGCTCCGGCATTATCTGATACTGGGGGATTGGAGGCGAGCACTCCACTTATTATGGAATCTTATCCGATGAATAGGGCACGATTCTTTTCTCCACCATGCCTGTCGTTATCCGTTCCCACCAGATACGAGATGTGTTCACAGCTAGCTACCATTTCCCGGAGGACGAGCCCGACACCAACGACTACCCTTGGCTACAGGAAGTATCCGGAAACGACGGATCTCTCTGCCATACATGCGCTCGCTTGCACTTTTCGTGGTTGTTCAAAAACTCCGTATTCGACTACAATGTCTCGGATGGCTCCTTGACGTCTCGGCTGGTTGACGGCATCTGCCTCGGACCGTTTGTCAATGTTTTCAACCGCCGCTCATGCTCATTCTGCCAACTCCTGGCTCATTCCCTGACCTACTGGGCGGAATATGACATGATCTTCGACTCCGAGGGAGGGGAAAATCGCAACATATATCTCGTGAACATGGTATCTACCAAGAGAGGGACCAAACTGAGTCGGGGCCCTGAAGATGAAGAGAGCGCGATGCGCCTTGGGGTTAGCCTAAAACAACTCAACGCTGAGGGAATAAACATGGGCTTCGGGAACTCAACGGCGGCGACAGCCAACATTCAAAGACTCGATGCTGGACGCACATGGCCCTATGGCGGCCTCCCTTCGGCGAAAGACCCGTCTGAACTCATTCAGCGCATCAAGCAATGGATCACGCCGTGTCTCAATGACTTACAGAGTCTCCAGCATTCCGCGAAAAACCCAGAAGCATGCGCGTCTATACGGCTTATCGACACAGAAAACGCTTGCATAATAGGCCCGCTTCGTAGAGAAAATTACGTTGCATTGAGCTACACCTGGGGAAGGATTGACCCATTGGTTCTCAAACACGACAACGAGCACATACTCCGCCAAGCAGGCGCGCTTGAAAACTGTGGGGACAGGTTGCCAACGACAATCCGAGATGCCATCACTCTTTGTAAGATGCTTGGGCTTACGAGAATTTGGGTTGATAGCCTCTGCATCGTACAAGATACAAAGGACAAACATGACCAGATACAGCAGATGGATCGAATTTACCAAGAAGCCACGCTCACGATAGTTGCAGCTGCTGGAAGAGATGGCAATGCTGGCTTACCCGGCGTATCCAGTATGCGTGAAACCGGACAGCGCATCATCAACATCGGAAACATGCAATTGGCTAATGCCCTTCCTAATCTAGGGGCCTCGGTGGCTAGTTCCTTCTGGTTGTCCCGCGGTTGGACCTTTCAAGAGGGTCTCTTGTCAGTACGAAAGCTGATTTTCACTGCGGACCAGACATACTACCATTGCCCACATGGCGAATGCAGTGAGGATACGGATAGCGGTTTGCATCAGTCTTTGGTCCCTACATCCTCATCCGCACTGCGACTAAGTTTTCGGAATGGGACGAATTGGACTACGTATCGCGATGTCATGAGTGCATATTGCGCACGGGAGCTTTCATACGAATCAGATGCTCTAAATGCCTTTGCTGGAATTGCGGCATACCTGAGCAAATCGATCTTTGCGTCCTCTCCGTTCATCGCTGGCATACCACTTTGCAGCTTGGAAGTCGGGCTATTGTGGCAGCCTAGAGGGCGATTACGTCGCCGACGCGACCCTCAAAACGGAACGTACCTATTCCCTTCCTGGTCTTGGGCAGCCTGGGATGGCAACATGGAGTATTGGGATCACCTCGACGCCGACAACTTATTCGAAAGAACGATCAGCCATCTCACCCTTCTCAATGCTCAAGGCGAGCAGATCCTTACATGCATGCCACCGCCAACCTGGCATGACTGGCCTCCGTGGACGCGTGAAGTTTCCGAAGATACGGATGAAATATACTACTTGCATGAGAACCTTCCCCCTGACCGATGGTTCGCTCATCCAATAGACGCATCAGTCACCAGATGGGATCGCCCCACCGCAGCACTCTTCCATCTCCCAGTAGAAGCCGACGTAGCCGAGCTCAAGCTGACCGGCGAGCACGCCGACCTCTGGTATCGAAGCGAGTCGGAATGCGACCAAGGAACCTACGAGATGTGCTGGCTCCAAGTATTCGATCAGAACAATCACAAAGCGGGCACTGTGATCATGGACGGTACGACCTTCGAGGCGACAGACTTCACGAACCCCCTGATCTCTTTCATCAAAATCTCGCAAACGACGCTTGCCCCCGGCCGAGATGACCCCGCGTGGGATGACGAGAGCAAGACGTACAAGGGTAGGCCGGGAGAGCTTGCAATCAATCCGCGGCCGCCGCTGGAGCCTGAAGAAGCAGAGTTCGATCAAGACGTTTATGATTTGAATGTTTGTTGGTGCTTGTATAACGTGCTCGTGGTTAGGTGGGAGGGGGAAGTTGCGCAAAGAATCGCGGTTGGGCAGGTGCATATTCATGCGTTTGATGGAGCGGGACCGACGAGAATGAAGTTGACTCTTGGGTGATGTGCCATCTATTCAACCAAGTAAGATACTTATAATCAGACCTCAACTCTAGATTTCTAACTATTGGCTCCAGTCTTCGATATTCGACATGCGCGCAGTGAAACCAACGACGCAAGCTAATGCGGAAGAATAATCAATCGAGCTAGGTGGAGTAGCTTCGGCATCAGTCTTGCCATCGTACTTGTGTGTAACCTTTTCCGGCTCAGATAGCGGCGTCGTCTCCATCATCTCCCGCCGCATCAGTTAGACCTGTGGCATCCATGCCGAGTTCATCCACCGCCTCACCCTCTTGGAGCTCGACCTCCGGCCAGAACTCATCGTCGTGATCGAACTGGCAGGTCCCCCAACGGATACCAAATCGCTCTTGGTCGTACGGTTGCTTATTGTAGGAGCAGGATTGAGGGCAAGCGCATTCGGGCGGCCTAGAATAACTGGTTAGTACCACTCTACAGAATCTGGACTGATATAGTCAACTTACATAGCGGATACAGGCTCATTCAAGATAGCCTCCATTGCTTCCTCCCAGTCAAAGCCGTGCGTACGGTTATCTTCTTTACGTTCTCTGTATTCTGTCTCAAGGATATGGTTCCACTTCTGCTTGATTGCAGTTTTAATGCAGCCAGAGAGACGAACGTTCGTAATATTCTTGACAAATGGAAATGCGAAGGTTAAGATCCAGTCAACGACAATTCTGTAACAGGGGAACTTCCGCATATTCCCGAATTGCCCCTGGAACGAGTGCTGGCCCCAGTTGTTGCCGATGAACTTGCTCCAAGGATTCTCGCCATCGTCGATGTATGGGCTCCGGAAAGAGAGCGTCAAGTCCAGCTTGGGAATACTCCGAAAGAGCTCTCCCTGGCAGAGACCTGGCTGGCGGAGGATGCGCGGAGTAGCCTGGACCCCGAACAACCGGAAGTACTCGGTTATGGACAAGTCCAGGTAGACTTTTGACAGCCAGCCCTCGATGTCTGGCGGATTCGGGCATCGCACTACTTCCGAGAAATAGTGTAGGCCATGGAAATATTTCGTCGTACCTTTCCATCCAGCTTGCGACGCCTCGTCTCGCACTTGCTTGCTGACGCGAAAAATCGCATAGTTCGGGAAAGGGACACGGGCAACCGCATGACGACGGGCCATCCTGTCGAGGGTAAAGCATTCACTGCTCTTGAATACGGACCCATGGGGATTGTTCTGGTTCATCGATCCCAGCACTACAATCTTCTGACCGGTCTGGTAATGAGACTGTGTATGTGGCCGAATCTGCCCACCGAGGACATACTTAAGGACATGGAGTCGAAGTTCGGGGGGCAAATCCACAAACCGGAAAGTCTTGCCGTTCTTCCCCCACCACTTGCACATCGCATCGTTCGCGTTGTACGCGATATGACCGTACTCGTACTCTTCGGCCCACTCGACCAACCACGCCTTCAGCGGCTTCCACTTGCGACCTTTCCGAACGAGAAGCCTGTCGGCCGCGAGATAGGACGGGTTCCCGCTCCACCGGTCGCCAATCGTCACGGAAATAGCCCGCGGAAACTCTTCCCACTGCTTCTTGAAGGCGTATAGTTTCACCGCGCAGTTTACGTTCCCCGGTACCAGAGGCCAGATGGGAGGACTTGATAGCAGGTTCTGGACTCGGATGCCGGCGCCGGCCATACATATATTGTCTTTCTCTAACTGGCGGACGGCGGAGCGGATAGCATATAACACGGGGTCGTTCTGGCGGGGCGTGCCGACTAGCTTATACTTGTACTCCCATTGGGTGGTGCCTAGCTTGTCGGACGGCGGAGGACATAGTCGGAGCACGAGACGCTGGTCTGAAGAGAGTCCCTTCATGCGGGTTTCCAAGTAAGGCATGTTGAATGATCCTGGATAGGGCTGAGGTCGAGGTCGAGGTTGTGAGGGGGGCAATTGAGTTGGTCTGGAGAGAGGACCGGAGGGTGCGATTAGGTTTATATACTGCGAGGGACTGCCTGTCGTGGACGGTGAACGCATCTTTGGAGCGCAAGTGCCCGGTGGACCATGCTCGCATTCGGAAATGCAGCGGTTGTGCTTCACAATCTTGCACTGACGAATTCACAGGGCGTCTGGGAATATTGAGCAGCAGCTTCGACTGTTGTCGAGCGAGATCCAAGCTTTTATAGAAGATTTTGCGGATACGACGCTTTTGAGCTGTTAGACTAGCAATAAGAGCAGAGATGAGATGAATTGATGGTCTATCTACGAGCTGCCTAGGCCTACATATATAGACATATAGAAACAAGGGCTTGCTATTGTTTGAGAGACAAACTGATTGCGCATGGAATGAAAACTGCTGGAAATCAACAGCGCGAAGGTTGTGACGCGAAGAAGTAAGGAAAACGGTACAGGCAAGTTAGTTGAGACAGCCATTTCTCAAACGCAAGTCGAAAATTGCCGCCGAAACGACTAGAAGGTTTTCATTACGAGGCTGAGCTATCCGAGCTATCTGAGCCTGCTACACTATCTTCGTCGTTTTTGCTATTGATGGCTTTCCGTGATGCGGATTCGAGCATCCTTGGGTATTCTCGGTATAAGTTACTACACATTAACCCCTTCGGATTTTGCTGTCGCGATAGCGCAACCAACTCGGCGGCCACACATCCATATCCGAGGTGTACTCATCGTCGCGGTCGAAGCTGTCAGGCATACTAAGCCAGACATCTTGCCGATACTCTAATTCCCTAGCATCGCACGATAAAGGGCAAAAGCACTGCGGAGGACTGCGGTGGTTAGTGTCGCGGAAAATAGGCGACCGGTAATACAAACAAACTTACAGAGCGGACTGAGGTAAGCTCATTATAAGTTCCATCTCACGCCCCCAGTCGTAGCCATGGGTGCGATAGTCCCACTTGCGCTCGATGTACTCCCGCAGCAGAATATAATCCCACTTCTTTAGGACGCATGTCTTGATGCACCCTGTAAGGCGGATGCGCGGTATATATTTGATATGTGGGAATAAGAACGTCAGGATCCAGTCCGCAATGATCTTGTGGCAGGGAACCCGTCGCGTGCCGTCGTACTGATTACCGAATTGAGGCCCCATATTATAGGATAAATTGAGCCAAGGATTGCGGTCCGCCTTGCTATAGTTCTCGTATGGGTTGTTGAACTGTAGGTCGAGGTCTACAAGCGTCTTGATGCCTTTGATTAGATGCATCAGGGACTTGGACTCGTCGATCCACATCGTCGGGAAGATCTCGACTCCTAGCAAGGAGAAGTAACCTTGGATGGAAAATTCCAGTTTGAGCTTGGTGAGCCAGTTCGGCTGTGCAGGTGGGGTCGGACATAGGAGCACATTCTTCAGGTATTCCGGGTTGATGAAATGCTTTCGAGCATCGGGGCCCCAACCCACATACATTGCCTCCTCGTAAATTGTCTTGCTGACGCAGAAGATGGCATAGTTGGGATGGGGAATGAGCTTCTTGAGTTTCTTCCTCTCATGGCTTCCGTGACGCCAATTGGAAATGTCCCCACTGTAAGGATTGTTGGAAGACGCAGTGCCAAGGATGACCCGACGACCCTCCCCGAAATGGTTCACATGTGGGCGGATTTCCCCACCCAGTACATACTTAAGTATGATTTCTCGGAGCTCTTTCGGGAGTTGCATGATAGGGAAGGCCTTCCCGTTCTTGGTCCACCACTTCCTCTGCGCAGCATGAGGTTTGTGAAGCAGCCACTCACGGTCAGGGAACTCAGAGAGCCACTCCTTGAACGGTTTCCACTTGCCCTCGACTTCCACGAGAATCTTGTCCACGGTAAGGGGAAATGGGCTCCCTCGGTCGATAACCGATACTGGGAGGACTGATGGAAACTCCTCGAACCACTGCTTAACGGCGTAGAGCTTGATCGGACATTGCGCATTCTTGAGACTCAATGGCCAGATCGGGGGGCCGGGAGAGAGGTTGTGCACAGTAATGCCAGCTGCAGAAACAACCATGTCTTCCTTGCTGACTTCTTTGATGGTCCGATGGATTAGTCGAAGGACTGGATCATTTTGCCGTGGAGGACCTTTCAGTTGATAGCGGTACTCGCCCTTCCACGCTCTAAGCTTATTGACTGGTGGAGGATACAGGCGTACGATGAATCTCTGCGTCCAAGGCAAGTACTTCATCCGGTTGTGAAGCTGAGGCATGGTGGTCGAAGTGTTGCGGATTAAACAGGTGAAGAGAGCTAAAGTCGTCGAAGCACTAGTTGAGCGGTGGTATTGGTTGTGTTCCTGCCAGGGAGGGGATTGGTTGTAAATAATATAATTATATACTGCGGCAGGTGGCTCTCCAAGGATTGTCCAAGCATCGCGGATAGGTGAATCGACTGATGATGCATTGAGGGCTCTAGACTCGACACATACACCACTAATTAGGTTTGCTGTATTCACTCTATTGCAGCCATCACCGTTTTTGGACTACTGGTTGTCCCGCACTGCTTGCTTAACCTTAATATACACTAGGAACGCCATCTGATAAACCTAGCGCAAGCCGTACTCTTCGCCCTTTTCTTTTAAGCTGGGTGGTATCCCCATAGCGTCGGAGATGCAGCGAAGGTAGTCGCCAATGTGGCACTGGTGAATTTGCGGGTTTTCTCTGGATTGTTTTCGCGTTGATTAATCCATATCTCCTAGTATTTGAGGACGATTCTCCTTTCAAGCTCCAATTTTCGAGCCGTAGCTTGACGGAGAATTGTATGTTTGCAATGTACGAAAGATCTCGAATACCTTGGACCTCGGCCTAACAGTACTTTGTGCATTTCAGAGGAGTGCAAATACAGTTTCGCCCAGACCCCGGACTCATACTAATGTCATCTCTCTGAGATGCCAGCCTAAGTCGGCCCTATTATCGCTCGTTCGAATGCCAAAAATGCCGACTTTTCGAAAGGTTCTTGTCTCAGTGGCTTGTAGGACTATGCCACAAAAGAGGTAATTATCCTTCAACAACAAGAGGAAGCGTAAAGTTAGACCTTCAAAACTGGGAGGAATCAGATCGAACAAAACATACAGAACAGATGCCAATCCATCGTCACAGTGCAACCTGTAAGTATTTTTCTGAGCACATTCCGTCATTTTGGAAACGTCTTCATCGAAAAAGGATCCCTGAATTCGTAAACAGTTGCCCTGTATTGCTCCGAAAGGGTCTGCGCCTGCAGGAGAGATGTCCTTTGATAGATATTCGAAACGGTCACATCGTCGCATATTTTGAGTGTCTGTGTACTCCCCTTTGAACAATTCGGTCCTCGAATATCTATGGTGGTACGGTGCATGCTCATTGAGCCTTCCGAGAGGGTAAAAGCTGACTGGACCGTCATAAGACGCCCAAGACCATGATGGAAGAGAGTTTGCCTCCTGAGGTGGCCAGAACGGTACTCCAGGATCATGCTCATCAGGCTCACCAGCACACCAGAAAAGCTGTCGTTGGATGTGTGAGAGCCAAATGCCTGCTAGATAGGTGTGAGGCTCAACAGCAGCGCTTCCTTCTGCCATAGCTACCACCGCCGCAGCGAGGCCCGATAGGGCGGGCAACTTGTCCTCAGGGTGTGAAAGTTGTCTCTGCGAATACGCCTCCACGTTCAGGAGCCATAGGTCCATGATTTCGTCTAAGCTCTGGCGCGATTTATCCGTATCTAGCACTCTGAATGCATTTAGGCTAGGGAAGAACCTGTCCCATCTCAGGCCAACACATATCCTTCTAAGCTGTAACAATCTGGAGTCTCCAGCTCCGATACGTTGCCGACATTCCCACATTACGCCATATCTTGTATAATGTAAGATCCGCGGAGCTAGTTGACGTTCTTGATATGCCCACGCTCGTGTGTTAAGCGGCCCGTCTAAGACCTTCGACCACTCAGACCACTCAATGTACCGATTGTGTCGAAATTGCGATGATGGCGGTCGAAATGCTTGTTCATCCACGGGAATTTGAGTCTTTAGAGCTAGGGGTTTCGGAGTTGAAGTCGCTGAAGGCGGTGCCGGAAGCGTAGCAGCTGAAGCTGGCTGATCGAAGTCGTCCCAGAATTTCAAAAATCCCTCCGTACCGTTATGAGAATCCGAAGCAGCAATCGTAACGCAGCAGTGGAGGTAGATGAGGTGCATGGAAGCACATTCATGCTCGAAATCCGTCTTATTCTTCTGAATGATGCAGAGGCTGTCAATCCAGAGGTAGCGTAATCCGAGGCCTCGTGTAACTGTTATCGCATCCTGGAACGTGTTCGGAAGAGCGGCCCAGGGAATCTCTTCATAGTGCTCGGAGATGTTCGAAGCAAGCGTTTGTAGAAGCTTACTTGGATCGCCCCAGCAGTGACTTAGTGCCGCATATCGACAGTTTTTGTCTTCCAGAGTCGCTGTTTCGATCAGGAATGGAGCTCGTGAGTCAGGACTACCGACATCTATGAGCCGTCGTGGTAAGGTGAATTCAGAAATGGTGACCGGTTTTCTGCAGATTCCATGCTTGGTTTCGCATTCCTCTAACCATTCGCGTGCTAGACGACAGGCTTTGCTTGAGGTGTAGGTTGTAGCCCGGTTTGAGCGGGGCATATCGAATCCGAATATGATCCAGTACACCCAACAAGGACAGCTGAAGGTAGAAGTCTGGTGGAGGGTTCGGAATCCGAAGAATTGACTGGCGTCTCGATAAATTCATCGTAAGCGGACTGCAAAGGGTGGATGACAAGATAGGGTAAAGAATATAGGTAGTGGTGTGTCGAGGCTGAGGTTGATCTGAATCAGGCAGCAGCGGTCCAAGTGCGCCACGGCTGCGCCTCATCACCACCAAAGACGAGATTATATCATTCAAAGCAAGGAACGAGAGCCAGGCCCCAAGAGTTCGCCGCATGACTTTACTGCAACCACATCGTAAGAAAACAAATTAGTTTCTGGACATCTATCCTTCACATCACTATTTATCTATGAACTCGTCTAAATGAAGTAGCAGCGACGCATATATCTGGCTTCCTCAGTCTCTGAATGGTGATGCGCATCCGCAAGATAACCAGATCGTTTAGTGAGGGAGAACCAACCATCTCGTAGAGATAGTCACGGTGGGTATGGTTTAGTTTGTCGGCCGGAGGCGGGAACGTCATGACCGTGAAACGGGGCTAATTTCCCACCTTAAGTCCTTGATAGGAGATTTGAGCATGGGCATGTTGACGATGGCGGGGGGCACCGACAAATGCTTTACCTTCTGGTTGATGGGCGCTCGAGATGGTTGAGTCGCGCTTCCCGGTAAGCGATGCTGTGGAAGAGACTTGATATAGGGCAAGTACAACGCTGCTTTGGCGTCGACTCTGTTGGAACGCGAAGCACGAACTCTGGTGAGCGATCGACAGGGAACTTCGCTACAAGGCCGTCTACTAGTTATTTGCTCGTATGACTAGATTCGGGAAGTAACAATTCAATTGCAAAATCATTTCCAGAATGCCCACAAAAGTGCACATAACCCCAAGCTCAAAACTGTTGATGATATAGATCGCTGTGAATGTTGCAGAGGCCTGATTAGGGTAGAAAGCTTCCTCATACCGGCAATACCGAGTCGAATTCTTCTTTAATTCTTGAGAAGACCTTGCGTTTCCTCAAATTCCACGGATGCGCACTAACTCGTCTTTCGGCATCTGGACTGGAGTCATGACCGGAGGATGCCCTCCGGTTTGCCCAGTCCTCTCGAAGACGGTGGATGAGCCTATACCGGATGTCGTGCAATTTGTCGCCTTGATACGCGAAGAGGACTGCTATGCCAACGATGCTTACTGTGATCGGCAGAGCAATAGCCCAGAAGAAGCCTTGGTTGCGATCTGTGGTCCGGATATCAGCCGTGTTCATGCCAAAGAAGCTGGTGATGAAAGACCTAGCAGCAATTAGTCTATGAAGTATGGCGTTGCGAAATGCTTGAGGCGGCTTACAGAGGCAAGAATATCGTCGTGATCATTGTAAAGACCAGGATTGCTTTGCCATGATCCTCTTCTAGGATCTCTACGCTCTGCTTCAGTTGCTCTCTAAGCTGCCTGGTACGGTTCTCGAGGGCATCTAGCTCGGCGGCCTTTGATCGCAGATTCTTTAGTTCTGCTTGAAGGCAGTCTTTCTCTGAAGTGAAGAATGCTGCTCGACCTGACGGCGCGGAAGCGTAAGATTCGGGGTCCAGTATCAAAAGATAATTGTGATAGGCTTTCTGCTGCCAGTCATTGACAAGCTTTATGACGGAAAGTTCCTCTTGTAGTTCGTGGATGTCAGGCAGAAGTCGCTTCCGTGGGAATCTGTTGATTTGGTATTGCTAAGCAAACCTGTTAGCTTGAAACGAGTATGTGGCAGGTTGGAAAGGTAGTAAATGCTTGAGGGTTAGGTCTTTCCTTGGGCTTCTGAGTATCTGCCTCTTAGTTTGCTACAATTAATTGCCTCGGAGACGGTCCTAGCGGAGCCTCTACGGAATCCTCCGGCCAGCGGAAGGGACGTCGGTTGAAGGAAAACGGACTTACTAAGTTCGAAGCACACTTTTGGTAGAGGCCATAGATATCCATATCTGCCTTTTCGAGCAGTTCTTTCCTCTGTAGGTTCTGGCTAATGACGACGGCGAGGAACTCGGGTCCAACCGGCCCCATACTCAGCATACCAGTCTCCGGGTCGGAAAGCGCCATGACCTTTTCGGCACGTGTCATAGAGGCCTGCGCAGATTGCCCAAGCTTCCCAAGTTGCATAAGCGCATGCCTCACCATTGGAGTTTCGTTTTCCTCCCTTAGGAAGACTGAGCAGTCGTGCCAAGCATGTATCTCGTCCTTGATAGCAACAAGAGATACTGCAGCTTGCAGGATGAATAGAACGCTGGTCTCAAAGCAACCCACCAAATCGTTCGGAAGTAGATTCCGTGAGATTTCCGAGTCAGGGTTGGCGGTAATCCCGTCGTAAAGCTTCTTGGCTCTTGCTTGCAAAAGCCTGAGATACGTAAGACAGATGCGGAGTAGATGCAGTTGCTGTTCGTTCGTAACCTCATCTCTTAGCTGTTGCTCGGAACATATCCAGGCAGCACATTCCATCTCTAAGGTTCCTGGAGGCAGAAGATGGGTAGTCGTCTGGAAATGATAGCGATCTAAGTGCGAATAAGCACCCTCAAACGATCGATAGCCGTGTGCGATTTGGCAACTACTACATGTTTTGAAACTCGACCGGGCTTCCACGGATTCAAATTCTTTCGGGGCACCCGTGCTTCGCGGTCGGATCATGTAGCTGCGTCGACGTGCTGGAGGCGACTCGTCGGAAGGTCGGTGTATACTCTATTCCTGATTAGCATCTGGGCATTCTTTGCTGGGTCGGAGTGGTTGATGTGGTGAAAACGAAGAATGAAAACAAGGAAGATGGTTCCATACCTTCCATCTCCTTAAAAATACTGGCACTGATGCTTGAAAAGGAAGATCTCATAATTGTGGTTCACAAGAGAGGTGAGGAAGTGACCAGGAAATCCATACGTACCAGCATCATCCGGTCTAGTGCTCCCCAAATTCTCTTCGAAACACCGTGATTATATTTCAGTGGAATGAAGAAGTTCACGAATTCCTTCACAGTTTTGCACAGATCATTGAGTGTCGATAGGACCTGCTCTTTCTGGGCTGCTAAAATGCTGTCTGTGATCGAAAACTCTGTCTCAGTCGGCTGCCGACCTTTCAGCGAACGGCGTGGTGAATCCTTTCGATTTTTCGTGTTTTGTCGGCTCAACGAATTCCGCCTCCCAGGAATGTCAATAGGTGAGTTAGGGGATAAAGCCACCTCATAGAATGGCATCTTCCTTCTCAACTCTTGCAGTGATACTTCGTTGACACCAGAAGCAAGGGATTCATTGCGTCGGGATACATTCTGCTCCACCTCTTCCAAAATGGCAAAGAGATGCTCGGAAGCCAAACGGCCAGCCGGCATACCTTCCTCTGTGTCGAAATCCGGACGCGCCCATGTTAGAAAAGGCGAATCCACCGATTCAGCTTGAAAGGGGTCATCCCGATGGGGCAGTGGCGCAATAAGAGTCGATAATCCTGAGCCAAAACCGCTAAGGTCGTGAAAAAACCGGAGAGCATCCTCGATTGCACGCTTGACACTCAGTATGGCCTCAGCCATAGTGGTATCTGCAGACGCTAAATCTTTCACCATTGCATCCCTGTATCCTAAATTGTCCCTAAAGAATTCATTGCCACTGTGATTCTCTAGCTCAACCATGGACATGAAAAGGCTTGCCATGAGAGAAGCATGATCTAGCTGAGCGATGACGTTGCTGAATCGCTGGTCGTTGACCACCTTTGGACGGTCTCGCGCTGTGAGGAGTCCTTTAAGAATATTCAGAAAGATTGTGAGATACTGCGCATTTTGCTCGGGCTCGATCTCTGTTAGGAGAGTCCTCATATGGCGTTCCTCTAAACCGGAGAAGGTGCCTAGAAGTGCCTTTCTAATCTCGGTACGAATAGCCTCCGTTGGAAGGCTAAGGGCATCCGATAGGCCGGAAGAGGGAGCGGTCTGCTCTCCCTGGATCTCTATTGAGGGTATGACGAGATGACGTACAATAGAATCACCCTCAGCCGCCGAGCCTGATGGATGTCCCAGTGTTAGGGGCTGCGGTTGGGTCGTGCCGTACGGATCTTTTGGTAGTGGGTGAGCGCAGTTGACGAAGGCCTTGAGCTTCGCGTGAGCGGCCCTAGCGTCCTGGGCGAATGCGGAATCTTTTGAGGGTAGCATCCCAATCGAAGAAGCGATGGATGCTCCTTGCACTGTTCGAAAGTCCGACTCGGAGCACGTCACAAGGTATTCTATTGAGAGTCAGTCAACCCTAACGTATTGCGCGTCATCAACTCACTGGATCCGATTATGACTACCCATAGTTGAGCAACATACAGAATAGCTCTAGAAGCCCGGGGAAGGTCTTTACAAAACGTAGGGGAGACGTCCTGACCGATCGTCGATTCGTAGGGGTACAAGGTCTGTAATATGGTCCGAATAGGGTATCCACGGCTCGCGCTGTTGAGTTTCTTACTTTTGTGGCGGAGGGTCAAGTAGGGAAAGCATAGGAAGGTCGCGGATAAATCGGTCTCATCGGGGCTCTTCGAGGTGGTGCCATCGGATCGCAACACGGTACCCGGTTCGATGTGAAATTCGCTTGCAAACTTAGCCCTACGCGAATCACGAAGGCGCTTGAAGAGCTGTAAGATGAGGTACTTGAGCTCCGGAACGAGTTTTGGAGCGTTCAGGGCCATGTCCTTAATTCAAGGGGATCAGCCAGAACTGAGTGTGCATGGAGAAGAGATTACCTCAAACTCGGCCAAGTCCATGTTGTCCCTTTGCATGTGCCTTGAATCCACAATAAGCAATCCATGTTGAGGTGCGGGCAAGGGCGGGGCTTTTAATGTCACTTACAACCATCGAAGCTGGGAGCAGTCCTCACTCACAAGGCCTTGTAACATTCTAGAACCGGAAAGTTTGACAGAATAATGACCATCGCCTTTTTTGAATCGTTGTGAGTGATGGACATCCTGGGCCACACTTTCCCCAAGATCACTATGAGAAATTACTGTCGGCCAGTTCTGTTGCATTGAGGCCGAAAAACGAGAGTGAAGCGTTGCATGAGTGCATCGTATCGGCACTGTGAAGCTGAGATATTCTACTTCGTCGTCATCCGTGTGACGATTAAGAGGCATGCTCGTGAGTCGATAGTCCGGCGAATTTGCGGTTAAAGGATGGTAGTAGGGAGCAAACCCTGATTGGGACCCGTGTGGCGGAAAAGAGTTTTGCGGAATTGGCGACAGTATGTTACGGTCCGCGTCGTATTTACGGAATCTTGCTGAAGTTGGTCGTGGCGTGGCAAGTGAAGGAGGTTCGTTTCTCGGGCTTCTTCTTTTGCTTCGTCCCCTCCTACGTGATGGACGCATCGAGTTTGGGGACCCTGCTCTCACAGGTTGAGTGCCGCTGTATGCTGGTTCCGCCTCAAAAGTGTCTTGTGCTTCCAGAGGAGCTTCTGAAGTCTCATGTTCTTCTCGCCTCTTCCTTCTCTTCTTCTTTTTCTGCTGCCCCTCTTCCACCTCCTGGTTTTGTGGTGAAGCCACCTCAAGTATACCCTTAAACGGCATTGATCCACCGTTGATTGATCGTGTCTGCGAAAAGCCTTCTTCTTCATCACGACCCTGTTCGGATGAGGCCGTTTCTAGCTCTTGCTTCTCTGCTGTCCTGAGAACTCTATCAATCGCGTTCAAAGCGCCTTCCTCCTCCAGCGCCCGCGCGCCACCTTCATACTCTAAGTTCTTCATGAGGAGCGATATTTAGGAAGAAGTACAGAAATGAGACGAGGCTGAGCGTGCGATTCCTCATTTTTTCAGTCACACGGCCTGCGGGGCGCTGACTGACAAATTGGGAAGTCGTGCTGTGCAAGTTGTACAGCCGTCGGCTGAGGAGCCAATGGGGAAGGGGAAGCCTTGACCGGTCCATTGTGAGCTGTCCCGACTTCGCTTATGCAGGTTCGGTGGCGTTGATGTATGTGCATGCGAGACATGCGAGGCATGAACCAAATTCGGCGGAGTGCTGAGTGATTGGAGAATGGCGAGGGATATGCTCCGTATCAAATTACGCTGAGGCACGTGAGTGGACCCCTCACTGCGGCGCTTAGTCCGGAGCAGTCGGCAGTGACTCAATCTCGAAGGAACAGGAACTCCTGAAATCAACAACACTGAAAGCTTAGCAAAGCATGTAATATCCTTTATGGCTTTCACGTATTTTCAATCGGGCCAAACACTTCTCAACTTCTACTTATCGATTGAATACTCCGCCCAGTCATTACTCGGAATTAAACACTCCCTGAGTTAACTGTGGCCATAATCTCCTTCAAAGCCCAAGACACCTTCGGGTCCTGAAGCAGATTTCGTTGAAGAGGCGTTAGGCTTATTCCGGTATGTCCATTGGCCTTCTATTCTTCCATAAACCATCTCAATATCCCATCTTCACACGCCTCTAAATCCGCATCTTGCATCCAAATCGCTTCATTGAGTCCCTCCCACCTACACTACAGTTAGCCATTCCCTAAATTAGGGAAACCTTCCGGAAACTGCCTCTGAGATAAGAATCCCTTTAAGATGCTTCTTACCGTACTGATATATCCCGTCTAATAACGCCTCAGCCATCACCATGTCCACCCCGACCCCCTCTCTCGACCACCTAATCCTCTTCCTCCCCGCCGGCCCTAACAACCTCCCCCTCATCCCGCCCTTCCTCAGCTCCAACTTCACCCTAACCCCCGGCGGAACCCACGCCGACGGCCTAACCTCCAACACCCTCATCCTCCTCGCAGACGGCTGCTACATCGAACTAATCTGCTTCCTCCCCTCCGCCGCACTCTCAAAGCTCCAGACGCACTGGTGGGGCCCCAACCCCGCGCGCAAAGGATGGACAGACTGGTGTCTCACCACCGCTGCCCCCGACTCTGCGGAAGCCAACCACGAGCGAGTACAAGCGACGCACGCGGCGCCGCTCCAAGGCGCCAGGAGACGTGCCGACGGTGTGGATGTCAAATGGGCCGTGACCTTCCCCGCGGGCGCGAACGGCGGCCAGGAAGTACGCGGCAAACTGCCCTTCTTCTGCCACGACATCACGCCGCGCGAGCTGCGCGTCCCGCTCTCCGCATCCAACACCACGCATCTCTGCGGCGCGCGAGGAGTGCGCGAAATCAGCGTCGTTCTGCCTTCCCGGGAGACGCTTGAGGAGACGCGGGCGCTGTACGCCTCGCTCTTTGACGAGCGCCCAGGCGCCGAAGGCGACGAGGAGTTTTCTTTCTCGGTGGGTAGAGTGAAGAGTGTAGAGGGTCTGGAGGAGGGGGCTGGCATCGTACTGCGGCTGCCGAGGAATGAGGAAGAGAGGGAGAAGGTTAGGGAGAGGGGGGTCTGTGTCTGTGATGTGGTGCTTGCTGCAAGGGCTGGGGAGGGGAGAGAGCGCGGGAAGAGATGGCGACTTGATGGAGAGGGAGAGGATGATGTTGGGGGGTTGTGGGTCGAATATGTATGAGATTCTGGCGTATGTAAATGTGTGGAAGACCTCGTCCGTTCAATGGCTGATAGGATGTATGTTTGGCAGTTCTGATACGTTGACCACGAGCTCTGAGAAGATGAGGATAATATGTTCCGGGTCGTTAGGCTAGCAGGGTCGAAGGGCGGTATTCGAGTATTCTAGCTCAACGACCCTTCGTCGAGCATCAAGCCCATGCACTGAAAGTCTCTTTTGTATCTATACGCCCTGCTCCCTAGGTAACACTTAAGAACCGACCAAAAATCACATATCATGTCCTGCCCCGAACTCCAAGTTCAAACCGGCTCATGCACCCTCCGCAGCATCAGGCGTATTCTTGATCTCCCCAATCACGTTCTTCAAAATCTCTGGCATAATCTGCGCCGCATCGCCCTCAAAGAACCAATCGCCCTTGCGAAGGCCACCCGCCGGCACGTCGTTCGAATCCATGTTGATGATGGCTACCTTAGCTCCTTTGACCCTTGCTCGATCCACGTACCCCGCCGCCGGATACACCTTCGCGCTCGTCCCAATGACCATGATCAAATCGATCTTCTTGTTCTTAGTCATCCAGTTATCGATGTCCTCGATCACATTCGTGGGAAGCATCTCGCCAAACCACACTACGCCCGGCCGCAGCAGTCCACGCTTGCACTTGGGGCACTTGGGCAAATGGCGGTAGTCGAGCTCTGGTAGGGAGACGTTCTCGTTCGAGATATCGAGTTCGCGCCGCTGCAGAGCGTCGGAGGTGGTGGGATCTGATTCGTCGGTAGGAATCGCGAGCGCGGGGACGATGGGATCTGTGTAGTTGTTCGATTCGGTGTAGTTGCAGAAGAAGTCTGAGCATTTGACGTCGAAGAGGGAGCCGTGCAGGAGCTTGAGCTTATCCTCTGGATGTTTGGCCCGCGGGGAGAGACCTGTTGTGGACATCAGTCTTAGCTGTGTTGCTTATGGCGGGGCATAAAGGTAGTGGAGGGCGAATTGCATACCGTCGACGTTCTGGCTCAAGGTCATGAAGTCTTCTTTCTTCCTAGCCAGCTCCGCAAGAGCATAGTGTGCAGGATTGGGTTTGGCTTTAAGCGCCATATGCCGCCTGTAGTTGTAGAACTGCCATACGAGCCCGGGATCCCGCGCGAAAGCTTCCGGTGTTGCTAATTGCATAGCATCGTGTGTTCTCCACAGTCCTCCAGCTCCCCTAAATGTCGGTAATCCGGAAGATGCGGAGAGGCCTGCGCCTAGTAAGGCGAGTATCCGCGTCGACTTGCTCAAGTGTGCTTGAAAGGATTCGAGATCCTCTTGCGGGACCCCGCTAGGTCGGGCGGCCGTAGAGGCCATCCTGCGCACGAGGAGCCTGAATGACACGGTGGCGGTAGTGCAGATGGGTTCGAACAGAAAGAGAGGTGTGAAAGGAGAGGGCCTGTCATGTATGCGCTTTTCTAGGCAGAAATCGGGGTTAAAGTGGAGGTGAGATGGCCCAAATGCAGCTGCAGTGCCACGAGCTACGTCAGGGGTGCAGCTGCGCTAGGGTTATCGATAGCGGATGTGGATAATCTTTCCGCGCATTGGGTGAGAGCTTGCATCTTTTATTCTTTCGACTTTTGTTTTAGTATGAGCTCTTCTTTTCGAATATTCAGGCCCCTGACGTGGTCGAGATGGCGCGGCACTCTTTTCTCGTATTCCAGAAGGTCATTGACCGTCTCCGCGGCCGAACTGAGGTTCGGACAACCGCTCCATGAGACGCATCCGCATCTGCTGGAAGCTGGAGAAGGTACGACCAATTGCTACATTATGGCGTATAATAGCTCCCACTGACACGAATACATAGTAACTCCTGGCATAACCGCCCAAGAATACTACGACCGCCGCGTCAACCTCGCAAAAGCGCTCCCTCGAAACTCCATAGCCGTACTTGCTGCTTCCGATGTGAAGTTCCGCTCCGGAGCTGTATTCTACAAGTTCCACCAAGACCCCGACTTCTTCTACTTGACCGGTACATAGGATATTGCATTGGGGGCGTTTGGATAGAAAGCTGAAAGCAAATAGGGTTCAACGAGCCAGATGCTCTTGCAATAATAGGTACCGTCTACTTTCGCGAACGTCGAGGCCAGGGGGTTAATGGAGTCCAGAAAAGATCGACGATGACGAACACAACTTCCACCTCTATGTGCGCCCCAAAGACCCAAAAGCCGAGCTCTGGGAAGGCGCACGCTCCGGCGTCCAAGCAGCCGAGGATGTCTTCAACGCGGACACCGCGGACGACGTAAACCAGCTGCCCAAGATACTTCCGGAAGTAGTAAAGAGAGCGAAAGAAATATACACAGATCTACCAAACGACAGAATAACAAAGAACCTCCTGTCTCGATACCTGTCAGGCACCGAACCCGCACGAACCGGCGGCATAGCGAACCTCTTCCGCGACGCGAAAGCAACCGTGAAGCCGTTACGACCACTCTTAAACGAGCTACGCCTGATCAAGAGCGACGCCGAAATACGCTGCATGCGCAAAGCAGGCCAGCACTCTGGCCGCGCCTTCACAGACGCCATGCGCCAAACCTTCGCCTGCGAAAAGGACCTCGACTCCTTCCTCGACTACTGGTTCAAGCAAGACGGCTGCGATGGCCCCGCCTACGTCCCCGTCATCGCAGGCGGTAGCAACGCAAACACGATCCACTACGTGACGAACGACATGCTGCTCAAACCCGACGACCTCGTTCTCGTCGACGCCGGCGCGGAGTACGGCGGCTATATAACGGACATCTCGCGCACGTGGCCCGTGGCGGGGAAGTTCAACCAACCGCAGAAGGATCTGTATAACACGCTGCTGAAAGTGCAGCGGAGCTGCGTCTCGCTTTGTCACGAGGGGTCTAAGCTTAGCCTGGATAAGCTGCACAAGATTGCTTCGCACACGCTTGCGGACGGGCTCAAGGATCTCGGCTTTGATATGTCGAGGGACGCGATAGAGGTTCTCTTCCCGCATCACGTGGGGCACTACATCGGCCTGGATGTGCACGACAGCCCTGGTCTGCCGCGGAATAGGCCGTTTGAGAAGGGCATGTGTGTCACGGTGGAGCCGGGCATATACGTTCCGGATAACGAGAGATGGCCCGCCTGGGCGAGAGGTATCGGGATGCGGATAGAGGACAGCGTGTGCATTGATGAGGATAGCCCGTACGTGTTGACGACCGAGGCAGTAAAGGAGGTGAGTGATATGCAGTGGGGGGTTGGAGGACAGGAAGGTAGCTAACTGTGCTCTAGGTGGACGATATTGAAGCCCTTAGAGGCACCGAGAGCAAGCTCAGCTGATTGTGCACGCTTGTATGCTGTATTTACTCTGTACCGTATATTCGACACCTGTAAAATACTTCGTGGTCCAGAGAACGGTCACCCAGTCCATGTTCGATTCACTTCACATTTAGACTTCACACTGCATTTGATGGGACAAGCATGAGATCGCTGAGTTTCCTGAATCCATTGATTCTTCTACCAGCCGAGGTTGGGTATCCCCCATTCCCATAACACGCTCAAGGTCCATCATCCCGCCAAGTCCCTCCTTTCTCTCCACATTTCACGCAGATGCAGCAGGGTTGGCAGCCCTTGGATGAAGGATAGAATGCAGAGGGTGGCTTACCATATGACAAATAACATGATCCGGTGATCGAGAGAAAGCCGAAAAAGCTTAGGGTATCGAGCGCCGATACTGTTCGAGCGGTTCAAGATTAGCGGAAAGGGCTCGTCGGGTGGACTCGAGTGTGGATACCATACCGATGCAAAGCCATAAACGCCGGACGCATGCAAATCGTGCAATCGAAAGAGTCGTTCACTCGTGAGTGCAGTAGTCAATCTTACTCAGATGACAACTCGCTCAGAAGCGATGGCGGGTGAAGCTCTTCTTGGCGAGCCTTTGACGCTCTTCCTCGTCCGCCTCTGCGTCGGCCTTGTTGTTGTAGCGCATGCGCTTGTGGGTCTCGGTCATGCCGGCACCAGAGCCGGTGAAGCCAACTATTAGATGTTAGCGGATACTCAGGAATCGATACGTGGACCGAGGGGGGCATCACCTCTGCTGTTCACAGTGGTGCCAGTGCGGAACATAGACTCCTTCTGAGAAAGTTTCTTGCCGACGCCCTTGCTGTTCCAGTTCTTCCAGTTACTGACGCCCTTCTCCAGCTGCTTCTTGTTGGGAATCTTGCGCTTCTTCATGTCGCCATTCTCCGTCGGAAGCTCTATCTTTGCCGCTTGCGCGTTGGGGTTGACGCTGGCGGGACCAGAGATAACGTGCGGCGTGGAGGTAACGGCTGCCGTCTGGGGTGCCGGAACAGCTGCAGGCGCTGGGGCTGCCTCAGGCTCTCGCTTTCTCTTGCTCTGGAGCGGGCGAATCCGATCACGGTCGAGGGTCATGGTATCGTCGTATTCGAGAAAGCGGACATGGTACTTAGGATTCGAGGCAGATCCAAGAATGGTCTGGATTTTAGCTTTGTACCAAGCTTTGTCGGTCCATTGCGCCTCACAGGTATCGCCAGCGTTGAACACGACAGGCTGGGCTGGCTCGGGCTTCTCCAATGTCTTCTTCAGAAGCGGGTGCTTCTCGGGGTCGAACTTGGGCGCCGCAGGCTCGGGTTCTTGTGGGAGCTTAGCTTGGAGCGCGGCGAGCTGCTCGAGGAGGGGCTTGAGTGTGGCATCAGCCGCTGCTAAGCCAGCCTCAAGTTCCGGCAAGAGGACCCGGACTTCTTGGTTATTGGGTTGTGCTTCGATGATTGCCTGGAGCTTGTCGTACTGCAACCGCAAGTCAGCCTCCCGCACAGCAGTGTGAAGGCAAAACGTACCTGGTCCTGCCACCCAGCGCGCTCCGCCTCGGCGCTCTTGACGGCTTGCTTGACTTGCCATATCTCCCGCTTCGTCGCCTTGATGTCGTCTGCCATTTCGACTGTCTCGGCGGTGTGTTGGTACTGCGAGGCGGGGTGAAGGCGTGGAGTCGTCGGGAGGAAGTTGCGAGCGCGATCGTTTTGGCGCGGCAATGACGCTAAACAAGTGGTCCGTGCGAAGCGTGACTAAGATGTCTTGGCGCGGCATGTTGCGAACTGCCCAGGCGCCTCACATCTCTGTGTGCTCGTTCTTTCGATGCGGACTCAGGTCTATTTTCGGCTTACTGATACGACCGTCTTTGATTGGATCCGACTATAGGAGTAAGTATGGCCAAATTGATTTGAAGCCTATTGTCATCTGAGGCTATCTATGCGGCTCTCTGGCTCTCGAGGCGGTACTGGGCGTTCGATCTTTGAAGCTCAAGGATCGCATCCATTGTGTAGCACTAGAAGCAACTGCTCGTCATGACTTGCACCAAATGGCGCCTCCGGTAATGCCTAAAGGGTCGCTTTCCTCGGATTGCGCTGCCGTCAACCAACCTGTCTTAACAGCGGTAGCACCATTCCCCCGTGCCACTACCACGCAGACATCCCCCACGTTCCCCTTTGTTTCAGCTAGCCCAACGGTCTCTGCACCACGAGACCTTCCACTACGCTATATTCAACAGGTGCCTGGCAGGAACGCCCTTGATCTGCTTCGAGACGGTGTCTTCTTCGACGGCGTTCGTCCGTGTTCCTGTCTTACCCCGCCATGCCTGATTCGGCCCTATTCGCTGCCCTAAAGCATCTTGATTGATAAGCGAACGAAGACTCACATCACTGCATTGCAGTGCGGCTTTCTCACTCCTGCGCCCTCTCACACGCTGCTAAAGTTGCCCTAAACCCGACCTATCAGTGCGATCTACCTCCTGGCCTGGCCGACACTCGCTGCTTTTGCGCGCTGGTTGCGGCTTTGACTCTTCCTCCAGTCTGACAAGGTCACCTGTCTGGGCCCGGACAAGCCAGGCTACGTATTGTGGATTTTGCGCTCGCCCCTCGCCATTCCTCCTACACACTTTTTGCCTGACACTGGAGACCGGTCGTCCAAGCCGAAGAAAGCGGTCTCGATTGAGCGCTGGGTGTGCGCAGTCTCGCCCGGACGACGGAAAGCTATCGCTCGGCTCTATCGCCTCAAACCGCCAACCCGGAGCCGTCCGCTTCGATCCGACTCGAACGTTACCAGACAGGAACCGCAGTCCGCTCATCGTCATACCTACACTGTACCGCTGCTCAGTTCCTGGACGCTCGCTCCCCACACGCTGCGTCGGGGTGGCGAAAATAGCTGGCAGGCCTCGAGTTAATCAAGACTAATCCTGAAGCCCCTCATCACCATTACGGTGCCTTGCACACATCCTCAGCAACCTACCCCCAATCTTCAATTTCGCCGCGGCCTCGGCAAGAATTGGGCGCTTTTGCAGTTCCCGTCGTTTGCGATCCGGCTTTGAACCCCGCACCGACTCCGCGATGGCTGGAACGTCGACGAACGACTTCCAGAATGGAGCGCCATTCTACCTCGACCCCAATCAGCAGGATCTACTCCTGGCTGCTCTCGCTTCGAACAACCAGAACCCTAATGATCTCTTCTCATCGGGGATAGACAGCAAGCGGCCGATGAATGGCTCGCAGTTCCAGTTTCCTGTCGATAACCTCGATCCGACCTTCTTCGCCTCTCCGCAGCAAGGCACCCCAGCATCTGCGTTCAACAACGTTGGCATAGACGAGAGCCCTTATGCCGACTACCTCGACGGTGATGGGAGCTTCGACTTCGATAATGCGGATAGCGGCGATCTCATGATCGGCGCGCTCCCTGGGGACAACGCTTCCAACGAGACTTCTGAGAAGCGCAAGAGCCCTGGCGATGATGATACCGAAGAGGCTGAAGGTGGAAACAAGCGGAGAGAGGGGGAAGATAAGCAAGCAAAGAAGCCTGGCAGAAAGCCGCTGACCTCAGAGCCCACGACCGTATGTCAGCCTCCTAGGTCTGCAGTGTCGATACTAACAAATCATTCAGAAACGGAAAGCTCAGAACCGTGCCGCGCAACGGGCGTTTAGAGAGCGGAAGGAGAAGCATCTCAAGGACCTCGAGACCAAGGTGGCCGAGCTTGAGAAAGCCTCTGACGCAGCAAACCACGAGAACGGACTTCTCCGTGCTCAGGTCCAACGACTGCAGATGGAGCTACGTGAGTACCGGAAACGCCTTTCTCTGAACAGCACTGGTAGCATGAATCGCTCCCCTCCGATGGTTGGAGGCTTCAGCTCGCTTTTAAGCAACAACGGATCAAAGACGAGTAGTTTCCAATTTGAATTCCCACGCTTTGGTGGACTTCCCGGCGCCCACATCCTTGACAGCGGACCGCTGTCTAAGAACAAGACTTCATCAATATCGTCGACGGTGCCTGCACGGCAGAACAGCAGCGGCAGGAGTCTCAGCCCGAGGAGTCAAGCCAACGGCTCAATGGCCAATTCTCCGGAAAAGAGTGGCGCCAGCCCTGCAGCCAACGCAGCACAGCGTTCTGGCAGCGTGAATGGTTTCTTCAATCTCAATAACACCAGTAACACCGACACGTCCACCACACAATCGCGTGTGTTCCAGTTCAACAGTGGCTCGTCTTCGCACTCTGACTCGCCCTCCGCTTCGTCGAATTCGGTGGGTGGGCAGAACTCGTCGTGCGATACGTCGCCCGAACCGAGCCATAACTCCCCGAAGAATATGGATACTATCGCGGATGGCTATGTGTGTCATGGAAATTCGGAAGGTGAGATTACCTTCTGCGAAAAGCTTAATATGGCCTGCGGGAACCCTCGCAACCCTATCCCCCGCGCCAAGTCACACTCTGACGCGAAACCGTCTCCTGCAGCTCCCGCGAAAACTCCGAATCCCGACTTGAACGGCATCGACTTCTTCGCCAACCAGAACGGGGGCCAGTTCGATCCGACCCTCTTTGGCGATTACCGCGAGTCACAAAATGCGATCGTCGGCGATGGCGACTTCACCAACGGCTTCTTCAACGATGCCTTCCCGGTCGGCGACTATGGAAGTCCGTTCCACTTCGGTGATACGCCAGCAGTGCAGAAGCCGAATCCCTTGGAAGAGATCGAGCGTCTACAGGACGGGGACGACGAAGTTGTTCCGGGCGAGGACACGACGCAGATGCTCAACTGCCATAAGATATGGTCAGTACATTGCATACCTAATAGAGCTGTTATGCTGACTATCATCAGGGACAAGCTGTCGAGTCGGCCTGACTTCAAGGATGGCACCATCGATATCGACAACCTCTGCTCGGAGCTCCGTGCGAAGGCTCGCTGTTCCGAGAGCGGAGTCGTGGTGGACCACAAGGACGTCGAGGCGGCGCTTAAACGCCTGCCGAAGGACCAGATGTAATTCCTTGGCCTGACTGTATGACTGCATCGGACACCGGATCAGGCGTATTGGTATATCTGCAAGGTCTGCTCATCCTCGAAGGAAGCGCGGCATGTCCACGTTTCGACTCTCATTACTGAGCCGGAAAACATCCCAATGTAACTGGCGTCAAATGCTGGCGCTCGGCCAACTCCTCTTGTTTTGAGTCACTCGTTGGGTCGGTTTGGATGCCCCTATGTTGATGTTATGACTATTTGAGTCGTGGTGTGCTCTTTGGCGTTTTTTCGAGGAGGGAGGGATGGAAAGAAGCCCGGATCGAGCCCACCAGAGGCCACGGCTGGTGAAATGATGAATATGAGCACATCCCGCTCCTAGCTTTTAGTGAAATGTTTTGAGTTACTTCGGCTCCGCTCCGCGCTCTTGTTTTGTAATTGTACGACGGTTGAAGTTGCACTTCCAACTTCCGCACGTAGTGTCGTACCTTTGAGTCGGCGGCACTTGCTACTACTGCGCGCTGTCTTCCCGCACAGCACACCGATTAACTGCCTCTCGCCCTCTTCGTGACTCTCATTCTCGCAACGTTTCCAGCATGGGATATAGGGTAAGGTTGTGATTGGATTCTCTGCCGAATGGGCGAAGCACGGGGCTCAGCGAATGGGATGATCGGGGAGCGGGTGGCACTTCCGCGAAGCTTGACCTCGTATCTTTATCTCGACCTGCGTGGTCTTCACCCCTTACATCTACATATCCACTATGACATGACGCAGCTGCGCCCCGTCCTCCCCAATTCTTCCCCGTGCGGCAGACTGAGATGCTTGCACCGTGGCGCCGCTTCCTTCGCGGCGACAACATGATGACTACCGGTCCAGGCGTGTCGCGCAGCACCGGATCCGACTTCAGGCGATGGACGCGCATACTTTACATCGCTCTGCCTTTACTCGCGGTCCTTAATTACCTCATAATCTTCCAATGGACCTTCTTCGAATCGCTCTCCACGAAAATATTCCCCTCGGATTCCTTCCACCCCCCGCCGTTCCAGCCCTCTCCGCACGGTCTCGAGTCGCAGGATAATGAGGGCCCGGATTATTGGACATGGGACACACCGACAAGATTCAAGGCATTGGAGAAGGGGGAAGGGGAGGTGGATTGGTGCGAGTCGTTTCCGGCGTACCTCTTTCACAAGATTCAAGTGGTGCTGAAGGTGGGGGCTGCGGACGATCCTAAGAGGACGGAATCGCAGCTTGCCAGCGTGATACGGTGTATACCCAACGTCCTCATTATGTCCGACAATAACCATACATATGGCGAGAACCACGAAGCGATTGATATCCTGGCGTCCCTACCGGCAGAAACGTACATGAAGGAGGAGGACTATGCTGTCTACAAGAGTCAAAAGAATACAAGCCTGGAAGACCTAAAGCAAGGACACGATGGCTGGAAGATTGACAAGTACAAGTTCCTCGCCGAAGTCGAATACGCCGTCGATAATGTCCCTGACGCGGAGTGGTTCGTGTTCTTCGAAAGCGATACCTACATCGTCTGGGACAACGTCTTCCGCCTGCTAGAAAACTACGATCACACGCTCCCCTACTACTTCGGTTCTCCTTCCCCGGGCCGCAGGATCCCCGACTCCGAAGACAAGATCTGGTTCGCATACGGCGGGTGTGGCTTCATTTTATCCAACGCAGCAGCGCACCGCTTCGTGGACCGCAAGCGCAACGCGGTCGGCGTCAAGGGGCCGCGTGTTACGGACGAATACAAGGAGGATATACAGAATGACTGCTGCGGGGATAGTATGCTGGGTTGGGCATTGCATGATAAAGGAGGCGTTGATATCAGCGGACTTTGGCCTATGTTCAACCCGCATAGTCTGAGCGGCGTGCCATTCGGAAAGCTGTATTGGTGCGAGCCGGTGATCAGTTTACACAAGACGGCTCCAGAGCAGATGAAGAAGCTGTGGGAGTGGGAGATGCAGAGAGATAGAAGCAAGGTAGGTGCTCAAGCCTCCAACATGCACTAGAATGGTCGCCCTAATTAATATCGACAACAGCGCCCACTCCTCTACGCCGACCTCCTGCACTACCACGGACTTGGCTCCTTTACCCGGCACCTCGACTGGGACGCCGCTGACTGGGACGGTTTCCAGGAACCCGACTCGCACCCCGCGCACACCGATCTCCTTGCCTGCGAACAGGCGTGCAAGGAGAACGAGCAATGCTACCAGTGGACGTGGCATGGGCACCGTTGCTACATGGCGAGATCCATACGTATGGGTCATCCCAAAGATGCCGACGGTGAACATGAAGCATCTGTAGATAGGCTGTATACGAGTGGATGGGACACGGAGAAGATTCAGAGGTGGATTGAGGAACATCCGTGTGAGGAAGGGCCGCATTGGGTTAAGCCGAGCATCAAGAGGAAGTTCTGAATAGGGATCGGAAAAGAGAAGAGAAGCGAACGGCGTTTGGATACTGGGGAATTGGAAAATGGGCTTTGGGTGACGGCATTCATGAGGTGGTTTTGGTACGATACCCATGTGCGACGTGTGAGAGGCAGTGCTGTAAGACGGGGAAGGAAGGATACAGATCTTCTCTGGTGGTACTATGTATTAATGATATTCGTAATCGCCGTAATATCAAACAATGGCTCTGCATTCTGAGGGCGTTGTGAAGGCTGAGCGAGAGCTAACGCAGGCCGCGGAGCTTGGTCTGCCCCGCCAATCAGGGCACTGACCACACCTCGCCCTTTGAGCTCCAGCCTTATCCACGTCTCCCGCCCGCATGCCAACCTTAGCCATGCGCCTGAAGACATGAAGCGAGTATTCAAGGCATGCCGGAGTTCATTCTCGCGAATATCATACCGGTGAATGCGCCTTCACAATGGAGGCAGATTGGGACGAGGTAACGCCTCTCCAGCTTTCGCACCCCTCGCCCTAGCGCTCGTCGCAGCTCGAGGGTCCAGCTATACAGGACCAGGACAAGAAACTGAGAACAGAATAGGTTGCGATTATCCAGCTGCCTCCGCCAGGCCCGCATCATCCTGCCACGCCAGTAGCTACTTTCGCTTTCGACACGTTACAGGAACTTCTATGGACTGGCAACGACTATGTGAGTATGTTCGGGCCTGCCGCGTTGGATGCTCTCCAGGCTGACTCTCACACAAGGGACGTGTGACGTCGTTCTACGGACCCGGCCTCGAACGCTATACCTCGTACCGCGGCCATGCTGCCGCTGAAGGCGCCGTCAAGCAGCTGCTGTTCACCGACAAGGGCATACTCTCCGTTTCCAAGCAGAGCGTGCACTACTCCCTACGCCGGGGGATCACACAATGGCATTTGACGTATGTGGGCGCGCGATGAATACCCTGTGGGAATGAGGACTCTGGTTGCTGATTGTGAGCTGCTAGGAGCAACGAGTTCAAGGAACTCAGATGCGTGAACTTCACGTCAAAGGGAACGCGAGAAATCCTGGTCGCAGGATGTCAGGAGAAAATGTTCAAGGTCGATGTGGAGAAGGGCGCTATCACAGAAACCGTGAGCCTCCCTGGCTGCGCCAACAGCGTGCTTTGCTGACTCCACGCAGCTCGTTGCTGACGCTCAATACACCATAATGAAGCGAGCAGGGCAGTATCTATGCGCGGCAACCAAGACGGGGGGCATACACATCTTAGACTCTGGCTCCCTCTCAGTCATCAAGGTATTCGATGGGCACACAGGTAGCATCAGCGACATGGACGCGAAAGGCGACTTCCTGGCAACATGCGGCTGGTCTCCAAGACAGCAGTTTGGCTTCATGCTCGATCCGTTCACTAACGTCTTCTCTTTGAAGACATTGAAGCAACTACCCCCGATACCATTCCACACAGGTGCCGCGTTTGTACGGATGCATCCGCGCATGTCGACTACCGCGATGATTGCCTCGCAAAACGGCCAGATGCAGGTCATCGATCTCATGAATCCCGATTCGGCGAACTTGCGACAGATCAATCTTTATGACTCGTATTTGACGGGCTTTGAAATGGCGCCTTCTGGAGAGGCTTTTGCTTTGGCTGACTCCACCTGCCATATTCATCTTTGGGGATCGCCCGCGAAGATCCACTTCCCGGAATACAGTAATCCGACAGAATTCGCAGATCCTTCTATACCACCTCCAACTATGGACTGGTCGCTTGATACGCCTTTAAGCACAGTCGGGATGCCGTTCTACAAGGAGCATCTCCTCTCCAGCTGGCCAAGCCACATGATCTTCGAAGTTGGCGCTCCCCCTCCAAAAATTGACACTGCTATCCTAAACAACATGGCCCGAACGGAGGTTGGCTTCTTCGCCAAGAACCCCAGGACAAAGCGCAGGTATCAGGTCGAAGACACGCGGCAAACGGATAGAGCGAACGATTCCTTGACTGCGCCGAAGTTCTTGAGCGAAAAGGCACGGGCCGCGCACTCGCTGAGTGAGAGTGATTCGAAGACGGTGGAAACTATGGAAACATTGACCGATATGCATCTTGACGATGTGACAAGGAAGGATGTACCTGCCATGTATGGAAACGTGGAGATTAAGTACAGCAAATTTGGGGTTGACGATTTCGACTTCGCGTATGGGACCCGTTCTTCCTACATGAAATCCTTGCTGACCTGCATTAGGTACTACAACCAAACTCCATACTCTGGCTTGGAGACACACATCTCAAACTCATACGCAAACCCTCTGCTCCAGCTATTGCGCTTTACCCCTATGGTCCGCAACCTTGCGCTGCGACACACGGCTTCGCCTTGTTTGTTTGAATCCTGCCTCCTTTGCGAGTTGGGCTTCCTTATCGACATGCTTGAGAAGGCTGCCGGCCTGAATTGCCAGGCGTCCAACTTCTTGAAGACTTTCAGCGGCCTATCGAACGCAGTATCGCTGAATTTGCTAGAGGAATTTGCGCCTAACGTTGCTCTCACCTCTATGATTCAATCTTTCAACCGCTTTCTGCTCGACAAAATCTCCGAGGAATTCCGTCAAATGCTACCAAGTCATAGCAGCCCGTCGGTGATGGATCAGGTGCTGGAGACACAAGCTCGAGCTAGCATGAGGTGTGCGCAGTGTGCCAACGAGACTATTAGGGGTGGCAGGACTTTCGTTAACGAGCTTGTGTACCCTGCGAAGCATGTCATGAAGAATTCGCGAGGGCCCCGGCCGACCTTCTCGCAGATCCTCAAAGCTAGCGTGGAACGCCAGGATCAGACGAGGGGCTGGTGTAACAAATGCAACCGCTACCAGCAGATGGTACAGAGAAAGACTATCCAATCGATACCCGGGGTTATCATGCTCAACGCAGCTATTCAGAGCCATGAGGCAAAATTACTGTGGTCGATACCGAACTGGCTCCCTCAAGAGATCGGTATTATCGTTGATCAGGGTCAGTTCTACTGCTTCGAGGGACAAGACCTCAAGCTTCACCTCCAGCGCGGCGTCTTCGACATCATGGTGTATGAGTTGGTCGGTATCGTTGCCGACATCAACAGCGGTGAGCACCAGAAGCCGCATCTTGTGGCTACCATCAACACAGCGCCCTCCTCTCGAACCGAGAACAGCGAGGATAAATGGCACCTCTTCAATGACTTCTTGGTCCGACCGATACCAAAGGAAGAGGCGTTGCGTTTTGAGCCGAGTTGGAAACTGCCCTCCGTGCTCACATTTGAGCTGAAGGCTGCGAGACACAAGATCGATGATAGTTGGAAAGACAACCTAGACACATCAATCTTGTACCGGTGGTGGTCATCCAATCCCCCCCCACCAGAGGAAAAGTTCAAGTTGCTGGACCCCTCCGCAGAAGCGCCGCGCCCTGGATGCCCGGTTGCTATCGACGCGGAATTCATCCGTCTCCAAGCAGAAGAAATCGAAATGAAAGCCGATGGCACACGCGAAACCATTCGCCCCGACCGGAAAGGTCTCGCCCGAGTCTCAGTCTGCCGCGGCGCTGGCGAGCACGCCGGACTCCCCTTCATCGACGACTACATAGCCGTCACCGAGCATGTCGTCGACTACCTCACCGCCTGGTCCGGTATCTCCCCCGGCGACCTCAACCGCGAAACATCGCCGCACGCACTCGTCAGCCTCAAGCACGCCTACAAGAAACTCTGGCTCCTCCTGAACCTTGGCTGCATCTTCGTCGGGCACTCCCTCGCCAACGACTTCCGCACCATCAACATCCACGTGCCCAAAAAGCAAGTCGTCGACACCGTCGACCTCTTCTTCAAGCCATCCCTCCACCGCAAACTCAACCTCAAGTTCTTAGCGTGGTGTGTCTTAAAAGAGAAGATCCAGGAGGATACACATGATAGTATCGAAGACGCAACGACGGCGCTGAAGCTGTGGAGGAAGTATGAGGAGTTTGTAGATGCGGGGGTGTTGGAGCAGATGCTGAATGATATCTATGCGACGGGCAGCCAGGTTAAGTTTCGGGCGCCTGGAAGTGGAGGGAATGGGAAGGAGAAGATGGCGAGCGCGACGGGGAGGGATACGCCAGAGCCCGGGAGCGCGGAGAGGTCGGGTGCGCAGGGGCAGCTGGGCACGCCTAAGAAGGCGAATGTGTTTGGTAGGGTGGGGTTTAGGAGCCCGATGAAGTGAGGAGAGGCGGTGGCCGCGGCGTTGGTAGAAGGGGCATATGGATGGATATCTGGGATATGTGCTAGGTTGCTCGCTTTATGGCTGCTTGTGCGAGTCTAGGTGCTTACATGATAAGGATAACTGAATGAGAATACTTTCGATTTGTAGTCCTCCATTTTCTATTATTTGGTGATGATGGTCACCATGCCGAACCAGTCTCCCCGTCGAACGCCCGTTATCCGATTTGCAAATAGCACAAGAATCGTCTATATAAACCCATCTTTTCCCCGCCCACTTCCTTCTTCTCTACACCACAGGACAGCACAGCACGGCACTTATAGGCGATACTAAAAGGCTCATCGCCTACAGGAATGTGCTTGCCGCTGTCTAAAAACCTTCATCTAGCACTTCAATGTTGTGTGCTTGCAGCGTCCCCGACGGCGGTAAATAACACTTCATCCTATATTTTTTCGATACGCGCCTCATTTTCCTTTTGTTTGGTGATGATAGTCTATGCGCCGAGTCAGTCAGTTAAACGGTCTGTGCTACAGAATTAACGACGTCTATATATACCCGTCTTTCCTCCCCGCTGACCTTTTTCTACATCACAGCACAGCGCGGCACTTCGGTATGATCCTAAAAGGATTAGGAGGAACCCGTGATGTGCTTGCCGCCCTGTCTAAAAACGATTCCAGAACAGATACATGCGGTGGGTTGGAGCGTACGCGAAGGCGCACAATAAACTCCTGCGCCTCTGAGCACCAATGGCTGCTAGATGCTTTTTCCAAATAAGTTCATTCATGTCTTGTGCGCATGTGCGTCTTCATACGAGATCCCGATAAGTGATGCGCTAGCCTCAGGCATATCAATGCTAACCGGAGAAGAGAAAAGCCATTAAAGGGAATCGGTATGGTTTGAAAATTACCCCGCTCGCCAGCTCATTGCCGTTTGTGCTCGCTGGTTTTAGAACACAGTCAGGCACAGACGGACGCAGGTCTTCCGGCCATGAATGTAGAAGTCGTTTGCTTTTTTTCCCCCATGATATTGCCAGTTTCTGTCTTTTAGTTAGACTTCGAATGCGAAGTTGTGGCGTGTGGGAAGGGGTGGAAGAGGAGGGGATGGGTTTATATAGAAATCGGAGTGAGGGTCACGTAAGTTGGATGAGTGAGGAGTGTAAGTAAGTTGTGTGAGGACAGCGATGGGGAGAAGCAGGGTAGGAGTGCATGGCTGTCGCTTGGGATGGGAGGTGGAGAGGAAACGGAAGGGTATAAAAGCCCGATCTGCTCGTGTGGCTGCTCTTCTTTTACGCACTCTACAGGGGGAGGGTTGGTCTAAAAACGACTGTACCATCGGGCCATGGGCTGTGGGTCTCTAAAAACAGCAGGAGTTCATAGCACGGGAGATGTTGGGCTGGTCGGTTGGACTAGTAAAAAGCAGCCAAACTTATGACAACTCCAAACCATGAGGCCGCCCGTTCGTTCGTTGGAGGAAAAGCCCAAGGAAGTCACGGCCGGTGCGTGGCGTTGCGGAGTCGTGGTGTCGCAGTATACTAAGAGCGCCCGGGGTAGGCAGCGAGGAATCCAGAGCCGATTGCATTGCACTATTTTCAGGAGCAAAAGGTGAACACCGAGTGCTTTCTGTAAGTATTGCCCATATATATCCAGTAACAACTATAGATGGATGGAGGGTGAGGCTCTCGACCTAGTGGTTATCATCACCACTCGGCGAGGTGATTAGTTAGATTAGTGAGAATCGAGCATATGAAGTTTCCCCGCCAATATTTCCTACTCTGGATCTTCACTGGCCGAATGCCCGCACATGTGCTCTTTTACCCACTCTTTGAGTGACTTGGAGAGAGGAGAGTCCAAGGTCTGTAGTGAACTGAATTTGAATTTTCATCCCCCATAACGTTCCATTTTAATGATTTTAGTAGTAGGAGATGACGTTGTGGAGTGCAGGAGAGAGGAGAATGTGCGGAAGGAGGGGTTTATATACCGTTAGGAGGCGAGAGATGAAGTGTTTTGCTGGAAAGGAAAGGGGGGCGTGGAGGAGATCGCATGTTTCCGTTTTGTTCTCTCACGCCCGCGGACAGTCCGAAGGCTCGCATTGATGGAGTATATATACTTCTCCTTTCTGCTTGAACTTTTCCTCTTCACACTTCACGCCCTCTCCCTTTTTCTAAAAGTTCTTGTGCATGTGGCTTCTGCGCGTCTAAAAGTCTTTGAACTACAAGAGTATGGCGTCGGCCTGGCGGTTCCCTGAACATTACTTAACAGGGACATACTGCACATATATAGTTGCATCTGGAAAGCCAGATGCTACTCGGTATGTAAATCTCGCTGGTTTCCCATCATCTGAATATATCTAGGGGTACCTACGGTACTTCCATTTAGGTCACGGAGGGAATGCGGAGTATGACAACTACAGAGGAATTTGTTACTGTAGCATCAACTTCATCGCGGTGAAGCAGTGCTGGTGGCGAATACCACGAGCATGCATGTCGCCTGATTCTCTCTTTTCCGTATATCCAAAACGTCACAAGAGATTCCAATCCAGGACAGGAGCGCATGGGTGATGTCTTCCAAGCTTTTTGATATCATGGCTTTATTCTCCGACCAGCAGGTCATCTTGTAGGCCCGTTTTAGTTCCCATTTTCGCGCGCGTGGACTTGTTTAGTGAGCGAGACTGAGTTGCGGTTTGTCTGGGAAGGGTGGAGTTGAAGAGATATATATGTCTAGAAGTACCAAGCAAGCGAGACTATGGTCAACTTTTCTCATCTCAACTCATCAAAGGTCATTGAACGTCCGGCTGAAGGGGTATAAATGCCTCTCTTCTTCTTCTTCTTCTTCTTCTTCTTCTGCACACCTTCCTACGGCTCCGAATCCTTAAAAGAGTATGGGTCTTCTTCCATGGACTTGTTCTTCTCTAAACAGTAGACGAACAAGGGATGGCTGTCGGTCCTACGCTCTCGGCGATCCTCCCAAAAAAGCAAAAAGGCTGAGCATAATGTGCTTGTCGTGGGATTAAATCCATTTCCATCACTGCTAGACAGCCTTTCAAGGGTTTCATACAGCGCATTCGCCGGCATCTGCGATGCAGAAATGAAACAGAGGGCTTTGTCGAGGTTTGGCGCCATTTTAATCCTCGCTCACGGCTCCGCTAAGAAAACACACATCAGGGCTTTCTTTTGGCGTTTTAGCTCCATCTCATCCAGCGGGACAGCTTTTAGTAGCCTATGATGAAGATGATCGTGTAGGATCAGAAAGGACTGTAAAAATGAGTGAGCTAATATAGACGTTGAGGAAAGGTGGGCCAGGCCAATTTCGAGAGAAACTTAAACGCATCGGTGCATCATTTCCGCCCATTTCATTTGTCTCTCTCCATTTAGAATCTCGCTCGGGCATCGCACCACTATGTAAACTCACTCGGCCTCCCCCTTTCTACTTCCATTCCCCACACCTTCTCCGACTTTAACTAAAATGGCTGTGGTGCGTCTTCATGGAGGCCTTTAAAACCCATATAGCCATGAGATTATATCCTTGCTCCAGACCTCAAAGGTGGCCGAAAACTTCAAAAGCCCATTCACTCAGAATGCATGGGTCTCCGAGTCCCCCCAAATGGCGAAGACGACAGCAGAGATCGCCCAATCGGGTCAAGGTATTTCGACTAAGCTTGGGCAGTCAATCTCTGAGTAATGATGGCATTTTTTTAACAGCGATCGTTTCCTCGATGGAATGCAGAGAGGCCATCTCAGCATGTGACCTCTACCAATACAGGTTTGACGGATCCACGCTCTCATGTTCCACGTGGGTTTCTTTTTAGACTCCACGAGGAAAGTAGACCCCATGCTCGTCGGTCCACTAGCTTTGGAGATTTGAGTTGGAAGAGTCACGCAGGTGCAGTCATGCGTTTCTTCGTTGGATTTTTTTAGTCTCCATCGACGTCCTCGAAATCCGGTTTTTGGTGGCAGGTCTTGGATGCCGTGTGTGGAGAAGTAACGGGGAGAAGAGGCTTTTTGTATGTAAAGGGGGTGAGAAGGATGCACGTGATCAGGAGACCCGAGGGGAGAGTGGTTCGATAGGTGAGTCTTGGTTGCGCGTAGCCCATTTTGTCATGGCTTGTCAAGAGCTGAGTGGGTGTTTAAACTCTCGCATCCTGCCCGCCTCTCTTCCTCGCTCCACCACTTGAAACTACCGGGTGTAAAAGCTTCATTTCACCTTTCGCATGCGAACTAAAGTGCAATTCTACACCGGGCATGGGGCGGAGTAACCTAGGCTCTCTAATCAGAACATCACCACTGTCGTCAGCGCGCCACAGTATGGTTGAGCTATGAGCGATGAGTGGACGCTCCTCATGCATCATTCAATCGGTTTTCAAGGTACTGAGCGCCTCCACGTGTTCGCAAGGAAACCTGGTGAAGGTCATCTTTCAATAATCAGCGGCACGATAATAACACATGAACCTACATTCTTTTGATAAAATACACCCTCAGGCATCATACCAAACCCACTCAAATCAGCCCTCACACCCTCCCCATCGGATCCAGCGGCCTCTCACTCAAATCCGTCCTCGCACTCCCCCGATCCCCCAAATCCTGCATCCTCAGCCAACCCTCCTGCTCCGAGCCCCTCTCCGACACAACAACCGGCGTCTTCTTGCCCCACCGGCTTCCACTCCCATTGCCCCTGGCAGAAGAATTGCCGCTCGTTCCGTAGCTCGTATCCGTGAACACTTTGCCGCGGGCCGAGGCCCATAGGCGCAGTGCGAGGGCGCGCGAAGGCGGCAGCGAGGCGACGATGATGGCGATGTGCAGCTCGATGAGGGTCCAGACGCCGACGTTGAGGAGCGCCCAGGTCGGGTCGAGTTTCGCTTTCTTGAAGTCCTTGACGAGGACGATGCGGACGATGGAGGATGCGGCGGCGCTGTTCACGAAGTCAGGTTTTTGCGGCTTGGACGTCTTCTTGATTTGGTGTTTGGGTGGTGGGGATTAAGAAGTGAAGAAGAAACACATACACCAGCCCCAGCGCAATAACCGCCATAATCCCCAACCGCGTCTTCGTGTTCAAATGCAGCTTCCAAATAATCGGCAGCGGTAACAACGCACACAGAAAATCCGTCACAATCGTAATCGCCGTCAACGTATACACGGCCACGAGGAAGTTATCCACGCTCAAGCACTGCGCGCCCTCAATCGTCGGATCCCAGTTCGCCTCCACCGGCTTACACTGTGTCCAGAGCACGACGCTGAAGGCGAGCGTCGAGGTGACGATCAGGACAAGGTTTGCGTGCAGCGTGTACCTGACCCATTTGCGGATGCCGCCGATGCTGAACAGGAAGATGAGCACGGAGACCTTGACGAAGCAGAGGGCGAGGAGGAGCAGGAATTCGCCGACGACGAGCGTCTTGACGGCGAGGATTAGGTCGTCGAGGTTGGTGATGTAGACTGCGTGGCGGCCGACGCCATGGTAAGAGCCGATGATTGTGAAGGGCCAGTTGGTGATGGTGGTGACCTGTTGCAAGTTAATGGAGTAGTTATGCAGATAGAATGGAAGGCAGTTTACCATCGCCAATGCGATGAAGAAATCATCCCATTTGAGCCCGCTGCTCGTGAAGCGTGCTGTGAGACGGAAACAGACGACGAGCACGGCAATGGATGACAGGACGCAGTGGGTTATCACGGGGTACATGGTTCTATCTTCGTCCGGTGGGAGCGCCGCCATGATTGCGTGCGTGCTCTCAATGTGCAACAAGGGGAATACGAATGCCAGAGAGTTCCAAAGCAGGCACTCGGGAAATGGAAATGAAAACACGACCTCCAAAGAAAGACTTGGAAAGAGGAAAATGTAGGCGAGAGGCAAAGCCGTCAGCAGTGCGTCTACTACCACTGGGAGGGAGCGAGATCAATTGCCGGGACCACACCACATGGTGGTTGATAATAGCCCCCGAATCATGCATGCCACCAACGCTGTGCTCTCCGCGGTACCGTCTAGGATACGCATCCAACGGCTAGCAAGCGCAATATCGAACCCTGCCAACTCGGTGCAAGGGCTCGGCCCTTTCCAGGACCTTGCGTCAGCACTTAACCAACGTAGAGTACGGGAACTAAGACGGGCCGTACCTGAGTCTACTACTAGCGCGTGCCGATCCTTATTCGTTGTTAATGCATGCCCTGCAAAGCGCTGGCATGGGTGACACGAGACGCAATGTGATTGGAGTATGCATGTTTTTCGAAGGATTCTCTCTGCTGATCCGACACAGAGGGATATTATCTCTCGCCTTGAATAGAACGGCCCGGGAAAATCCTCCGCGGTGACTCTATTAACAGCGCTAATAAAGATGGGGATTGCGGAGCCCGATGGGCTTGGACCTCCGATAATTGATCGAGCTGCTCCTCTGGGTATGGAACAATAGCATAGCAATATGTAAAGCTAACCCGAATCTTTCTAACTCCTTTCCTTGAAGACCAATCTCAACGGCCCGGGTATAGCTGTAAAGCAATCCTTGATATCGGCGACCACATCGCCTGCAGCCTTCTCATCCGCGAACGCGAAATCATACTGCGTCACCAACCGCGCAGTAACTAGCCTTAACTCAATATGCGCTAACTGTTTTCCTAAACAACTATGCGCCCCGCTCGAAAAAGGAGCAAATCCGCGTGCGTCTTTGATCATATCAGAACCCTTGTACCAGCGCTCTGGAAGGAATTCAGAGGCGCGAACGTAGCTGCTCTCGAGACGTCCGAGACTCCACAAGGGGGTGGAAATGACGACGTTTCCGGGGATGAACTTCTCGCCTATGCGCAGGCCCTCGGGGGGTGTTTGTCGTAGTGGGGCAGAGGGAACAGGAGGATAGAGCCGCAGTGTTTCGTTGATGAGGGCGTTGAGATGCGGAAGCCCTTGCAGGGTGTTGTTATCCGTTATATCCACTCCGCTCAGCTCATCTCTCAGTTTCGCAATATGGACCGGTAGAAGAGCAAGATGGTAGAACAAGAACGCCAGGGCGATGGAGACGGTATCGGATCCCGCGATGATGATAACCATAGCATCGCCTCCCAGCCAGTGGAAATCAATCTTATCCGGGTCTTTCGGATCTCGAGCAGCGGCGATGAGTTTGGACATGACATCGTCTGGGTCTCTGTCCATTTTCGACCGTGCGATAATGCTCTTCTCTGCATACGCCTCCAGCCTCTTGAAGTCCGCATTCGCACCGGGAAGAGACGTGAGCACGGTGACGAGCCATGGCACAGGCGTCAGGCGGCCGATGATGTAGATCCCGCTCCTCATGATTTGCACAATGGGATGTTCTTCGTTGGTTTCCAACATGCCGAACCCTGACCCAAACGCCGTGTCGCCCATGACTTCGAAGCCAAAGAATAGAAAGAGCTGTGTGCAATTGATAGCCTCTCCTACCCGCTTGCTAATGTTCTTGCTGAGCGAATCCACGTGTGTGTTGACGCGCTTTTGGTACGATCTCAATGCCTTCATACCGAAACCCTGATCCCAGATCTTGCGGCGTGCTTGGTGTAGGTGCGGCTTGCGCGTCGCATGGATAGAGCGGTCTTTCTGGAGCATGTCGTACCAGGGGGCTTTGGTGCATCTGGAGCCGGGGCCGTGGACGGCTGGGACACCGTCTGCTCTGAAGACGACCACCTCATTCGGACCGATACGGACGATATCGCCATACTGCTGATGCAGAGCCTCCAGAAGCTCGTGGTTCCGGAGGTTCGAAAGCTTGACGCTGTGCCAGAACTTGGTGACTTTGGCCAGTGCGGGGCCAGGGAAGGCACGGAGAGGATGGAAAAAGAGCCGGTAAATGATAATAGATGCGTAGAGACCAGTGCCATAACTCAAAAGCAGGAGAGTCGCACTCTTTGCAGCTTCTAGTAAAGCCAATGACTGCGCGAAAAGTAAGAATGTGGTAGTCCATGAGAGGGGCGCGAGTGCGGCGAGGAGTGGTGCATGATCATGATGCTCGCCGCGGATGAAGTATAGTAAATGCGAGCTGACGCCTGCAACGAAGGTGGTCAACAGGGTGGAGGACGACATCGCTGTCTGTCGAGAAGATGAACGTTCGACAGTGGATCCGTCTGTACATCCTGTCTTGTGAAGACGTCTACACGGCACAGTCAACTCGCCTCAAGCCGACTCTCAAGGTGGCACCACGACGGACCGGCGTAAGCGTCAGCAGGGATTAGAATCCGTGCCGCGTTGGCTTGCATTATCAATATGACACACCCAGAGAAACGGTTCCTGGGACTGCAGCAATTAAGAAAAGGAATTGTTGGGCTTACGTCTCTAACTGCACCTTCCTTATTCGCACACAACGCGTTGCCGTGCCTGAATCCATGGTCCGTCTCCCTCCGCGGCGAATTTGTCGTTGAGTGGATACTCTCCTGCAAAAGCCCATTCCTTTGCTGCGCCTATGCGTTTGCTCTCCCCATCATCACCTTCGGCTCGCCTGATCTCGAACATCCACAGCATGCGTGCGGCGATGACACTGGCCTGGTGGTACACCATCGTCTTGCCCAAGCAGCCATCCGGACCCAGGCTGAACGCACAGAATGCCTGCTTTGCCTTCTTCTGCGCCTCTTCTGCTTGGTATTTGGAGGGCCGCTCGCTTGATGCCACAGGAATCCACCTCTCCGGAATAAACGCATATGGATCAGGAAAGTAATCTTCCGAGTGTTGGAGTGCGTATGTGGCAACACCAACATCGGTGCCTTCTGGGAAAACCTCGTCGTCAACTACAACACCTCCTTTCCTCGCCGTTCGCAGAGGTATCCCAGGGATGCTAGGAGAGAGACGCAAGGTCTCGGTGATACAGGCCCGCAAGTACGTGCAAGACTTCAATGCTTCTCCCATGCGGATATCGTCAAGCTTTTCGAACCTGGATCGGAGCTCTTGTACTAGTTTCTCCATACACTCCGGATTATTGAGCAAGTAGTGCGTAAGAGCGCTGACGGTGATACGCATGGGATGAGACGCCACCGACACCAAGATTGCAGCTTCGGATTGCAGATCCTCGGCCGTAAACGAATGCCCGGTGATAGAATCCTTGCCGGCGATAACACGGGTCCAGATATCCTTATTCTCGATTTGCGCGGAGCGTTTGATACGGTCGTCGGACTGCTCCGCGCAGTACTTTTTGTATCTTTGCATGCCGTCGTTCAGCTCTGAGAAGAGGAGAATGTGAAGCTTGAGCTTCAGCAGAAGGGGCATGAAAGCTGTCGCGTTCAAGCCCCGCAAGGCGTCCATACTGAGTCCCAAAAAACCCCGGAATTTTGGAGAATGCTGCATCCCGAAGCTCTTACTGAAGACCATCTCGCCCATAGTGTCGAAGGTCATGTATCCAACAATCAGGCTGAGATTTCTTGCGGGACCCCAACCATTCGCTCGGGGACTACTCGCATCGGTGTCGTCCAAAAGATTTCGACAGAACTCGGCGGTGTTCTTCAGCAGTACATGCTCCACATCCTTAAGCGCAGGTTCTGTAAAACTAGATTGCAGAATTCGTTTGCGCTTGGCGTGACTTTGCCGGTCAATGATTGTTGCTGTACTGGCAGCGCCGAACAACATCTCCCATATCCTATACCAGTCCGCCTTGCGAGTGTTTGCGCGGAAGCCATAGATGTCTTGAAGAGAACTGGCAGTACAGAACGAAATGCGATTGGGACCAAACCGCACTACGGGTCCGTATTGCTTGTGAAGTCGAGTGAGCACGAGATAACGGTCGCCTTTCCAGCTATGATATACATTGACCCAGTCGGTTAACTTGGAGAGGATGGGTCCGGGATGTTTGCGGAGAGGGTGTAGAGTGAGGCGGTAAATAGCGAGGAAAAGAATCTAGACACGTTAAAATATAGCTCAAATGGCCATTTAGATTTCCTTACATAGATGAGGGGTAGAAATGCAGCGTAGGACCACATTATTTTTTTGAAGACAGAGTGAAGAGGCAAGAGGAGAGCGAATGGAGCCCAATACGTCTCGTCAGTTTGTACCTCGCGGGAGTGGAGAGCCAGTGGCGTTGGGTGAAGTGGGAGGGAGCAGGTATCGAAGCATTCCCAAGAAATCTGCGGAATCGGCTCGAACGGAGTGGGCTTTGCCGCGGTCCGGGAATCTCAGGAACACCTCACAGGGGTCCCTACATCATCCGAATAGTGCAAGTGGCCCTTGTCAATCCGGCAAAGTAAAAATCAGCCGAAGACTTCGTCGTACTGAGGTCTTTCGTAGATCCCTCCCAACACGTAACTCGAATAGATTGCGCAACATATTTTTTGCATCTGAGGCAGCAGAACTCGCAGTGGACAGCCCTACCGGACCCACTATTCTAAATCTGTCGGGTCCCGACCGTCCAGTCACTTTAAAGGAGGAGTAGCGCCAATGCTTGTCTCTGCAAACACAGCCCACGTCGAAATCAGATTTCCGAAGATTCGACAACGATACGCCCGGGGATGACTTGAGGGATTGCTATCGACAAGGTCATATTGATTCCCGGCTGGATCCGGAACAAGGACGGAGTCTTTAGCATCGAGTGAAGTTCTGCCGATCCCTTCTTAATAAGTGGTACTCTCGTGGAAGTTGAGGATTAGATACTCCCCGTTCTGCCTGTAGGATCGCTCGGGATCACTTAACCGGAGGAGGCTTGTGAGATTGAGATCGTTCAATAACGACGAGCCGAGCCGGCCTAGAGCGATCCCGTGTAACGGCCGGTGATAGGCTTACTTCGGGCATTTTGTTTCGAGATGAGTGAGGAGAGCCAGCGGCTGTGGTGTAGATAAGAGGCTGTAGAATCCTTCTCCACCAGAAGACGCTGCCACACCGAAGTCAATTTATCTGCCCCGTCGACCTTATGAGCACTTCAAGGGCCGATAGAATGACCTCCAAGAGAGCCGGTCCTGGGCGCACATACCAGCGCAGCCTATCGGTATACTTGGGCTCGCGTCTTGTGGTTCCAAGCGCTAACCAAAATCCAGTATCGATTGTCAAGAGCGTACCGGCATTCCTTCTTGCTGAGAGCTCTCACATACCATGGGCACACGCTGTTGCTCTTCACTCTCAGCGACCACAAGCCGCTGGTATACCCGATGACTGCCACCGGTCTTGTCAACCTATTCGCCGGGTCTGCTTTGAACTCCGAGCAAAGTCCAGATGTCAAAATCTTAGACCTGCCCTTCCGCTTCCTGGCTGTCATCTTCTGGGTCTGGCTTAACTTCCTCGTCTTCTGTGTGGGCAACCAACGTCGCCTTTCTTCTGTCGCCGAGGATGCACTGAATAAGCCATGGAGGCCTATTCCCTCCGGGCGTCTTAGCCCCTCCAGCGCTACCAGTCTCTGGGTGGCTCTTCACGTTGCAGTTCTGGCGGGATGCGTATATTTCGGAGCGACCGAGTACACCATCTCGCTGTTGATCCTGGGATATATGTACAACGACTTGGAAGGAGGCAATCATCCCTTCTCCCGCAACCTCATCAATGCCTGCGCTGTCGTGGCGTTCGCTCTCGGAGCGACGACCGTGGCATATGCAGGCCAACCGCTCAGCCTAACTGAGCAAGCGAAGCAATGGCATTGGATGATCGGAGCCATCGTCTTCACCACTCTTCAGGTGCAGGATCTGTGCGATCAGGAAGGTGATCGCGGTCGAGGGCGGGCGACGATCCCCATCGTTTGGGGTGATCACGTAGCACGGTGGACCGTCATAGTTCCCATGCTCACCTGGTCAATCGGCGCGCCGTCTTTCTGGCGTGTGCCATGGTGGGGATATATCGGTCCATTTGGCATCGGGGCGATGATTTGCATGAGAGCGTCGATGTTGAAGGGGGTTGAAGCTGATCGCAAGACGTACAAGGTGTGGGGGCTCTGGATTGTTTGCGTGCTTGCTGTGCCAGCGATGGCTGCAATAAGCCAGGTTGATCGTTGAGCGCGGATCCACGGGCTCAAACCCCGGGCGCTGAGGCTTTGTGTGGAAGAAACCTTGGTCGGGTGCGAGACGCGGAGACGCGAAGACACGAAGGTGTCGAAGCAATGAGAGGGGAGGTCAGGAGCTGTTACCGGTTTTGTTAAACGCCTATCCGAAAGTGGTATAGTGTGGTGATGGATTAGTCAGCCTCGTGGGCACCCTCATCGGTCGACTTGGGTTTCTCTCCCTTCATCTATCATTTAAGCGTTCAAAAGCCATTATCACCTTCCAAATGTCGATAGAGCCCATAGTATCGTCGGTCTGATAATTATCCCTGCCGGGCATGGCTCCTCCCGGAAGACTCGATCCCACTGATAACAGCGAGCAAAGCCAGGATCACTACGGGAGATCAGCTTCTTGAAACCAGGGCACGTCGCGTGCAGATTAGAGTAATCCGTTTACCTGTACCAGAAGTGAGGATGAAGCTCGCCACAGTGAACGCTGTCTGGGCATCTCCCCCAGTAGCCGTCCAGATGATACCCACAAGGCAGGACATCAGCCACGGCAGCATCGCAGCAACGATGACGCGCGCGCTGTTCCAGCCCTCGACGAACTCGATCGCGTGGCGCTTGTTGCGTCGGCGGAGCCGGAAGACCCATTCGATCCAGTCAGTCTGGCTCTTGACGCTGTCAGGGTGCTCGTAGGCGTAGTGCATCTCTTGCAGGACGAAGTCGTCAAACGGGACCACGACAGGCCGCGTCACGGGGGAATACTGTTTACATCAGTTCAGCCTCAAATGGACAGTTGGATTGCAATTTCAGGGCGTGCGTACCGCGAGAAGGCGCAGACCAGTCAATGTCTTGAGCGATAAATGTCGGCGCCAGAATCCAGACATCTCTGTCCAATACAGACGATGCAGCTCTCTGAAGAACCGCTTGTCGCTCACGATTATCTGTGGACTCTTCGCTAGCGCATCCTTGAAAGCTCCCTGATCCGGAAAGCGGGACCCTAGGGCTGTTTGAATTTGTCGGAGAATACAGCCTTGCGCGCCTCCGCGGTAGCACACCAGATTCAGTGAGCATGTTGGCCTGTCGACATCGTAAGCGTCGCTTCCAGGTACAGATTCATCGGAGGGGACGATGCCAGGAGTGCCCATGGGTAGCCGGGCAATTGGAGGGGCTAGACCGGAGGCTCCGAGCGAAACCGTTGAGCTTTCATATGCTGAGGGAGCTAGACGGGGTGCTCCAGGGTTGGACAGCCACGTTGAAGTATTTGCGTTTGGTGTTCCGAGGGAATTCGGAGAGGTGCCCGGGGGATAGATGGAAATGGATGGTGGCAAAGGGCGGCGGCGAACGGGAGGACTGATATCAGTTTGATTCGACGCTCTCGCTATGTTGGATATGGTTTCGTGACGAATAGCCTCGAGCTGCTGCATAGCATCATCTGGTCTCCGTTTGGCGACATCCGACCAATTCGTGGGCATTGGATGTATCCTTTCATGCGGATCACCTCCCCGACCATTCTCTGCAGGTACCCTGTCACCCCCACTACAGCCACTTGCAGTCGTGGGTTGGAGTTCTTGCTGAAAGCGGCCGCGTACTCCATTTGCCGGTAGTTCGGCCGCATTAGGAAAGCGGTCGTACGAACGTTGTTCAAAGGGCTCTGGTGCAGGATCCTGCAGTAGTGGTTCCGGAGAACAGAGGAAGTTGTAGGATTCGATGCGCGGTGGCTCTACTGAGGCAGTTGGTCTAGGCCATGACTCCGCTGATGAAGGAACGTTTGTGTTTGGAGCCGAAGTGTCATGCAACTCCGAAAGGCTCTCAGCTGGCTGGACTGCTGATTGCGTTTGGCTTCGCCAAGAAAAAAGTATCCAGCGCATAGTGCTTCCCGGTAGGAAGGGATTGGTTTATCGGGAAGTTAATATAGCCGAGGCGAAAAGACTTACTTGTCAGGAGTGATCTGTTTGAGTTCTTAACTAATTGATCTCCAGGCTGTGCTAGGGGGCGAAGCATATTCCCAAGTCAGCCTGTTGCCTTCTGCCTCTGCACATGGCTTGCTTTTTGCGCCGTGGAATACGTGTGGCTTCCGCACTTCCGCTGGTTAGGCTGACATCTGAGCGTAACAGCGCAGCCTTCAACCACTTCTTTTTTACTGCGAAGACGAGGCGACTCTCACCCCTTTGCCAGCATCTGGTTTCGACACCTTGTCGAGACCACCGGCTTGAAGTACGCCAACGAGTGGGATAGGGCAAGGACGGAGAGACCATGCGAGTCCGCGGACTACTCCTCACGGGAAACAAATTTAGATAGAAAAAACGTAGTATAAGAAGGAGATCGAGGGGCAGAATGCTATAGAACTATGCGTCTCAAGACGCGGCCAACCCCTCTGGTTTGTGTTGGGAGGAAGGCAGAAGGGCCAAGACGAAAGGACGATTTGGCAACGGCTTAGCGTGCATCTCCCAACCAATCAGCATCCAAAAATGTGAGCCAGCCACCGCCACGAAGTGAAGGGACTCCACCAAAATCTTGAAGCTCGAAATCTTGCCTGATGTACAGATTACAGAGCGATTTATAACCCCGCGTAATCTAGCAGAATCGGAGGAGCGTGCGCGTCGGCTGATATTAGCCTTGGTATCCAAGCCTCGAGGCTTGACACCCACGCGGTCTCATTCCGTTCCTCGGTTCACTCAAGCAACCCTCTTCCCCCCCTCCAGCATATAGCCCAAAATTTCGGATTTTAGACAACCCCCAAGGGCCACAGGGACAGTCGGAACCGGGCATTTTAGTACTCCAGCCCAGCGGTTCCATTCCATGGGATGGCGTTGGCGAGAGCAGATTGACTAGACGCACGAAGAGAAGCCAAGAACTGATGCAATGGGGTGCCGGCAGAGGTCTTGGGTATACAGATTGGCAGTGGCTGGAGGAAGAGACCGATGGTGCTTTCGTCTTCCTCGGAGCGACCCATGAAAGGGCTACCAAATACCACGTGGGAGGAGAGCACCGACTCTAGGGCAAGTGAAACAACGGCGAGGGCGGCTTGATGATGGGTAAGATTGTACGTGTCGATTATTGAATGCAGAGTCCTTTGGGAAGATGGAGCGAACTTGTGAGCGTAAGAAGTTCCCCGGAACGTGTTTCGTGTGCATTTAGTTGCCAATGTCGCGGTCTTCTTCGGTTCGGGAAGATAATCTCTCCAGAACTCCCTGACGGGATAATCGACATTCGTGCCTCAGCATGTGTCCTCATATTTGTTGATGGGCGCAGCGGGCGAATAGCCTAAATAGAACGCGGAAAGCTCGTCCAAAAGGAAGCGCAAGGTGGTTGAAGTCGCATACGATATGACTGATGCATATGACCAGATAGCGAGGCGAAATTGTTATACGAACAGGGCACTCTTTCTCCAGGTCGAATTCGTGGTTGATGAGCTCCCGGACATCAAGTCCCTTGACGAACTCTGTACGAGTTGGATTGCTCTGATAGATCCTGATGCCCCCTGTATGATTGATAAATCTGGATCGCAAAATGTTGTGTCTCGCAAGCGCTCGATCCCATGAACTACAAAGTCTTTCATAGTCCACAGTAGCGGCATTGAGTTCGTAAACTCGAGAGACATTGAATGCGGAGGTGCCAAATTGCGCGTTGTATTTCTCGAGCCGGTCGCGTTCGACGGGTGAAACACCATGGGGCCCAAGCGGTGAACCCCCCATAGCTTTAAAGGGTTCACCCAAATTAGCAATTGTGTCAATGGCTATGGCGAGATACCATCTTTTTGTGAAGCAGGTGTGCTGAGTATCGATCAATGAAGGCATGATGCACGCACTAGACTACAGTGCTAATAAAGTCGACGCTATTTGCTCTTTCCAGAGTCACTGCCTTAAAGCATGATAGCCGCATTTGTGCACGCTTCGCTTTGGCCAACTCTGCCTCGTTGTCCTCTTCGGAATTGACCGTAACGTCAGTCCATTGATCGCGCGCACGTTCGCTTCCGGGGCGTAAACCAGGGGGGTGGAAAATAGCTTCTCGGTCCATGACAATCTTCCATGCTTGACGGACACTTGGTAGTGCACTGCAAAGGTAGGTTTCACAGAGTCGTATGACGTTAGTTCCTGGCGAATTCTCGTTTTCGTGTATGAAGGATAATTGCATCTCAATGAACGCAGCTTGCAGCCGTGGGAAGAATTCAACCGACACGCACGACGGGAAGCGGAGACACTGCGAATTTTCAGTCCAAATGGCGAAAAGCTGCTTGACGAGAGCAGCGGAGAGGGTGGACGGCCCGAAGACTTCAATGATAGGCCAGAGGTGGACAGAAGAGTCCTTCGGCGGATTCTTCTAGAATCGTTGAAGGAAGGCACCGTGGAGTGGGATTCCAAGTTGATTGGGATCGAAGAAGCGGCGGACGGAAAGCTGCATCTGAAATTCCCCGATCGCACAGAGGATGCTTTCGACGTAGCCGTCGGCGCTGACGGAGCCTGGTCGAAAGTTCGGTCGAGGCTCACGGAGCAAAAGGCCCTGTACTCTGGGATTGGCGGCCGTGAATGCTTCATCTCGGCAGCAGACTCTAGAAAGCCCAATCTGGCCGAGCGAGTCCGAAAAGGAATGTGCTTGACACTGTGGAAGGAGCGAGGAATCATGGCCCAGACCAACAGCAATGGCATCCAAATCTATGCGTTCGCTCGCATTCCTGAAGCCTGGCACACAAGCAGTGGCATCGACTCCACCACCCCAAAAGCCAAGCAACAGGTGATTGACGCCCCGTACTCAGACTGGGACTCTACAGCAAAGTGGCTGGTCCTCGAAAGCGACACCGAGGCGAATGCTCGACCGCCGTACATGCTGCCTGTCGATTTCGAATGGCCACACAACCCACGGTAAGGATCGCCATGGTCAAGCACTTTGAGGAACAGAAGCTGGCAGAGGGAAAGGCGTGAGGAACAGGAGTTGACGGGAAGAGGCTATTTGATAGACATGTATGTCAACATAGACTAGTTGGAAATAACGGGTGTCGTGCCGTCCCATTCATCTTTCTCCACGGCATCCAGCAGGAAGGTCGCCACGCTCGCCCTGGTGGCGGTCTTAAGGGAGCCAAGCCCCTCGCCCTTGTTGCCGTAGAAGTGAACATGCGCAGACGGCCCTTCGATGAAGCGGACGGGACGCGCAAGCACATAGCTCAGGCCACTCTGCTTCACCACCTGCTCGACCTGCTCGTGGTCTTTGTAGCCGATGCCCATGTTGGAGTAGCGGACGAGCAGTTTGACAGGCAGGAACAGCGTCGGGAAAGAGTCGCCCACGCCGTGCGCCTGGAGGGTGACGATCTTGCGGGTACCGTGGGTCTTCATGGCGGCGAGGACGTTTACGTGGGCGTCGTGCATGAGTGTTGGGGGCGATATCGGCTTGGCGAAGGGATTATCGCTAGTGCGCGCGCTGTTCAGCGTCACGACGACGGCGGCGGGCGCGTCCTCGGCCACGGCGGCGAAGGCCTTCTCGACGTTGGCCTGGTCTTGCGGCTGGCCCTTGACTATTGTGAGGGCGCCGTCGGCGGCGGCGATGGATGCGAGGGAGGCCTCGTTTCGCACCAGCGCCGTCACACTGTGGCCTGCTCGCGGGCGTACTCGTCAGCGTCTGATGCAACTCACCGCGGGAGGAGCCGGATTAATCACCTCGCGCGAGCGCGCCTTGGACGACCAACCTGCCGACGCGCCCCGAAGCACCGAGAATGAGAATGCGCATGCTGAAAAGACTGCTGGGTTGCGGAGGAAACGTGGAGTCGTCGGTGATGCTGCCTTTAGCTGGCGTGCGGCACAGCGTCCACGCCCTCAACGACTACGCGCGATCCCCTAAAATAAGTATACGGCGGACTTTTTGAAATGTATCACCTCCTTCACGCGGCCGCGGGAAGACATCGATGTCTTGGGCCAGGACTACGACTACGCCGGCAGACCAACCCAAAGCTCCAACCTCGAGCTGTTTTGCGATCCCTACTTCCTCGATCCCATGCGCATCACTCCCATCCAAATACCCGGAAGTGTAGGCACAGCATACATCTGTGGACCTCCTTCTTTCGACAAAGATATACGCTCCTTTCTATTGCTAGCGAAGGTCCCCGAATCTTCGATTCGCAGCGAGTCCTTTTTGGCGTGCGAGTTCCTTCCCTGCGAGTATCCGACGGCGTTCCGGAAAAAGCAGTCGTACATTTCACCGAGTCCAAGAAAGAGATTGTGTGGGAAGAGGGAACTCGTTCAATCTTGGAGTTGGCGGAGAGCGCGGGGTTGAAGCCTGAGTTTGGATGTCGGTTTGGGTCTTGCGGGGCCTGTGAGGTGAGGTTGAGGAAGGACAAAGAGTGTCAGGAGGGAGATGAGAAGTCGGATAATATGGTAAGGATCTGCTCAGCAGTACCAACGAGTTCTGTCATAGAGCTAGAGTTTTAAGCATATTACAATGTAAATTTCATGTGTAACTAGAGTGTCGTGAAACTTTTGGATAGCTACACATGGCTTCGTATTGGATCGCTGCCCATTGCACTCCGATATTCTTCTAAAGAGTGACAGAATTGATAAGGTAGGTTTGAAAGGATGGAGTGCATAGACTATACATTATCCTCTGCAGGGTAGAGCACAACAGGCTTGACTGTGATTTGATTCTCTTCTCAGCTTATACAATACTAGAGCAGAAGTTTGGCAACACTTTCTCTAGTTTGGGGCCGGTAAAGTGTTGCCAGAGTTTTAACACACGACTGTATGTCCTGTACTTGGTTGATGTCAGGCCGCGCCTCGCGCGTACCATGGTTTGTCTGCTACAATAGATATAAAATTCTGCTGTTGCGGGACATTCTTCTTTCTCCATCATCTGCATAACATCATGTCGATGCAAATTTTGGACTTTTCCAGGTATCTGAAGTAGCCGCAGACTCCTCTCGTAGCCGTAGTATAGGTCGAATAGCTGGCTGGGCAACTAGTTTTCGCACTCAGCTAGGATAAAAAAAATGTACCTTTCGCGCTATTGCATGTGCAGCACCTCACCTCCTTCGACGTCACCGTGAATTGGGTTACGCGTCGAGGACTTTGCACGCTGCCAACGCCACATCTACTCGACTTGACCTCACACACCACCGACCGTGCCGCTCTCATAACTGCCAGAGATATACACATATTTTCTCGTTCTTTCTGGATTTCATTTGCCACAGCCATCTCTACCAACGCCTTAGGCTTTCTGCCGCTGCACTGCGACCTCGCAGCTCTGCTCGCGATGCACCACGCCGGCTGAGGATCTGTCGTATAACTTCGTATCGCATCTTGCAGAATTTTCACATGGTTCTGAACTGCGGCGTATCCAGCCTTCGCAGCTGTGGAAGCACAAGTTGGAGGCGATGTCCCGAAAGGAGCAAATGAAAGCAGCGCGCGCAGTCCTTATTGTGCTCGCTACTCCGTCAGGCGCAGCGTTCTAACGGTGATACTGTTTCCACCGACCCTGTTCTCCTTGAGCCCGCTCTTCCCCAGCCGATTAGCATTCTGAAGCACCTTAGTGGAGTAAAAGGCCGCTCCTCACCCGAGCCGAAAGAATGAAACGGAACCGCCCACGCCGCCCGCAACACTGCCGTGCGAAACCTACAAAGAGCCGGCAATGACAGATGCAAAACTCCCACGCGACACCTACAAGGAGCCGGCCGAGATGACCTTCGCACTGCAGTCCTCGAGTACAATTTTGGTGACGAGTTAGAAGCAGCCTCTGATCCATGGAGTAATCGAAGGAAATTGGCGCGCGTGGGCGTCTAGCATGAGCGGAAGATGGTGATGGAGGAGATGCGTCAGCGGGAGAACATGAAGAGGAGGAAGGCGCTAGAGGAACTGTTCCGGAAGGTGGACATGAAGAGGAAGGAGAGAAAGACCAAGGAAGACACTGTAGCAGCACAAAGAGTCAATATGACTAGCAGTAAGAAGCGTAGGCTTGAAGAAGATGCCTCAGGCGATACACCTTTGTACAAAAAGCAGTGCCCGAGTCCTCGCAATGTCCGGTAGGTGCGTCGTGCAGTGTGGCATGTAGAGGGACAAACCCTCCGTATGACGGGGAATTGTGAAGCCTGAAGACGCGCCGAGTAAAGTGCCAAAATGCATGCGTCCCATCGGTACTCAATACGTTGAGCAGAATTGGGGAGAGAAGGGAGACATGACGGGTGGTCACCAAGAAGCGTTGTGTAGCAGGGATATCCAGATCAGAAGCTAAACAGAGATCGGATGTCGGTGAAGCTCGGGCTAGCATTTGAACTCTCGACCCGGCAACACACATAGGCGAACGTGAAGGCGAATTTACTACATTTCACTCAAGCAACCCCCTTCCATCTCTCCAATATATTACCCAACATATCGAACTTTAAACAGCCCCCGAGCACCACATGTAGAGTCGGACTAGATACTTTATCACTCCAGCGCAGCGGCTCCAACCATAAGGTGGAGCTCTCTAGGTTTTGTTGTTGCCTTCCGCAGAGCTCTGGCGCCATACGCCTGCACTGCACGAGATTTTAGTAGCCGAGCTTTCGGGCTGTAGAGTAGGAATGAGAAAGAGAACGACACGGAGGTAGATTTTATATACTCACGGCAGCTGGAGAGGGCACGTGAGCGGAATCGAAGTTGATCATCTGTGAGTATCGGACCCTTAGAAATAAGGACTTTTCCGGATGTTCAATCCTGGGATGTCAACAGGAGCTGAGAAAAGTGAGGTCGGTAGCACGGCTAAGCGCCACCCAGTCCAGACGCGCCCTGGGCACGTTTTTGAATACAGCTGTCTGCTGAAAGGGTCCGAAGGTATTGGGCGAATTGCAGAGTATTGAGACATGAGTTGATTGATTGAGAATACGAGAAATATGGCTATATATATACATGACCAGGTCACGTGAAGTAGTAACCATATCCGGCAACAGAAGGCAATCCATACGGTGCGATATGTGGAAAACGATATCACTCGGCTCCTCAACACCGTGCTTCCATAGCGACGTCTGCTTAATGTATGCTCGAAAGGCGACGATGCCAGTATCTGCGGTAACGTGCAATGAGTGGTTGACGAAAGCATTGGCGAACGGTACGGCACGCCTAAGCGGCTAGAGCAAACCTCGTAACGAGATCGTGAAAAGGAAAAACAGTGTATATCTCCGCGTCTCCCAAGGAGTTGACGTGGCCGTGACCTAGCCACACCATCGGCATGGCTGTGAGGCCACGGATCGGGGATTCCGAGATATGGTCCGGTCCAGAAAAGTGGGATGTCGATGGCATTTTCAAGAATTCGATGCGGCTGTGATGAAAAAGTGACATGTACCGGTGTTGGCGAGGGTCCACCGCGAAGCGAACCAAGAAGACGCGAGGGACCAACCAGGGGCCGCCGCTGCAGCCCTGCGGCCCACTGCCCCGCAATTGGGGCATCAGGCTGTGCTTCCCTGCACCGGCCGATCCCACTCCTCGCCCATCGTGAGATTCCTGTTCAGAGGACTGTCCATGTGCGGCCCAGCGCCTGTCCCCGGAGCGCGTGACAGCAGACGGGATTCCGGCTGAGCGTGGGATGGACACGCAGGGCACCAACGTCCCTCGATCCTCAGCTCCCGTGACACGGCGCTCACGCAATTGGGCGCCGCGACGCCCCGGCCCAGATTCACATCTCACGATGAAGCTTTTCGTGGCCCGCGAGAGGGGCTAAGGCTCCAATGACCACTTACAGACCACGCAATTACATCATGCCTCTTTGTCTTCCTTATAACTTCCGCAGCGCGGGTCGTCCTTCCCCCCAAATTCAGACCTGCTCTTTGGTCCACTGAACTCTTGCCTCGACACTTTTCAACACACCTTGACCACACACGCAATGGCATCACTGCGCTCGGGAGCCCTTGTCCGCCGCGTCGCCTGTGCCCGCACAGTCTGGCGGCCTAAGCCCCTCATTGTACCCCCTCTCCAGCGCGGCCTGGGCCAGCTCTCGGAAGAGCGTGCCCCGTACGAAAAGGCTGAGCCCGTGGGAGACAAGCGATTCTCGCAGTTTGATCTCGGAGGAAAAGTGTTCGTGGTCACAGGTGCAGCTTGCCGTCCTCCTCCCACTCCAGAGAGCATGTACTCCAGTGTAACCGAGTTAACCAATTGCAGGTGGCGCGCGGGGTCTGGGCTTGTGTATGGCCGAGGGCCTAGTGGAAGCCGGCGGCAAGGGTGAGTGAGCTCCATACGCTCAACTAACTTGCCTCCATTGACGCGTAGCAGTCCACTGCCTCGACATCCTACCGGAACCGGATAAAGCGTTCGCCACCGCGCGAGAACGCATCAAAGGTGAATATGGAGGCGGCCTGGAATATCACCAGGTCAACGTCACTCACGATGAGGAGCTGGAAAAGACAATTGCGGGCATTGCCGCGGAAAACCAACGGCTGGATGGCCTTATTGCAGGTGCGTCGATCAAAAGCGTCATATGCAGGCCCAACGAGATCCTGCATGGTTCCTTTTCAGGGATCTGCAGCACGACCACGCGAGACTAACGCACCACCAGCGGCCGCCATCCAGCAAGTCACCCCCGCGCTCGAGTATTCCCACGCCGATATTGCAAAAATGCTCGAGACAAACTACACTGGCGTGTTCCTCTCCGCACGCGCCGTCGCGCGCCAGATGTACAAGTACAAGATCCAGGGCTCAATCTGCCTGATTGCCTCCATGAGCGGCAGCATCGCCAACAAGGGCTTCATCGCTCCGGTATACAACTCATCCAAGGCCGCTGTGGTGCAGTTGGCGCGGAACCTGGCCATGGAGTGGGGCAGGATACAACCAGATGGATCGGGCGGTATCCGCGTGAACTCGCTGAGTCCCGGACACATTGTCACGCCCATGGTTGAGGAGAACTTCCGAAGGGGCGAGGCCGACCGCGCTACCTGGGAAGAGAACAACATGCTGGGGCGACTGAGCACGCCCGAGGAGTACAAGGCTGCAGGTCTGTTCCTGCTTAGCCGAGCCAGCAGCTACATGGTGAGTAAGCCAGCTTTGTCCGCTGGATTGGTGTTGACGCCATTCAGACTGGCTCGAATATGGTCATCGACGGAGGCACCACTGCTTGGTAAAGTTCGGATTTCGTCGTCTTCAGCTGCGCAACCTTTTTTCCTTCCTGTTTTCTGTCCGGGCGTTTCGAGAGAAGCGTTCGGCATCGGCATTTCTAACGAGTTACGACACCCAGGGATGGATCCCGACAACTGTAAGATAGTCTATAGCGTTCTTCGGAGCTGTACTTGGAGGCAGCAGTAGCAAGGCTTGATGGGAATCGGCGAGGGGTCGACGAGGCCGGTCGGCTTGGAGGAGCTCGTGGCCCAGTTGGACCGAAGTTATGCAGTAGAGAGAACCAATGAGACATGGAATATCCAAGCTTGCCGCATTTCTCCAGTACTTGTAGTCGTCGAATTGTGCATGCGAAAACCCAGCGGAGAAATCGCGGGAGTCCGAGCCCATCCATATCCACTAACCCCAACCCGGCTAGCCCCATTTTCGGACTATCTGGCCTTCCGAGCACGCCCATCCAAAACACCAGCTTTGAAAAGCTCAGCAATCGAGCTCCACCACACGGCGCCCGTCACCATGGACCGATTACTGCGCTTACTACCCTGCCTACTGCTGCTGCTGCTCCTCACAGCCCCCCTCGCCGCGGCGCTAAAATTCGACCTCCACGCCGTCCAAGCCCACGACGCCGCAAAGTACGAGCGCTGCATTCGCAATTTCGTCGCTAAGGACCAGCTCGTCGTCGTCACGGCTATACTCGATGGGTACAGGGGCGATGGCCAGACGGTGAATATGCATGTACGTGGGAGACCCTGGGGCGATTGAGATTGGGAAAAGGTGGATGGGATGGGATGTGGGAGCAGGGTTGAGACGTTGAGACGTTGGTTAGAAGGTTGCTAATAATGTTGGGGAATAGATCCGCGACGCAATGGGCAACGACTACCACCGGCCCAAGGACGTCTACGGCGAGAACCGCTACGCGTTCACCTCGCACGCAGACTCCGCGTTCGATGTGTGCTTTGAGAATACGTTGACGGGTAGTACGTTCCCCCTCCATCCACCCCCCTCTCTCCTGTCCCACCAACCAGCCAACTAACCTCCTCCTCCGCGTATAGAGCCCTCCGGCAACCTCAACCCCACACGCCACGTCGAGCTCGACATCGACATCGGCGCCGACGCCAAGGACTGGAGCGCGATCCAGGCGGGCGAGAAGCTCAAGCCGGTCGAGGCGGAGCTGCGCCGCATCGAGGAGCTGGTCGGCGAGGTGGTGGCCGAGATGGACTACCTGCGCGGCCGCGAGCAGAAGCTGCGCGATACGAATGAGAGCACGAATGAGCGCGTTAAGTGGTTTGCGTTTGGCACGATGGGCATGCTGGTCGGGCTGGGCGCGTGGCAGGTTGTGTATTTGAGGGCGTATTTTAGGAGTAAGCATCTGATTTGATTTGAGCTGGGGAAAGGGGAGGGAGATGGGGTGTGAGGATTAAGGGGTGGGAGAGTGTGTATGAACAGAAAAGAGAGGAGAGGATGATGGCATCGTATCGATTAGCGGGTAAGAAGGGGAACAGGATGCTAGCTAGCGTTATCCATCCATGGCATACTTCTTGATGCGGCGGAGCGCCGGACGGCGTTGGTAGGATCATCTATATCACATCATGGCATATTAAATCGAGTTCTGGATTGCAGCGCAAAAACCCCACCGGCCATCCGTCCGTCTCGAGAGCACAGGCTAACCTCCCCGCCTTAGACCCGAGAGTCCTCAGTCTTGGTTAGACATGGCAAATTCTCTATTTAGCTAGCGAGCAATGTCAACGTCAACATCAAGATACCCTCACTATGCAGCACCCCCTCTCTCTACCGCATGCAACACCTCGGCTGCACCTACACCCTCTCTCCCCTCGGTTCCGTCGCGTCGCATCTATCTCACCCCATCCATCCCAACCCGCTGCCTCCCCACCCAGTCCCCCACATCCCACCTAGAATACGGCGGTGGGGGCGGTAATACTTCGCTTTCTCTTTCGCTTTCGCTTTCACTTTCCGTTCCACCTCTGCATCGGCATCCGCTTCCTGCGTTGCCCGTGCCCGTGCCCGTGCCCGTGGTCCTCCACCCCGAGCCTGATGCAGTACGTACCTGGTTCGTCTGGACGTCTACGCCTGCCACATGCGTAGCAGGCTGCGGTGGACGCGCACGCACATGGCGATGGTATTCTCCGGGACGGCGGCGTGGTGTTTGAGTGTGCGTTGCTTGCTGCGCTGCGCCTGCCGCTGGTGGCGATGACGGCGGTGGAAGCGGTGCAGATGCCTCATAGGTGCGCGAGCGGGACTGTGGCTGGTGCCGCTGCTGGAGAGGAGGCTGGCTGTGCGGGGTGCGACATTGCTGTTGTCGTTGGTATTGGGCTGCTTGCGTGGGCGGGAGTGCTGGAGGCGGTGGTTGCCGTGGTGGTGGGGGAGGAGTCGAGCGCGAGGAGTAGGCGTACGTGCGCGTAGTTGGGTTTGTGGAGTTTGATGTGGAGTTGGAGTTGCGTTGGACGGTGATGTGGAGGTTGAAGCGCATTTTGTTGAACGGGAACGGGGAACGGGAATGGTGTCGTTGGAGTAGAGTAGCGTAGAGTAGAGTAGTTGGATGGGATGGGATGAAGTAGGGTTCTCCCAAAGTGTAAAGAGCGTGGTGGGTGGTGGAAAGACTGTGTTTGGTTGGGTTAGTTGTATGTCGCGCTCACGGTGTAGAATTCTCCGGATAGAACGACGTGTGCAACAGCTGCCCTGGAGGCCTTCGCAGGTGCGTACGATGGACGAGCTAATCTTACTTACTTGTCCAGCGAGCCCTTAGATCCGGGGAATTCCCTACCGCAAGAGTGTGGTTGTTGTAGATGCGGGGTGAGATGGCGGATAGAAAGAGAGTGAGCGGATGTGTGTCGATGTCGTGTAGTCGACGGAGGGCCGGGTGGGGCGCGTGGGTGAGAAAATCCCGACTAGAAGAATGTTGAAAAGGCGTCCCATGGAAGGCGTCGACGGAACCGTCGGAGGTGCACCGACTGGACTTTTCCCATCACCCAACAACCATCCCCTATCTCTCTAGCTCCCCCTAACCCTCCACCTTCCCAAAGATCCTATCCCTCATCTCCACCCTCCCCTCCGCAGTCCGCTTTATATCCTCCCTGCCCACAGCCCGCCCACCCATGATATACGCATCCACAAACTGCGCGGGCACCCACTCAAACCACTCCCCAAACACCTCCACGTTTTCCCTCCCCAGCACCTCCCTAGTCTCTTTCCCCCACGCCTCCGTCATCTCCTCATCTGGGTGCGTCTCCACATGCCCTTCTTCCACGCCCGGCAGCGCAATCTTATCCTCGTCGCTGAGCACCACGACCTTCGCCCGCGGGTTCACCTGCCTCGCGCACGCGACCGCAGCCAGCGAGCCGATTTTGTTCGACACGTCGCCTGCGGGGGAGATGCGGTCTGCGCCGAGGAGCACGACGTGCGCGGTTCTAGCGGCGGTGACGACGGCGCAGTCGGGGAGGATGCGGATGTGCAAGCGGGACTTTTGCTGGTTGCTGTTGTGCACGGAGGCTAGGATCTTGGCCGCCATGTCGGCGCCTTCGAAGCGGGGGCGCGATTCGAGGATGTCGAGGTGGAGGTGGAGGTCCTCTCTTTGGGAGAGCTGGCTGAGGATGGCGTTGCGGATTGTGCTGGAGTTGCTTAGGGTGAGGATGTGGATGTGGTTTTTCTCGGCTAAGGGAAGCTGAATGGATGTGATCAGGATTGATATGTGACGGGAGTCAGTGTGGTGGATACGTACCTCTTGATTGAACTCCTGCATCCAATGATCGAAACCCTCGCTCATGCCGTGTGAATGCTTCCGCGCGACTAAAATGTGCTGCTCGATTAAGTCCCTAGCAGCCTCCGCTAGACGCTGAGGTACTGTCTCCGATCCCGGCCGTGACTGGGGGCCGCGGCTATACTCCTTCTGCATTCTGTTCCATTCGTTTTCGATCTGATCCAACGCGCTCAGCAGGGCCATCGTAACGGCCGCGCCCATACTCGGTCGGGCCTCGCTCAGTTGCTTTGCCGCTTGCACACCCACCTTCCACAGCTCGTTCCTGCTCTTTGCTATGTTCCCCGCAGCTCCGAACAAAACCGCTAGATGCTCGAGAGCTACATCAGCGAGCTCCTTCGCGCCGGAGACGAAGTCGTTCTTCAACGCTAAGACGGCGCTTTCCAGCAGCTGCTCATACTTCAGGCTGCTGTGATCTTTCTCGATCGCTCCATCGTTGGGCTTATCCGCCGGACTAGAAGCATCCGGCTCCGTGATCGAAGCACTGTTCGACCCACAGTCAGCACTTATCAATAGATCAGTTGACTCGCCCAGCTCAGCGATAGAAGAACATCGAATAATATCCAAGGCCTCCTTGAAGACGTGCTTCCCCAACGAGGCCAAGCTCTCCTCAGAGCCCCTGGGGCAGCCGCCGGTGCCGTCATCGAGGCTGCCATAGCTCTCCTTGCTCTTCCTTAGCGTCTTTGGCCGCGAAGTAGTACCCTCCCGAGCGTTCAGCCCTGCCGTAACAGAATACCCCGAAAGCCCCGAGGCACCAGTTGGCTCCGACTGCCGTCCTTTCGCTTCCCGTTTGCCATAGTGCAGCATCCAGCTGGCTGCTAGGTCCACTTTTGCGGGGTTCGACCTCGAAGCAGGCGAATTGTGCCGAGAGCAAGAAAGACCGAGCGCTATAGAAATCGAAGAGAATTGAACGAATACAAGGTTTCGGGACATGCATGACCACCTGGGCCGGCTTTTTGATCCCAAACAGACCGACTGACGGACTGACTGAAAGGAACAATCACCAAAACAACTCACCTCCTCTCACCCGCCCCATCCGCCATCCCCAGCTTCCAGCAACGGGAACAAAACCGCCCAATAGCAGTAGCGCGTCCTTCGTTTGAGTCCGACCGCCGTATCCGTAGATACTTCCCACCGCACAATCGCAAACACCTGTCGCTTACGTAGGGTCGAAGCAGAGCGTTTGAGGCCAATAGTCGAAGGCTAGTAGCATGATAAACTCTCGACAGCGGAAAGGCAACGCCGACACGCGCTTTCCGCAAGGCGTTTGCGCGAACGGGGGTTGAGGGAGGAGGCATGGGGCTGAAGATGGACGTCAATCGGACGGTGAGGTGAACCCCGCTATTCTGTAAAGAGATAGCTGCGTCAGCCCACTACACAGTAAACCGGTCCCTGGCCTCACCTACGCATATCCCTACTCCGAAGATGGCGACAGGGAAAAGGCATTCGTGCAAAGGACGACTAGACTTTGTTAGCACGTATACTCGATGGGATGTAGATATCCTCCCGCTGCAATGAATATTGGGGGTCGATAGCGTGTCAAAATAAGGTATCATTTGCTTTTCGAAAGGCCGACTTTTCGACTGTAGTAAGTACCAAAGAAATCAGCCATAGCAAACGATCCGCGCCAAAAAGCTCGAAGAAGTTCCGACGCCAAGTGCCGATAGAGGAAAGCCATATCTACACAATCCACTCCACCATCCCCTCCCTCAGCCCATCTACTTCTGGTTCTCCGGGCGCAGGGAGCGGACAGCCTTGCCAGCCCGCCAGATCTCCAGGTTGTCAATCTCCTGCAACTCCTTCTTGTACTTCTCGCGGTAGTCGGGCTGCGAGTTGAACTCGAGCGATCGCTTAGTCTCGGTGCCGTTCTTGACGGAGTCGTACAGGTCGTTGAAGACGGGCTTCAGGGTGTCCTTGAAGCGCTTGCTCCAGTCGATGGCGCCGCGGCGGGCGGTGGTCGAGCAGGCCGCATACATGTAGTCCATGCCGTTGGCGCCGATGAGCGGGTACAGCGACTGGGTAGCCTCCTCGACGGTCTCGTTGAAGGCCTCGGACGGGGAGTGGCCGCGCTCGCGGAGGACCTCGTACTGGGCGAGGAACATGCCGTGGATGCCGCCCATCAGGCAGCCACGCTCGCCATAGAGGTCGGAGTACACCTCCTTCTCGAAGGTGGTCTCGTAGAGGTAGCCGGAGCCGACGGCAACACCCAGCGCGACCGCCTTCTCCTTGGCCTTGCCGGTCACGTCCTGGAAGACGGCGACGGAGGAGTTGATACCACGGCCCTCACGGAAGAGAGTGCGGACGGTACGGCCGGAACCCTTGGGGGCAACGAGGATGACGTCGATATCCTTGGGGACGTCGACCTTGGTGAGGTCCTTGAAGACCGGGGAGAAACCGTGGGAGAAGTAGAGCGTCTAGTGCGATCAGCTTCAGCCATCATATCCAACTCCGATCTTGTGCTTACCTTCTCCTTGGTCAGCAGCGGCTTGATAGCGGGCCAGGTCTCGGACTGCGCAGCATCCGAGAGCAGGTTCATGACAATGGTAGCCTTGCCAATAGCCTCATCAATGTCGAACAGGTTCTTTCCAGGGGCCCAGCCATCCTGCTCGGCCTCCTTCCACGAGGCACCGTTCTTGCGCACACCGATAATGACGTTCAGGCCGTTGTCGCGGAGGTTAAGACCCTGGCCGTGGCCCTGCGAGCCGTAGCCGATGAGGGCAAGGGTATCATTCTTGAAGTAGTCCTAGCTCAAGGGTTAGCTCTAGTTCCCAAGCAGACAATTCTTGATGCCATTGAGGCGATGGCTGACTCACCAAGAGCTTTTCCCTCGGCCAATCCTCTCGCTCTGTTTACCCGGGTTAGAACGGAATTACCGCAGCGAAGGATGGCAAAACCAACCATAAACAGTCTCCTTGGTCCCGGCGAAGTCAATCGTCTTGATACCGCGGGCCTGCTGGAACGTCGAGGTAACGGCGGCCTTGGGGGTAGCTGCCGCACCAGCTCGAGCAGCGCTCAGAGCCGAGACGAAAGTGCGCCTCTGGACGGCGGGCGCGGCCAATTGCCGGGCAGTTTGGCGCAGAGCTCGAGCAACAGGTCGTGAAGCCATTGTGAATGTGTGGAGGCGTTTCTTGAGGAAAATAGGAGCAAAGAGGGAATTCACTGTATTTAAAGCTACGCGGTGGTGTGTCTGGGGTTTCTAGATTTTCGGGAGCTCGGACGTTTTGGCAGGGCCGATTATCGGCGGCCAGTCAGCGGTCAGTAAATCAGCAGGCTTCGGGGAGCAGAGCGCGTCTCCGAAATGCCACTTTTTGCCTGCATCCCAAAGTGGCCCAGCATTCACATCATCAACTTTCTCCTCCGGTTCCCGCAGAGAAATAGATCAGCATTTGTGCAACCTTCTAGCTCGTGTTCTACCCCAAAAGACGGATAATCTGTGCATGGTGCAAGTCGCGCATTCGTATTTCAGCCTACGATGACTCTTGAGATGGGAAAGAAACCGGTATATGCTGACGCCACACTCCGTGTCCGCCGAAATTCAGATGCTCGCTTGATATTGGAAACATGCGCCTGTACTCCTCCTTCTATCGCATTCTACTGCTGCCGCACTGCCACAGCTGCGCGTGGGGTTGTTGAGTCGACGAAACCCGATTCCCCACTCTGGTCTAGCACTGGACTACTATCGCTTTGGGAGGCAAGATGCCTCTATAGGCTGACAAGCAATTCCACCTCATTTCAGCACGCGGTCGAAAGTTTGCCCCCTCACTGTGCCGCCGCCGAGAGACGCACGCACGTTGCGCTTGAAGCCTTCGCGGTTCTGCTTGAGGTCCTCGGCGGCCTCCTTGTTCAGCGGGTCGGATGCATTAGGTTCGAGGAAGAGGAACTGTCAGGTCAGATGTCAGCATGCCACTCTTAGTCCCGTATCCCACCAGATGTACGCACCTGCAGTCCCACGACCACCGCATTCAGATTCAGCACCGGCTTCCAGTCTTCCCTCAGGATATTCAAGCACACGTTGCCCTCCAGATCGATATTCGGGTGGTAGATCTTCTGCGTGCACTTGACCTTGGGCGGGTCGTGGGGAAAGTTCTGGTTGATTTTGAAGTCGAATTCGAAGCGGCCGCCCTTGTACATGCCCTCGTCGGGGTCGATGGTGAGCTTGAAGTTGAGGATGTCGTCCGGGTTCGGGAAGTGCGTCTTCATCGTCGAGCCGAGGGAGAGCTCTTCGAGATCTGGGGCCGGTTAGCAGATGCTCAGCAGGCACTGTGGGGACTGATAGACGTACCCTTCTGCGCTCGTAGCTGGGCGGGCGTAACCTTCTTCTTTTTGCTCGTCGCAGCAGCCGCAGCATCATCCTGCTGCTGCTGCTTCTTCTGTGGCGGAAGTTAGCACACCAAGCTCATCCCAAGCATAGAGTCGCCCAGAAGCAGCCCTATAGATTCCAACTCACCATAGTCCATATTTTCATCATCTTGGCGGTGTTGTATGAGTATCCTTCGGTGCGCCCGGCGGTTCAGCTAGATCGTGTGCGGGGCGGGAGTTGCGACTGTCTATGCCCTAAGGAGAGGGGAGAAGCGTTTAACACAGAGGAGAAGGCTCAAGGAGAGAGAACGCAAAGGAAATATAAGGGAAGGTGAAAATGTGTAGTGAAAGATAGGCTGCAATAGTAAAGTTGTGCGATCACTGATGATGCGTGGGGCGATGCCCGAGGATGTTCCGTCGCCGCTGCCTGAGCGCTTAGTCAGCGCATTACCCTCTCTCGCTGATGATTGGCGACGTTCTTTCCGCCACCGCCACTGCAGCGATCTATTTGAAAGGAGGCCTCAATTATTGTATTCCTCGGCCAAAACACAGATCCCTTCACAAACTTCAGCTTGACTGTCCAATTTCTGATTTGGTTAAAGCTACTGTTCGATTCCTTATAAAACCCTTGGACGAGGAGAGAGCTCTCTTCGCATGGACGGGAAAGCGCCCTGCACAGTTCCCACTACTTCAATAGCCATATCAGTCAACTGGGAACCCAATAATACAAGAGCATCATCTTGCGTGTCACTGGCCGGTCACAATGTCCGCACCAACACGAGACGCCCTACACTTCCCCCCATCCTCTCGACAGCCCATAGAGCCCTACCTTCCATCGTCAAACCTCTCCGCGTCTCAAATCAGGCCATTCACAACCCTGACCTACGCTACCTCCCTCGACCACGCTCTGTCACTCTCGCCCGGCGTTCAGACCGCGCTTTCAGGTCCCGAATCTAAAGCTATGACGCACTACCTGCGCTCTAAGCATGACGCCATCCTCATCGGTGCTGGCACTGCTATTGCCGACAATCCGAGTTTGAACTGCCGAATCGAGGGCGTCGGCGGGTATGGTGGGAACGGGTTGGAGGGGCAACCAAGGCCCGTGGTGATTGATCCCAGAGGACGGTGGAATGTCAGCGAGGAGAGTAAGATTGTGAGGTTGGCGGCGGAGGGACGAGGAAGAGGGCCGTGGGTTATTATGCGCGAAGACGTCGATTCGTCTATCAGAGAAGCGAGGGAGAAGGCGTTGAACACAGTCGGTGGGAGGGTGCTTACTCTACCATCCACCTGCTCAAGCCTCGACTGGCGGGAGATCCTCCGACTGCTAGCGAGGGAAGGCGTGAGAAGTGTTATGATCGAGGGCGGCGGCGTGGTCATCAATGACCTGCTGGGCCCACGCTATTTCTCTCTCATCGACTCAGTCATCGTAACGATCGCACCGACGTGGTTAGGCAAAGGTAGCTTGCAAGTGTGTCCGGATGAGCGAGTGGATGAACAAGGGAGGAAGGTCGCTGTGGGGAGGCTGAAGGATTTGCGGTGGGTACCGCTGGGCGAGGACGTGGTGCTTTGCGGACGGCCCGAGATAGGGTGACGCAGTCCTGCTGTGTAGTTAGTGCAGAGAGCGCTAACTCATCACTGCTGAAAAGGCTGATGATCGCGCCGGCATCATCTTCGAAAGTCAGAGGAGGAGACAGCTTCGCGGCGGAACCTTATAAGCACTGAAGGCCCTCGATTGTAAGCGATGGTGCTGTAGGTATTCAGCCGATATTCAGCGTATGGCCGTTGACTTTACGCTCTCCCGTGGCGCTGGTTGCGGACCGCTCCAGGGTAGAATATCGGGGACCTTTCCCTTTAGCAACTCTTTGACGCTCTCCTCCAAACCCTCCCCAAGCTCTTGCGTCGCAGTCTCATCCCAACCGCGCCGCTTTCTCTTCTCGCTCAATAGTTCCCCTGTGCCCAAAGGATCATGCAACCACGGCGCAAATCCGTACTTCTCCTCGCCCAGCACAGTCTCATCGAGCTCCGTTCTCGACATGATCGGATCGATGCCTTGTGCCTGGACGCGGTCGGCTGGCCATTTGATAGCTGGCGCATGAAGGTCCAAAAACCTTTTCGCCTTGAATGCGTGCGTAACGATCCGGATATGCTTGGGGTATACTCCCGTCGTTCGCCGGAAGAGTAAGATACTAAAGAGTAAGTTTTGAAACGAGTCCGTGGCATGCTCCTCGAGAAGGATCCGTCCTTTATCGAAGAGCATACGTGCTCGACCGCCGCCGTAGTGCCCCTCAGCAAGTTCATGTGCTAGGGCGGCGTGGTAGTACGAGCGGGCCTCGCTCAAGGGGGTGAGTGATTTCTTCGTAGGTCCGCCGCTTAGTACTAGAAGACTGTTGGGGAGAAGGCTTTTGTCTGTTCCTGGGGCACTTTTTAAGGCATCGATGCCCGCTACGATATGCGCGATGAAAGTCTCGTGCTCGCCTGGCTTGCCCGTCTCTTTGTTCGACTTCTGGAAGGGGGCAAGATGCCAGTTGTTCTCGTCGTACGGGCTGTACAGCGGAAAGCCGGGAGAAGCGGCATCCGGGTGGAAGATGGCATGGCAGCAGACAATGACCAGGTTTTCTACGCCCTCGTAGCTTGGGGCTGGGGTTACATGGTCCGGATGCGTGAAGTCGTCGGGCTCTTGGCTGGCGAATCCAGTATGCTCATGCGGCACGGCTCCATGTGCAGCGCCAGCTGAGCCTGGGCGGTCAGCAGAGGCAGAGGTGGTGGATTGATGGAAGTTCGATTTGGGTAATGTTCTCGAAGGTGTGGCTGGTGCCGCCATAGAAATTAATGGATGGAGTTACTCGAAATGATAGGTCGAAGCGGGTACGGGGTGGCTTAGGGGGCCGTTTAGGTCTCGGGTAGTCAGATCCGGGGAGCTGTAGGCTTGGACCTGGTCAGCGGGAGTTCTACGAATACGTAGGAAAGGAGGAAAGAACGGATAAGTGAGATGAGGCGAAGCTTGGGCGGACACTCGCGCCTTCCCGCCGCAGCTCCTCGCCCTAGACAAGAAACAGCGACCCAACACAGAGTAACTGGGGACTCAGTGGGCAGACTGTGAGAGGGGACATCAACTTCGGTGATGGTATTCCAACTGTATCATTCTGTCCTACTGGTACACGAGGCTACGTTGGCCTCGGCGCTTAGCATCTACTCTACAGACCCGGCGGCTACAAAGCCATAGAACAGCGAAGGAATCGGGCATGTTGGCGTTCGGGTCGTTCGACTGGGAGTTGGCTACCGGGTCAGCCCCTGGCCAAGCATCGGGAATTATGTCGTGAGACGCTTGTCTGGCAAGGCTGGGTACTCAAAGTCGTCCATGAGGGGTGCGTGTTTCCTCAAGCTGCTGAGCTCACTGCACGGTACAGCCCTTCGTGCCCATGTATGCAGGGCATAGCGGTGAGCAACATGCAGGAGGGAAAGACCCTTATGGCGCCACATGGTAGAAGGGGTTCTGGGCTGAGATCGCCGCAGGGGTGGCTTCTCCGGGAGCTTTTGCTGACGACCTCATGCCTATTTGCGGCCGAACAGGAGAACGGAATAGAAACTTGATGGAGTTCCCCGAGAGCGTTGGTGGGCCGTTGCACGTCAAAGCGGAGAGAATGAGACGTCCAACGCACCTTTTGAGCCTGTCGCAGCGCAGGTCTCGTATAGGGACCGCCTTTGGGAAAGAGAGGCGAGAGCAAGCCGTCACCGTGATTATTGTCGTGTGTGTTGAGAAGCCTTCTAGGGCTGGATGCACGCTGGTGAGGCTGAGCAGATAGTCAGCATGAGGCGCCCGCAAGCCTGCTCACGGCATGCCCGCGTCCGCTCAGGGCTTGCAACAGGCGAACGTCTCTGTAGCTGATTAAGGCGCGCTCTAATTTTAGCTGCTGTGCTGCTGTCCAAGTCTTTGACGCAACCGCTAGCTACGCCACAGCTGCCAGAGCAACCCCAGCGCGCCGTTCTGTCACCACCCAGTTTCCAAGGTTCGCGATCGACAGTCTGTCAAAGAAGCAGCGCACAAGGCCGGGCGGCGGCATTCTTCACGCTCCCCTTTGATGAAGGACCGCCGCAGTTGAAACACGAGCGGCAGGCTGCGCGGCCAGTAAAGTGCGCGTTTCAGTCGCATTCCTCGTCGTCGCCTAGCGTCCCTTTTGCGCAGCGCCCCCGCGAACCCTGCCAACCAGCCCGGCCAAGCTTGCAGCTTGCACCACTAGGCCCCTTTTGTGGATGCGGCGCATCTCCACCCTCAGCTGCTCCCAGACATTTCTCCTCCCAGCCTTTATCAATACCCGCTCCCGCCTCAGCTGCCTCTCCGCTTTTCTTCCCTCGTTGCAATTCTCCCCCCCATCGCCGCCCATCACTGCCCTCCCCATCCGCGCTGCTAGGCCCCTGGACCGCTGTACGTCATGGCCTACCAAGGACCTGGAGGAAACGCCTATGGCGACCCGCACTCAGGAGTAGGCCGCACACGAGAATTATCTGCCGTGCAGTGCTAACATCATCAGCAGCATCCCTACGACGCCCGGCACGGCTCTGACGACGACGAGGTCGGCCGCTCGCTGCTGCACTCGAATCCCACCGGAGCCAACCCCGGCCCCTTTGATGACCAGCATGGCGTGTACGGCCACGATGTGCGGCCGCAGTCCACCTACAGCTTGACCGAGACATACGCCTCAGACGCACCCACCGTCGCGCGCTATCCTGTCGAGTCGCACACCGGCTCCGACGTCTACTCGGCCACCGGCGGCCACTACGACCCGGCTGCTGAGTTTGGCGCACCACACAGAGCGCCCTCGCCATATGCGAGGAGCGAGACGAGCTCCACAGAGGCATGGAGACAGCGGCAGCAGCCCGGCGGCGGTGCGGCTGGCGGCCTCAAGCGCGGCATGACCCGCAAGGTCAAGCTCGTGCAGGGCTCCGTTCTCAGCGCCGACTACCCGGTGCCCAGCGCCATCCAGAACGCCATCCAGGCCAAGTACCGCAATGACCTAGAGAGCGGTAGCGAGGAGTTCACCCACATGCGATGTACGTTTGACATTTGACGTTCCCGAGATGCGGAGCTGACAGCTGCCAGACACGGCCGCGACATGCGACCCCAACGACTTCACGCTCAAGAATGGCTACAATCTGCGGCCGGCCATGTACAACCGCCACACGGAGCTTTTGATTGCCGTCACATACTACAACGAGGACAAGGTGCTGACGGCCCGCACGCTGCACGGTGTCATGCAGAACATCCGCGACATCGTGAACCTGAAAAAGTCCGAGTTCTGGAACAAGGGTGGCCCGGCTTGGCAGAAGATCGTGGTCTGCCTCGTTTTCGACGGTATCGATCCCTGCGACAAGGGCACGCTCGACCTGCTTGCCACGGTCGGCATCTACCAGGACGGCGTCATGAAGAGGGACATTGACGGCAAGGAGACCGTTGCTCACATTGTGAGTCTCAAAACGAATGATTGCATTGCATAGACCGCTGACAAGAACGCAGTTCGAGTACACGACTCAATTGTCAGTCACGCCGAACCAGCAGCTGATTCGCCCGCACGACGACAGCGCCAGCACGCTTCCCCCGGTGCAGATGATGTTCTGTCTGAAGCAGAAGAACAGCAAGAAGATCAACTCGCACAGATGGCTCTTCACTGCCATTGGCCGCATCCTGAACCCCGAGGTCTGCATTTTGCTCGATGCGGGTACCAAGCCCGGCCCGAAGTCGCTCCTCGCCCTCTGGGAAGCCTTCTACAATGACAAGGACCTCGGTGGCGCTTGCGGTGAGATCCACGCCATGTTGGGCAAGGGCTGGAAGAACCTGCTCAACCCGCTCGTTGCCGCGCAGAACTTCGAGTACAAGATCAGTAACATTCTGGACAAGCCGCTAGAGTCGTCTTTCGGCTACGTCTCCGTGTTGCCCGGTGCCTTCTCGGCCTACCGCTACCGCGCCATCATGGGCCGCCCGCTCGAGCAGTATTTCCACGGTGACCACACGCTCGCCAAGATCCTCGGCAAGAAGGGTATCGAGGGCATGAACATTTTCAAGAAGAACATGTTCTTGGCCGAAGATCGTATTCTCTGTTTCGAGCTGGTCGCCAAAGCCGGCTCCAAGTGGCATCTTACCTACGTGAAGTCTTCCAAGGGTGAAACCGACGTGCCCGAAGGCGCTGCCGAGTTTATCGGTCAGCGCCGTCGTTGGCTGAACGGTTCGTTCGCCGCCGGTATCTACTCCCTGATGCACTTCGGCCGCATGTACAAGAGTGGCCACAACCTCATCCGCATGTTCTTCTTCCACATCCAGATGTTGTACAACACCTTCACCACCTTCCTCTCCTGGTTCGCCCTGGCTTCTTTCTGGCTTACAACTGCTGTTATCATGAATCTCGTCGGCACACCCTCCTCGGACGGTAAACGCAAGGCATGGCCTTTTGGAAATGATGTCACCCCGATCTTCAACACGGTTCTTCAGTACCTCTACCTCGCTTTCTTGGGCTTGCAGTTCGTCCTCGCGCTCGGTAACAGGCCCAAGGGTTCGAGGTGGTCATATATGACATCCTTCATCGTGTTCGGCGGCATCCAGTTCTACGTCATCATCCTCTCCATGTACCTCGTCGTCCAGGCTTTCACCAACGGCCAGTCACAGGGTCTCGATACATCGTCAACGCAGGCCTTTGTCGACTCGTTCTTTTCCTCGAGCGGTGTCGGTATCATCATTATCGCCTTGGCCGCAACTTTTGGTCTCTACTTCGTGGCCTCGTTCCTCTACCTGGACCCGTGGCACATGTTCACTTCTTTCCCGCAGTATCTCCTGGTCATGTCGTCCTATGTCAACATTCTCAACGTCTACGCCTTCAGCAACTGGCACGACGTTTCTTGGGGTACCAAGGGTTCTGACAAGGCCGATGCGCTTCCCTCAGCCAAGACGGAGAAAGGGTCCGACGGAAAGCACACTGTTATCGAGGAGCCGGATCTGCCCCAGGCCGATATTGACAGCCAGTTCGAAGCTACTGTAAAGCGGGCATTGGCTCCCTACGTACCGCCTGTCGAGACCACGGAGAAGACGCTCGAGGACTCGTACAAGTCTTTCAGAACGCATCTTACGACTGCATGGATTGGGTCCAACGCTACTCTTGCCGTTGTTATTACACAGGAGAACTTTGACAAGTTTGGTTTCTCGGTAAGTTGCTTTCTCCTCAATTTGATCTATGTTACTAATTCAGCCGCAGTCTACCGCCTCCGCTCGTACCGCCCGCTTCTTCCAGGCTCTCCTGTGGGCGACTGCCTTCCTCTCCATCATCCGTTTCCTCGGTTGCCTGTGGTTCCTTGGCCGCAGCGGTCTCTTCTTCTGCGTCAGGAGGAGGTAAAGGACAAACAGCGGCAATGTACGAAATCAATCTCCCAATCCGCATTCACGACGGCCGTGGCATTTGCGTGCTTTGATTCCCCCTAATCTCATGTTCCGATATTCGGGTGCTGGCGTTTTAGGTGTCCTCCAGACTTCCAGCAGGCTGGTGCTGCGCAAGTCTTTACCACCAACATGGGGTATACAAAAATTTATCAAAGACACGAACGAATTGGCAGCAAACCCCCCTTTGTACTACCTCTATATTTGCATTCAGGCATCCCCCCTCATGACTCCCCTTTTCTTCCGGCCAGTTGTAGTTTGCTTGTTGAGGATATGGAAGACCAGCTGGCGAGCAAATGTGGTGGAATGGTATCTTTGGGAGTGAGTTGGGGGGTGGTTGTTGGTTGGATTAAGCCTGTTTTTTTTAACGAAATGGATACACTTCCTCCACTAAAGGGTAAATTTTTTTAGGTTCCCGAATTAAAGCCTTTTTGTTAGAATGAGAACCTACTCTTTTATACTCATCCTCGATTCCCCCCCTTCTCTCTCCTGACTTGATTGCTAACATCTAAAGCCTCAGGTCTAATGTTGTGTATTTGTTTACCTGCTATTCATATAGACTATTATTATCATGCTGTTAGATATTTAATCTTTGCCGCGTTTGATTGGGATTGGTTCCTGCTGCTGAGCGCTCGACACCTACCCGCTTCGCCTCGCACAGCCTAGATAGCCTTGTATTGGATAGTCTACGTCGTTTTTAATATCGGGGAGCAGGGGTGGGGCGGGGGTGGGGCTGGGAGGGCTGATGACGGCAGGCATACTGTATGTATGTATGTATGTATGTATGTAGTGCAGTGCAGTGCATTGAGGGTTCTTTCTTTGTGTGTTCTCTTGCTTTGCTGAGGGATCACTGGGAGGCGCGGCAAGGCGAGGCGTCTTCCTTGGCCAACCGCTGCTCCAGGTCTTTCTTGTTCATGCATGCGATCGCTGCTTGTTTTGTTGGCAGGGGGCGTGTGGAAAGGACGGGGAATGAGCTAGCGGAGAGACGGAGACGGAGACGGAAACGGGGCGCTGTGCATTGGGAAGGGGAGGAAGGGTGTGCGGAGGGAACTGATGTTTGTTTTGTTCTGTTTATCGGTCTACGGGTGTAGGTGTAGGAGACGCATGGGCGATGTTGGGGAGAGGGTGGGGGGAGCGCATATCTTCAGTGTTTCTTTTCAATGGGCTTGTGTATTATTTCCTGCCTTCCTTCCTACTACAAGACATCTGATTCATTCACACCTCCGCTCTGCATCTCCTCTCCCTATCTTCCCCCTTCCCATCCTCCAACCCCTCCTCCTCTCGACCTCCCGCGCCTGGCACGCGCCCCAGCACGCCGTAAGCACTTCTTCGAACACGTTGTTCGCACTGTCCGGTTTGCAGGCCCGTCCTGTGAGCTCCGCGGCGGCGCAGAGGGTGGGCGGGCGTGTGGCGCACTTGGCGCAGATGGTGCAGGTGTAGGTTGTGGTTTTGCACATTTTGTGTTGTTTTGCGGGAAAGGAGAAGGGGGAAGGGAGGGAGAGGGGGGCTTTTTAGTTGGGTTTTGTAGGGGTGGATGTAGGGGGGAAGGGGCGTTTGTATGGGGTGTTTGTATGGGGTGTTTGTAGAGGCAAAGGGGTAAAGAGGCGAACGTGTAAGTCTCCCAGCCTGTACGTAAATTCAATGTGCCGCGTTCACACCAGTTCTCCACAAGTCACCTGCGCATCGCGGCATCAAGCAGACACTCGATACTTCCCCCCTGGGCTCTAGAACTCTCGAAGAAGGAAACGCAGCCTACGGCCATCTAAAAGCATCCCCAGGAAGGAAGAAATTCGCCTCCTCGAACGTGATCACGCGATCCATGTCCAGGAACTGCGAGCCCATGAGCGCGTCGGAGAGATCGAGCAGCGACTGGTCCTGGAGCGTATGTTGCTGGGCGCGCTGGTGGTTTGGCGTGCCGTTCAGCCCTTGCACGGGAGGGTAGGGGCTTTGGTAGTTGCCGGTGTATGGAGATACTGAGTGCGGGCCTTGGTAGGGTGGGGAGATGACGCTAGGGTGGAGCTGAGGGGCGCGCTGACCGTTCGTTGGATCTGGGGGCGATGGCAGGGCTGCTGCGGCTGCGGCTGTGGGACTTTGGAATGGCTTTATAATTGCTCTACCTGGGAGTGTGGCGCCCGGCCGTGATGATGGCGCTTGATGAGGGGCAATGACACCGGGGTTTCGACTTTCGACGGGAGAGCGCACGCAGCTGGCGTAGGTCCCCGGAGTTTGGACTTGTGTTGAAGTGTCGCTGGAGGTGGAGGATGCTAACGATCTGCAGGAGTGATCGTAGAAGTTCCATGCGAGCTGCGGATTACGGTCGCAAGCCTCCAGGAGATATTCCAGATACTGCGCATACTTGGCAGCCTGATTCATCGACTTGTCGTCCAGGGGGCGTGCGTCTACACTTCCCTGCTTGCCCGCCCATCTCGATGCCATCTCCCACAGGTCCTGCAGCAGGCGGTGGAACTCCGGTCGAACAGGCTTGCGCGTTGCTTGGTGCTCGAAGAGCAGCGCTTTGGCGGCGATGAATGCACAGAAGGCAAACTGGACGTTTACGAAGGGAATGGGTGTGTGGATCAGGAACTTGCTGACGATGTTCGACGTCTCTACGGCGGCGTGCTGGCAGGTTTGCGCACTGCATTCCTTCGGCAGCGCGACGTAGTCGCTCCATTCGCGTGGTGGATAGGCGATGGAATGGTGGAGCAGGATCATGGATGTATTGTGTGTGATGTGGGCGAGTGTGAGATTCGGGTCCATGTCTACCACCTCGGCGTTGCGCGAGATGTTGGAGTCTTTCCAGCGAGGCGGGAGGAACATTTTCCACTGCACAAGGCGTAAGTCGAGCTCTTTGAAGCGTGTCAGCCAGCTGATGGCGTGGTCTTTGTCCTGCCAGTTGATCCTCTGCTGTAGGAAGAAGGTTGTCACTTGGCTGAGCGACTCTGTGGCTTCGATGCAATATGCGAATGCGCCGAGCTTGGATGAATCGATGAGACCGTTTACGGAGCCGGGACTGGACCCTTGGACTTGCTCCGCCGCAGGATCTTCTTCGTTGTATTGCGCAGGAACATGAGCTAGTGACTTTCCTATTCGAGCAGCAGCTTTGTTCCAAATGCCGAAGAAGGGCGTTGTTACCGGCTCCGAGCGAGTAAAGTAGCCTCCATCTGCCGGGAGCCGACGGTGCACGTCTTCGGAGGTGAGACTCGTGTTCCAGCCTGTAGATACGGAACAGAACCGATCGAGGAGGAAGATGACCCAGAATAATCGCCGCCGCTCTTCGAGTTCGGTCCAGTCAGAAGTGGGTTGGATTATATGGAGGGGATTCATGAGAGCACCATACTGCGATGCTGCAGGTTCGAGTGTGAGTTGGAGGTAGTCAACCGTTCTTGTCAGAGACCCAATAAGCGGCCATGCCTTGCTTGGTTCGCCGTCATTCAGCTTGGATAAATTAGCGATTGCTCATGGGTCCGTAAGAGGTAATGCTCACGTGGTCAAATACAAGCATGATGAGCGCTCGTAGGCTCTCGAGTGACATGGTGCGCAACGCCAACGTTTCCACAATAAAGCGTGACACTCTTGTCTGCTCTAGAATTTCATCTCTGTCCATAAACACATCCTCTGGCTCCATGTGCCGCAGTGTGGCCGCAACTAGCGCGTGAAGGACGAGCTCAGATCGTGGACCGGATGGCCTATTGCATACACTTTCCCGTAGCCTCTTCTTGTGCAAGTAGGGGATCCAATGGTGGAAAGAGGTGCAAAAGTAGTCGACTAGCTTCAGCAGAAGACGCTGAGGTGGTAGCTGCCCCGCGATATCGACATTGTCAAGTGCAACAAGCGCATTGACGAGGAGGGGCTCATCTAGCTTGCGCTTCCGAGGGTTGGGTCGATCCTCTTCGCGAAGCGCCAATGCGTATCCATTCCTTTCATCTTTACTGATACCTACTGGCGCCGGGTGCTGGTCTTCCAAGTTGACTCCGTGATCGAGGCGCTGAAACGGATCGCCTCCGGCAGGGCTGCTGGCTTCTGCGGCAAACCCGTCGTCTGCCAGGCCATGAGGGTCGAAATGAGGACGGATCTTTCCCGCATCATCCAGAAGGATTCTCTCAAGAAACGCTATGAAGCGTCAATCAATGTGCAAGACATGGTGTCTGACGACGTACCCACGCGGCGGGTCAAAGCTTCCAGAGCTCCCGTTTTGAGGCCGGGTTTCTGCTTAGGTGCATACACGCACTCAATTGCTTCAACTGCTTAGCACAACTGCTCAATAACCCAAAAATATCGCGTACATACCCAGTCTCACGCAGTGTGAGCAGGCCGGAGTCTCTCGCGAGCATCGCAATTTTCGCTTCTTGCACGACAAGCAGGCAGGCGTCTCTTCGGCGATCGCCTGCGGCCCTGGAGCTTCGTCATCGCGGCCACTCGCGGAATAATTCGTCCAGTTGCTTGACATGAGCGCTGCATTGTTGGGCGTTGGTCCACGGCGTTGTGGAGAGAGGAAACGTGGAGGTAAATATCCCGATGCCCGGGATCTCCACTGGTGGAGCTTGACCCCGCAGGGCAGCGGCTGTCTACCTGCCAATCCGGCTAATCAGACCACCATCAATCCTCCATCTCCAAGCATTCATTTCATCTCTGCGGAACCATCATGAAGCGATACCGACGCGCGGTCGTCAGCATCCGAGGCTGTCGTTGATCTTCATGTGGGCAATGGCCTGGACGTCACATGACCTCCTTTTCACGCTCCCATCTGGTACTCGTCTATAGATACCCAAACAGCGCTTATTACGAGTTTGAACTCACATAGCAACAGGCTACATTGAGTTGATTTGAGCCTTGAGTGTGCGTCTACCACCCCGATTAACCCTCACTCGCGACCTGGATCCTCTGTAACCCGGAGCTTGGGACACCAAGACCAATGCCGAGACTCTGCGGTTTCTCACACAGTTCCTTCGAAAGCCATGCAGACTTCAAGCAAGCGTGTATTGCGCTGCTTCGAGCTCTACAGCCGTACCAGTCACCCGGCGGGGCAAGAATCAAGCTGCCCCTTGCAACCGGAACGCACTTCGACGAGATCGCAGCTCAACTGGAAGGATTCGCTCGGCCACTATGGGCGATAGGCGCCCTGGTACACGGCGGTACTCTGACGAAAGAGGAAGAGGAAGAGCTGGTGGAGCCCTACGTTCGAGGTCTCGCAAACGGCACCGATCCGTATCATCCTGAGTACTGGGGACCGGTTGTGGTTCGCGACCAAAGGATGGTGGAGATGGAGATCATATCCTTTGCGCTCCTAACTGCACCGGAAACGCTCTTCGGACGTCAGAGCCCCGAAGCGCAAGGGAATATCAGGGACTGGCTGGCTACGATAAATGGGAAGGACTTCCCAGTCACGAACTGGCTTTGGTTCCGCGTAATGACGAATCTGGCTCTCGTTAGGGTCTGCGGTGTGCCGTATGAAAAATTAAAGAGCTCTATGAATGCGGACCTTGACCAGATGGAGCAGTTCTATCTGGGTGATGGCTGGGCCGCAGACGGGATTTGGAGCGATGAAGGACGACAAGCGGACTACTATTCCGGCAGCTTCGCCATCCAGTTTTCCCAGCTCGTGTATGTCAAGATGGCTGAGGACTTGGATCCAGCCCGCTGTAAGACGTTTCGGGAGCGTGCAGCTGCCTTTGCGTCCTCCTTCTGGCGCTATTTCGACACAAACGGAGCAGCCATCCCTTTCGGTCGAAGTCTTACCTACCGCTTCGCCTTTGCTGGCTTCTGGTCCGCCGCGGCGTTCGCAGAGGTAGAGCTTCCCGCCCCTCTAAACGACCGGGGTCTCGTCAAACGCCTCTTGCTCCAACACTTCCGCTGGTGGAGCAACAAATTCCCCGAGCAAGACATGTTCAGCGCGGACGGGACCCTCACCATCGGTTTCGCCTACCCCAACATGTACATGAGCGAAGACTACAACTCGCCCCAATCGCCGTACTGGGCCATGAAGTCTTTCGTTGCTCTGGGTCTCCCGGACGTTCATCCTTTCTGGACAGCTGAAGAGAAGCCAATCCATCAGAGTGAGCGGAGACTGGCAACCGTCGTGGAGCCGCCAATGCACATAATCTGCCACACCAGCCACCACCACTTCCTCCTCAACATGGGCCAGTTCTGCCCCTGGCCACTAAAAGCCACCGAAGCTAAATACGGGAAATTCGCATACTCTTCTCACTTCGGCTTCAGCGTGCCCACCGGCCCTCTACTCCCGCAAATGGCCCCGGACAGCACGCTCGCACTAAGCAAGGATGGAGGCGATACATGGCGCGTTCCCTGGAAAGTCGAGAGACCACGATTCAGCTCTGTGTCCCTTGTCACGGTAGATCGGGAGCCTGAATCGGTACCCACACTATCCAGCGTATGGCGACCATGGAAAGACGCAGATATTGAAGTGCATACCCTCCTCATCGCGTCATGCACTGCGTGGCCGGATTGGCACATGCGCGCTCACAAGATCATCAACAAGGGAACCCAGCCAACTAAGATACTGGCGGTACCGTCCGGCTTCGCGATCCAAGGGCGCGGGTCTCGTCATGGAGAAGTCCTCCCTTCGCACGCCGACGACGCGCGCCTCTTTGCCTGGCGCAAGCCCACGCAGATCCTGGAGGGCACGCTTCAATCCCGAGATGGCGCTCTGATATGCTCTGACGCCGGCATGAGCGGGATACGACAACCTGTCTTTCATGGCAAGAGCCGGCTAGAGGAGGTGAGGGGCGAGGTTCTGAAGCCGGATGCTAATACAAATTTGATGTGGCAGAGGACGTTGATACCTACCATTAGGGCAGAAACGAAGGTTTTGGAGGCGAATGAGGAGGCCGTTCTGATATCTGGAGTATTTGCTATCGGTAAGAAGACGACGTATAATGAGTTGGACCTGGCGAAGAAGTGGAATGATGTACCTGTGATTTGCGAGAAGGGATCAAGCTCACGGAGAGAGGCATGTATAGAGATTGACCTAGACACCTTAGTTTAGGATAGCGTGCAGCGATAATAGAATGCTTGAGTTGGAAAATGCTGCTCTACTGCTCTATACTCCAGTGCCGTCTTTCTTGCCCCCCGATAAATCAAACCAACCCCGCCCTCAACAGCTTATTCCCAAATTCCAGCAAGTAATAATCCGCATACACCAGCCCATGATCCCAGTACTTCTGATGCGCATGCTCGTTCTTATTACTCGTCGCATGCCTCAAAACCGCATCGAACCCTGACTCACGCACCCTCACATCCCCATGTCCACCACCAGCACTGCTGGTGCCATTCACCATATCTGACGACGGCGCACGCTCGAACGAAGCAAAGTCCCGATCGAGCGCCATATCCAGCGTCTGGTCCACGATTCGCAGCGCCACGTCCAAAAAATTAATTTCTGGCCGCGCGATCTGAGCAACAGTGGACGTGGATAGCGACTGCAATGCCTGATGGATAAGCAGGAGTCCGTTAGCCGCAATAACGCCCGCGGAAACATCGCGCAATGGCTCTCGGGGGTCCTCATGCAGAGCATCGAAATCCCACGCCGGGACCATCGGGTGGTGCCATCTCCCCTCGCATTCTGCGAGCCGGCCGAGGAAATACTGCGCGCACTGGATCGCCGTGTGCAGATACTTCGTCGCCTTGGTCCATGTGTATGTCTGCGCGAAACCTAGGATCGCCCATGCTTGCCCGCGGCTCCAGGTCGACTCGTCCGCGTGCCCTTGGTTCGTCATGCGCGCTTTTGCCTTCCCTGTAAGGGGATCGAAGTTCACCAGGTGGTAGGAGGAGGCGTTGGGGCGCAGGATTTCGGTCATGATGGTGTCGGCGTGCTGGGTTGCGATGCGAATTAGGGAAGGGTCGTGCTGCATGTGGCCGATGTAGTAGAGGAGGTCGAGATCTTGTCTCATGTTAGTCTAGTTGATGTAATCGAGGTTCATGGGATAGGCGACTCACTGCACATGCTGTCGATGATGACTAGGAAGTTGGTCTCCATATCTGTAATGGAGTACCGATCGTTGATCGCAACATCCCAGCTCCTAATCGCCTTCACCCGGTCATCCCACCTGCTCGCGAGCGCGTAGGCGGCGTTTATGACGGATTGAAGACTCTCTGGGTTTCCTGTGAGCTCCCAGTCTTTCTGTAATGCGGGTTGCACTATGAAGCCCATGTCGTGCGTGTCTGTTCTACTCGACATCTGGTTGATGGCGACGGACCAGTGCCGGCCTAACTTCAGCAAGTGATCTCTAAGTTGTTGCGGAGGGTGCGAAGGGATCTGTATCGCGTGCGGGTATTTGACGGCGCGTTCGAGCAGCGCGTAGATGCTGCCGGGGAAGAAACCGCAGGTCCAGAAGTCGGCTTCGCGGTGCTCGTATTTTCCCGCATCGTGGCCGGTTTGGGGTACCGTGTGCGGGTATGTAGGAAGTGGTGCCTTGCTTATGGTAAGTTGGAGGAGACATTAGAAATGTATGGGAAACATACTCGTTGTTTGAGGCCTCGTTGTGCGACTTGGACTATCTTTGCAGCTACATTTTCGGCATATAGCTCGCTAAGGTCTACACTCCTCACACTGATAGGATTAGTGTTGATCACTGCCTAGGTATCAGTGGAAGCAGCATACCTCTTGTCATTCGCAGCCTTGACCTCTCCCATCATTGCTTCTCCCATGGCGAATAAATCGCCCTCTATGCTCGTCCAGGCGACGCAATTGGAATCGAAGCTTTTTGCGAATGAAGCAGCCCGAATACGACAGCTTGGGGATCTTTCTCCAAGTACCCCGGCAGTCAGACGCAAGGCACGCCTCTCGCCAGACCACACGGTAGATGTTCCGCAGGTTTCAAGGTGGGGCCTAGTATGGATGTCGGGGTAAAGGACCGCGAGTGGTGGATTGCGATTTGGCTAAAGGCGGGATCGTCAATGTCCCGATGCCCGTACCCGGCCGTTTCCCATTTAAACATATTGTCCGCTGCCCGAACCGCCGCGGCTCTGGAATTTTTGGAGAGCTGTTCGCAGTCATTGCGCCGAGGGGTTTGGATCGCGTGATGGTGACGCGTCGGCGGGTGCGCTTTTGGAAAGCCTTCCGTTGCTAAGGAGGCCGTCGACTTGAGCGCCATTGCGAGCCGGAACGGAAGGTGAAGGCAGGAACTTGTGGACGTTCTCCGCGTGTTTCCCCGCACAGGGAGGTTCCGGTAATCGCTAGGAACAGACGGAAGAAATCTGGGGTAGAATTTGGTGAAATGATCGTCCTAGGCGGTTAGCAAATGGTGGGCAATGTATATAATACAACCGGGTTCATGGGACGTACCTGAACGGATTGAGTGCTGATATCTTGCAGCTATGCTGTCCAAAACGCTCTCTAAGATCCTTCTGTTCGTTTCAATCGCTTACGCAATCCCGTCACCGAAAACTAGACGTGATGACTCCATACTTCCTTTCTCGACGGAAGGTCGAGATATTGTCGACAGTAATGGCAACGTCTTCCAATACAAAGCGACCAACTGGCCCGGCCACCAGGAGATCATGATACCCGAAGGCCTACAGCACGCCTCAGTCGCTGACATCGTGTCATGGATTCCCAAATTTGGACTTAACTCTGTGCGCCTGACTTTTGCTATCGAGATGGTCGACGACATCTACAGCAACAGCCCAAACCAGACACTCGAGAAGTCCGTCATCAATGCGCTGGGACAAGAGAACGGGACCATTGTGCTGCAACAGATCCTTGACAACAACCCAGAGTTCACGAAGGAGACGACGAGGCTGGAGGTCTTTGACGCAGTCGCAAAGGAGTTGGCAAACCAGGGAGTGATCGTTCATCTGGATAACCACGTGTCGAAGGCGTTCTGGTGTTGCGGGGAGAATGATGGGAATGGCTGGTTTGGAGAGAAGTACTTCGACGTCGAGAATTGGATCCGCGGGTGGTCGTTCATAGCGAAGCATGTACGTCCTCCTTACCATGCACGCAGGAACCAGACTGATAGAAAACAGGCGAAAGAAAACTGGCCTACCTTCGCGTCGGCCGGTCTGCGCAACGAGCTCCGCAACGCCGCGAGCGCTGAACCGGTCGATTGGTACACGTGGTACGTCCACATGACTGCTGCTGCAGATGCCGTTCATGAAGCTGCGCCGGATGCCCTCCTTTTCTTCTCCGGGCTATCCTATGACACCTACATCGACCCTATCCCGCTTGGTAAGACTTTAAACGGCACCGCCGGTACCTCGACGGCCAACAAATCCGCGAAGTTTGTCCCTAGCAACTTCCCCTGGAACGACAAGATCGTTCTTGAAATCCACAAATACGACTTCGAAGCGACCCAAGACCCCTGCCCAACCTTCAAATCCAAATGGTACAAGCAGGGTTTCCAAGCCGTGAATGCCTCGGATCCCCAGACCGAGTACACCTTCCCGATGGTGATCACGGAGTGGGGCTTTATCCAAAACGGGACGTATTGGAACCAGACGACGTACAACCGGTGCTTGATCGAGATGGTGGAGGACTATCAGGTTGGCTGGATGCAGTGGGAGCTGTCCGGAAGCTTCTATCTGCAGACGAGACTGGGGAGAACGCCGGCGACGATCCAGGGCCTGGAGGAGTTTTGGGGATTGCTGAACTACAACTGGAATGATGTGCGGTCGCCGGTTACGGTTGAGAATAGTTTGGATAAGTTGATCCAGGCTTTGGACTGAGCGTTAAAGGACATATCCTACTCGCTCTACTATAGTAAATCTTACCCACATTAGTGCACATGAATGGGGATCTAGAAAAAAAAGTGCGCGTAGAGAGCGACGCTACTCCTGGTGTTGTGGAGCGCGTGCGTCCTCACGTAGGTCCTTAGTTCTATTCATTCTAGACGCGGCTGAGGAAGCGCTATGCGAAATTGACTTATGACCGATGTTTGGCGATGCTTGTCGATGAGGAAGTCGAGAGGCTGGGAATGAGGTTGGGAGACTCCCGTTCAGCTTTCGTCCTGTATGGATCACGTCATTCCTGATCGGGACTAGTTAAAAAGCCAAACTTTTCAATGTGACTGCACCTTTCATCCTCTCCTCTACCGTCTCATCAATCTTCAACTGACAACCTTGCTGCTAGTATACCGGAAACCATCTTCACAAATTTCAAGCGAGCCTCTCAATGGACTCAATCTCCCATGCATCCCGAGGTTAATTCCTGCGTGTCCTCGTGTCCTTCGCCGTTCATCCCCGCAAACAAGGGACTTCTCCGTCATCCAAGCATCGCCAAACGAATTTGACCAGCTCAGCATGATTGCAGACGGAATATCTTCCTCTACCGGCTTTCTCGTGGAGTGCTTTACCCCGGAGCCATCGCCCCCGCACCGAGTCGTGATCCTTGGCATCCCGAACGGGAAATACCCCGACGCCCGAACCACCGACACGCCTCCGCGCCTTGATATTGGATGCCAAGTATGCACTATGGCCTACATATTGCATCCCAGGATCGTTGATCCGATACCGAGCAACGGTGGCCGATAACCCAGGAAACCTTTTCCATTCTGACTTTCAGGGTTCGGGATCTATCCAGAGGCCTACCAACGTAATGGCGCCGACGACACTGCGTGACGAAACGGCGGGCGTCGAGTCTCGCAATGCTAATGTTATCGCGCCTACCGACGCACCGAAGCGCTCGCCATGGAAGGCCTGGATGTACCTGTGGGAGTGGTACCCCAAACACTACCCTGAAGAAGAGCGCAAATTACTGCGAAAGATGGATGCTTGCCTCCTCACATTTTGCTCCTTCATGTGTAAGTTCTGATCGTTCGCTTTAGAGCAAAATGGTCAAGGTCATCTAAAGTGCTGACGCAGGACAGTCTTCCTCAAATGGCTCGACTCAAGCAACATCAACAACGCTTACGTATCCGGCATGAAGGAGGAACTGAGCCTGAACGGGAACCAGTATTCCCTCTTCGGCACCTTCTACAATCTTGGCTATCTCGTCTTCCAGATCCCGTCGCTGCTCATACTGTCCCGGCCTAAGCTGGCAAAGTATTACCTGCCCACCATGGAGGTGCTCTGGTCCATTGTCACGTTTTGCCAAAGCCAGATGCGCAATGAACATGATATCTACGGGACGCGATTTATCTTAGGTCTGCTCGAGACGCCAGTGGCGAGTGGTACGACGTATATTCTCGGAAGCTGGTATCGGCCTGAGGAAGTGTTCAAGCGCACCGGCGTTTGGTTCGTATCAAACAACATCGCAGTCATGTTCGGTGGCTATCTCCAAGCTGCGGCGTACAAGAACCTGAACGGTCACGGCGGAATGGCTGGCTGGCGATGGCTCTTCATTATCGATGGCATTATCTCGCTGCCAATCGCAATAGCAGGGTTCTTCATCTTCCCTGGGCTTCCTTCCAGCAAGAAACCATGGTGGTTGACAGAAGCGCAACATGAACTTGCGAGGAGAAGAGTCCGGGATGTCGGGATCGAGCCTAGCGGAAAGCTGGACTTCAGTGTTATCAAACGAACGCTGAGGAGGTGGGAGTTCTATGTCGGCGTGATAGCTTACACCTTGTGAGTCCTGAGGAGCCCTTAACTAGTCGCTTAGTTACTGACAGCTAAAGCTTCCTCTCATCTTCTTACCCCCACGGTCAGATGGCTCTATGGTTGAAAGACCTCGCGAGTAAATACGGCAGTTATACCGTACCTCAGATCAACACTATTCCGACCGGCGCTCAGGGTGTCTCCGTGGTTGCGGCTTTATTAGCAACTTCCCTGTGCATGATATATCCGCTGTGGTCGATCTTTTCCATCGTGCAGGTCATCTACATGTTTGCGAACATCTGCCTCTTGGTTTGGGTAATACCCAAGGGCCTTCACTGTAAGTCCGAAATACTTGCCATCAAATTTGAAGTCGCTGACAGGAGCTACAGTTGCCTGTTATTACCTGCTTGGAGTGTCGGCGGCTGTCACGCCTATCCTAATGCCGTTCATAAACATGGCCATGCGCGATGATGCCGAGGCTCGTGCGGTCACCGTTGGAGCTATGGTGAGTTTGCCTGCATGGTCTCTAAACTAATTCGCTAATGCTTTTTCAGTTGACGGCTGGCTGGGCGGTATACTCCTTCTACCCGATCGTGGTTTTCCCAGTCATCGAGGGTATGTCTCTCCGCCCAACTGACAACCCAATGCTAATAACTGCTCCAGCTCCGCGATGGACAAAGGGCTACTCTGTGAACATCGCGTTCGTCTTCTTCACATGGTTCTTCTTCATAGTTGGACAGTACCTTTACCGGAAAGATGAGAAGAAGCGTGAGCTACGGGCGATTGCGCAGACCACAAAGGATGAAGAGGATGGCATGAACATTAGCGACAAGGCTGTGGGAGAAGTTGTGGAGCATATCGAGCAAAGGCATTGAAGGCGATGATGTTTGGGCCAAGTCGCGCGACGCCACTAGCCGCCTAGGCCGTCAGCACTAGTTAGCCACTCTCGCGCGAGCCAGGGCCAGTAGCCTCGCTGCATCCTGCCTGTATATATCTGCCAACGCTCCACCACTTGCGACCGTTCTCCATCCTTTCTTTTGCGTTTCAGCCATGGGTAATCAACCCTCAACTCCACAGCCCGGCACAGAGTTCCAAGTTATCGGCGCAGGGCTATCGCGCACAGGCACCGCGTCCTTCAGCGAAGCCCTGCACATCCTCCTTCAAGGACCCGTCTATCACGGCGGCACGCAAGCGACACTAGGCCCCGAAATCGAAATCAAATCCTGGATAAAGCTCCTATCGCATTACCCACCCAAATCCGAAGCCGACCGTAAACTCATCCTCAACGGCTTGAAGGAGCGCTTCCACGGTTACGCCGCAGCCACCGATGCTCCGGCCTCAGGCCTCGTGGAGCAGCTAGTCGAGCTCTATCCCAACGCCATGGTAATCTGCACAGTCCGCGACCCGCACGCGTGGGTAAAATCCATGGAGACCGTGTCCAACGCCTCCACTATGTGGTTCTTGCGCTTCGTACTCTTCCCCGTTCCTGGCATGCGCTACTTCGTCGACTACATCAACGTGCTGCGAAACCAGTGGGTTTATAATTATGGCGAGCATGAGCCGGTTACGAAGAAGAGCTGGGATAATCATATGAAGTATTTGAAGAGGGTTGTACCAAAGGAGAGACTGGTTTTCTTTGATGTGAAGGAGGGATGGGGGCCACTTTGTAAGGCGCTGGGGAAGGAGGTACCAGATGTAGAATTTCCAAGAATCAATGATGGGGAGGCGATTGAGAGGTTGGCGAAGAGGATGGTTACGAAGGGGCTTGTGAGGTGGGCGGGTATATTCGCAACGATTGGTGTAGGGGCTGCGTCTTACATGTGGTTGAAGTGATGTGGGAGGATACAGGAGAGGTCGAGATGACGCATTAAGGCATTACTCTAGGTGCATTAAGGACGAACGGAAGTTATCTCTCTTTGGAGAGTAGGTACAAGGTCAAGATCATGCTAATATGTTCTAGCCAGTCTGTCCAGTCCACTGTTCCACGTTGTCAGTCCTGTACAAACTCTTACTGGCACTGCCAGTAGTCTGTCGACGGTCAGCACTCATTCTCTCACCACAATTTCTAGGGGCGGGATCTTACAGTCGTTAATCTTCACACACTTCTGCCCCTCCGCACACTTCGCCTGCGCATCCCAAAGCAAGCTATCACACTGCTCCCACTGCTTCGCCGTATAGCTAGGTGTCGGACTCGCCCACACGGTCGCGGTTTGCGTATACACCGGGAACTTGTCGTCATCCTTCCTCCTGCAATTCGTCTTGTTCACAAGTTCATCTGGGCAACGAATCTGCACCACCATCAGCACATTCCTCGTTTCCTCTCATACACTCCTTTACCATCATAAGGTTCGACTCACCTGCTCAAACTTATGATCGGGATTATCTGCATTATTGAACCAGTCGAAGCGCCAGTAACAGCCTGGTCTAAGCAGTTCAGGCATGCTGTCACAGTCGCTGCGGTTCGCGACGCCACCGTAGCGGTTTCCGCCTAGGCCGCCGAACTGGCTGCTACAGCCGTCGAAGATGCCGAGGCCACCACCCGGCATGGCGATGTCCATTTGGTTGCTGCCGAGGTCGCCGCCCGTGTTGGTGGATTGGATGAGCATAGTCTTGCCACTCGCTTTGCCGGAAGTGAATGTCACACTGTCCACTGATTAGCCCTCTCACCTTCTCTCTTCTACTCATACTACATTCACCCAAGGAATAGAAAAGAAAAGTACTTACGCATAACAAGCACAACACCAATCACTTTCCGTCTGGCCACTGATCGCCGTCGCCGCGAACCCAAACGCCAACGCGCTGTTCACAGCCCATGGGATCTGGCTCGCGCACATGTACGATGTCCCGCTGTCGCAGCCACTCTTTGCGTTGTAGTCGGTCAACGGATTGTTGTTCTTGTCGCATGTGGTGACGGGGTTGGAGACGTCGGCTTTGCCGGGCCAGGAGCAGGATGGCTTGCAGCAGTCCCAGTAGCGGGTGGACTTGCCGGTGCCGGAGGCGGCAAGTGAGAGAGGAAGAAAGGAGAGGAGGGCTGCAAGGATCATGTTGGTAAGGACAAAGTGGTGAGTTTTCGAACTGTTCTTCGGGGGCTGTTCGGGCTCGCGCTTGCACTTGCAGCAGCTTTATACCCGCCCTCTCCGGCATCACTTTCGCGCCAACCAGATTCTCCTGACGTTCATATCGAGCTTCGGAATGTACATGTAGACGTACCGACGGACCATGTCCTCGTATAGCAATCTCGTGTGACATCACCACCTCATCCAATTTGGAACACGCTGTTCTGGGGCCGCTCGGCTCTACACCCACCTTATTCGGGATAAGGTTGGCAGAGCTCCTGGGTCAGAAGACACATGCGCTTATTGAGGCTCTGGAGCCTTGTGGGCGATTACCCGGTTTTAAGTGGTGGTGTGACAGAGGGCTGGAGGAGGCACGTGACTGCATGCCCTAGCAGCGCCTGGCACGCACATTTTTCAGATTGGAGGCTTTATGTCCTCGTTTATGAATAGAAAGATGGCATAAAATTGGGAGTCTAAAGGGAGTCGGCGTTACTAGAGCGAAAGTTTGGAAAAGGTTCCCTGAAAGTAAAAGCAGACAATGCCCCTCGAGTATTGTGAGGCATCTCACCTCATCTCCATGGCTCTATCAGACTTTAAGCTCGCGATAAACGTGGTCCAAAAAATGGAAAGCAAAGCCAGCATTACCATCAGAGGAACCGAGGCATCCTGTAAGTCGCCCTCATGTCCCCAAGAATACAGCCACATAAAGAAGAACCACACTAGCGGTGTAATACAAAGCACGTTATATGCTAGTATCCGCCAGAAGTGGATCTCGTGGCGGGCAAACAGGCCCCAAAAAGGCTCCCGCAACTCACTGCGTTCGTCCAATCGCACCCGTCTCTTAGGAAGTACATCCAGTACCTCCCGATTGTGAGCCTTCTTCCTAAGCATTGCGCATTGACAGTTCCTATAACAGCGAAAGTGGAACACACTTGAAGTGCAAGAATAAAATCGCTTGTGGAACTCGTGCGGTGTAACGGGCGGCATCTCCAGCAATGGCTTTGGACAATAGTCGTATTCTGAGTTGTGCGGATCCGGGTACTGATCCTTCCTTTTGGGCGCTATTGAAAGCTCGTCGAACTTCTCGAACTAGGTGGGGACTAATCAGCGCATTTGGAGCCACAGGCCACATGCTTTCGGGGGTAGACCCACCTTGTAAAAGTCGCAATGATCAAAGCACCAGACGCTGAGATAACGGACGAAAAAGCCTCGGAGTCGGAAGTATTCGGACTTTAAGGTAGTGAAGAAACTGCTGCTGCTATCTCCACGCACATTAATCTGGGCGAGACGATAATCCCCGCCGGTTGGTACGACAAACAGGATCCAGCTATGGAGGTTTTGATCTACCAGGTCGGTATTGGCAATGGGAGACAGCACATCCTGAAGTTGCCATGATTGCTGATCGAAGTGCGGTACAGGTTGACTTGCTGATCCTGTAGTCGGTTGAATATGGCTTTGGGGTCCATGAAAGGCCAATGTTTGGACTGAGGATGTATTTGACCTTTGCCCACCTCCACCGGTTGAAGCCAAGTGAATTCCTAGTTGATTTAAAGCGCCGGCTAAGGAGTCCGGAGCGTCTATCCATCTCTTCTCACCGCAGATCTATCGGTTCGGTTATTAAACCATCAGTATCGGTTCGTTTCACTTACACAGGTCCATCTGATCCGCATTTCATCTTTTCCAGTGGGGCGCCATGCCGGACTCAGTGGCCACCAGTTCCACTTCTCTCTAGTCAAATCTTCAACCCTTATCTTGAGAGCATTCACATGTCCTCCCCGATGTTCACGTGAGATCGATATAAGAGATGGATCGACGTCCCTGAGTTCGGTAGCCAAGGTCCTGGCTGCCGTGACCCACGTCTGCTGGGCGGGGTCTGAGGTGTCCTTTTTGGGGCGCTCAATGAAGTCCAGAAGCATTGACCTTAAGGTTGGATGCACAAAGCTCTCCAGATTCTTGCACAAAGCCGTGAATGCGGAGCTCTGGGTGATGAAACCTCTCACTCTGGATAGTTGATTTCTCTCATCTTCACCGACGGGCTGATCCTCCTCATCATCGGTCTCATCCTCCGAGCTGCTCCCATAGATCTGCATGTCATCCCGTAAAGGCGACAGTTGGATCTTGGCCGGTTGAGATCGCTTTTCTTTCTCATTGCGGAGGGGCGATTCGTCTTCTGCTCGCTTGCGAATGAGGGAAGATACGGCTCTTGAGGAAATGGCGACAAGTTTGGAAGCACGGCGTTGTTCCAGATCCTTAGCTTCATCTCGCAGGGAGGATGCCATTCGCTTGAGAAGGCGTCGGAACTTTCGCTCGAGTTGATCTGCGCTCACTCTGTTGCCCTCGAGAGCTCGGATGAACAGGTTATGCACCGATTGATTACCCCATAGCAGGGTTACCAACTCTTGCAAAACCATATCATTCGCTTCACCCGGTGGAAGAGAGGTTGCTGTGGTGATACTACCCGCTTCGGACCAGATCGACTCATCATTTATGAAGTAGTCGCCATTTTCGGGATCTTCTATTCCTTCAGCTCCTCTAGCACCTCCCGATGATAGAGACTCTCTTTGCCGCTGCTGCCTGTTGTTATCAGATGAATACCCACCACTACCACCACCATGGCCATAGCCATCATCACGATAGCTTCCACAGGCAGGGCAGAAATCGGGCGTTAGTTGCGAGTTGCAAGTGCCACAAGTAGCGCATGTCCAGCTACCCTCCGCGGGGGCAGCACCCATGGCGCATGCTGCGATTGTATTAGCCCATGTGCGTGCCTTGTGAATTCCTTCCCACTTGCTAGCTTTCCAAGGTCCTGGAAAATACAATTGATAAAGAGGGGCACTGAGGAATTGAGGGGCTTCGAAGTACGTAGCAAGCTAAACGACTTTAGCAATTGCTCCTTCCTGGCTCGTTGTGGAAGGCTGACGAGGTAAGCAGGAAGAACGCAGCAGGGCCTTTAAATATGTCCTCATTTAGTGGGGCGCATCCTAGTTGAAGATGATAAGCATTGGTGGCGCAAGGCTGAAATTCAACATGCGCCTCTCATGCTCGTACAAGGCTGACTTGGCTGTAAGCCATCAGGCAAACACCAGCCCTCTTAACGCGGGTCATTGTCAGCTCGATTACACAAAAAAAATCTCTTGAAATCTCTTTTGGTTCCTATTACCGTAGCCTTTTTCGGCCACCTGCCTCTAACATAACCATGTTGTCGTCTCTTACGTCCCCTAAAGCTAGTGCATCTGCGCTTCTTCACGACCACGTAAGTCAATATTTTTTAGGTGCCCGTAAAAGGAGTACTGTTAACTTCACAATGCAAGCTTTTTGTCGTATATTTGGGAAGTGATGCTTTTATGGTGTTGCTTACAACTTCTGGATCTCTCGGACCATCTAATGCTTGCAGGAATTTCCCAGAGACTTAGCTGTGGATTTACCTTCATCTACTTAATTACAAGCATGATTCTCCTCTCTGCTGGCCAGCTTCGTCCAAAATTCCTGCACCCTCTCCACCTGCTGCTCAGCACGACTATTGATCGCAAGAAGGCTCGCTCGGGTTCGTTCGTATGGATTCCGAGGCCCTTTATCTCAGCTTCGCGTCTCGTGGATTTTCTGTATGGTGTGGTGCGGTTGAGGTATCTGCTCACCATGCGCCGAACCACCTATCCCCTCTTGTGTCTTAGACACAATCTCATTCGGATAAAACAAACACATAATATGACATTTAAATACACCAATACAGCTCCAGTTGCGTGTGTTCGTGCACTCGATAGGAGGACAAGCCTATATGCGTGGTTTGTCATTCATTCTTATTAGCGTCAGTGAACGTAAACTTCCAGTGATCTCAGCTCTGGACACTGGCGTGGTGAAAGAACGACGAAATTTGATTCCCAACCAACGCTGCCTGAGAGTCCCTGCCATGACGTACTCCACAACCAGCGCACTGTCGCTCCAACTTCTCGAGCTCGCCGCACCTCACGGTCTTCACCTGCGCCCAACTCGCACCCCTCTACCCAATCTAGGCTTTTAATCTTCACAAACATACTCAGACTATCAACCAAATCGCCCACATTGACCTAGACTTCCGATCGCAACAATGGCGGTCGTCGAAGCGCGCGCTCAGGGACCATTCCAGTTCCCGCGACCCTCTCTCGCATCCTTCGCCTCTACCGTAACGACCTTCGCATACGTGAGCGGCTCTAATGGCACGCGAAACATCCTCAAGTCTTTGTCCACGACACCCGAGAAGTATCTCCGCAATGCTATCAATCCGCCAGGCATTCGACGTTCCTTATTCCGAGCGCTATGGACGAGGAGCATGACAAGGGCGGTGCCCGGAATGGGAAATAGCGACGGTGTGAAGCTGGTGGATATTGACCTCAAGAAGGAGGATGGTGAGTACTTCGCTTGTCCTGCAAACAGCACTGGCTGACGTAGCGTAGAGCTGGATGATGTGCTGGCGAAGACGCAAACACTCCGCTCTCGACCAAACCGCCTACAGAAGGAATGGGAGACGCTGAGGAACATCAGTAAGTAGAAAATGCTTCAAACTCAAGGCGGGCCTACTAACCGGACATAGATATATCTGGCGCTCTCGAGAAGACATTGCTCATCCGCTGCACACCAAACTTACTAGAAGACACACTGGCTAAAGAAGGTGAGCACGTCAGACCTTTGTATACAGCAGACTGACTGACGGATGCTAGAACTGGACGGTTACCTAGTTGATACGTTGTGGTACCGCGCCACACCCTTTACCCAACTCCACCTGGGCCTTATCATTGAGGTTGAACCGCACGCCATCCCGCAAGTACGCTCCAATCTCGTGCGCTCCACGATCTTCCCAAAGCATTGGCTGCCATCTAGTGTTGCCAAAATTGCGGAGGAGTTACAGGCAGCGCGATGGATCAAGGAGATCGCCCAGCTCTTCCCCGGCATCGAAGGTAAGCATGCTTCCGCGACAGGCTCCTGCTCGTGCTAACTGGCTCCTAGATAATGGCGTTCGTCCACCGCATACATCGCGCGCAATCACCCACGAGCCGACATTCATCAATATCCGCCGCGGCGGCTTCTCCCTGAACCTCGACCTCTCCTCGCTAACCCCTCGTCGGGATGAACGCTCCGCCGAGGAGATGCTCGTCTACAAGATCATCGAAGACCCGGACTTCTCGCTCATGGCTCGCTGGAAGCCCGGTCACGCTGCATGGAGCGGCGGCTACGTGCGAGAGGATATCGACCTTCCGGAGGGCACTGACTTCTTTGCACAGAAGTTCTTCGCCGAAAAGCTGCGCTTTGAAGCTGCAAAGAATGGCGCTCTCCCGCCGCCTCCGCGGTTTAGATTCATGCAGCAGTCTGCTCTGCGAGACTTCGACAAGATGGCCAAGGCTGAAAATGAGGAAGCACACACCGGCGAGCGCGACCGCTTGCTGCGCTGCAAGATCGAGCACAACATTCCGGACGTTGCCACGACCGAGAAGGAAGAGAAGGCGCTGAGAAAGATCAAGCTGCAGACGCTGGAGGACGCCGGCATCCTCAGCTTCTCGAACGATGCCATCAAGACGTTGCTGAAGATCGAGATGGATGGGATCCTAGCGAATGGCGACGACGCGGACTTCGATGGGAAGCTGATCTCTGATATCGTCAGCGTCTACAGTGGCGACATCGACGAGGAGTACTGGAACTTGCCGTCGACTATGGAGGTCCTGATGAACAACAAGCACCAGGAAGCTATCGAGAAGTGGATCCCCTCACCGTCAGCGACGATGCACCAAGATTTGGGCCACGGCCATGAGCTTGAAGAGACCGAGGAGACTTTCGACGAGATCTACGAAGAGTTCCTGAGAAAAGAAGAAAACCTCGGAGAGGGAGAGATGATGTTCAGCAACCTCCACAAGCTTGGCCAGCCGGGATTCGATGCTGAGGATGATGAGATTCCGGAACGAGAACCAGGTTTCTACAGCAACATCTTGTCGGATATGTCGAGCTTCACGAGCAGTTCCGCCTCTGACGAGGATGAGACCGATGATATCGAAGAGGATGAGAATAGCGACGTGAAGCACGATACTCCTCCATCTTCTACGACTAAGGCTAATAGCGAGGATGGACAGACGACTGACGAAGATCTCCTCTGCGTTGATACATCCTGTGGTGCCTTCGAAGAGAACGGTCACGAACACAAGAGCGGGCCGCGCCGGGACTCTGGATACAAGGGTTGAGGGAAGTAAGGCTACTTTGGCACAACGACTGTGACGCGGATCCTACACAACCCCCCACGACATATGGCACCCACACCAGAAAGGGGTGCTAGGCAGGTTGTGGATGTGGAGTTCACTGCGTTGCCCGGCAGACGAAGACCGTTCCTGGAATGCCGTGGGAAGGACCTGAGAAGTTCCTTTATACTTTCCAGGGAAAAGCCTGCTACCGGGTGGGCATGTTTATATGCGCTTGCGGACGATTTGGATACGTGATTGCGGCAATGAATCTTTTGGGAAATGAGGTTGGACCGCCTTGACCAGACCACGATAGCAGTTACACAATATAAAGAGCGCCAATGTTAGCAAGCTCTACATTTCTTGCACATCACAAGTGTGCGGTTCATAAACAAAGGGGAAGTCATCTCGTAGTGAATGTCATAATCACGTGAGCGTCAACCCTTTTGGTGCTATAGAACTCTGGTCATTTACGCATATAAGGATGCCCGTACTTACTACCAATTGGGATTCTTAAAGCACGTGCACTTGGTGTTAGTAAGTCTTGCGCAGCATGCGATCTTTATTGTTCGGATACGTCAGCTTTAAGAAGAGAGAATAAAATAGTTGCCAGACAGCGAGGAAACCTCATGCAAAATATAATGAAAGAAATTAGAAACGTGGATCGCGGAGTCAGTCTGAAGAAAGCGTTCCTCGTTCGAAAGATATCATTCACCCTATTCCGTTGTTCGCGTCCAACCGCATCACAACGTCATGCCCATTTCCCGAGCAACCACAGCTCTTGAACCACACCTGCCCCACCTAAAGATCTCGCGCCTTTCCGCTGAGCTCTTGCTCTTGTCTCAGCCTCTGTCTTTCGCATCAGCTCCCACGCGCGAGTCAACCCCCAAACCACAATCGCGCACCAAAGCTACCATCGATACATTGAGCCTCCCCAGCATAATCCTGCACCATGCCGCGCCTCCAGCTTCCTAGCAGCTTTGGAGGCTCACGCACTGCACGCATTGTAGCCCTCGCTGCCGTTGGCACCGTCTCGACCTACGCTCTCGTCAAGATTGCGAAGCATCTCAGCCGCTCCAATAGCCCTCTCGCATCCAGCCTCAAGTTCGGCCTCCGCCGCCCCCACTATACGCTCGACTCCAAAGACCGCCTCTACCTCGCCGACGTCGCTAATGGCAAGGACCGTCGATCCCGCGCACCTCGACAACAGAAGTCGCTGCCTTGGTATGGCCAAGGCATGGATGCGGAGTACGACATTGATCTCTGGGGTGTTAAAGAGCACGGTGTAGCGGTGACGACATACCTGAATGCGCTGTTTTATCTCGCGATCCCGCGATCAATGGGCGCCCCTGGCCAGCTATCCTTCGATACAGCGCCGACTGCCGCTGTCGACAGCAATATCCCCGACAAGACCGTATACTCTTTGGCCGCATTGAAGCGGCTCGCCATCCGCCACCTACAGCACCGTACTCCACGCACCCATCAACTTCTGCTCGGGTGGTACATCGAGGAGCCTCCCACTTTCGATTGGCAGAAGCTTAACTTCGTAATCGACCTCCACATCGGCATGAAGTTCAACATCGTTCCCCGCGGGTTCCTCGACGCCGTTATCTACAACCTTAGGGACATCGCACCCCGCGAGCCCCACGAAGAAACTCCGTGGTATTCTCGCTACTACCTCCCGCGCGACCTTGGCATAACTCCATGCAGCGATAGCGCACTGAAGGAGTTAGAAGCAGAATATGGACCCCTGCCTACGCAGATCGACTGGCATCCTGTGCCCATCCCTGGCCTTGCTGCTCGTAGCTCGGAGAACAAGCTCACCATGGCGGCCTACGGTCGCGGGCAGGCATCTATGGCCGCTCTGGTACGTGAGCGCGTTGAGAAAGGAGAATCGTATCATTCGGACGGCTTTGTCGATATCGAAGAAGGCGACGATTACTTTTCGTATCATATCTTCCAGGCCACCGTCTGTGAGAAATTGCGGAAAGAAGTGGAAGCGTTCGAGCAGAAGCAACTGCAACTACAACTACAGCAGCAATCCCGGGCTGAGCAACAACCCAGCAACTCCTCATCTTCCAAATCAAGTCAGAACCGCTCGCGCCCGTCCTCCAAACCGTCCTCAGGCTCATCCCAGAGCGAACAAGAGCCCCCAACAACCGCCTTCGACAAGCAAGAACCTCACCGGGCCACCGCCCAGGAGTTCCACGCCGCCAAAGCACTCTACCACGCCCACGCGAATCCCAACCATCCCCCACGTCCACCTCCGGGCTTCACTCCCTCGCAGCCACACAATCATGTTAGCACTGCGCCCTCCACACCTCCAGGCTTCCCCAGCCGCGCGCGAGGCGCAAACAAGATCCTATTCGTCCCTGGCCTCTACCTGCACGAGGATCTGGAAGAGGACTTGAAGAAGGGTAGCAAGGCACGACCGCTGACGCTGCAGCGGTATAGGCTGCTAGACCGGGGTGGATACTTCCAGAAAGCGACGAAACCATCGCTCGAAACGCGAATTCGGAGACGACTTCAGGCTCGGGTAGTTACCTACCGGCGCTAGAGTCTAGGAAACGCTACCATCCAGCCTCGGCTTCGTGCTCTAGTCCCGCTAGATGTGATCTGGCGGTCTCCTTATTTTCCTATTGGGTTATCAAGTGGACTATATCATCCAAGTCCATTCCTTCCTGCTCCTTACATCATATCATATCCGCATACTGGCCTCACTCGCAGTGCCATTCCATACATTTCCCCTCACGCATAGACAACGAGCGATTGCGGTAAATCGCTTCACGGCAGACTTCACGGCACGATACATACCCCTTTTGCTTTACTTTCCCTATTCCATCCCACTATTCTACAAGGCATGCATAGCCAGCAAGCGAGAAGTTTTTCGGAAGGACAGGTTTCCCGATCCATTTAGGTTATCGTCGGCGGTATACTTAGCGGGACGTAGATTATCCGTATCATCTACAGAATCCGCATTAGGAGCGAGACAAGCCGCTCTAGTGCTCCAGAAAGAGTGTCAGAGACTATGGGTGAACTGTATGTATAGGGAGTCTAGCTACAGGAAGCTACACGATAGAGGCGACCGGGCACCTACCTGCCAATGCGGATGACTCAGGGTCACGTGATAAACAGCCTTCCAAGGTTCTTTTCGGTTTTTTCCTATACGATAGATAGATTGCTAGTATTTCAGAAATGAAAAATCTTGAAACGGTTCGATGATGCAGTTGACATGTCATGGCTTTTTTTTCTCAACGCGTATAACTAAGTTTCCCACAAATCGTGCTTCCGAACTGTCATGCGCGGCACATCGAACCCTCCCAATGCAACGCCCTCGCTACTGTCATTGTTATTGGAGTAGCTGATCAACGTAGTGATGCGCGGGTGGGTGGGTGGTGGCGTAGTATGTATCCCTTTCGCAGCTTGTGGCTAGGGGGAGAGGGAGGGATCCGGTATAGTCGTGCGGTGCGGGGGTGGTGGTGGAATCCGCATGGGGTTATTCGTTGGGTGCAGAGCGCCGTAAGAGAGGGTGCAGGAACCGGTTGGAAGGGGAGGGCGAGGTAGAGAGTGAGAGAGGAGGTACGTTCCGATCGGGGAGGCGGTGCGTTGATAGGGAAGAGAAGGAAGTGCGCGGCGCTGAGAGCGAGGGGTCGTGGACGGACTGGGTAGGTAAAGCAGTGCAAACTGGTATTGGGAGACTCGGGGTACGGGACGGTTGACGGACGAAGGGGTGTGGAAAGCGAGTTTGAAAAGCACCAGGACCGTGGATGTGGAGAGGAGAGGGTGGAGCTAGCGGGGTCGATTTAGCTGTAGGGTGATGGTGAAGAGGAAGATAGATGAATCAATAGAATGGGAGGTATGGTACAAGACGAAACGAGATGCTGATGCCGACCCACCCACACATTGGGAAGTGATATAATTAAAGAGATAGACAGTGACGATGGCGTCGACGCACGCCGAAGGGTAGGTAAATCGCTGCGACTCGTCACTTAGTATGTTCGTCTTTATTTCGCATCCTGCGCCTTCTTCTCATCTTCTTCCTTCCTCCACTCCAGTATCTTATCATCCCGCTCCTGAACCTGCTCCGCATCCGCATTCTTCCGCGACACCCATCGCACCAGGTCATCGACATCCTCATGCGTGAGACCCCTCTCAAGCTTCCCCCTCTCCTTCGCCTGCGGAACTTCCTTCTTGAGGCTGCTGCCGTTGTTGTCAGTCCGATTGTTCGTTGGGGGGTGCTCCTCTATCGTGGGCATTGCTCGTTCGGCCGGGATATCAGATTCGTCACCGCTGGTGTCGTCTTCGCGCTTCGCCCAGCGCACCATTTCCGCGGTGTCGGAGTCGTCTGATGAGCTGGATAGGCTTGCGCCGCTCGCTCGCTTTGCGCGCACCGGACCTGCTTCGGGGCCTTCTCTGCGGGATATCCAACGTACGATGTCGTCGACGTCCTGGTCTTGTATGGACTCTCTTCGCTGGGACGGGTCCTCGGTTTCTGAATCCGATTCCGTGGAGACATCACTGCAACCTGAAGGCGCCACTTCCTCCGCCTTCTTGTCACCTGGTGCAGACCGCCGACTAACCCACCGCACGAGATCATCGACATCCGAATGGCCCAGGCTTTCATGCCCACTGTCTTCTTTGAGCTCTTCCTCCACCCTCGATCTTGTTGCTGGGGATTTTCGTGCTTCGCCGTCGCTCGGCGGATCCCGTCTGCTGACCCAGCGCATCAGGTCCTCGATATCCGAATGATTGATCTCTTCCTCGTCCTCAGCGCGGCTCCCTCTCGAGGTCGGCCTTTGATCCTCCTCCCCTTCCGAGCTCGCGGTCGACTCGTTCCCATCACCTTCCGGATTCTCTTTCACCTGCTGTAACGTCGGCGCTTCCTTACTCGTCATGCGCTTTAGCCTGGCGCCCATCCGATGCGCAAACCCCTCCCTGTTGGGCGACTTCGCCGGCGACTCCGGCGTCTTCGGTCGCTGTAGGCCTCTCCTCCCGTCATGTTCCGCCTTCCACTTGTCCTCTGCTTCGCGGTGAGCTTTCATGTCCTCCTCGATCTTTGAAGAAAAGAGGACGCTCCTCAGGGAATGAAAGCGCGCCATATGGGGATGTCTGTGCCGCGAGGTGCCGGCGCCCAATGACGGCGAAGGCGGCGGCGCAAGGCGGACGTGCTTATTCGACGGCTGCTCGAGCGGGGCATCTGGCTGCTGTCTAATCGGCTGACAGACGTCGCAACCCTTGTCTCGAGATGCGGCGTCTTCTTCTTCGGAGTGGCTGCCCTCTTCCTCGGTGCTCGACTGCTCTTCGAGCTCCTTGTCCTCCAGGATGCGCGTAACCTGCGGTGACAGCAGGCCCATCTTTTCCACTGCTTCGGTGTCAGGCACGTGGGTGAGCTCTGAAGCTGCCCCGGCTTTTGAAGAAGACGCGGGTGGCAGGTCGAAATATGACGCTTGGGATGCCATTTTCACTGGGTTCGTATCGTCAGGGATATAGCAAATGGCAAGGACAAGGCCCTAGAAAGAGTCGTACGTGAGAAGAACGCGCGGTGGTGTACATGCGTGCGGGCGAGGCAGTGCTCTTGGAGTTTCTTGAGCACCTGGGCACGCGGGCCTGGTTGGTTTGGCAGGCGACGCCGGCCATGAAAGGCGGGGCCACGGTCCGTGCTGTGCGGTGACGTCGGGCATGCTGATTGGCCAAGAGGCTGATTCAGCCCGCTTACAGTGCACCACGATCTGCAGCCTCTTCGGCGACATCATGACTGTCGAGGGCACTTATGCAAGCCCTGCAAGCGGTGTAGACTCCAGGGCTGTTGACAAAGCGTTGCAATGTTCGATGAGCTGATTTCGATATTGACGGTCTGAACGGGCCGGAGATGGGCGCTAGCAACAAACTCTCAACCTGCGAGACTCAAAACCACAGAACCTCGCAGACGTGATAACAGAGAGTGAGTACGTTTTAAAGGCCTCCGATCAATTCCAGCAGAGTTAACAAGCAGCCCATGAACCTTTCGAAAAGTCTCGAGACTTCCAAGGTTGGGATATATCGAATCACGTGACCCTGTTCAATCACGAGATCCCCTCGATCCTTTGTTCTGACAGAAAGAGCCTGAACTATCGAACATAAAACCCTACTAGGCCTCAGAGCTAGCGGATTGATTGGTTCTTCTGGTGATAGCGGACCGGGAGATACGTCTTAGAATCCCAATTGAGACCCTCGTCGGACCAGATCGAAAGCGTTTCTTGATGACCTACACGCCATTGCTCCAACTCCACCCCCTAATTACGCGTTCCTCACTTGTTCCCTCAAAAGTCAGCCTCATCCATATTCCTCACAAACCCCCACATCCACCTCACGGTATCCACATGCGCCCGCACGCCTACCCTCTCATCCACCGTATGAATATTTCCCAGGCCCTTCTGCTGCTTATCCCAGCCCGGTCCATACCGAAAAATGTGCTCGCTCACGCCCCAATAATACCGCGTATCGGTGTTGCCCGTCATGATGCCCGGTGCGACTAACAGCTCTTTGCCGTACAGGGCGCGTGTGGTCCCGGAAAGAACGGAGAAGGGGGAGGCTTTCTTTGCGTTGCGGTTGGTTGTGGTGGGCGTGATGGGGGCGGGCTCGAGGAGCGTGTCGCGTGCGCTGAGAGTGATGGAATTCGGGCTCTCGGTGCCGTTGAAAGGGGTTAGTGTGAGGTTGTACCTGGAAGCTATTTGCGCGGCGAGGGAGGCGATGTGCGACATTATTTCTTTTGTGCTGGAGCCGATGTTGATGCGGTGGTTGACTGTGAAGTGCGTGCGCTCCGGTAGCGCGTTGGTTTTGATGCCGCCGGAGATGATGTCGACGGCTACGGAAGTAGTGAAGAGGTATTTGACCTCTGGGCCGGCTTTTGCTGCTTCGACGGCGAGGTGGTCTTTGCAGTGGGACTTCTTGCAGGTCCCTGACGACTGTTGGCTTCGCTTGTGGAGGAGGTGCTTGAGCTTGGAGGGGAAGTTTGCTGCGTGCTCAGCGCCGCAGTAGAGGAGTTCGAGATACGGGTTCTCTTCGTCCAGCAGCGGCTCGTACGGATTCGCCTCGATGAGCGTGATAAGTTCGCTCGCGACTCCAATCCCATTGTGCTTCGGCGGGATACTCGAGTGCCCGCCCGGCATGCGCACCACGATATCGACGTCGACGGCGCCCTTCTCAGCGACGCCTGGGATTGCCCAATCCATGCCCCAGCTCTCCACGTTGACGGCGCCCTCGTCTACGATGACCGCGACGCCGTTATGCCCGTATCTCTTCTGCAGGAACGGCGCGAGATGATTCGCCCCCTCCTGCCCTGAAATCTCCTCGTCGAAACCGAAGCTTAGAACCAGCGTGCGGCGAGGAGAGAAGCCAGCTTCGATAAGCGCCTCCACAGCTTCTAGAATCCCAATGAGCTGGTTCTTACAATCACTCGCACCCCGTCCCCACACAAACGTGCCATCATAATACCCCGAGAACGGCGGATGCGTCCACTGGCTCACAGTACTATCCGGTACAGGCACAACATCCTGATGTGCCATAAGCAGCGTGGGCTTCAAAGACGGATCAGAGCCCGGCCACGTATACAGCAGCGCATGGGTATTAATCTTCTCAAGCTGCAGCGTATTGTGCACGAGAGGGAAAGTCTTCGACAGGTAGTCTGCGAAGGAGTAGAAAATGTCCCAACGCGGATCCACGCCGACGTCGCTGAGGTCGTCGAACGACTGCGTAGGGACGCGAACAGCGCCCGCGAGACGCTCAATGGATTTGTTGCGAAACTCGTCTGATTGGAGATAGTCTTCCATGGAATCTAACTCTTGCGTAGACTTTGATGGGTGTAACGGTTCGACTTGTGGACATCTTGGCTCTGTGTTGATGGGAGGCTTGGAGAACAGAAGTTGTGCGCGGTCGATGAAGTAATTGTGTAGGAGGTACCATATCGCTAATAAGAAGACGACGCCCCGAAGGGAAGGTCGGTATGTTGAAACATTACGAGGTCGTGGAAGCTCAGCGAGCGTCTGCTTTCCCCAATTCTTAGCCATCGTGGGTGCAGTTTGGGAGGTTGAAGTGGGATGAAAAGCGGAGTTAAGTGCGCCGGGGATAACAACGGGAGGCCAACCTCACTAGGCCCTTCTCGGAAGGTGCACAGGAACACAATACCTAGGTAGAGATCGGCCAATTTCAAAACAGAGCCGAAGAAAACGAATTCGATTATTAAATGGTAAGGGTTACGTCTGCCCACAGGAGTTAAGACACTCGTAAAATCTATGGCGACTCAAGACCGGAAAGACTGCTCAAGCCGAGCAGAGAACGCGCCTCGTCCACCAATTCGCTTGCTGCCCCTCACCGCTCCGCTCCCTCTCCTTCTCGCACGTCCCGCAGCCGGCGTTGACGAACTTGGGCCACGTATTGGTGAGGACGAGATACTTGATCTCGCGCTCAGCGGCGTCGAACACTGTCTCGGTAAATGCCTCTGGTACCGCAATATCTGCGATCGCATCTTGCCTCCCCAGCTCCGTCATTCGTGATACCGACCTCAAGTTTGCGCGCCCGAGAGTGTCGAGATTGATGCCTGATTTCAAATCGGTAGTGGAAGCAGAGTCTGGCGGCAGGCAATCGAAAGGCGTAACCGAATCGGATGAAGACATGGAGTGATTTCGCATGAGCATAGTGGCCGTGGTTTCGAAGATCTGGTGCAGATTCTTCATCTCCCTGGAAGAGATATTGATTGGGAATTCGGAGAACTCGAGAGAAACAAAATGAGCGTATATGCGGACCGCGGCGACGAATTGACTATGACGGTGTTGTGCTGTTGAGGATGCTGGCGAAAGCCACGCTTTCCGCCAATCCATAACGTGCGTCAGGAAGCTAACATTCTCGCCCGAGAAGTCTTTCAGGGCTGCAAATTGAAGTAGCGGAGCGGGATTGGCGCGGAGAGCGTTTTCGAGAGCAACCATGGTGAACATGTCGGATTTCTGCGAGTCGAAGGAGGATTTGCCGATGGGGCTTAGCTCGCCTGATTTGAAGGTAGTCATACCTGAGTAGGCACCGCTCTCGAGGGACAACGTTTTCTCAGGCTCGGCTACGGTGGAGTCTGAGTCGATGTTGAGTTGCTGACGCTTCTCCCAGGAAGCGATAGCGTCAAGAGTCTCTTGACGCAGCGTTTGGGTTTTGAAGACTTGGAAGATAGGAAAAGCGATGGTGATGACTTCCATCAGAAAGATCGAGACTGCGAACCAGCAAGGAGGGACGAAGTAGGCGTTGACCGGTGCCATTTGGGGTACATAAAGGCCTACAAGCCATAGAGGAGATGCGGGAAGACTGTGATCGTTAGGAAAACAAGTCCAGCGACACGGCAAATGTGACTTACCCGGCGAGGCAGCAGCAGATTGTCTGGATCCGCCAACCATGAACATCGCGAATGCCGCGAGACTTCCACAGCATGTACGGCGCATAGATCCAGGCCCAGAAGAACTGCCAAACGATCGAAAGCCACCACTCCCAACCCTTGCTGCACTTCATCCTCACTTCTGACGCCGTACCTTTGACGGTATAGTCAAAGATGCCGTAGCTGGGATGGAACTTCTTTGAACCGAAGAAGATGAAAAGAGTGAGGAGGAACTGTTGTGGTTAGCTCGGAAATTCTCTTAGAGGGGCCTTCCAAGCCTACCTGTACCACGAGGCCCACGGCGATGCACACCATCATCCGATCGATCCTATCCGCTCTCTCCACCCCACGGAAGATCCTCCTCCAACGGCTGTTGGCCAGACGCTCAGCTTGTTCTTGCTCCATGGGCGGATGATCGCTCAAAGAGCTCATGTGCGTATACTGCTTCTGTCGGCTTGCAATATGCAGGAATTGGCTATTGGCGGCATGGAACATGGCGATGCCAAAGGGGAGGTAAATGCTCATGATCCAAAACTCCGCTATACACGGAGCCACGGGCAGAAGGACATAGCCGATGATGCACAGAATACCGTACACGTGCAGAGAGACTACGCCGATGAAAAGGACGTGCAGTCGTCGGATCCGGAGGCATGGGAGTTCTCGGTGGATGTGAAGAAAGAGTATACCACCGGCCAGAGCAACGGTCCAGGCGATTGCAAGCCCAATATACGTCCAGCCAAGCCGATCGATGCCTGCTTGTGCCATCGTGGAGGATATAGTAGGGAGGACGTTGACGAGATAGGCCTGGCGGAGGCGTATGTGAGCAACACAAAGGAAGCGACGTCGTCATCGCCTTCGCGAGGGGCAGCACCCCTTATATTTGCGCAATCCACATGGCAGTGGAGAAGCTTGTGAGGTCGCGGCTGCGTAGTAGGGAGTTGTGTGATCTGAATGGACAGTGTTTCGAAGATCGTCCTTCCAGCCGCACCCTCGGTGATGTAGTTCCCGTGCTGGGCGAATCGCACTACATCATGTTGCGTGTGCGTCTTTTCGGCGGGAGATGCCCGCCAATGGGGTCCACCGGCGGCGGTGCCGGAGCTGTGGAACATCTACCGTAAGCGGCTAGCGGGATCTGCTTCCGATCTTGCTTTTGGGACCCAAAATCGAGGTCCCGTGTTCTGAGTGCACATCATGTCGATCCCCATCTCCAGGCGCCGCCAACCTCAGTTGCAGAATCATCTCCACCAGGAAAGCGGCAAAAAGAAGAGCGATGCCTGGACGCATGAAAAGATGGATCGCGTCTCCACAGCAGGCGGCCTGAAGGGTGCGAGCTTCACCCCGGAGTTTAGCCACGCCATCAAGCTCAACCGTCGATCGCGTTTGCACAACCACGGGACGGTATGGGTTCATTGGTTGTAGCGTGTGCCATCGAAGTGGTGGCGTGCAGCGTCCTGCTTCTCCTGTTGATCATCTTACGGTGCGAAAACCGGGCCACAGCTGAGAAGAAACTTTATGGACCAGAAAACCTGTCCGAAACATGGTTTGTGGTTCGCGGCGCCGAACGTCGGTCGTGTCTTGCCCAGTTCCTGGTGCGCGCCGTCTAAATGAGGGCTGCAGCGCCAAGCCCACGTGAAAGGGACATTGACAGCTCGGATCGCACCCAACAGACGCCCATGAGCCAGGCATGGTGAACGGGAGCACCCAAAGCGGTGGAAATGAAGTACCGTGCGCCGCCAGCTTGCTGGAATGCGAAGTTCTTCGGAATCCATTGCCGGCAATATTGCCAAGATGATGCGGATCGGAAAGGGCGAGTCAGTCACTGTGGCTGCACAGACCATGCCGAAACTCTATCCCCGCAGAGGTGATAAAGAGGGAAACTCGTGGGGTGGGAAAGGCTTTTGGCTGGTGTCGCTGATGTTTCTGTTACGGATGCGGTCGCAATATCGATTACTTATCAACATTATCCACGGAAGGCCTCAGGCGGTGGCATGCTGGGCCAATTCGATAGCGATCGGCGTATGAGACGGGAGAGCCCGACTGCTGCTGATGCCCCGCAAGGTGGCTTGGCGGCAGGCGACCGAGAGAGGAGTCCTAAAAGGATATGGTTTGAGTGAAGTTCTGGATTCGCTCCTTGTACCTTCAGGTAACTGACGAGTATGAGTCAGCTCCGAATCCAGCTCTAGGTGAAGCCGCGGAGAAGCCACCCCGAGAAGACAAGCCACCGCCGCGTTCTTCTATCGGATTCGCTACGCTCCAAAGTTGCAGCTCTTTCGGACGTGCTGAGGCTGTTGCTTTTCTCATCCGCCACTCTGCTAAACGATCTAGCAGCACGACCCTGTAACTCGAGATACTCGCCATGATGAGCGCAATCGCGGCTTCGACCACTAGCAATAAAGTCATGGCCACATATTCGATGCGATGCGCGCTCGTGTTGTATTGGAGCGCTAGACGTGCCCCGGCGATAGCCACGTTGACCACGGATAAGCTCTTGAAGATAAAGTTGATGATCGTGTAAGACCGCGTAAAGTTTGCCATATGGATGAGTAGTGCGGGGATTGAGATGACTATAGCCGATTATTAGCCACTCCGTTCACACCAAGATCTGCGATACTGACCCAGGAGGTCGGTCACAATGTCAATGGCGGTCACAGCCATCTCCCAGGGCACGGTCCCTGTCGAACGGAAGTACCGGCATTTCCCTGAAGGATTCAGCATAGTCCGGAATGGGAGTCAATAGACGGTACCTGGACTAGGACAAAGCACGATAGGGTGGATGATGGTGAATAAGAAGGCTGCACTGCAAATGATGATCGAAGCCCAGAAGTATCGTGTTAGATGCACGCTAATATATGCGTACGGCGGCTTGTGGAACTTGAACTGGGCCAGAAAACAAAATTTGACGCAGTAAATGGAGATCCAAAGCATCTCGATAGCTGCAGTGAGGCAGGAGGTGGTCTTGGGAAGCTGGGTATGGTGATCGGCGTCAGATACCGCATACTCGTACCGATAGAGCCCGTCAAGAGTGGAGTGGAGCAATGCAGAACCCGCGAAGAGCATCGGAATAGCGGCGACGAGAAAGTAGTCGTTGACCATGAGTCTACCCTTCGTCGACATGCGAACAGCGAAGCGGGATGCCAAGAACAGTGTCGCGATGCCGCAAAGCGTCCACATGGTGACCTAGACACTGTTAGCTCATGCAAAGGGGCATATTCTAAGTGTGCGCATGCCTTGAAGCCGGTGTCAGAGATAAGCGTTGAGCCATCTCGCGTCATGAGCGAAGAAGCCATGTTTGCAGACGCCGTAATTGTCCGACGTGTTATTCCCGGCCGCCGAGGGCAAGAGTGCGGTGAGGGCGCGTCGTTGCCATCTTAGAACATCCTTTCACTGCTAAGGCAAGTATTCAGGGTGGAATTGCGATGAATATCGATGGCGATGCCATGGTTTGCGTGATGGAGGTATCGTGGCCGGAGACCGGGGTGGTGGCCCGAGCGCTAGGCGGGGCTAAAATCGGCCGAGCGCATGAAGGATCTCATCGTTCGCATTCTTCATGCACCCTTGGACGCAATGCGCGCCGTGAGAGGCGACGAAGAAGGTAAGGAACTGGAGGCAATGAGTTGAAGGGGATGTTGGTACCAGCCTGTACTATGTACACTTCAAGCGCTCCTCCCTGCAGCACCCTTCAACTCACTTGGCCATTTCGAACGCCGTCACAAAGTATGCCTCTATCCGTCATGGTCCCAGGTCATCACTCTATCAGTTGAACACGGCTTGCCGACTCGAACGCGGCCCGAAACGACCGGTGGACACTTCCATCTCGCTCCTCTCGGTTATACGGAGTCCCTAGCTCTTTCATCACCCGTGTATCATATTGCGCATCCATACACTTGCTCAAGCATCCTCGCATGCTTGTCTTAGGGCCCGCGTACGTGGAATAATATGGGACGCGACGGTTTCCGGACGTCAATATCACTGGCGTCGACCGGAATCGGCAGCATTATTGGACGTAAATTCGGGCTCTGCTAGTGTGAGGTCGCACGCAGGATGAATGGAAATAGCCAAAGCTCACTGGGCGTTAACGCCAGCTCGGTGGCACAAAAACTCCGATCCCCTTGGAGACTCCCGTGAGCTACGTCCGTGCACTGCTACACCCGCTTCGTTCGTCACATTAGTCGCTAGAGACGAGAAAGTCAGCCGTCTGTTAAAAAGATCAATTCCCAGGCATACGAGGCCTTCGAACACTAGCAAGCTCTTCTCCTCTCTACACTCTCAAACTCCAACGTATCTCTCTACTATTCAGCATGCGCCTCGCGATTCCACTCGGTCTCCTGGCGACTCCTTTCTGCGTCCTCGCGGCCCCCGCTCCCCGATCAACCCCACAAGAGTCCGAAGACGTCCAACCGGCCTGGGCGTTCTTCCGAGAGCAATGCCGGATCGCCTGCTCAGAGAATTGGTGCGGCATGAAGCCGGAGAACCCACCGTCTGGATGGCGACCGCCAGCTGCTTGGTGAGCCATATGCCATGCGCTTGGAGTCACTCTTACTGACCAGAGAACAGTCAGCAGCAGTGTGAATGGCTCTGCAAGGGAGACACGTACATCTAGCGTAGCGTCGCTCGAGACAGAATACTCGCGTCTTAGCGACTCCCTCGCTCGACAGAGCTCACCGCTAAAGGATTCAACGTCGGCACACGCCCGACCGCTAGGGTCGGGGTGATATGCAGGGTACATTTTTGTCGATAGGTGTTTCTCCAGCAAAGCAGAAGAATACATTCATGTTCCAGGCATTGCCTGTCCTCGCCCTGCACGGTCTTCCATAGCCTCCCAGGCGACGTTCACAGGTATTAACAGCAATTCACCGACTTTGCTGAATTGAGGACATATGATTTTCACGGGTGAGGTCCCTTACACGCTTGTCTCTCGCATTCGTTGGTCGACGCTAGTCTACATCCCTTCCCGAACACCAATTGGACGCACAGCGACGGGAGTGATGGGCCACGAGGTTGGGACGTCGCACACGCTGGCTCGGCAACAGCCGCGAGGAGACACAAAACCACCGCTACCAGGTAGAGCAAACATCTGCTTTCATTTACCCGTTTGCGCTTTCTGCGCAAGTCGACGCTATTAGATGCGCTGTCAGCCAATAGCAACCTTCATGTCATCGCGCATAGAATCATTCAGTGCGACAATGGCCAGAGAAGATATATGCGCCCTTTGAGGCTCATTAGGAAGTGCATCTGTGTCGGACAGTCACATAGGGAGGGAGGACTTTGCGGGTACCGTGTAAGTTATTTCATTGACGCTATCCATCCTATGGAATACCAGATCTACTATCTGATTAACACCACCGCAGTGTCTTTGCTGTGTCCAATCCAGTATCCCTCGGGGAATAAGCGCATAAATCCATTCATCCATTCCCGCCTTACAAGGTCACCGTGTACCACCCACCGCGGGAACCCACCCATCCCTCCATCTCCACCTAAGCCGTCCTAGGGATCAACTTGCAATCACCGAGATCGAACACAGGCAGCTGATGAGGCGTGCGCTTTCCCGGATTATGCAAGCCCGCGTACTGATTGTGCAACTGCGCAAGCTGTCGACGATTGTCTCCGCCGCTATCGATGATATCTTGGAGATTCTTGTCGACCCTGTCGCGAGTCTTCTTGCCGCCTTTAAGGCAAGCGTAGCTCAGCTTGTCGACGGTGTGCGCGTACTTCTGCTGGTCGGCGGGGGAGAGAATCGCGTTGATCTGGGACTTGATGGCTGCCATTTGCGGATCGTTAACGGGCGCCGTACTGGCCTGTGCTGGAGCTGGAGCCGGTGCTCGGGTCGGGGCAGAAGCTGTCGTGATAGCTTGGCTGGGAGTGAACTGGGAAAGTGATCCTGCGGGGACCTTGAGCTCAACGACCTTTGAGCGTGCGGTCCTGGCGTCCACCCCGCGAGCCTGACGAGGTGCTACCGGTGCCTTTGGGATGACCGGTGCCGGGGTTAATAACGTTGTAGGTGGATCAGGAGCATTAGATGGAGCTGCAGGCGCTGCAGTCAACGGTGTACGGGTACGTGATGGTGCGGGACGGGTCTTAGGAGATTGATTCGGAACCCTTCGTCCAGTCGACACTTGGAACCCCGTCGCAAGTACCCCAGCCGGTTCATTCCCTCGCTGCAAGTGTCCTGACGCAAGGCGCTGCTCCTGATGTTGCTCACCCAACTGACCCTGACCAGACTTCATCTGCATCTGCTGCTGCTTCGCCTTGCGGCCCAAGTAACCCTTTGCTGGATCGTTCGTCACATCCTTCAGAACCCCCACAACATGCTCCTCCGGAGCCAAATCTACAAGATGGAATATCGGCCACGGGTGGAGCAAGTCCAAGTTGATGGTATCTCCGCGCTGCCCGAAGATCAGGAGAATGCGTGGGGATGTGATGAGCATGACCTTCCATGGAGCGTGGAACAACTCGGCTTGGGCATGCGTTATGCGTCCGTCTGAGTCGCGGTGGATCTTGACAGGGCCTACGTTCCCACCACCGAGGTTGTTGATGTGGATGTCGGGGAAAGGGAAGGGAATCGGGGCGATTTTGCGGCCGGTCTGGGGAGGAGGAATCACCGGCACGTGCTGCTGATTCGACACCGAAAGCCTAGCCTCTGACGGAACATAGCCAGGCTGCACCAGCACTCCGGTTACGACTTCGCTGAAGGACATGTCCTCGTCTTCAAGTATATCGAGCCGAAGCGCTGGGGACGGTCCTAACTTTGCCATGTTGATGCTGTCCCCATTCTCTCCGAAGATCTCGAGTATACGCGCGTCGTTGATGAGCATCTTGGTGTAGTGCATGTCCGTCAAGTCGGCCTCAGCATGCGTAATGCGGCCGTTCGTGTCGTTGTAGAGGCGGATAAAACCTACCTCTCCGCGATCGTTGACGTTGTGGATGTGTGCATGTAAGATATCTGAGAAGTCGAGAGGGAGGGTTTTGCGGAAGGTAGGCGCCATTGTTGATTCAGGTCGAGTTAAGAGAAGGGAAGCAAGGGATTGGCCGTATCTGTAGTTCGGTACTTCGAGCCTTGGGTAGTCGAGTAGGGTAGAATGTTGTTGAGTAGGTAAGAAAAGAAGCTAGAGCATCAAGGGGAAGGACTGATAAAGACTCGAGGTTCTATCCACGCAGGTGAGCTAGCCGTTTTGGGCCCGATGAAGCAATTGATGGCTCAATAATTGCGCAATCGCGGCTGGGGCGCGACTGGTCACCGAAGTGACGGGTGAACTCTCGTACCTCGACCGAACGTGAAACGCGCAAAGAGCACGAGCGAGTGGCCATTGCTCTACGTTATGTACGTCTTCCATTTCCTTGATTAGGATTCGGTTTGTGTGTTTGGACCGCGATACAGACAAACAGTAAGTGTACTGTCTCGAACTCACAACAATGGTTATGTCGAAGGTGGCTTGGGGCCTTAGACTCCAGGCCTAGGGGCTATGGCTTTTTAGTCTGAAAACCTCGTGTGAGTGTGCCTTTCGCTAATGCTGCCATGGGGATAGAATGATGCATTTGTGAACACATTGTTCATAAGTATCAGTTAGCAAGACAACGATTCTCGGAGTAGTATCCTTATATGTCTTGTATCTTCACTATGTACGTTACCTCAAGTGCATATAGCCTTATAACAGTATATAGACTTCATCACATTCATATTCGCCGTGAGACTCGACATCTAGCGAAACATCTCGAACAAAATGACGCTCACAACTCCTGAAACTAATGCCTACGCCAGCAACATCCTCTCCCTCATTCGTCAGCTTCTCGGAGCCTCCCTCTGGGAAATATACAAGCACTTCGCCCTAGAAATCCTCGAAGGAAGCAGGCATTCAACTTATCTCAAGTACGCATCGGACGTTCTAGTGGACCTCATTCAGAACCGGCCTGCTGTTGTTCTTCTGCATAATGATCTAGCTCTCCAGATTCATTCTGCGCGAGACACCGATCTCCCATCACTGGATATGCCCATTGGCGTATCTATGGAGGTCGTGGAATCGTACTTCGAGATGTGCCATCGGTACTTCGGAGCAGGTGCGCAAGTTAGCGAGGAGGTGGATGCTAATTTGGCGTATGAGATGGACCTGGATCTGGAAGAAGTAGACGAGGCCGAAATTGCTCGACGGGAAGCAATCCGCTTTTTGTCCGAGGACTCGAAGTTGAAGCAAGAGAGGCAGAAGGCCATGGACGGCTTGCTGAACGCCATGACCTCCCTGGGTCTTTAAGTGCAAGGGACTTCGTCCTGAAGTGAAATCAGCTCCATTGTTCAAAGTAAATAATAGAATACCGATGATTGCCCCCAGTCCGACTCCATATATTTCATTTGTCCCGGCTCCTGTGACTCAGCCCTTCTAAGACAGTTTGCCTATCAAGCCGTTAGCGAGTCACTCGCAGCATGTCACCGTCGTGACTGCATTGTGGAGAGACATCATGATAGCGCACGTGTCAGAACCGTGCACATCCACGGCGCAAACACCTCCTTATAAACCACAAACTTCCCACAACCTAATCGCCCACAATCCAGATCTCTCTTTCGTCGCAACCATAGCCATGCCCAAGCCCAAAGCCAAACTCCTCTTCTACGTTCCCGGCCTCGCGCCAGCTCTCCTCTCAGCCATCAAAGAGCTTCTCAGCCCCGATTTCTGGACCCTCTATCTTGTTCTCGTCTACGAAGTCCTCGCCGAAGGAACCAACCAGAAGCAGTACGCACAGGCACTTTGCTACTTCTGCCCTAGGCACCGCGATATCGTGCTTTTCCATAATGACCTCGCGAAGTTGACTCATAGCAAGATGTGGGCGAAGGCCAAAGGGGATGCATATGCGAAACTACCGCGGGGGCAGGCGCCGACGAAGGTGCCTGACGTTGTTCGCGAAGGATATAAAGCACTGAGAGAGAGGTTTGTGGAATATTCGCAGCCACGAGAGCGAGAGGCTGAGGCAGCCGTGGAAGGTGGAGCGGATGAGGATGCGAACATGGAGGAGGCGGACGAACATCAGGATGACGAGGAGATGGATAAGGAACTCGATGAGTTTGGACTTACGCCGGGAAACTTCACCATCATCGGGATGGAGCCCAGTGTGATTCTTGCGCGCTGCGAAGCCATGGAGTATCTGGAAGGCCTCAACCCATTTGGAGCGAAGTCCCAGGAGTGTATGGATAAGCTGGCGGAATCCATTGCGGAGTTTGGTTTGGGCTAAAGACTACTAAGGCCTTAACCCTCTCCAAATTGCCTTGGAGTGTCTTCCATGAACTTGAGCGGGCATGGAAACATGGAGCGGAGAAATTAAAGAATCAGAGTGGGTCTCCTCCAACCCGAGATGGTTTACTTAGCTGGAGTGTGTCCAGAGTTTAAACTTCTCTATCACACGTTCCCAGCAGATCTACAATGTCACTTAACCCAGCACTCAAATGCAGTCTACTACATCATACACACACAATGTAATGTTCAAGTCTTATACACAGGATCGTCCTCGCTACATATACTATCCATGATTTTCACACCATGTCTTCCCCAGGCCTCTTCTCCAGACCAACCGATCCGTATCATCACCCCAAAATGTCCAACGCCCCAGCATCTCGCCTCCTAAACGCCATCATCTCCTCACTCTCCGCCCTCCTCGGCCCCTCCCTCTGGTATCTCTACCAAAACCTCACGCTCGACATCCTCGGCAACGCGCCCAACGCCAACCTCTCCGTCCAGACCCTCCAGCATATCCTTCACAACCGCCCGGCAGCCATCTACCTCCACAACGACCTCGCGCGCGCCATGTGGACGGGTGAAGGAAACGACCTCCCGATTATACAGCTGCCAAGGTACGTCTCAGAGGCGATTACCAAGATGTATTGGCAGTGGTGTGAAGAGAGTTTTGGGGGAGTGGTCGGGCTGAAGAAGTGGGAGATGCTGGCGGAGGCGGCGAGGGAGGTGGAGGCTAGTGATGGTGACGGTGAAAAGGGCAAGGGGGTGGAGGAGTGTGAGTTGGAAGGCGTTTTTGAAAGGCTGAGTTTGAAGTTGAGGGGGCATTCCGTTACGCAGGGGGATACGGATGCTTTGTTGTCTGGGTTTGCAGCGATGGGGTTGGCGTGAAAGGAGGACAAAGCGTTAAAGGAAAAAAAAATCTATATGGAATTTTGGGAAGGAGCTGGACTCCCTCAAAGAAGAAGCCATCGGGGTCCCCTACATTTGCAGGCCGCTGTTTTAATGTACTTTTCTCATAGTGAATAATCGCCGAATCTTATGTAGCCTGAGAGCCTTCCGGAGTGGCCAAAAGTTAAGACAGGAGGGACAAGCCACATCGATCAGTACAGCAGCATCACCAGTAGATATTTAAGAAAGGAGTTCTAAATCAAGCAATCATTCAGTCGATCTAAAGCAAAGACTACCTAGCATATGAACAGCCCAAATGAGGCCAACAGCCAGGGATACCGTGCTCCTCAATGCAGCACAATCGTGGCAACCGCCACGCAAAGTAAAGTAGCAATCGCATCCACCTCTATAATCATCCGCAACCACAATGTCAATTTGACCACCATTCATCCATCAATATCAATCTGTCGATCCGTCCATCAATATCATCTCGCTGTAACCACCATATCCATGCATCAACATGTGTAACAGTCCGACGAACAATAGGTCAGACGATGTACAGCCCACTCATTCACTGTCCTTCTTTCTCTTCTCGCGCTCAGGAGCGGGAAGGGGGAATCTGGCCCTTGGAGTAGAACTCGGGTCCAAAGCGCTCAACCTCCTTGGTCAAGCTCGAATGCGTACGCACCGGGCGCACCTTATCCTGTCCCGGAAGCAACCTCCCAGCGAACTTGTTATTGAACTGCTCAACGAAGCGCTTCCATCCCGCGGCGGGCTTGCCATCCGTGAGATTGGCCAGGATCCAGCGGCGCTCGGGGGCGACATAGGCGCTGACGACCTCGCGGAAGCGCACGTCGGTGTTGCGGCGCACCTGCTGCACGGTGCGCTTGTTGAGCGCGGTGATGGCCTCCTGGTTGTTCCAGTCCTTGGGCGGCGGGTTGGCGAAGATGCGCTTGTTGCCCTTCTTGTCGGTGAACTTGACGATCAGCTTGCTCTTCTGGTCGACGACGGTGCCGTCGGGCATGCGCTCCCAGCGGCCGGGGACGAATTGGCTGAACTCGGGATGGATCGGGAAGTCGTCGGAGTAGTCGGTGGCGGCGGGGCCCCAGGAGACGTTGCGGAAGAGTTGCGGCTTGTTGGTGCCGTTGACGAGGCCGGGGAGGTCCTCGGCGTCGGAGTCGTAGATCTCAGCGCCGGCTTTAGTGGCGGCGGCGATGAGGGCCGCGTCGGAGGGGTTGGTGGGGTCGACCTTGCGGGCGCTGCGCTTCATCGCCGGCGTCATGAGCGTGAGGCCCGGGGTGTTGCTGGGACCTGTGGCAGCAGGGGCGGCATGATTGTCATCAGTGCCAGACATGGCAGAGTCACCGTCACGATCGGTCTGCTTGTTCTCGACAGTGGGCTTATCCTTGACCGTGGAGTCGCCGTTCTTGTCCGCCTTCGGCTCGTCAAGCTTACGCTTCTTCTTAATGGCCGAGATCCTCTCCTTGACCAACGCAGTGGCAGCCTTCTTAGGGCGCACAGACGGCGTGATCTCGATCTCGGAGTCGGTGTTGTCGTCTTCATCGACCTGGAATTGGGCAGCGGAGCGCTTGCGACCAGAAGGCCCACTCTCCGTGTTTGGGGTCATGACAGCAGCAGACTTGTCGAGCTTCTTCTTCTTGATGGAAGTCTTGTTAGCTGGCTCCGGGGAGACACTGGTTGGCGTTAGCTGAAATTCTTCGAGAGTGACTTTCTTCATATACCTATTCCAGATTTTACGTGCAAATTTGAGCTTCAAGCCCGTCTTGGAGGAAGAGGCGTTGGATGCAGCATTGCTGGCAGGTTCAGGATTCATGACAGTGCTCTCACTAAGGCGGGTGCGGTGCCTGCGCTTAACCTCCGACGGCTTGAGGACGGTGAGGCGACCGCGGCGAGGAGAACCATTCTCCTTGTCAGAACTGCCAGCGGACTTGCCTGCGAGAGTGTTAGTCACGTTAAGTATAAAACTATGGTGAGGTGTACTGACATGCAACTGGGCTAGGGGACTTAGCGACCTCAGCCCAGGTCTTGCCGTGGGTAGAGAGAGCAGGAGTGGTTGGCTTGGGTGGCTCCTTTGAGTAGCTTGGACCAACAGACGGATTGTAGACCAGTGCTGGGAATGGACCCCCGACAGAAGAGGGCGGATTAAGTGGCGGAGAGCTCGGAACGTATGACACACCGGTGGGAGTGTATTGGGGAGAGACACCGCCGGGGAGCGTGCTCAACGGCTTCTGCGGATCATACGCAGAGGAGCCAGCCTTTTCGACAGGAGAAGTAAGCTGGTAGCTGGGTGAGGTGGCACTGTACTGAGGAGAGCCAACACCGCTGTCGGAAGCCTTGAAGGACGGCTTGGTCGGATCATAGACAGGGGAGGAGCTGCCCTTGCCCTTGTACAGAGGAGAGGTCGGAGTAACCTTCTCGCTCGGTGAGGTGGAAGCATAACCACTCTCGGAACCCGAGTCAGAAGCCTTGATGGCAGGCGAGGTGGAGCCGTAGCTAGAAGAGCCAGCCTTCTGAGCCTGAGCGCCCATCTCGGTCTTGATGGTGACAGGGGTGTCTTTGGATGATTAGCTGGCTGTTGGTGAGGTGAGGTGAGGCACGACTTACTGTTTGGAGTGCCGTACTCGGGAGCAGCGGCGGGACGCTTAGTGCGAGCCATTTCGGATTAGATTACTAGTGTAGTGTTGAGAGTAAGGTAGGGATGAGGTGAGGAGACAAGAGAGAAGCTGCTGCGCGAAGGCGGCTGCTGGAAGGCTGCGTATGAGGTCGGTGCGATAGGGCTGCGGTGCAAAGACTGAGCGGAAAGCTCGTAAGACGTCGCTGCGAAGGCAGAGAGGGAGGTAGAGGCGAAGGCGTCACCACCAAAGAGGTCAGGACAAGAGGGTATTAAGCCGTAGCTTCGTAAGCGGTAGAGATGGTATGAGAAGGAAGCTGCTGCTATAGCAAAAGGAAGTCGTAAAGGGTTCGTAAGGTCGTAGCAAAGTAGAGGGAAGTCGTGGGTCTGGAGGAAAAAGAAGAAGAGAAGTGTGTCGGACGGGAGAGATGCGAGCTTTATGCCCGGGAAAAGCAGGAGGCTGGGCAGCGAACAATACGCTCAATAAGCGAGAATTACTCTGCGCTGACGTTGATGTCGGGCGTCGGAGTGAAGGGTCTGCTGGTGTTGTTTTGTTGGGCGAGGCGCGCGCGAGAAGACGCGGTGTGCAGATGGGGACGAGGTGAAAGCGGCGCCGGTGGAAGGCGAGCGCGGGAACAACAATAAGATTTGGACAGAAAAGAGCTGACGTGCGAGCTCAGTAGTGTATGTGAGAGCTTGGAAGGTCTTGAGAGGTCTTGTTCGGCCGTTATTGTTCGAATACCCATTATAGGCACCCCCCCCCCCTGTGAGCTCTCTCACGCCGAACCTGGCCGTCAGCCTTAGTGCTCCATACATCCCCTCCACTCGGAGCTCTTCATATTATTTCCCGCCAGCTCAGCAGCCATACCGCGGGCAGACGGGCTGTGAAAAATCGAATCCTGTGGAAAATCAGCCAAGAGTTGTTAACCCGTCTGTTGTCGGAGCGACGGCTTTCACTTCGCAACTGCGTGCACACCGACAATTTCCGCAGCTCTTGCAAACTACCATGACGCAGCCCCAGCCACCTGAGTTACTGCGAGTCTTCGATCAGGCCATATTGTCTTTTCACGGGCGTGGCGCCCACTTCGACGTGCGTCGATGTGGGTTCTGTTGACGGACTGCGCCTGGGTGAGAGCTTTCACCCCAGTGAAAAGGCTCGGAATTTTGTTGAGGGCTTCGACCGCGAGCCCTATGGGCTAATCGTCGAAAGGTATGGAGCGCGGTGCAGATTTTTCATTGCGCGCCGTAGACGTGTAGTCGTGGTGGTTGTTTTGATGATGACAACCATCAGTAATGCGGTAGGTGTGAGCACACCAGCCCGGATTGCATCCTCTTCACGTGTCATGCCACCACCTCATTGCTCTGTGATTCCCTATCCTCTTCTTTTAAATTCGGCGTCTTTTGAATCCTTTGCGTAGGCAGAAGCTCTGCTTTGCTGAGTTAGTATAACCTCTATCGGTTGATGACGTAAAACGTAGAAATCAATCGATCAATCATCTTCACGTGATAGCGACAGGCTCTCTCACTTCGAAACCAGCATCAGCAGCGCCTCCGCGGAGTGTCAAGTGAGTATAATAGCGCAATCGTACTAATTTATTCATATTCGGCAGGCTACCGCCTACGCACCTAGACACGCTCTCACTACCTCACCCCCTCCTTCAACAGCGCCTCCGCCACGCTCCTCAGCACAAACTTCTTAATCTTCCCACTCCCCGTAAGCGGCACCTCTCCGTCCCAGCCTTCCCCCGCCCAGAAGACATGCGCAGGCGCCTTATGCCTCCCCAGAATCTGCCGCACCCACTTCTTAATCTCCTCCAGGCCTGGCTTCTCCGCGCCTTCTTCGAGCGCCAGAAAGGCAGCGGGCACTTCTACGTACCGCGGATGCGAGACGCCGACGACGATGGCGCGCGCGACGGACGGGTGCGCGACGAGGCGCTCTTCGATTTCGAGGGGGTAGATGTTTTCGCCGCCTGTGCGGGGGTGTCATGTCAGTAGGATACGGAAAGGAGAGGTCAGAGGAAGCGGGAGACGTACCGCGGATTATAATGTCCTTGAAGCGCCCGGTAATAGTGCAATACCCATCGACATCCAGCATCGCCTCGTCGCCGGTATGCAGCCATATCTCTCCGTGTTCGTCTCTTACCAGCACCTCCGCGCTCTTCTCCGCGTTCTCCCAGTAGCCTCTACACACCTGATACCCAGTGACACACAACTCACCTCTCACGCCGATAGGCACGATTCGATTGTCGCGGTCCACGATCTTTACTCTTGCGTGCGGCAGGACAGTCCCGACTGTTATTAGGCGAGTGTGTAGGGGGTCTGTCGTGTGCGCATTGAACACTGTCGGGCTCGCTTCCGTCAACCCGTAGCTACTCGTAAAGTCCGCCATACCCAGCTCTTCCACCATGCGCTCCATCAGCCACCTGGGCACTGGGCTACCGGCCACAATACCCGTGCGTAACTCTGAAGTCCAACCCTCGGGCTTGGGCAGGTTGACGATGGACTCCATCATAGCAGGTACGCCGTGGAGCGCAGTACAGCGCTCATCATAGATAGCGTGCATAGTGGCGTCAGGGTCGAAGGACTCGGCGGGATATACTATGCGGCCGCCATGGGTGAGGGTTGCGAGTAGACCGAGGGTGAGACCAAAGCAGTGGAAGAGGGGTGGGGGGCAGCAGAGGGTGTCAGCGGGTGTGAGCGCCATTCGGTCGCCGATAAAGCGAGAGTTGTTTATGAGGTTGCTGGGTGGATGTCAGGGTACGCATCCTAGGGTAACGGGTGAGCCCGTTGTGAACTTACTGATGTGTGAGCATAGCTGCTTTCGGGTTTCCCGTGCTTCCGCTCGTGAACTGTAGATTGGCGACGTCGAAGGGACTTATGATGCCGTCGAAGATGTCTAGGATATGCTCAGGGATGGAAAGAGATTCGTTGATAAACTCGTCGTATGTGATACATCCCTCATATTCGCCTCTTATCAGACACACGGTCTTCAAGTCTGGGATCTGGGAAGCGACGTCTGTGTCTCTTAATCTCTCTAATAGCGGCCTGTTGTCAAACCGACCGATCATTGAGCTCGTAAGTAAAATCCGGCATTCTACATCTATTAGGGTCCGACCTTAAACTTTCCTACGCTCAGGGTTCACTCACTCGTATGCTTCAACGCATACTCCATCTCCGTCGGCGTATACGTGTTATTCAACGTCACGCAGATCGCTCCCACTCTTGCGCACGCAAAGAACACTGCAGCGTACTTCTCGCAGTTTCCGCTCATAATTCCAACTCTATCTCTTGGACGCACTCCATACCGCAACAGTGCCCTTGCGAGGAGATTAGATTGTTCCCAAAGATGCTGATACGTCCATCGCGCGCCTGTCCAGGGGATGGTGAGGCACTCGTGGTTAGGGTAGAGCTCGGCTTGTTGCCCCAGTAGTTGCGAGAGCGTAATTTGGAGGAGTGGTGGATCGAGTGGCCCTGAGACAATGGAGAGGTTGGGATATGGTGGGAGGATATAAGGGTCGATTTGGAGGAGTGTCTGGTTAAGCCGATGGAGGGCGTCGTGCCTACTCTGATCATACAGTTCCGCCATGACTGCGGGTCTGTCTCTTCCCGTAGCTACTCAATTGCGCGGACGTTTAGCAGTGCCGTCTGAGAGGGGTTCGAAATGACCGGAATCGCGTGCCGAGAGAGGTATCGAAACGAGAGAAACAGAAGACACAGCGACGCGAAGGTGTACGCGCCAAACCAGAAAAGCTCAGACAAGACCGGGAGAGTGGCTCTGGTCTTCGTCATTGTGAGCTCGCTGATGGCTCGGATCTAAAGCACCGGCCTAGGCAACTTATTGATCTCGGTACGCATCGATACGTAGCGCTCATGGCAGTCCCTTGCCTTCACAATGACATCGCAGGCTGTGTCACTACACCATCTTCCGGCCCTGGTCGCGGTTCGGTTACAGCACTCCTCAGCTGATCTGCAAAAGGATTTTCTGTTCTCTTTCCAAAAAAAGAAAAGCATGCACCGCTCTATTCCTGGTCTTCCTGCAAGGTGGAACCCTCGTATGGCTCGTAAACCCTGCCGCAATCTCATCTGATAAGATTCATCTCTTCGGAATGTAGCGTGCGATGTCGGCGGCGGCGAAAATTTTTAGCAGATGGAAAGACCCGACGGCAGCGTTGGCTGGCCAAGTGAAGCAGGCAGAAAGGGCGCGGGAAGGATCATCAAGAGCGCGGCACGGCGTTCATTGCCGTTGCGTAAAGGTATCAGATCCGCGTTTGGCGAACACGGCATCGCAGGCCTCACTTGGGATCTGGTCGGCTTGGTCGGCGACATGGTGCATCAATTAGCGGCAATTGAGGAGCGACACCCACGCTTCCCTGTTGCCGCTTAGCTATTGCGGCTATGAACTCCGTCTTCAAGACGGTAGTAGGGTTGGAGAAACTCACCGGCGTGCGCCTCCCCCGCCGCCTCGCCCGACACTATCCAAGCCATCATCTGCGCCAATGTGACCTGACAACGCCGCGTACGTCGACATTCGATGGTGGAGCGAAGCCAAGAGATTCAATTCGCCGGGCTTGTCCAACGGCTCAATACGAGGGCGGGGCGGATCAGATAAAATTTTCTCTTCGTTAAGGGCGCAAAAGCCGAGACATGCAGCGACGGTGCCTAGGGCTCGATTAAGGTTATCTGATCCGCACCCTGCATGTGCCTCGCAGGGATGTGGCGGCCTGTGCAGATGACGTGTATGGGTTGTGGGACCTGGCGATGGGGCGGCGCGGGCTGGTGTTCGTATGGAATCAAAAACGGGCTACTGGACTGCAGCCCGCGCTAGCCTAGGGCTTGATGACGGTTCGTCGTGACTTTAAGAGCGCAAACCGGAGGCCGCAAGAGCACGCTTGAACGCGCAGTGAGGAAGCGCAACCTTGTGAAGCTGAGGACCTCGAGTTGATTTTGTGTACATGTGCGTTGCTGAAATCAAAATGCCCCCAAGTTTACGTCTTCGAAATCTACAGTTTCGCGAGGGCGTCTAAACTCGGGCGAACCTGCTTCTCCCCATCCCATACAAACGGACTTAGCGTGAAGAACTTCTCCCGGTTGACCATCATGAGCGCACTTCGCTTATGCGGGAGATCCATCAGCTTCTCAACATGGAAGCCGTGCGCAAAGTCGTAGGCCAACACGGTGCTGCTTGTGGCAGCTGGCTCGCCGACGATATTCCATGTCCGCGGCTCGTCCAAGAACATGTAGTGCATGAGTCCAGACCACCACGCCGAGACGCGGTACGGGCCTCTGAATCTGATGTCGCCGACGAGAGAGTGCCTGCCGCGGTCGTACGGCGACGCGAGGTAGTGGGCACCCATGTGATCTTCCTGTACACAGAGTCAAAAAGAAAACCACGTTAGAAGCGAGGTGGGGGAATTACCATGGCCCAGTAGACTTCGAAGTATGCAAAAAGCACATCATCGAATGCAGCAAACATGGTGATCACATGGGGGTCCTCATGCAGCTTCCGCAGATACTCGCGGTGCTGCTCCAGCGTCCCGGTTTCGTTCCACCCAGCAGCAACACGTGGATCGTTCTGCCAGACATGGAAGAGGTTGAGATGCTCCTCGTTAGTGTAATCGACAGCGATCATCGCGAAGTGCTCCTGCAGGTGCGGGATCCAGCGGCTGTAGATGATGGACCCGGGAGCCGGTTTTGGTCGACGTACGGGATGCATAGTGTGTCGCGGTAAAGCAGGGAACTGCGTCGTTGGTGCCGTTTGGAAAGGAAAAGGCGGATACTCGGCCGTGATTGGCTTGTTAGCAGCATCGAGCAGCGGAGCCCAGACTGGACGAGCTCCAAAGGGTGAAGCCGCGCCCTGCCAAAAATTGCTTCGAAGAAGCAAATGGCCATCGTGAGGAGCTGATGGGTTGGATCCACGGGGGTGCGGGTGGAATAGGCCAGTGGAATAAATCTCCGAGGCCAGCATCGAAGAATCGTTGCCGGAGAAGAGCACTCGGATGTGCTCGACGAGAGGATGCAGTGAAACCAAAGCGTAGGCAGCGAGCCAGAGCTGGGGCACAGTGGGCCGGCCATCAGTCCAGGAGATGGTTACGAAGGGTGATCTTCGCGCCCGAGCCCAAGAGCTGTTGTCTCCCTTGGGTGGTATCGATTCTGGGGCCAAGAAGGCTATGTCGTTGAATGACAGATCGTCACTATGAAGGGGCCTTGGCGGAGGTATCCCATTGTCCTTGGAGTGAGCTGCGGAAAGGGATATACGGTAGCTGGCGGGTTGGCCGGTCGCAGCAACGTTTGTAATTGCATACGCGGTGAGGTAGGGATGGGGTAGCTTTAGGATGAAGGGCCCGGTGGTAGGACCTGGCTTCTGCGTTTGTTGAGCCATTGTCATCAACCAGTTGTCCTGGTGATGCGGAAAGGAAGTCTGCGAAAATTTTTGAATACTGCTAGGTAGCTGAAGCAGCATGGCCGAAGTTTCATAGAGGTGCGATTGTACGAGGTCTCCTACCGGCAAAGCATGAGCCGAGGCCAGATACAGGGCGGACAGAAGCTATGACCCTGGGCATTATGGTGTGTCAGCTCCGATATGATACATGAGGTAAACTTGAAGTGTTGCCAGGCTATTGATGTGGCAGAGAATTGGATCATTCCGGCTAGTTTTCGCGCGTGGCGCGCCAAGTGGGTATGGTGCTGATTAGAGACCCTTGATGCATCCCCGGTATGGCACCCACCCTCGCTTATAAGCAAACATTAGAGAATCTGGTGACGTACCTGGAATCATTGTGCTAGCTGCAGCGAGTGCAGAACCACCAAAGCCCGCGGTGGCCTGAGACTCCACGCTCCCTATGGTCATAGCTCCTCGGCGAGCATCAAAAACTTCGAGGAGTGATTGTCGCTACTCAGTACAGCTCCTCGAGGCGCGACTACTCCCAAATCCTCTGCATCAAACTCTATTGAGCGGTCAGTGACGATGACTTCAGCAGAGCAGCCACCAAGACAGCTGGATCTCATCTCGGATGCACCCATTGTAGACTCATCGAAAACCTACGACCTCGTCTGCATCGGCTTTGGACCAGCTCAGCTTGCCACGGCCATCGCCAATCGAGAAGCCCGAAAAACTTCGAACGTGCTCTTCGTTGAGAGAAAACCTTCTTTCTCATGGCATCCAACGTCGCAGCTCCCACGGATGCGAATGGAAAATGCCTTCATTTACGATCTCGCGACAACGCGAAATCCACGATCGGGGTTCAGCTACGTCAACTACCTCCTCGCTCGGAATCGCCTCGTCGAATTCGCAAATTCCGACCGCCTGAACCCATTGAGGGAAGAGTTCGAGGACTACCTCCGCTGGTGTGCTGAGCAATTCAACGACCAAGTACACTACAGCAGCGAGGTAATCGGCGTCACTCCGGAGAACGAGTCGGGCTCCGTGAGGCGCTTCAAGGTAGCCGTGAGAGACGCACACGGCAAGACGTACGTGGTGGAGGCGAGGAGCATCGCAGCGCCCTCCCCGCCCGGCCGGCGCGACCAGAAGCCGCGGCCTCTGACGAGCGTCAACTTTGAAGCCGGCCAGCGCATCGTCTCTGCGCACGATTACCTCTCGAGGAGGAACGAGCTGCGGGACCGGCATGAGCCTCGCCTCAACATCGCTGTCGTCGGCTCTACCCAGCAAGCAGTCGAGATACTGGACGACCTTCTGACCTGCCCACGGCTCGGCAACATAACCATCGTCACGGAGAACGAGTCGCTCGCTCCGCTGCGGATCCTAGAGGACGCACCCGAGCCACCGCAGCCACGGCTCTGCTCAATCTGGGCGAAGCCGTCGTGCGAGCAGAAGCCCACGATTCCCGGCTCCTCGGAGGTGATACAGCGCATCTATCTGCGCGCATACGAGAAGCAGATGGCCAGCAGGGGAAGGTACACCCTCCGCGTCGTCGTGGGGAGGGACGCGGCCGAGCCATGCTCCAAGGCCGACTTCATCATTTCTGAGCATGCAGCAAGCGAGCTGTCGAGCAGCGGGCTCTTCAGTGGCCTGGACCAGCTCGTGCTGGGGTGCCGGCAGAAGGGAGAGAGCCTGGAGGAGGTGCAGTTCAAGCGCGGAGCCGTTGCCGAGAGCTGCAGGATGTGGATGCTATCGGCGCACTCGGAGGGCGGGCGCTCATTGGCGAAGGATATTGCCGTGCGGGCGGGCGAGGTGGTGAGTGCGCTGGCGGCTGCAGATGAGGGTGTGCGTCGTGAGGGCGTCGGGATGATCAGTGCCAGGATGTGATGGAGGACGCGTCGACCGGGGTCGGCATGGCATGTGGGATGTGGTTATGTAATCCGCAAATTTGTATCTGATGGCGCTAGTCCAAATGAATGACGTTCATCTCCGACCTCGCTCCGGACGATACCTCCTCGCCATCAACGGTCATCCCTCACCACCGCCCATCCTCACGTGCACTGCCCAGCCGGCTTCATCAATGCACTGCATCCACTATGCCGATCCTGCAATGGCGGCTTGGAGCGGCCCACAGCTCCCCGTTACCTCGTGCCTGCGCACCTGGAGGGCTTCACGATGCTGCCTTGCTCTCGCTATACGTCGTCAGTTCCTGTTTGACTCGCTATTGTATGCTCAATGGGCGTTAACAAGCCCTCGCGGGCATCGTTCAAGGCCTTCTTTGGCTTCCTCCACCTGCTCTTTTACGCAGACCCAATATGGCTCGACAAACTCCTCATTTGCGTGGGCTTTCTTGCGGCCATTGCTGCAGGCGTGCCCTTTCCCTTGATTGGAATCGTCTTCGGTCAGCTGGTCGATAACCTGAATACCGCCTCCTGTGAGGCCGAGAATGCTCCAGGTTCGACGTCCGGATTGCAGGCCTCCATCAACTCAAAAGTCTTGCTCCTCGTCTACATCGCCATCGCCTCCTTCGTTCTGATATACACGCATATCGTTTGCTGGAACATCACCTCGCAGCGACTGGCTCAACGCATCCGTGACCGTTATCTAAAGAGTCTGCTGCGGCAGGACATTGCCTTCTTCGACAATCTGCAGGCTGGAGAAGTCTCCTCGCGCCTCAATGGCGACATCCAGGCCATCGAAACCGGCACCTGCGAGAAAGTCGGCGTGTTCCTAACATGCATCTCCTTCTGTGTCACTGCATATATCGTGGCCTTCATCAAGGATGTCAGATTGGCCGGCATGCTGATTTCATTGATACCCGCTTTCCTCATCATGACCGTCGTTGGGGGACGGTTGGTGCAGAAATATTCGACTAAAGCCTCAGACTACTTCGCTAAAGCCAGCGCCATCGCTTCTGAGGGGCTCAGCCACATTGGTCTCGTGCACTCCCTTGGAGCCAATGCACGCCTAGAAGAGAAGTTTCGGGGCTACTTGAGCGATGCCAGAAGAGAGGGAATTAGGAAGGCCGTAGCCGCCGCAGCTCAGGCCGGACTTCTCTACTTCATCGCCTTCTCTGCGAATGCACTTGCCTATTGGCAAGGGAGCCGAAAAATTGCGGATACGGTGCAATCTGGGAGCGGAGACACGACGGTTGGAGAGATCTACACCGTCATTTTCATCCTTGTCGATGGTATGAAAGCCTATGATTCGGCTGTGAAATGTTAGGCTGACGCTGTTCTAGGTGCAATTGTTCTCAGTCAGGTAGCTCCGCTACTACCGCTGTTCGGTGGAGCCGTTGCTGCCTTTAAACGACTGCAAGGCGACATCGAGCAGTGGCCCACCATCGACGGCACTTCGGGCTCCGGCGTCATACCTTCTCCCGTGGAGGGTAGCATCGAGTTTTGCAATGTCTCATTCACATACCCCTCCCGGCTAGCGCATCCCGTTCTTGATGACGTCTCATTCCAATGTGAAGCCGGCAAGCTCACAGCAATAGTGGGTCTCTCTGGTAGTGGGAAGTCGACTATTGCTGCCCTCATCGCTCGATTCTACGACCCCCAGAATGGCGCGATAAGCCTTGACGGCCATGACCTCCGGACTTTGAACGTGAGAGCCCTGAGAGGCTTCATCAGCCTCGTGCCTCAGGAACCGTCGCTCTTGGACCGTTCCATCCTGGAGAATGTTGCTCTCGGTCTGGTCAACTCCCCAGCGCATTCTCATCTAGAAGAGACTCTGCTTTCCGACGACCTGCAGCGCCTTGCAAATGAAGTGAGGAGCGGTGGTGATCTCACCAAGTGTGCAGAAAGAGCTGGTTCTAGAGTCGCTGAAATTGTTCAGCTGGTGCAGACTGCCGTCGATCTTGCAGATGCCACGGGTTTCATCGACCGCCTTGAAAACGGCTTTGCGACCCTCGTGGGATCTGCCGGCAGCCTTGTGAGTGGCGGCCAGAAGCAGAGAATCGCCCTCGCTCGCGCAGTCGTACGAGACCCGAAGATTTTGGTTCTAGACGAAGCCACCGCAGCGTTGGACTCTGCGAGCGAGCTGCGAATCCAAGCTGCGATCGAGAAAGCGTCCAAAGGCCGGACGGTTATCTCTATCGCCCACCGCTTGTCAACCATCAAATCGGCCAGCAAGATCGTGGTGATGCGGACTGGCAAAATCCTTGAACAAGGTGACCATGAGGAGCTAATGAACCTGAACGGGTCATACGCGGAGATGGTTCGCCTCCAGTCCGTAAAACCGTCTGATGATGGGACGTCGAGTTCTCAAGGTAGCACTCATGGCCAGGAAGTCGACGTTATTGAGCAGCGGGAGGTCGTTCATTTCGAAAAGGCACAAGAGCCCGAGGTATCCAAGAATACCCCCATCGACAAGCCTAACGATGCCGGAGGAGAAATCCTCGGACGTTCAATCCTCAAGACAATGAGACCTCTGGTCCGCCCATATCTGCTCTTGCTAGCCATCGCCTTCTTAGCGGCTACTGTAGTTGGTGGCACGTATTCAGCTTCTGGTACGATCTTTGGGAACACCCTGGGCAGCTTCTCGCCATGCAACCCACCCAGTTATATACGGTCTCGTGGACTGCTGTTTTCTGGTCTTTTCTTTATGCTGGCGTGCGTTGAGTTTCTCGCTAACTTCACGAGCTGGTCCGCCTTCGGGCTTATCTCTGAACGTCTAATCTATAAAGTACGGATTCTCTCCTTTCGCTCTCTCTTCCAGCAGCCGCTGCAGTGGCACGAGTCCCACAGCCGCAGTCCTACCATGCTCCTCGGCTACATAACCAACGATGGCAACGCGTTAGCTGGCTTCAGTGGATCCATCATTGGCACGCTCTTCTCCGTGATTGTCAACTTCATTGCCGCAATTACGCTGTCTCACATCATTGCTTGGAGGATATCAGTTGTGCTTCTTGTTACAGTCCCTCTCCTCCTTGGCGCGGGCTTCATGCAACTCCGCTCTATTTCTCGCTTCGCCGAAAGGCACGCTGGCGCTTTCTCTTCGTCTGTCGGCATTACGGTCGAGGCCGTCTCCAATATCCGCACCATCGCATCGTTATCGCTAGAAGACGAAGTTCTGCAAACATATCGCCGATCTCTGAAAGCACCGCGGAAGGAGATGGTCCTCCAAAGTTTCAAGACAAATATTTGGCTAGCAATCGCGAACTCAATGGGCAACGTCCTCTATGCATTCGCCCACTGGTGGGGATCAAAGAATATCCTGGAGGGGAGGTACACACAGACCCAATACTTTATCATCCTCATCGCCATGCTGGTATCCGCGCAGCTTTGGGGCCAGCTATTCACCCTCGCGCCAGAAATTTCCAGAGCAAAACGCGCCATCTCGAGGATCGTTGGCCTACTTGAACTGGACAATGACTTATCGGAGTCCGCATCAGGAAGATCTACGCCAGGCTCTGAAGAATTAGACGAGAAGGACATCGAAGCCGCCGGTACCTCTGTAGGACCGACACGAGGTGGAGCACGAGTCGAATTTAGCGACGTATCGTTTGCATACCCAGCCCGGCCAAACATACCCGTCCTGACGTCGCTATCACTTTCTATCCAACCTGGTCAATTCTGCGCTCTTGTAGGCCCCTCTGGAGCTGGAAAGAGTACGGTCTTGGCACTTCTGGAACGGTTTTATGTCCCAGCAACTGGCAGCATCTCCGTCAATGGCCTGAATATTTCACGACATCACGGCACCTCTTTCCGCGACAGTATGGCCTATGTTCCTCAAGAGAATGTGCTCTTCCAAGGTAGCATCAGATTCAACCTATGTTTGGGAGCACGTCCTGGTCACAACCCCAGTGATGGCGAGATCCAAGAGGCATGCAAAGTGGCAAACATCCATGAAGCAATCATAAGCCTCCCACAAGGTTACGACACGGAATGCGGGTCCGGCGGCTCGCAGCTTTCAGGCGGACAACGCCAACGTCTCTCCATTGCACGTGCACTAGTCCGCAAGCCGAGACTTTTGTTGCTGGATGAAAGTACGAGTGCCCTAGATGCCGAGAGCGAGAAGGCTTTGGAAGAAGGTCTCCAAAGGGCTGTCCAGCGGCATGGTGTCACGGTTATCGCAATAGCACACCGACTGAGGACCATTGCACGAGCGGACGTCATATTTCTGATCGAAGCGGGCAAGGTGACGGACCAAGGACGGCATGAAGAGCTGATACAACGGAGCGAAAGCTACCGCGTCAACGCACTCCATCAGATGTTGGCATGATCTCTAGGTCAGTAAAACATATCAGCGTCTTGACGTAGCATTGTCGCATCATCAAATATCATTCTATCCACATTCTATCACTCCTCTTTTCTGTGCACCATCTATGCCAGCTCCACAGATTTTGGCAAGTTGCCTATCTGCCCCTCTGGTATCCACACAAGCAGTGGCACTTCGTAATCATTCTTATCGCCCGTCTCCTCTCCTACCCACAGCACCCCGGCTTTATGCACAATCTTCTCAGTTAGCCGCCTGAAGCCTAACTTTTCATATAGTCCCAAACCCTCCTTCGAGCTCTCAACATAAATTGGCAGTTCTGCCTGCTCTGCGACCCGAATACCGTACTCCGTCAACAGCTTTCCCACACCTTTCCGCTGGTACTCCGGACGTACAGCTGTCACGTGACAATAGATATATCGCTCTTTATCCCACAGCTTTTCTCTCACATTCCACAGAGGACCCACTAGAGCCTCAGCCCTCTCCCTTTCTTTCCCTTCCAGCCATGCTACGTCGCCTTTCTTCCAATCACTAGGCGTGGGATAGACATCCCAAAGAGCCATGCCAGCGATCACGCCAGTGGCTGGGTCGATGCATTTCAGAGTGTATTGTGTTGAGGACGTGTGCCAGTACGAGAGAACACGACCTGTGTGCGCCTTCCTATGGAGGCATTAGTCCCGAGGATCCTGACGAATCCTGGCTCTGCAATCTATCGCCAGCAGTCCAGCCACCACAGACAATGCAGGAAAAGGGTGGAACGTACCGAAACTCTGACTCGGAGTTTGTCAAGTCTTCTTTTGTGGCTTTCGGGAAGAGGGCGCGCGTCACGGGATCTTCGGCGAAGGCAGCAAAGTAGGCATCGTATACCGCCGTAATGTCCGGTATGAGGGCAGGAAGAACGACGAACCCCATGACGACCCTGGGCTGGAAAACAGAAATGCCACAGCAAAGGATACCAGCGTCAAAATAGTATTCGAAGCCGAAGGGCAGGTGCACCGGGGCCAATGTTGATCGACGATCAGCGATCTTCGCGACGCAACCCCCTCTACAAGGCTACTTCGTATCGCGCGATGGACGAAATTATTTGCTTCATCACGCGTCCGGTCCAAAGCCTGCTTCAATAATCGGGTTGTCGTTCTTGGTCTGAACCCCGACCGGCACTGTCAGACTCACCGTTCCAGAGAAAAGCAAAATCAGCTCATGCGCTTCGCTTCGGCCTTACTTCTTCTCACCCGGTCCTCGTCGATCGCATGCTTGCTTGATCCCAGGGGCCTAGTAAATGAAACCCTGTCTCGGATCCCCTGTCGTACCGGTATTGCCATGTTCAACATGTTCAGCACCCCGACTAACCGAGCTCCGAGAGTCGGCCGCGTTATCTGATGAACCGATTCGTGGTCCCTTCGCCTCCCGAGACGTCACTCTGCGTGCCGAGGGGCTGATCAATTTCTCCGCATCGGCCGTCCTTCCCAGAATAGGAAGCTAGCTCGGCGCAATATGTGTGGCTGCCTCGACCGTTGATCATGCCGTGGGCTTAAGGTTATCTGATGCAGCTACCGAGACTAGCATTCACGGTTAAGAGGCTAGCGTTCACGGTTAATTATCTGATCCGCTTTTTGTGGGGATCGGGGCTTGGCGTGGGGACGCCCGTCACGAATCCTAAAGCTCCCTACTCTGGTACCTGGCCCTAAGAGTGGCCCATGCCCTGGCTATTACGTACTTGCTTCGACCATATGCAGGACCGGTGGCCGAGAGTTCGCAACACAGGGGGGCGGCTCAAAAGGGTAGATCCCAGATGCAGCGCGGGTGGATCAATGACGCGAGCGGCTGTTCGTGCCTTGAACGGACTTACTTCCACACAGAAGAAGAAACACCATGGAACCGAGATGAGCCGTGCTTTCAAGAGCTAGCTGAGCTTTGGCCGAGCAGATGAGACGGCACGAGCACAGTCGCCATGCTTGGCTCCTTCTATGAGAACTCCTGGAATCTGGGGAGCCAGACTCAGTGGATTCCAGAGCCATTCGCTTATCCGTTCAGTCGAAAGACTCATCGTCAGAATCAGAATCGCAATCAGTTTGACTTCGTACCGAAGATGCATTTGCGCGACAACGAAGAACCTATGCATTGGGGTGAAAGACCTGATGCGGTCGCAAAGATTCAAACGAATGGCATCCCGAAGAGCTCGAACGGGCACAGTATGTACGTCAATGGTAGTGCAGCGGATACGAACGTAGTGTCTATACCAATTCCCGCAGATCAAGAGGTGGATATGGTGATTGAGACCGTCCTTGCCGCGTGGATCCTGCTCTTGCAACGTTATCGGCGTGATTCATTTCAGCAGTGCATGTTTGGAACCGGGCAAGGAGGAGACGAACGCATTCAATGCGTATCAGCTGGTCAAGTAGATTTGTTGGACCTCACGACGGTTGGAGACCTTCTTGCCAAGGTGCAGAATATCCGGTCGAGGGAAATAGCCCTAAGTCAGGGCGGGACTGTCTCCCTTCGAGATGGAACAAAAGAAGATGTGAGATTGCGTTTGGCCTATTCGGTGGACTCGCACTGACTGCCTTTACTAGTGGACATTCGAGATCTCAATAGAGTTCTCCAAGCAAAAATTGCGCGCGACGCCCCAATGGCGGCCTCCGACCATGTCGCGACACCAGGCTATGTGCCAGTTGCGTTCCTTCACGTCCATTGTCGATACCCTTTTGCGCGAACATCATTGTCCGATTGTAAGCGTACTGAGTATATCCGAAGACGAGTTGGAGGAGATTTGGAGCCGTAACACACCATTGCCTCCCAATCTGGAGACCTGCATGCATCGGATAATCTCCGAGAAAGCACAGCTCCAACCGGAAAAGAACGCAATTGAAGCTTGGGATGGAGACTTGACATATGCCCAGGTGGATCGGTATTCGGCTCAGCTCGCTCAGAATTTGAGACTGCTGGACGATGCACCAAATCAGATTATCCCAGTGCTATTCGAGAAGTCGAAATGGACGGCCGTGGCAGTACTTGCGGTCATGAAGTCCGGAGCATGCTTCGCGCTTCTTGACCCTGCCCAACCGGAAGGGCGACTACGAACCATCATTCAGCAGATCAACGCGACGATCGTGGTCGCATCGAAAACGCAAGCCGCCGTCGCTGCACGTGTTGCACCGGGAGCATCAATCGTCCCAGTTTCTGAATCTAAGTTCTCGAAGATTTACCACCCCTTCGCTGAACAACAGCCAAATACGTCTCTTCCACCCGTTTCGCCATCCGCACCGCTATATATCCAGTTCACGTCGGGGAGTACCGGGCATCCTAAGGGTTGCGTAATCACGCATAGCCAATTCACTTCTGGAGCGATACCCAGAGCATACACGGTGGGCTACCGCTCGCATTCGCGGGTTCTCGACTTCGCAAGCTACGCGTTCGATGTCAGCATAGATTCGATGCTATGCACACTGGCGCACGGCGCTACGCTGTGTACGCCATCCGAAGAGAGCCGTATGAATGACCTCAGCGGAGTGATGCGAAAGATGCGCATCACACTTGCAGGCATGACGCCCTCTGTAGCTCGGACGCTCGACCCGGATATCCTTCCATCGCTGGATTCTCTCGCGGTAGGTGGTGAGGGAGTCTCCTCGAGCGATGCGGCGGCATGGCGACAGAAGACCAAGGTGATCAATTGTTATGGCCCGTCCGAATGTACCGTAGGAGCAACCATCAATGGCGACGTGGGCTCTTTGCCATACATCACCATGGGCAAAGGTCACGGATGCGTGATGTGGCTCACGGATCCTGCGGACCACAGCAAGCTTGTGCCTCCCGGGGCGGTAGGCGAGCTTCTGATCGAAGGCCCGATCGTGGGGAATGGGTACCTCAACAATCTCGCCAAGACGAGAGAAGTCTTCATCGAAGATCCTGACTTCCTCCTAGCAGGAAGTAAGAGCATTCCAGGACGAAGAGGTCGCCTCTACAAGACCGGAGACCTCGTTCGTTATGACCCGGATGGCAAGGGCGAAGTCATCTTCGTGGGACGCCGGGACCAGCAAGTCAAGCTGCGTGGCCAACGCATCGAGCTCGCAGAAATCGAATACAACATGCAGAAGCACCTTCCCTCAGACTGCCAGCTCGCGGCCGAAGTCATCAAGCCCGGCGGTACTGGTGAGCCCACGCTGGTCGCATTCCTTGTCGAGCAGAAGAACAGCGGAATGAAACACCTCGATGGTGATATCTTTGCGTCTTTTTCCACCAAGTTCCTGACGGCGCTTCAGGAGATGATGAAGAAGCTTCATGAGGATCTGCCCGGGTACATGGTGCCGTCTGCGTATATTCCGCTGTGGAAGATGCCACTGCTCGTCAGCTGCAAGACAGACAGGAAGAGGCTGAGGGAGATTGGTACGTCGATTACCAGGCAGGATCTCAGGCGCTTCAGCACTGCAGTTTCGGAAAAGAGCGCCCCTGCGACGGAGATGGAGCAGCGCCTCGGCAAGCTATGGGCAAAGATACTAGGCGGTGATGCGGACTTCGGCGCGAACGACAACTTCTTCAGCATGGGTGGGGATTCACTGAGAGCGATGAAGTTGGTCCCTGCTGCACGGGAGGAAGGTATTGCGCTCACGGTCCCGGATATTATGCTCAGCCCTACGCTCTCGGCTATGGCTTCTAGGGCGAAATGGCTTTCCGGAAACGAGACGACCGATGTTCCGCCATTCTCACTAATACCCGAGGGTTGGACGGCAGAGAAGGCCCGGGCGGAGACTGCGCGCCTTTGTGGAGTGGATGCTTCTGGCGTTGAGGATGTGTACCCATGCACGCCGCTTCAGGAAGGTCTCATGGCGCTCTCCGCCAAGTTCGCCGATGCCTACGTCGCTCAGCGCGTTGCCGAACTTCCACTCGACGCAGCTGAAAGACTCATGAAGGCCTTCGACAAGGTGGCGCATGACTCGGCTATCCTCCGCACTAGAATCGTGAACGTCTCTGGTCGTGGTCTGTTCCAGGCTGTCTTGGAAAATGGGCAGCTGGTCCGCGAGCACGGATCCGACATCGCAGAGTATCTCAAGCGCGACCGCGAAGAGCCTATGGAGCTTGGGAAAGCACTCTTCCGCTACGGGGTAGTGCACAGGCCGGGCAGCGACAAGGCGCGCATTGTCATCACCATGCATCATGCTGTCTACGATGGATGGTCGATGCCGCTCGTATTAGAGCGCGTCAATCGTGCCTACAATGGCCTGGATACAACGCGACCGGTATCGTTCAAGCACTTCATCAAGTACCTCACGACGCTCGACCCAGTCGTCTCTCAAGACTACTGGCGCGAGCAACTGGAAGGCTCCAGTCCTCACCAGTTCCCGCCTCTGCCGCACAAAGGATACATTACGCAAGCGGACTCTCTTCTCGAACATTATGTGTCTGTACCAACATCGGCGCACTCTAAGCTCACGCTCGCCACCATCATCCGCGGTGGTTGGGCGCTCGTGTCCTCGCTCTACGTAGGCCATTCAGATATCGTGTTTGGTGAGACGCTGACTGGCCGTTCTGCATCCGTGCCTGGAATCGAGCAGATCGAAGGACCGATGATCACAACCGTGCCTATCCGCGTCAAGCTTACCCTTGGCCGGCCTATCTCAGAGTATCTGCACTCGGTCCACGCGCAGACAGTCCAACAGATCCCCCACGAGCATCTCGGTCTTCAGAACATCCGCCGCTTGAGTCGCGACGCGCGGGAAGCCTGCGATCTGCGCACAGGCCTTGTCCTCCACCCCAGAGAAGACACCCAGTGGTGTGCGAGCGAAAGTCTCGAATCGCCAGCCAACGGCTTCCTTCCTACCGACGATGAGGAGGCCGCACGCGAAGCACTCAAGTTCAACACCTACGCTCTCATGCTAGTGTGCACGCTCGATGAGAACGGCTTCCTCATCATGGCGAGCTTCGATTCGAATTGCATTACTACGTCTGCTATGCAGAAGGTGCTCGTTGTGCTTGACCGCATCGTCACTGCTTTCTTGGGCAACCCGGAGAGCAAGCTGGGCGACGTAGCCGTGCTAGATCCGGAGGAAATGGAAGATGCTCTGGGTTTGAGGCCGAAGGATGGGATGGTGGATAGTATGGAGCCTCTACAGTCGAATGGCTATGCGAATGGTCATGTTGATGAGCAAGTTGTGGTCAAGCCACAAGCAAACACGGTGAATGAGCTGAAGCTGAGAGAGATTCTGAGCCGGATACTTGGAATGCCGGCGTACGACATCAGTCCCTGCGACAGCTTCTTTGAGCTGGGTGGGGATTCCATCAGCGCAATGAGGCTCGTATCTGAGGCTAGATCACACGGCCTAAACCTCACTGTCGCCCAGATCTTCCAGAGTCGCTCGTTGTCGGAGCTGGCTGCCGCGACTGGAAATGCGAAGGAAGAGAAGCTCCTGGAGCTTCTGAGCCGCATCCTCAACATTCCGAAGGACGAGGTCAGCGCAAGCGATAGCTTCTTCGAGCTGGGTGGAGATTCTATCAGCGCTATGCGGCTCGTTTCTGAAGCCCGCGCGCAGGGCTTGAGCTTCACGGTTGCGCAGATCTTCCAGAGCAAGTCTTTGTCTGAGCTCACTTCACTGGCGGAAGAGAGCGCTTCGTCTGACATGAGGGTGGATATGGACGCACCGTTTGCTGCCATGGGTGCTGATGCGCACCTGTTCAGCCCGGACCGTATCCAGCCGCTGCTGGAGAACGCTGAGTGGGAGATAGTGGACATCTATCCCGCGAGGCCGCTGCAACAGATTGCCGTGGACGGAACTGTCGATCTTCCGCGGTATTCATTGCGCTACGAACTGATTAAGTTCGGCGCGGGTGTCGACCGGGAGAGACTTGAGCGGACCTGCCAGGAGCTCGTCGCGCGCAACGAGGTTCTCCGCACCATGTTCGTGCAGATTGAGGGTCACTGTCTCGGTGTAGTTTTAGGGTCTCTGCAAACTCCCTATCAAGAAGTATCAATCCCCGATGACGCCGATTTCGACACCTTCGTCCAGGACTCTATTAACGAGGACATCGCAAAGCCCAAACCACATGGCTCCTCGTTCGTCGCTTTCACTCTCTTCATCTCCTCGACCGGCGCTTCTACCCTCGCCTTCCGCATCTCTCATGCTCAATACGACGAAATCTGTCTCCCAATTGCCTTCGTTCAGCTCTCAGCGTTGTATGCTGGCACAGATGTTCCGGAGACTCAACCCTTCAGCAAACACGTGCACCATGTCGTCAACCGCAACATTCCAGAAAGCATTCCCTATTGGCAGAACCTCCTCACTGGTTCCCAAATGACTGTCTTCAAGCCTACCATTCCACTCGCACAACGCAAGTCCGTGGCTATGTACCAGGAGTTCGACATCTCAAACAAGCCCAAAGACATCACTATCGGCTCCCTGCCCACTGCGGCCTGGGCGCTCGTTCTCGCGCGGCGCCTTGGCCTCCGGGACGTCGTCTTCGGCGAAGTAGTAACGGGGCGCAACATCGGCGCGCCGTCCGCGGACCGCATATTCGGTCCAACATGGCAGTACATTCCCTTCCGCGTTCCCTTCTCTCCCAGCTGGACATATCTCGATCTCCTGCGCTTTGTGCAGACGCAGCATATTCAGAGCTCGGCACACGAGGGTATGGGCCTGGTTGAAATTGTTCGGAGCTGCACTGATTGGAGGGAGGACGAGGTGCAGTGGTTTGACAGCGTGGTGCATCAAGCGCCGCGGGAGTGGGTGGAGACGCTTTCGTTTGGTGATGCAGGTGAGGCGCGGTTCGAAACTGTGTATCCGCATACGGAGCCGTTGAGGGAGTGGAAGTGTCAGGCTTTTGTGATGGAGGGAGGGAGCAGGTTGGGGATTGAGATTGTGACGTTTGAGGAGTGGAGGGCCGTGGGGGAGGAGGTGCTGGGTGAGGTTGGAGAAGCGCTGGGATGCTTGATGGAAGGGAAGGTGGGTGGGAAGATTTTTGAGAACTGGGATGGTGGAGAGGCTATTGGAGTGGAGGTGGAGAAGGGGGCGAGCTGTCTTTGGGGGATATTGAGCGGCTGATCGGGAGGGCGGAGGAGATGGCATGCTTTCCTTGTCTTTCCTATACCGCGCTTCCTTCCAATGCTCTTCGGTTTTGTTACGCATCGTGCTTCTTTCCTACATACAGATAGTTATCTAATATCAGCATCCATTTTGTCGCATCCCCTCGGTGGCCCCGAATGATGCCATTTTCTCGCAGTGAATTCACCCTCCTCCCTACCCGTGGGCTTTCCCCACGCTCTGATTGGCCAAAGGTGCAGAGAAAGAAAAGCCCGGAAGCTCAGGCCAGGCGGCGACTAGCTCGAGTCCGGTGCCTCACTGTATATAAAGCACTACTACCTCACGTGACCCAAACTCTCCTACTCTACCGCACTCGACCACGGTTGGAAGCTCAATTTTCAACTCCGCGACTTTATCCAACTGCATTCGACCTACGGTTAGAACGCCTGATTGCAAATGTAAGTCGCGGGCTCTGCGACTGGTTTATATTGGCGAAGGCTGACATTGATTGGAATAGTTCGAAAGTAAACCAGACCTCGAGACTTTGAGGTAGGACTTCGAGCGCCGCTCTGTCAAGTGTAAGTCTCTGATCTGCCGGCTAATCGAGGGGGTGTGGAACTAACGTAGCATGCAGGTGGCTTGAAGCAAGCAGGATTTCGAGCAATCGAGCCGACTACGCTATCTTCTCGTCGAATCTTCTAGACCCTATCAAACCAGGCGTAAGTTATACATCTTCGACATGACCGAAGACGCATGGAACTGACAAAGCATGGTTGGAGTAGGAACCCGAGCATTTAGGACGAGACAAACAACAACAAGAGCACTCTTCAAGACCCTCCACGAGCCGTCAAGCGAACTTCGAAGCAAACATGGCACGCGTGAAGCAGAATTCTCGCACCAAGGACACTCCGGCATCGGCTCGTCACTCTACATCTCGCGTGGGCCGTCTAGCCGTGTCTGTTCCTCCTCTCCCGACCGCTACCGCAACTCCATCGTCTACCATGATGCAACAACCGACTCCATCAACGGCCCTCAACAACGTGCCCACGGCCTCGTCTCGAGCTACCGTAAAGCAAACCCTCGCCACGCTCCAGGATCAAATCAAGGCTCTCCTATCAAACGAAAAGGACCAGGAAAAGTACGCGTGGCATCTGCGGACCATCGGAAAGAACGCCGGCAAGGAGGAGATTCGCGCCAGGAACATCGTGGCGATGCGGGCTTTCCTGGAGGATCTGGAGAAGAAGGAGCAGGTTGTGAAGAAGCATAATGAGTGGGCCGCTAAGAAGGCTGAGATTAGCACCGGGATGGAGTATCCGCGGTTTCCGGACCTGGAGGGCGATGGTGAGGCTGTGGAGGACGTCCAGCAAGATGCGAGTGCGAGTGCGGACGATGAGGCGATGGGCGATGCCGACGAGAACGACCGCGCCGACGAGATTGACCAGGACGTTGCAATGGGCGATGACGACGGAGCCAGCGGCGCCGATCTCGATGCACGCTCTGACACGACTACTACTCAGCGAGGACCGGCGGGCAGGAACAGGAACGCCGTCAAGCTCACCCTTCGTCAAGAGTGGGCAAACCACGAGGACTACACCCGCGTTAAACAGATGGTGGAAGAAATCCTCACCGAGATCAATGGCTTTCTGTCCGAGACAGAATGGTCCGCTTACAAGGCGCTGCTTCACGATGCGGAGCACGCCAGCTCGGCCCAGACCCTTTTTGATAAGAAGCGCTTTCTTCTCGCCAACTGGATCATGGGTACTCACCCGGATGTCATGCCGTTGCACAATAAGTGGGTGGGTGTGCTGAAGGAGATGATGGGCAACCGGGAGTGTCGGTTTCCGGTGTTCGACCCGGAGCACTAAGCTGGGCTGGGCGGATGCACTCTTACCGAAGTAGACGTGCCGCTCTTGGTGCTCTTGGAGGAGGCGTTGAACTTGATTGATTTGGACTGGTGGGTCTCACTGCGAGGGATGGATTACACGGGTTAAGAGATTGATGCGATATGATAATGGGCCGTGCAAGTGCACGTATGACATTCATCCGATAGAGAGGGTTCCCAAATAGAAAGAGTCTTTATCAGTGGTATTGGATGCATTGGATATCATCTGGCGTATACCATGACGCGTGGCATGGCGGGGCATTTTGGTGAAGTGTCATGTTCCGTTCAGCTTGTGATGATATGTACACTCTACGGCAGTGCCTCGTGCGTACGAGGGAAAGAATTTGAGACCCAAGCGGAAGGTGAAATGTGCAAATTTGGCCGCTTATATCAGTCAATGCGGTTGCAGGTAGTTCATCACCGCTTCTCGCACCCTCACAACGTCGGCAGTTGTCAACCGCCCATCTGCAGGCTCTCAAGGTACACAATTACCTAGGTAGCAAGCATACAGAGACCATTCAGCTTTTCTCTCCCACCCAGTACCTTGAAGCCCAAAAGTCGCACCATCCGGACTCTCCTGCCATCATGGCTCGCGGCAAGGCTCCAGCGCAGAACCAAGCAGCAGATCCAGTGGCTCCCTCATCCCCTCCCACTGGAAAGGACGTTCAAAACGCTAGGGAACAGATTCGGAAAGCCCTATCAGCAGCTGACAACAACGAGTACAATCGACTGGTAACAGCAATCGGCAAGAACAAGAACAAGGGCCCCGAGATCTACGCTAGAAATAGCAAATCTCTGAGAGACTTTCTGGCCACACGGCTAAGGGCAATCACGCCGCACAACGCGTATGCAGTTATAAGAGCTCAAGTATATACCGGAGCAGTCTTGCCAACCTTTGAGGATATGGAGCCACAGGATGATGACGGCGAGCTACAGAGGCGCCAGCCTATCGATGAAGCTGGCGTATCTCCTGGGGCAATGTCCAGCGACGAGTTTACCGATCGAGACCCCGCTACTCCCCCTGTCCGAATTGATGATCAGCAACAAGAGGAAGACGATGACGATTCCACGATTCAAGTCTCCGATGTACTCTCCAGTGATGACGAGGAAGCCGCAACACCCGAGGAAGAGATCGGAATCTCCTTTGGAGAGTTCCAGCACTTTCCAAAGGGCACCGTATCCATGATACCCATCCGCGACACTGCATCCTTCCCCGTAGGCCTTATCGTCAATTGGGATGGCGCGAAGGTTGGCACTATGCATATGCGTGCCACGGATGCAAGCGTCGACGAGGTTCAGATAACGCTCGCAGACTCCCCGCACAAGCTAGTCTCTGTCAAGGATACGGAGGTACTGTTATTCTTGCTAGGCAAGAACCCGCGACCGGGTGTTCTCGACGTCAGGGAGGGCTCTTTGGGCCCTGGAAAGAAACTCAAGCTGTCGCCGATTCCGCACACGGAACCTTGGCTCGGCGGCCCCGATTCGGAACTCAAGGTCTTCTATGAAGTCGACGAGGACGACTATGCTAGGGATTCGGAGGAGTAACTGCAGTCTTATACGACGAAATGGGCAGTAAAGATGGGCGGTTGTAGTTGCAGATCTGGTTAATATTAGCTAGGGTATGCCGTAGGCCTTGGAGGCGAACTTGGTGCACCTCCATGCGTGTGCAGAAATGCCGCTCAAAAAATAATCATCCACTCTTGGGGTCGCAGATAAATTTTCTCTATTATGGGTTTCTCGAAGTGAAAGCTAGGTTGACATCACGTGACAGTATCATTCATCTCCCCTTTCCAACTCCGACTCTATCAATTGTAACTGTAAAGCGCAAATAAATAGCAGGAAACATCGGTTTCAAGCACGTATGCCGTTCCAAGCAAAGTCATTACCTGTGATGCCGACAAGCACGCTGGGACAAGCAGACTTGTTGGCAAAGCAATTGGCCGGGGCACATGAGCTGGCGAAGATAAAGACGATGCAGGGATGCTGTTCTACTTTGCATCTTCTCAAACAACCCCCACTGCAAGATGGCTCCCCGAGAGCCCGTTGACCTCAAGATGCCAGCCGACATTGAGCAGACGATCAAGAATCTCCTCACGCCAGAAGACTGGACTGCATATCATGATTCTCTCGCTACCGGAATCAAAGGAGGGCCTAAGAGCCCCAAGATCCGCACCCGTGTCGAGAACGAGCTACGAGAGGTAATCGATCGAAACCGCGGAATCGCTCATTTCCATAATGCGTACGTCCAGTTGTATAACGACGAAGTTCCGGATAAGGAGCGGTTTAAGCTTCCAGCATTCCCGGACTTCGAGAAGCAGGAGGTTGATGATCCGGGAGTTGCGGGGGACGTCCACACGGACGCCAAAGATGAACACTTTATCACGAGGGACGTCGAAGAGGAAACCGACGCAGCTGATGGAGACGAAGACGATGGAGCATCTGACAGTCACGAGGAGGCGGCTGATGCTGATGTAGCGACAGAGCTCGCCCTCCATTCCGAAACGGAAGAGGCCGAGATAGCGCAATGGGATCACCCCGGTCCTCCAACAGAGTTCCAAGGCGCACAGCGCAACGCCTATCTTCACTGGCTGGAGTATCGCGGTGAGCCGCATCCTACTGCTTCTCCGTTCTATAGCGAGTGCAAGACCATCGCCGAGAAAATTGGCAGGCGTTCGCCTCAAGTCCATGATGAGATTCTGAATCATTGGCTCTTAGAACGGAATTCTGAGCGCGGGCGGTGGTACCGAGAGCACAGAGAAGACATCTTGGGGGAGGAACCGCGGTTCGACGAGGCAACGCGGCGCTACTGGGGTGGATCATTGAGGAATCGGCAACTATGGCTTAGTAGACCGGAATAGATGTTCCCGCCCTCCTGTCGAGTTGTAGAAACGCAGCGCTTGAAAAAGAGAATCTAACAACAACTGAGTAGAACGTTTTTCAGGCAGTCTCCGTGATGACAAAGGGGCCCTTGATGCTGACACACCGTCACGAGATGGGCGAGACTCCTTGGGCTCAATGTTTGATCGCTGAACCTGAGGCGCAAACAATAGGAAGAGCAGAGCATCAGTGGTGGCCAATGATGTTCATAACTCCAGAAGCCCATGGACACTTTTGATGGATGGTACTACCAGAGTGAGAACAATTCCATGGATTGAAAGGGAGCCATTGAACACCAGGATGACGTGCTTGATGTTCAAGCATCGCTTAGCCTACATGAGGTGATGACACTGATGTTTAGTCCGCTTGATGGAAGCGGAACGGGAGCGAGGAAGTCACGCAACAAAGTCATTCACCGTAAGGCTTGCCCCTATTTGTTAGTAATGTAAGTGGTGCTGAAGGTTTGCTTCTGATGTAAGTCATCCGGCATAATCTGCAGATCAAACCGCAAGCAAGTCTGTGGTATATAGCGAGGAAGCAGCCTGCCATGAGTCCTCATCACTTTGGCTGGCTCAGGCTCAGTTACCTACAGCGGCAGACAGTTCAAGCAAAATGCCCGCAAAGAGGGACAACGGCCACGACTCAGAAGCGACTAACGAGCCACCTACTTCACCTTCGTCTTCGGAAAGTGAGCAACGAGAGCAGACGCCAGTAGACTCCAGACAGCGGCGATCCCAGGCTCCTTCCCCAAGCCCGAGCATCGGCGGGGGCGCGACCACTGGAACTGAACAGACCAACGTACACGGCGGTGCCTCTGATTCTGAAGCTACTGAATCCGACCATGGCAACAGGCCATCAACCACCCCCACTCAGCGTTCTCCCTCGTACTTGGACAACAACCCGCCATCCTCTCCGGCCTCCTCGGAAGCTACGGAACCCTCTACTGGTAATGAGCAACCCGCCAACACCCCACCCCGAGGATCTCGTGATTCAACCGGTGATTGCGAGTCTCAGCCCCCCGATAGGCGAGCCTGATCACCGATTCAAGCTGCCACGGCCGCATCCGCTGCACCCGTCTCCTAGGAAGTACTACCGGGCGAATGAGGCCGTCTTGCGGGATGTATTAACAAACGAGATGATAACTCACGCAGAGTGGATCAGGCGTTATGAGGAGCGACGACGTGGGGGCGAGTGATGATGCTTTCTCTGTGGCGATAGCGTGGCAACTGGAGTAGGCGTTATTTTTTCTTCGCGATGCATTTTCGCTCGCGTGTCATGGATCAATCGAGGTATGGGATGAGGATGCGAGGGGCCTTTGTTGGACAAGTCTGATTGAATAGCTTCCCTATCCATAGCGAAATGAATGCCGACGCGGTTTGAACAGGTATATCCTTAAAACTGACGCTGATTTCATAGAAGGAAATGGTGAGTCACGGTTTCTGGGATGTGGTCATTGGCGCTCTAGTCACGAAGATTCCCCAACACGGGATCTTCGACGCAGATCCGTAGTGTCTCACATATAGAGTCTTTGCACATGGTGTATAGGCATGAGTTGACAGTGTATTGCTACCTAAGTTGGTGAGTCTGAGCTCGTGGTTAGTGTTGTAGGGACTTACTCGCTACAGTCTGCCGTTGTTGCTCTACCTCCTCTCCAAATCTAAGAGGTCTTGTATCCAGTCCTCTTTCCACGTTCCAACGTCCCTAATGGCCTTATCCGTGGCGTTGCAGCTCTTGCGCTTCTGCTTTTTCTAAAGCAGACTGTTAACGAACTCCTTCTGTTTAAGGATGTAGTTAGTGTTAGTTAGAGCGTTTCTCTTCTCTGCTTTGCGTTAGTTAATGCTTAGAACGGAGGGGCGTCCATACCTGCTCGCTCCTCTAGGATCTTAAGGTGCCACTTAAGAAATTGCAATACCCTAGTTGTGTCGCGCTTGACATACTTAGGCGTGCGATTCCTGCCAACTCCCCCCGGCCTTATGTTGCAGAGCTTATTGAATATGGCTCGGTCCATATCCTGTCTAATAGAAAGAGTTCGGCGGTCCTTCGACGGAGAGGAGAATTGAAGGTGCCATCGTTCGTGTGTAGTGTGAGCTGCTCAATCGAATATTATGCAAGATGTGGTGGACTAGGAGCAAGAGACTCCGTTTTATACCTGTGGGCCTCGCGCGCAGCGTTTATAGCTGTCCGCCCTCACTACCCTTTTGCTAGTGTTGTTTGCGCCCTTTTTGATAACCATCGTCATTGTTAAGGAGCTTTCTAGGGCTCCTTTTTCGTTGGCAGCTTCGTGCTATGGTTCGCGGTAGGCTACGCCCTTATCCGCGCCCAAACCGTTCTTTTCTGTCAAGTTATGCCACCTGCCCGTAGTTCTGTAATACCCTGTTCCCTTCTCCTAATTTTGGCGTCTTTTGAGTCCTTTTGTGCGTAGGCGTAGTCAGCATAACCTCTATAGGTTGGTGACTTAAAACAAGAGAAATCAATCAATCAATCCCCAACACGCCAACTCCCGCAGAATGCCAGACCCTCGCTCCAACCATTGGAAAGTCATAGCAGGTCGCATATAACCAGATCATCAAGCATTACGTTTGCGAGCATAGCCCCATCACGAAGGACTGGAATCGTGATGACGCACTTGCGGGGAAGAATTTCAAGGAGCTCTCATATACCGATCAGGGAGAGAGGGATCAGATGAGGATGTTGGAATCTTAGTTGAATGAAGTGGATGCGCTCATGGAATGAATGCTTATGAGGGATTTTATGGATGTTTGTATAATTAGGTTGGTGTTTTGAATAGGGTGTAGCTGATGCATCAAGCATCTTGCTCAGTAGTGATGCTCGTCCAGCCCATACCTGCGATGGCGATACACAAGAGCTCATTATTTTTATCAGCTGAAGACCGCCAGAAACGGCTTTCCCCTCAAACGAGGGCTCTTCTTTTGCGTGAATCGTGCCATATGCACTGGCGATTCTTCTGATTACTTTCCTCCGTCGCTCGGAGTGAAATGGGCGAACTCTGACTTTCTTGTTCGCGCCTAATTCAGAGTGAATTTTACAAGCTAGAAAGGGTGACGACGCCGAGCGATTAGAGAGTTTCCCCGAAGCCTGCAAAGACTATTTCAACTTCAAACTATCGTACAAGTCCACGCCCGGTCTGCTGAATCGTTGTGACAAGCTGCGCACGGTAAAACAATATCAAAACAAGCAGACACGCCAGTTCACCTGTGCACCTCTGCTCCGATTCCCCGCCATGGCTCAACCGCACATGAATATGGATACGGCAGAGCATATAAACCGGATTTGCGGACACTTCGGGGAAGATGAGTCGGACTCATACCGCGCTCTCATCAAGACCTTCGAGCATGGTATGCGACGCTACCCAGCTACTCTCTTTCTTTTTACACGCTTCCAGACACTCTAACCTATGAAGGCTACCTAGACGAAGATATACTCAATTGGCGAATCAAGCACGACGGGGTCTTTGATGATAGGGAGGACCTCGTTCCATACCACGACGACCTGATCATCATCATTATCCTGAAAAAGATTGATGCACCATATCTTATCCCTACCAGCCCCTCCGATATCGCAATACTGCGCCAATGTATTGACCATAGCTATATGAGCACGGAGGTCCAAAAGAGTATCCATGCAACGAACCGGACGCGCTTTGAGATGGACGTGAGGGCTGCGGGAATGGAGCTGGCTGGCGACCAAGGGACATATGGAGGCAGACTCGCGGGTGTCGGCGAGGATTTGGATTTCGAAATGGAGATGAGCGATGGAGTGGCCGATGAGCCTCCCGATGTGGTCGCCGGGCGGGCCGGGGATGGCGAGGATGGCGAAGGCCACTCCGCAAGCGAGCATGAGCTAGAGGAACCAAAGATGGGTAACTAAGATGGCCTTCTTTTTGGTTAGCATGCTGATGCCTCAAGGTGTACCTGAACACGACGTACACAACCCGCTCAACCCGCTCAACCCGCTCAATGCCAGAGAGGTTGCAGTCCGTGGCCACGCAAACAACCAATCCAATGAGGCAGTTGCACCCTCACGTAAGCGGCGATCCGGCTTTCCTTTAGGATCTCGGGAGTTTGAGAACTTGAAGAACGAAGCGCTGCGCTTCACACACCCGGATGGTACAGAACGTCAGACACAGACCGCAAATGACAATACGGACGGCCGTCTTCGGAAGAAGCCTCGGAAGAAATATGGCGAACTCTAACCGTGACCTGATCGGATGCCACCGAGTGTAGGGGACTATTGGGTACGGGATGCCCTCGTCTTGGAACTAGGGAAAGGTGGAACAAATGGAGTAGGAAATATGAACCAAGGATGATTGCATGGAACTAACGTGAAATGTAACATCGATCAAAACATACTTCTACCAAGGCCGCACGCCACTCTCTCCATTTTGCTCGTAGATCATTTTCCCAACCAGGTCGTCTCGCTCACCCTCGATGCATTGTCTCACAATCTCGCCGGCTTCTCTCGGATCCCTTCCATTGTTCTTCGTGAAATCGCCCGCAAACTCCGTCGCGCAAAGGCCCGGGCAGACCCCCCAGAATCTGACACCCTTCACCCAATGCACCCACTCCACCAACATCATATTGATAGCAGCCTTCGACGCTCTATATGGTGATACTGTGGCACCTATCGGAAGTGGCATAGACTCGGCCATGGTGATGGACCCCATAGTAGACGTGACAATGACGACCTTGGGATCCGTCGACTTCTGGAGAAGTGGGACGCAGGCTTGGTTCAACTCCATTACGCCGAAGACGTTTACTTCAAAGATCTTGCGCCAGTCGGTGCGCTTGTCAGAGCTTCCTCCCTCGCCGGATCCGATGCCTGCACTGTGGATGAGGATGTCGAGACGGCCGTAATCTTTCGCGATCTTGTCAACGGCGGTGGCGATGCTGTCTGAAGACTCGACGTCGATTTGGATGGTTTCGAAGGTGGCTTGGTTGTTCGTTTTGGTAGCGTTGAGTTTCTCGACGGCTTCGTGGCCACGGGCTTCACTGCGGGCTCCTATGAGGATGGTGTAGGGTTTCTTCGACGCTGAGAGAACTTGTGCTATCGCAAAGCCAATGCCTTGGTTCGCGCCTGAAGCTTTCTTAGTGATGTGCAGAATGATGGGAAAGGAGGTGATTCGCTCGGTTTTGGTGGTGATGTTGGGGATCAGGGCGCACCTGTGACGAAGATTACGGGGTTAGAAGTCGATGCCATATTTCGAAGATTTCTATCAAATTGTTAGACTTTGAGATGTTTCCTGAGATCGAATATACGATCAACTGCTGCCTAACCTAACAAAACCTACACTAGATGTCTCCACTTTGTCCCTCTTAACGCCGGGGAGTAAACATAATCAACGGACTTAATCGGTCGATTCAGTGACCGATATACGAGCCATACACGCGCGAGAGTCCCCTACATCATGTACGCGGTGTAGTCGCGAGGCTTTCTGTCCTTCCTGCAATCCTTCGCGTTGTCGTGCGGGCCGTCTTTATGATTGGTCCAGAGGCAAACCAATGTCGCGTCGCGAAATTACATGATTATAAATCCACGGAAGGAACTACCTAAGCGAATCCCATCTGCCTAGATGCCCCTCAGTTGTCGAAACAAACCCTCACTCGGTATCCCAAGGTTTTCATCCATTCTGTTTGGCGAGAGCAACAAGTCAATCGCAAAAGTCGTTTCAAGTTGTTGTGGTTCTCACTGCAAGACCCAGGTGTACAACCCAGACACATCACGTGACACATCCCACCTCCCGAAGTTTGTTGATGTGTTCCGTATCCTATCAACCTCTTCAGGGCTATCCATATCAACGATTAATTGGTAGCTATTTATCCCCATTACATTTTCGCATCCCCTGAACAACGTACGCGGCAAAACAACAACAAATCCGCAGAGAGTGACAGACTATCGAACCGGAAGTGACGATAGAGAGACTCGAGGGGCCTCTTCTCCAATGATAACATTACCATTTAGACTTCGTCCCATGGTTTACGGATGCCCGACCGCGGGTAGTGCATCCGTGCGGGCTCCACCTTCCCATAGCTTTAACTGCTAGGCACCCCAGAGCCCTGTTTGTAGGTCTTCTTGAACAGATCTCCGTCGCTATCATCGCCTCCTCCCTCAGGACCGCTCGGGCGTGGACGCTTCACACTACCATCCCCATCTTTTTCCCCGCCACTCTCTTCATTTCTTAACGCTTCATCCAACTTCCGTTTTTCACCAGCCTGATGGACACCAATCTTCCTCATGATAGGCTTTTGCAACGAATGAACGTAGCGAACCTCAGCTTCCAGGCCCTTCTCACTGGCTATTTTCTCCCAAATTTCACTCAGTGGGCCTCCATGCCGATCGAATGTCGCAATTTCATACGGAATGCGTATTCCAATCCCTGGCCAATTGCGCTTCTTGAGCCCGTAGTGATCCAATTGTCTCGCGCGATACAGCTCTGTACCATCAATGCGCATTTCCAGTTCGAGCCGCTCTTGTTCTTCGTCATCGGGCACTTCGTCTGCTAAACGACGGATGGGCGGATGCGGCGGCGAGTTAACTGGGGAAGAGTCATCTAAGAAGTTGTACACGTGGCGTTCGCGTCGGCCATCCGTTGCTTCAAACCACTGGGTGCTTCTTTCGCAGGTGTACTCCTGTGGGCTCCGTGGGGGCTTTGTGAATTCAAATTTCTCGTAGGCGTAATCGTATCCATCGCTATCTTCTTCATTTTCCTCCTTTTCCTCTTTTTCTTGCTCTTCCTCCTCTTCACTTTCGTCGGCCACCTTCTCTTTGCCCTTCTGCTTCTTTTTCCCCTTATCATTAGCTTTACCCTTCTCCTCATTTATCCTCTTACGTCTCCCCTTGACAGGTGGAGCTGCCGCAGGCCTGCTTAGGTCGCCAGCTTCCTCTGTCGCACCGCTCCCATCACCCGCTCCTTCTCCAGTGATGCTTCGGTCGTGCTTGGGATAGACGAAATCGTCTGGATTTGGGGACGGCTTGCGCGGAATAATAGCAATATTGCCATTGACCAGCCGTCCCGCAAGATCATACGATGTCCTCCAATCCCAAGAACTCTCTTGTGCAGCGATAAAGAGCCCCTGGTCCGTCCTGATCTTACCCTTCCACTTAGGTTCTATCGGCGTCTCTGACTCGCTCCTATCTCGTTCCTCGGCTTCACTCCTTTCTGCATCATCCCTTTCAGGCTGGGTCATACGAAATCGTTCAAAGCTAGCGGTCGGAGGCTGGCGCTCCTCAGGATTGTCTTCTGCATAGAGCCGAATCTCCGCTTCGCGCCTCTCATTATGCGATCGATAAGGGAAGCCGTCTGCGTCATCCAGCTCCGCGGTCTCAACTTTCAGTCTAGCTTCTTCGATCTGTTCGTAGTCTAGCTTCAGAAGCCATGGGTCTTCTTCCACTGGGTTTCGACGAAGCCCTACGGGAACGCGTCTCCACGGTGGGGTCCATAAATGGAGTTCACGATGGGGAATCTTGCGTAGCTCCGGTGGCCTCGCATCCTCCCGTTTCTTGCCATCCTTTTTCGTGGCGACAGGTTCTATTTCTTTGCCTCTCTTTGTCGTGCCTTTCTTCTTTCCCTTCTTTTTGTCGTCTTCTTTGTCACTGTCCTCCCCATCCCCTTCCTTCTCACCCTCGACCCTGTTTCCAGCAGCATCTATATGGCCTTTGCGATAACCCTGTGTGCCGATCTCTCGTTGATCAAACTCGTCCAGAATTTGACGCAACCACCTGTAATATTGATCCTCGGCGCCATATGTTGTTAGCATGTATGGCATCCTGCCCGAATGTTTTGCCTCTGGTGCCTTGGCTTGTAATTTTGGGTCAATCGGGCCGTGTCTCATCCACCGATGTGCATGGTTCTGGTAAAACAGAAAGTCTTCCAGCTTCGCCTGCGCCGTTACCCAAGCATCTTTGGCTTTTCTCTTCTCAACGCTATTGATTTGCTCCTTATTCTCTTTGGCGAACTTTTCCAATTCATTTTCGGCTTTTTTCCATGCCTTCTCCGCATCTTTGGTCGCCTGTGCTCGATCCTTCTTCCTCCTTGCGTGGTCATTCGCCACACACGCATCGTACGTCTCTTTTGTCTCTTCTTCCTCCTGTTTCAGCTTATGATACAGTTTCATCTGTTTCCGGTATTCTTCCATGGAGACCGCGTACTTGGCAAGCTCCTCTTGCTGATCCTTCAACTGTTCTTGTAGCTTCTCGGAGAAAGTCCAACCGCAGCCTGGACCATTGACCTTGATCACTGGCTCACGCGGATCTTCTGGTACGTTCACGGGCTTCCCACCCGCGCGCTTTTTAGATTTCTTTGGTGGCATACTGCAATGATCAAAAAGGGCAGTAGGAAATATTTAGTAGGTGCAAAAAGTGGAAAACCGAAGGAAGGTGGGGAGTATGGGGATTGTATTCGCCCCCGGAAAAACTGGGGTTACGGTTCATGAACAAAGAACCTTGGAACTACCATAGCTACCCAATCGCACTAAGCCACATCCGGCACTTCCTGCCTGGGTCCTCGCTTATTTCTTGACAAAGGAAGTCGCGCCACCAGCGCACGCTCAATCATCCACGTCATCACCATCATACTCATGCACATGTTCTTTCCAATCCCACTCCTTCTCCTCCTCTAGTGGGTTGTACTCACGTCCTTCGCGCGCGGCTTTCTCCCGTGCAGTCTTCTCCTCTCGCCTCGCGATCTTCTCGCGTCTCCTCATACGTTCTGGCCCATTCAACTGGTCCATTGGGATCAACATCTCTGTCTTGGAGTCCTCTGACGCAAGATAGTCGACGGTCGTCCACTCGATAGGAAATCGGTTCGCGACATCTGGATCGGTGTACTTCGAAGGAACGATGGCCTCGGCCTCATCTCCGACTGCCGCAGGATTCTCCACTTTTGTACTGGAGGCGGCGTGTTTCGAGTCTGTCGCTTTTCGTGAACTCTTGGTTGCCGTTTTGCCGGGAGACTCTGAGAGCTCACCTCGGCGCCTCGCAGCTGTCCGGCTCGCAATGGTGTCCGGCACAGGTGAACCGTCTTCGCCGGTTGGGAAGGGGAGCGGCGTAACATTTGCATCGGGGCCCTCTGAGGGCAATCTAATCGAGCTCAGAGACTCAGGCAAGGCCGATTCCGTCGATGGTTTAGACAGATAAGCTACTCGAAGTTCGGCTTCCGCCTCCTTCACCAAATTCTTCGCCGAATCTTCGGACATGCCCTCCATGCGCACCAGGTATTCGATTGCCGTCTCTTTCCTAGATGCTCCTGCCTTCGACCAGGGATTGACCTTTCGCGTGGGAGCGTATAGCGGCTTGCCCTTGGCGACCCAAGCAGCAACCTCATTCTTGTCATTTCCTGTCTTGAAGAGCTTAGGAATTAGACTTGTAAGCTGGTCAGTGGCACTACGGCCTGGGACTTTGGTCCAGGTGTCGGGGTCTGTACTCCCCTCGGGCATAGCTGGTTCTGGGGGCTCCGTGGTTGCTTCTAAACCTTGGACTTCCCCTCGAGCTCGTGATCCGGTCTTGAGGGGGGATGAATGCTCGTGTTCAGCGACAGTGTTGGCGGAGGGAATCGATTGCATCGGTGCGACCCCCTTCGCATGCTTCGGTGTCGCGTATGCTACATCCTTCTCGCTCGTTTCAGAATGTTTGTCATCAGGCTGACCGATGGTAGCAAGCTTTGCACTGCCCTCGACCTTGTTGGCCTTCGACGCTTGAGATGCAATTTTCTGTCGCTTATGATCTTCATCTTTCGTATCGGGGCCCTCTTTTCGCTTGCGATTTATCACAGAGGCATTGCCGTCGACCGGCTCCGGTGGAGGGATAGACTGCTCTTTCTTCGCCGGGCTTCGGGATTGTTTCCGACGACTTGATTTGGCCATGCTCGCGGGGTTAGGTAGACGTTGCTTTCGGGAGTAATTTGCTTGGTTGGAGTCTCTGTCAGTTGTGACCTCTACGAGTTGCGTTTCTCTTGAGCGGTGAGCCTCTCAAACGGGCCTCGATCTTTGATTATATCCCTTCATGATGTGCGATTCTCGAATTCACCACACGTGGCGTCGGGCGTCGTCTGTGCACAGTGGCAGCGTCGAATCAGACTCCAACCAACCAGGTACCCCTGCTCCATACCAAATTCACGCATCAATGGTTAGTTACTCATTGGAACCGTGCGCTCTGGTCTCGGCTGCCTCATCGAATAATGGTGCCAATGATGCTGTGACACTGCTAGGAATAGTCCTTTCCCTTGCCATTCCATACGCAGGCTCCGTCTAAAGCCATTGTCGAGTTGATCGAGAAGCGGTCTAATCTAATTGTTATAGTAGACGAGGTTGCTGTTCATTAACTCCCATCTGCCATGTCATCGTTCCAGACAATCCACCTCTGCAAAACTCTTTTGCTTTGGCTGCCTCCTCATCTGGTGATCAGCGTTTTGGCAGGAAAGTCCCTGTACAGCGACTCGCCTCAGATCTATGCGTTTATCTGCGAAAGAATGCCGATCGTGGAATTGTGGGTCAAAGTCATAGAGACACTCGATGTGGGCCATTCTGAGAACTGCCGGCCGGCCATAGGATTTCCCACATTAGGGCACTAAATTTGCCTTCCATAATACTGAGTGCGCATTGAACAGTCCTACGTGCTTCGTCATTGTTCATCCAGAATCGCAATCAGTTGCTCAACATTACCTAAGTTACAGAGGAGTGAATTGCTGGCCTTAGTGGGAAAGGCCAGTGCGTAGCCAGCTGCCCGGACATTTGCCGTAGCGCCGCGATTCACCACTATAGTAAGTTACCGACACGGGAGTATGCTACGCTGCTTTCTTCTTCCAGGATAATTCTCAAGTTGTGTCGCCGACCGCAAAAGGCCAACTGCCTAGGTAGCACACGCAAGCCTTCCCTAACATGCGGTCGCTTCATCAACGTCACCCGGTACATCATGAGCGAGAAAAGACAACTCCCCATCACATCATTCTTCACGACACCGACGCTACATGTGCAAGCGCCTATTTCAAAGGCTACCCATCCTTCGAACAGCGCTGAAGATCCAAAACCACCCCGACAATGTGAAGCCACAGCATCCGATCACCGCAATGAGATAAATATGCTGCCAAACTGGCCTCCAAGTGCCCAAGGTACTACTACCGGAAATATGGACTACTCATCCCCCACAGAGATCGAGGCCGCGGATCAACCTTCGAGCGACAATCCCAAAAAGCACCTCTACATTCAGAAGTGGATGGGAGATAGAGAGGAAGATCTTTGGGAGCTTAAACAGCTGATTACCTCTGGGCAACGCACGGCCTACACACCCCAATCGGGGTATCTCACGGAGCATGGCTGGCACTCCATCAACGACCCCAATGAATCCAATCCGGTATGCCCTCCAATACTTTCCACCCAATTTGAACTATGTCCACCGAAGGATGTTGAAGCACTTTCAGAGGAGCCCACACTGGACGCTAAGTACTTCGATCCGGAATACTACCTCTCCAATCAAGATGAGGAGATGCTACCGAGTGCCGCAGCGAAAACGGTCGGCAGGATACTGGAGCAGAATGATGGGGAAATCAACGGTGGGGGGTACGTACCGGAAGACGTAGCTCCACTCTCTGGACAAAGTGGGACTAGGGACATAGCCAGTTATTTCAAGTCCACGAGGAAAGGTTCCGGACCGGCCCCATCAGAGCCTAGAGACGAAAATCGTGTCCCAAAGGAGACTAAGGCCGGCAAATTTCTGTTCGACAGCGAGACGGAAAGCAGTCTCACAGAACTGGACTCCGATTTCTTGCTAGATGACGATCCGATATTTCGGGGTATGACGACGTCGGCTCCAACCCAGTTTCAGTTAGGCGGTAAGACCAAGCGCTCGTCGAACGGACCCATCATACCCAGACCGCAGAAGGTTTCCTCGAGCGACGCCACTGCCTCCCAAGAAACGACACCGAACGAGACGACCGATGGCGATAATGATATCCCAAAAGATCAAAGCAAGAGAGACGAATGGGAACTTGTAAGCGATGATACCACTTCCCCTCGCGTTGGCACACCGGCACCACACAAACTGAGGATACACTTGCGGCACAAAGCTACTCGGCGCGAAAAGACCTTAAAGTTCCGGATGATTAAGGAAGCTGACATCGACTGGAACGAGCCCAAGCACCTGAAGTCTATCGGGCAGTGGCGGCGTCAGCTCTTCAGGCGTAGAGGTTTCCCGCTGAAGAAAGTCTTGTTTGCCCCAGCTGAAGATGCGTGGCTGAATCTGTTCCACGAGAAGACCTACGCCGTAGCCAAGGGTGCAAGCGCTATAGGCATGCCGACCGTTTCGATGGTCCGCGAGGCGTTTAATGAGTTCTTCGAAGGCAAGCTGCTGGTGGACGCCAAAGGCAACCAACTTCCTGCTCGCGAGGCGAGAGAAAACACTTCATTTCGGGGCAAATTCGTGCGCCAAGGCTCCAAGCTCTGGCAGCTGCGTGAGGATACGAGGGGGTTGCTTGACAAGGATTCGAACGGCAAGATATACGTACCAGTCATTACAGAGGAGGAGCTGGACCGATATCGCGAGAGTGGGATCGTTGCAGTTGATGACCCTGACAATGCCGATAAGAACAATGCGTTGGCGTGGTCGCGGGAGAAGCTTGAGAAACTACATCAGTCGTCACCCCGGAAGCGGAAGCGGAAGCAACCAAAGATAGCCGAAATTGAAGAGGAGAAGGACACTTTAGACAAAGATGTCTCTGATGCGGACGATGAAGCGGAGTCACCAAAGCCAACAAAAGAGCGACTGGCACCCTCCAAGCCGTCCGTGTCGGCTTCCGTCTCATCAACTAAGTCTAACGAAATCGCGCCCCCACAAGACCGTGCTCGCTAGTTTGATGGCGCACCGGGGTTCAACTTGCGAGCTCATGTGGAGTAGAAGGGGGCAAAGGAGGTTTATCCAACCTGATATGCATTGGAGGCTACAATATTCGTCAAAACTTTTGGCCTAACTAGTGGCTCATGTATATGAAATTGCTTCTTCGGAGGCCTCCTGCCTCGTGACTTGACGAACTTCTTTGTTTAAATATCCCGTGCAACTGCTCGTACAGTCGAGGTTAACCGCGCTTTGTCTATTGTTTGCGTATTCTTTATAGCCTTTCAGCGCCATTGAAGTCTCTCAGAACAAAGAGAATAAACAATGAAATCAATTCTGTGCCCAAAGTTATTGATTGTACCTTTGTAAAGACACCGATACTGGCGACCCGTTCAAGCATCGTTTGGGCAGCGTTTCAACCACCGACCCGCTACACGTCACATTGAATCAGACTTCACGAAGTGACCATCAAAGTAGCCATGGCTGGCAAAAAGAAAAGCCGAAAAGGCAAAGCCGTGGTCAAGGTAACCGAGCCGAGCCGCGCGATCGAAAATCCGGTGCCCAAGAATCCGGGGAAGAACCCCATTCTAAAAGATAATTGGGGAAAAGACCCAACCACAGACGAGGAGATGCAAAGCTGGATGGATAACATGAAAAGCTTGCTACTCCACCGCCTCACCTACTTTCGAAGAAAAGCGGCTGAGGAGACCACGAGACAAGCGATCGAGAACTGCACAGCGACCCTCGATGCTAAGTGGCAGGAATGGGTACCGGAAGATGAGCAGCAGCAGAAGACAGACGTGCAAACGGGCGAAATTTTCGATCCCATGGAGAGAGTACGAATGTTGGCTGAAATGAGCCGCCTGAAAATGCCTCTGGAGAAGATCCACAAGGAAGCGAACACGGATGGTGCCCATAATGCCTACCAACTAGCTCAGCAAACCTGGGAAGACTTCCATTACTATCAGAACGAATGGAACAGGCGAGGATTCCGGTTGGGCTACGAACCGAAAGAGAAGGGGAAAAACGAGAAGGAAAAGGAGGATAGAAGGAAATATAAGGAAGCCAATGACCTTCTAAAGTGGCGGGAGAACTTAATTCAGTTGTACGACAAATGGAAGATCGGAGATCGAGCGAGCATGCCTGAAGAGCTAGGGCCCAAAAATCTCCATGTTTATCCGGACAATATCAGGAATACGACACCCCAGAATCGAAGGAAAGCCCACCTTAACGAAAAGTTCCCAAGGCGCGAAGTTCAGCTGGATGAGGAAGCTATCAAGGAACGACGAGACAAGGTTGAAGAACAGCGAAGGGAAAAGGAGGAGAACGAAAATGATACGGTGGACACATCGAAATGGGCCGCCACAGAAACACTCCCTCCACATCACAAGCCCTATTACGCTGCAATTGAAAAGACCAGTCCGTGGGAGTGGTCAAACGACTCAGAAGTACAGAAAGTGTGGACCATTTTCGATACCAATAAGGAGGGGCCGGCTGTTGGCAACGTAGAAGTGGAACTTAAAGTCAAGAAACCAGACGAGAGGCCCCGGTACCTGACCCATACAATCCCACGTCAGGTCCGAGACTTCACCTATAAACTTCATGAAGTCGCTCCAGGCGTGGAGAAGCCCGAAGACGATGGCGAGCAGTGGGTCGGAAAGTATGAGAAGGACCGCTTGGTGGATGAGGAAGTTTTCAGATTGGACGATCAGGGCGAGAGAATACCGGATACAACGCAGTACTACATATATGAAAAGCCTACTTATGTCTTGAAGGACGAGATCAATTCTAAGCAGGGCCCTGGACGTAAAGAGCGAGCGGAGCTGCGAGCTGTTGCACGCGCGAACCGTGGGATCGCAGGGCACAGTCCAGGTGATGGACCTGGAGATGACTCGTACGGCCCGGGCGGCGCTGGTGGCGGTGATGGTCCGCGCATACGTCCTGAAGGCACCGGAAGAGACAATACAGATGGGTCAGGCGAAACGGGTGGTGGTCCTGCCGAGGAGCCGGACGGCCCAGGAGACGGCGCAGGTGGCTTAAATGGTTCTGTGGGTAGCTCTCCCAAAGATCTGCATGGAACAGATCCAGGAGAAGATGACAACGACGATGATGACGACGACGACGGCGACGACGACGACGATGGCGATGACGATGACCTCTTTTGGCTGTTTTATCAAGCGTGCTCCGGATGTAAATGCACTGAAGGGCAGGCATGCAAGTGCGTGGACTGCAAGTGCAAGGGGCATGATGACGGAGAGGCGACCAAGGATTCAGATCCTTCTACCAGTGGAAGCCCAAACTCATCACCCAAGTCGGATGCCGACGACTCTACTCCCGGCGGTAAAGGCCTCGGCGCCAGTGGAGCGAAAACGGATAGCAATAACCTCACCTCTGCTGCTGCAACACATGCCGATCCTCCACCGTCTAGTCCCGTTGACGATGATATGTCAGATACAGCTGAATCTTCGCCAGATGAGTCTTCTTCGTCAGATGAATCTTCTTCGTCAGATGAATCTTCTTCGTCAGACGAAGATAGTGGCTCTGCTAAGTACATTGAATGCGCACAGAAGAAGAGGTTGCTGACCGAGTGGCTTGAACTGGACCCCAAAGATCCTACAAGATGTATAGCTCATTACACGAGAAAGGCGAAAGATGGAAGGCCCTACACTCAAGCCGACAGTATTCCAGAGTTCCGAGCAGATGCACCATTGATAAGCAAGGATAAGGGGGAGTTTGAGGTTCTCCCAAAAGATGCCTCGATCCCAAGCTTCAGAAAAAAAGCAGACAAGGAGAAGTTTCCAATATGGACTAAAGACTCCGAAGGCACTGGATGGTCACGAGGTCCCCTGAGATGGAAACTGACTGCAGTCTTGCGCAAGTTTCGCAAAGACAATGGAGAGTATGCCGGATCGTACGAGTGGAAAGACATCGATCGCCTGCTCGACGGAAACCCAAACGATAAGGAATTCCATAAGGTCTACAACAAGTGGTTAATGCAACCCTTCCGCAGGGGGGACAATGACTATAAAGCAGGGATGCGCGAGAACCAGCCTTGGCAACCCGAGGAGACCCAGGAGCTCTACGACTACATCAGAGATTGCATCGAAGAGCACAGCATGTTCCAACTGCTGGAGAAGAAGTTTCCGTACCAAAAGGCTGCGGATCGAGTTAATGCGAAGCGCAAAGAATTGGGCTACCAAGGCCGTGATCGAACTGAAAGTTCTATCAAGTCAAAGATGAACCATGATAAGCAGGTTCAAGAGCTCCGAGAGCGTGCCAAACAACTGGAGCAGAAACAGAAAGAGAACGGGACAGTCTCGGAGGCCGAATTAAAGCCCAAGATTACGCTCAAGGTTGAGAAGAAGCGCAAGCATAAGGAGAGCGAGACGGGAGGCGATGAAGGTGGCGAAGACGACGGTGAAAAGATAGCCTCAGATGATGAACGGCCACTCAAGAGATCCAGGAAATGAGTCCAGAACAGTAAGTACATGTATTTCCGTATCGATTCCGTAGATATTCTAGAATTGAAATATGCATATTATTAGTTATGTTCTAGAAATATTGCTCTCCGGCTTTATGTGACGTTCAGACTAGGAATTACCAGTTTGTCTGTGTGTTTGGAGTGAGGAAGTGTATCGCGATGATCTCGTTCCGAATTGAGTGAAGGACTCAAATGCCTTGCCGCCTAATAATTCGAGCATACCTGCCTTAGAAATGACACAGAAAGCCCCGCTGCTTGAAGAACAGAACTTCCACGACCTAAAATGGTCAGATCCAATTATAGAACAATGCCATTCTTGCATGCAATCACACAATGCGTACAAAGAGTTTCCACTCATTGAGAGGTTGGTATAAGTGACGCCGTCCAGCAGACCACCTCTACCTAGGCAGTGTATTGCAGTGTCTTCTATTAGATCTTAATTCTTAGAAACAGTCGCACGATAACTCTACGCCAGCTTGCTTGAAAGAAAATAAGCACCTACGCAATGGCGAGAAAACGCGCCCGCGAGACCGGAGTCGCCGGAACGGCAGACACCGGTGGCTCCTCGAAGCGCGTAACACGCGCTACCGAAAGAGAGCGAAAGAAGACATCCGAACCAGGTTCCTCCCAAGATCCAGACCATAATTCGCTACCAGGTACGGAATATGGCTGGGCTCGAGACGAGGAACACTGGATAGAACTGTACCATATCCTCCTTATCGCCTATCAGAAGCATAACATCGCGCTTCCTGATGATACAGAAAGAGTAGCCTATTACAACGCGTACTTCCAGGGATTCAGGGAGCCCGGTTTTGGAGGGGAGCCATGGAACGACTGGAGTGAGGTCTTCAAGAGGGTAAAACGGAGACGCGTAGAGCTTGTCGATGCGAGTCAGCGAGTATGCCCTGATATACTCTCGTTGCTTGAGGATGTCTCGAATGATGAGTCGGATAGCGCGCCGGATCTCCACCTACCCGCTATAACACCAGAGATGCTGAAAACATTCATGCGAGAAAAGAACAGACTCGTCAAAGACAAACTCCCTGAGCCCGACACCCCCTCACCGAAGGACAAAATGTCTCCAAAAGATAAATCGCCTCCAAAACGGTCTCCCCCAAAACGAAAGTCACCCTCAAAGGACGGAAGCTCTAAGGACGAACCGCCTTCCAAAGACCAGCCTACTCTCAGCTCAGATGAACTGATCGGCCTGGTCGAAGACCACATTCTCCCGCTCGAGAAAAAGTACCTAGACCAGAAGAAGAAACCATGGCACGAAGAAGCTGGAAAAGACCTCTCAGACCGTGGCCCGATGAACGTGAGGAACTACACGGCCAAGCATCCTCTCCAGCTTGAGTGCAATCCAAGTGGGGAGCGCGCATCCTGGCACAGTAATTCGAAGGTGAATACTTGGATTCCCGCCCCGTTCGGCGTCATCAATACGTATATTGGCGGCATTAAAATGGTCTGTCGGCAGGAGGGCGCTGCGAATGCGAACGGGCTTATGAATATCGCCATCGTGCCTCCGGTTGGGTATTTCGGCGGTTTGAGAGAGTTGCTGCGCGAGGATTCGGTGCATCGCTTTGGCGATGAAGAGGAGAAGAGGAAGCATGTAGAACTTGTGGAGTTGGTGAAACACGCGGAGAGAATCACAGCAGCTGTGTTTCGGAAGACTGAGGACGAGTTCTTGCAGAAGCATCCAGAGAGAAGGGATAAGGTGAGTGATGAGGACGAGGACGAGATTGATGATGTGGAGTTCTCGGATGGAGAGGATGAGATCGTATTTCCATGATAGAGCCATGAAGCTCTTAAATAAAGAATACGTCAGGGCTCGACCTATTCGCAGAAACCTTAAGACGTTATAATTCGAAAACCAGTATTATCACTCCTTGATGCGAGGCAAACCACAATTAAGCGTACATGCAATAGCCTAAACAAGCTATACATTGCACAAGTGCAACATGCCTTCGTGGCCTACATAAGCTCCACTTTCACATGGATAATGTCCCCGGTCAGGGTCATCAATTGTTAATGCTAATAGAATAGGTAAGGAAAAACGCAAAAGGAAAAACCCCGCATAGTGCCTTTCAGTACACCGGTCAATTATGAAGCCTCCGGTCATGGGAATGGGGTAAAACATCGCACGATTTGCGACCTTCAGGCGCCATTTGGTAACGTTATCAAGCACTTCTCGGTAGCATAAAAGATGCCAACTCACCCTAATACATTTCAGCTGTAGACAGAATACGTGGTATTCAGTCTCCACTGGGAATAGCAGAGACTGATTACAATTCGAACATTGACGCCAATTCTGCGTTACGGACTCGTCCACGGATATACCAGATCTTGAGAAAAATGGCTTGAGTCGGACTTCAGCAACGCTTTCATCCCGAAGCAATGGCATGGATGAGTTAATTTCCAGAGCCTGTGCGACGATGCGGATGTTGCAAAAGCAGAACCGCTGCCCACAGCATCGTAAAGCTTGCAGCAAGACTTGATCATCCGGGGCGCCGTAGTCCACCTTTAATTCTGAGCCCCTTCCACACAGGGCCAGTAAAGAAAAGATGCGATCCCTTTTGATTTTGCATTCTTTATCGCAGAACAGGTCGAGCAGACGGACTAGGTCTTCCCCTTTCAACTTCTGAGCCTGGAGCGTATTGGATACTGGAACCCCCGAGCTTGCTGGGTTTAAGCGATTAACTTGGTAGCTGGACAGCTGAGCTATGTTTAGCTCAATTTGTCTCGACCAGAAGGCGACGTGGCGGGCCAGTGCGACTTCTTGCGTTATCCATGCGCGAGTCCAATATTGGGCATTGCAAAACTTTTCGTAGAAGTAGTCGTAGACTTGGGATGGGTTCTCGTGGACCTGAGCAAGGAACTCGGCGATGTCAGGTTCGTTGCCGAGCCAGGCGATGACTTCTCCTGCCGAGCCAAAAATTTGGCCCATGAGCTGGACTTGGTGATTTCGTTCCGCGGTATTACTCTGGTCAATGGAAATGGCGTCTATCCAGAGTGGCTTTGAATGATACTTCGTTCTAGCGACGCCCAAGAAGTCCCAGAGGTTAAGGTGTACTTGAAAGTCCCTGCCGTTGACTGTGATCGATCGTGTTTGGCTGGACGAGCCCCATACATAGGAAAGGCAGGTGTATTCACTGCTGACGTCGGCGTGTTTCAGTGAGCACTGTATGCCACCGCTTGCTGATAGGTCTGGAAGAATTTCGATGAGGCGGATGGAATCCTTTCCGTGGTCGAGAGGATTGTGTTGGAAATTGCGCTTGGAAGAATTACGGGCATTGTTGGTGGTGTGGACGGAATTGGGTCGTTCGTTGCGATTGCGAAGCTTGCGTCTGGAGTGACCGGCTGCACGACGTCGCCTCCTTTTGGCTTCAGAAGTCATGCCGAGAAGAGCTCGTTCGTATTCGAAAACCCATAGAGAGATGTCGTGTGCGTGGTAAATGAGTGGGAACTCGGGGAACTGGTAGAGATAAGAACGAGAGAGTGGGGCAGTGCAAGGCTGAAAAAGTGGCGGAGTTCAGCCGCCCACCTGCCTGGTAGGTGCCTAAGGCATGCGGGTTCCATCATTCGACCATGTCTCGACGACTCACGCGGAATGCCATGAAATGCTTGTACGGCCAAGCTTCAGCTTCGGTCCCTTCGCTTACTGGCCCGAAGCACCGCGCTTAAACTCCCACGCCCGCGACTGGTCGAAAACCGCACTCTTCATCCTCCAACCCCGCCCTTCTCGTCCCTCCACGTGCTCAGCTTGCAGCACCTTATTAAGTCTGCATTCTCACCCACTGAGATCTGTTACACTGCCATATGACTTAGCGCCGACCAGTCTCTATCCTGACAATCTCTGGAATGACGTTTTTCAAAGATGGAGCCGATGGCTTCCAACCAAGCTGCGTCCTCGCCCTTGAGGATCGCAGAACCGCGTTAGTGCCCCACAAGATAGATGCATGCCCCGACAAAGCATCGGCTTCCTTTCCATCAATCACCTTCTTTACCTCAGGATCAGGGACGAGCCCATGCTTGTGCGCTTCAGCGGCAATCTCAGCGCATAGTTTGCCAAAAGTCTATGCAGATATACTTAGCCAATAAAACAGGAAACTTGAGCCAAGCGCACGCGCTTACCATATTCCCATTCTCCGGGAAGTATATACCATTTTCATTCCACAGACCGGGACGGTTGTTGACGGCGGCGTCGACCAGCGCGACGATCAAACCGCTCAGGTCGTGGACATGGACATTACTCCAGCTATTCTCGCCTTCCGCCAGCCGAAAGCCTTCTTTCTGCTCCAAGGTAACGCGAGCAATCTCCGGGGCCTGAACGCTGCGAGTGTTGACGGGACCTCTTCCGACCCCGTAGATGAGCGGACCGACAATCAGGGCAGTCTTCACCTTGGAGGAGTCCTGCGAAATGACAAGATTATCCACTGCTCGCTTCGGGTTACTCCTGATGATAGACATGACGTCTTGGATATCGTTCAGATCGTCGAAGGTCCTGGCAGCTTTGAAGCCAAATCTGCTTTGGGCGATTTCGGCAGCAAGAAGCGTAGCGCCGGACATTTGGATCCAATGCTTCGGGCTCTTCGACTGTGCCTTAGATAGCCCCTGGGAGATGGCAGTAGCACTGGCGATGTGGCCGGTCGCAGCCAAGTGGAGGGCAATGTCGGTGTCGCGTGCTTCACGCTCGATGAGGTCGGTGTCGTCGAGGTCCCCCATGACGATGCGAACGTCGGGGAAGGCATTGGAGACTTTGGTCGCTCCCGCGGCATTCCTGACCAGACATGATATGGTATTTTTTGTGTATAGTGCGTGTTGCCAGTTGGTGCAGGACGTCTCCTACGAACCCCGTGGCTCCAGTCCTGCGACAGTGATTAGTCCGAGTGGACGACTACTAGTTACGTATGAAGCGAATATACAGGAATATCTTGGCCATGGTTGTTCGCTCAAAGACGCAGATGCTGAGGGAAGAGGCTGGAAATGAGGGTCGATATGTCGCTGTTGGTATTTACATCAAGGTTGAAGACTCGTGCGTGGCTCGGCGATAAGCATATCTCCGATTCTAGCGCCGGATTTCATTGGTGGTCGGAATCGCTTGCCCACCACGCTCGCCTGTCATGACGTCCCCGGTCCTCCCAGTTACACACAGCCCTATCCACATACTCGCCTTTCTCATGGCTAGGAGTTCCCGTTCGGCCATCGAGAAGCGATCTGTCCGCCGCAAGCACTCGTTCGGCGGCTGCCGCACCTCGACGACGTCACGTGAAGTGCGACCAGGTCCGACCAGTGTGTCTGGCATGTCCGCTGGATGCCTCCATCGACACCATCCTCGGCCAAAGCTGGAGGAGGTCGCGTTGACGAGGACGATGCGAGCAGGACCACGACGCGCCATTACCTGTACTCAGGCATGTAACCGACTGCATCCCCCGAAGCCTGAAAGGCCAGAGGCATCCAGGGCGTCGATGAACGCCGCCTTGAGCGTGCGTTCAGTCGATGCATCGCTCGCAGAAATCGATGAGCGGACGCAAGACGGCCAGCAGCTAGCCCAGGGTCATACTGCCATCGGCCTTTTCGGCGTCCTCAATATTGATCGTATGTCTCGCGAACCTGCTGCAGAGCCTATTCTCAGTGCAACAGCGCCTACAACGCTTGACTCCGCCTGAGTGTAACCCCCTAGACAATGGCGCGGCCAATGATTACCCCAGCTTACTCAACGACGCACCGTCAGAGCCTCCGAACATAGACTGATTCGACATGGGTTTCGGGTTCGACAACACCCTGCAATGGGCCGATTTGTTCGGGCTAGACTTCGGTGACGGCAACGGCTTGCTGATGCCGTACCACTCATCTACTACAACGCATGTTCACCCTAGCAACTTCCCTTCCGGGCCCGATCCAGGCCCTGACCCGCTTCCTGCCAATCTCGTGCCGCTGAATCAGCTACCCTCAGACGACCCGCCGCCGTATGCTATACAACCCTCCTCTCAGACGCAAAGACCCCCCAGGGTGGGAAAAGCCCCCGACCCTACTCGCCGAAGTGGCATCGATAGCAGAAGCCTAACTTCTACTAAAGCACTTCCACGACTTCGTCATCCCCTAAATGTCCTTCATGCCTTCCAACTCGAAATCCCCATGGACAACGCTACAATTACCTGCTGCTATGCATGCGCTATCCGACCTGACGTATCTGCACACGGGCACGCCGAACCCCGCAAACGCCGCAAATCTCTACGGCATTCTGGCGTGCTCCGCCTACCATATGGCCGTTAGTCCTTCTGCCCCACAACAGACAGAGCCGAAAGAATACTAGGCCAGGCTATCCAGCCGCCTCCGCGAGAACGCCAAGATACACATGCAGTTTTGCTGCGTGAGGAACTGGAAAGTGCAGGAAAAGCAAAGTACAAAGACCAGCTCATGGCTCTGTTGAGCTTACTCGCATTCACAGTAAGTCGGGCGCCCCATTTTGACCCGGAAGGAGCTTTGCAGTTGACGCGGAGTCAACAGAGCATGTCCGGACACCAAAGGGATGCGCGATGCTACATGGTAGATGCGGAGCGCCTTCTCCGCATGAAAGGCCTTGCGAAGCGCGACATAGCCCGGAAATGCCGACTGCTGCACCACGTATACACGCGGATCCGCATTGTGTGCGAAAGCACCTACGTCATGCACGACTACCGCAGCTACGGCGATGTAGTGGAGCGCCGCACATCGAAGCGGGAGATTGCACAGGAACCGCGAGAAATGGGCAGAAACATCCAGCTCAGGCCACAACGCGCATTTAGACGACTTCCTCCGCCTAGAGACCCACGCCGCAGACAGCGACCTCGACATTGACGAGGTCAAAGGCCCCGAAGGCGGCCTTCGCGACATCCACCTCGAGGACTCCCGCCAGTTCACCGGCACGATGTACCATATCCACGGCATCCCAGAAACGTGGCTAGGTCTCGTCTCGCCGACGACGCGCCTAGCCAACATTCTCGACGCTACAAAGTACGGGAAGGGGACCGGCGCCAGCTTCCTCAATTTCCTGCAGCGGCGCGCTAGCTGCTTGGAGAATATCATGTGCTCGTTCGCACTCAAGGACGCCGCCAGCGAAGACGAAGATGGGGTTGAATGTGTCACGGAACAGCAGGAGCCCAACTACCACGTGCTGCGCGCCATGAACTCGGCTCTAGTCATCCTCTTCTACCGCCGCGTCCGGAACGTGAACCCGCTCATACTGCAGGGGCATGTAGGCGCGGTGGCCCAGTCGCTGAAGGCATTTGACGCAGCAATTGCGCGCCACCAGGCTGGAGGGCCGGGCTCGGCATGGCCAGCTTTCCTTCGCGGGATGTGAGGCCAAATCTCGTCGGGATCGCAATTTTCTGACGAGTTGGCTGGAGAAGGGTTATGAACGTTGCGGCCTCGAGTATTTTGCGGCGTCAAGCCGTCTTATGAAAGCGGTGTGGGAGAGATTGGACAGGCCGACTCTGTTGCTGAATCCGGGGTCTGGTGATTCTGGGCATTCACGTTCGGAGACGTCTGCTTCGGCTCGCCGGACCTGGGTGGATGTGTGTAGGGAGAAGAGTCTCTGGGTCGTTCTACCTGTACAAGACTGTATCGCCCGTAAGTTCGAGCGCGGCAAAGCAGTCGCAGAGCGCGCACGGAAGCGGTTACGAGCATGCCAGCGCCCGTGTCCCCAACCTCTTCGCAAACTATCTCTGCTCCTTCTGGGCTCCGCTGTACCGCAAGGTCTACGCTAGGCGAGGGCTCCTATGGCTCTCACTAGTCTCGTCGGCTGCGGCTATCCGCGGCGGGCGCGCGTGGGCGGTGCTAAGGCTTGATCGATTGCCTCAGTTGGCGTGAAGGCTTATTTTGGCTCTACAATCCGGCATGTGAAGATCTTTGGCACGTGTTTTCGATACGTCCTTTGCTTCGTAGTACATGAGTCGATCTCATGGTGTCGCTGATCGCCCTCCTAACCGCACGTAAGCCTACCCGTGATATTGCGGGCTTACGGATAGCATGGCGAGAGTGATAGCACGTGCGATCTAGCCCCATATCCTTGTTCCGTTTGCCACGTCTGTGCCTTTTGCAATATGACGGCACGACCTTGTCGCGTGGGGTTGAGGCCATATGAGCAACGCAGCTGGTCGGGCTCAAGGAGGAGGCGTGCGGAGGAGACATGCGGAGGGGGCATGTGGCGTACTTCGGTTTCCGGTGGCCACGAGTGGGCGAGCAAGGAGGCTCGTGATTGGTGATGAGTCCCACTCAGAACATATAAGTAGTGGCGGGGTGCGAGCAATGCGATCAGTCTTCTTCCGGTATCCCCCATCTTCTTGCTCTGTCTTCTCAGCGAGTTCTTACGGCAATGGCGGGGGACATCGACATCGATCAAAATGGCAGCTTCCCCATCGACCAGCATCGCCATGCCGTTCTCCCACCTCTTCCAACTCCTCACCACTCCATTCACCAGCCCCTGACCCCGCGATTGCGAATCTTCCAACCGCCCAAAATCACGGCGCACAGGCCCTTTTTGATCTCGCTTAAGGCTTCGATATGGCCTAAAGGGTTCGAGCAATTCACTCCTTGGTGTGATCTTTCTCTGCGCACGCCTTGCCGACGCGCACCCATATATAAAGCCCATCCGCTCCCCACCCAGCGCGCTCCTCGCCCAGCCCGCGTCCCACCATACGTATAACAGCTCTGTCAGCACCTACGAGCCTCGTCAGTTGTGTAAGTCGCAATCAGCCCTTCGCGCTCCTCACATCAAGAGATTCGACTAACCTGGATTCTACCCGGAGATAAGATCGAGCTTCCACATTCTCCGCACATCGCAGATAGTCCGTTGACACCACGGCCATCCTCACTTGAGCGCCACCATGGCTGTGAAGCGTCGCCGCCAGTCCAACGCGTCCGGATCGCCTCCAAGTGAGCACATCCGCTTCCAACTTCTCGCCTACCCGGCGCAGACGCTGACCCATCTCTAGCTCGCAGTCCGACCGATTCCGGCCAAGGGACGCAGCCGATGGCAGGCAATGTAGTCGATCCTGGAAATAGTACCCAGTCTCGTCCTGCCTCTCAAGGTGAGTTATACAACAACGAATGCCAGATAGATCATACTAACTAGATGTAGACCAAGAGCAGGGCAACCCTGCAGCAACCAACATCACCGCCCCTCTCTTCACCGAAGACGAGACTGCTCCAACAGGGAATGGAACTGAGCAGCCGCGCCAGTCGAACGATGCTTCTGACGGCGATGACCAAGGTACGTCTCTCGCTGCTGGCCCTTTCACATCCATCTTTCTGACCGTAGCGCTACGCAGCTGCCACTGCTAAAGCGCTCATGGGTTTGTTCGAGGAGATCGTCAAGACCCAACTGGGGCTACGCTTCTCGCAAGCTTCTGGCCGGTCTGACCCGCAGATCTTGGACCAGGTTAAGGCCGACGTCAAGCGAGTGATCGGGCTGGACGACGACACCATCAGCAAGGAGGTGAACCGTTATTACAAGCAGCGCGCTGAAAACTCCGGCACTACTTCTGGCAACGATCTCGGCGGCTCCGCCGATCAAGATAGCGATGATGGCTCTGAGCCCTTGTCACCTCCCCCAGCTGAGATCCGGCACCCTGACGACCCGGGCGAGCAAGAGGTCAAAGACGAGAAGAAGCGGAATCTGGCATCAGATCGCCTGGCCAAGTATCTCAACCACGTCAACGGCAATGACCTCTTTTTGCCCCAGGATTTCTTGGAGCTCCAGACATTTTCAGCAAACGAGCTGATCCGACTTCTGGAGTCTCAGGACTTCGAATACAACCCAGACGTGGTGCGCCAAATCATGCGGGACCCGAGCGGCGACAGGCACGAGGAAGAGCCACGCCTTGTCCTACGATATCTGGCACATCGACACACTATACCTCCTCCTTCGCCTCATCCGACGCGCCAGTCGCCACGCGATCATGAGCATTTCAAGGAGATCGACGGCAAGTGGTACGTGATCTTCGAGAAAGAGGTGATCGGTTCCGACGGCAAGAAGCGCATCTACCGGCAAGTAGACGAGCTGCCCATCTTCAATCCAGATGCCCCAGCCATCAAGATCCCCGACAACGAGAAGGACTCTGAGATCGACCATCCCGGAAAGCTCCCCACCTTCAACAAGTACGATGACGGCCTGTGGGAGCTCAAAGAAGAGACCGAAGCCTGCGGCAAGTGGCGTCGAATCTACGACGACCAATCGAAGCACAAGCACCGGCAGAACACAAAGGCAGAGCCCCTGTTCGTTGCCCGCAAGTTCCACCGTCAGACGAAGGCGTACTTGGACCAGTACAAGCTCGGCCAATCCTGGGATGACTGGTCGCGAAATGCTGGCAAGTTCGACATCAACGACGTCCAGCTGTGTCGGGACTACAACCGATGGATCCAGCAGGTCATGGACCGCGCTGATTATCGGTACAAGAAGCGCCGAGTTCGCCCTTGCTGGAGCCGAGAGGAGATCACTGCGCTTCGGCGCCACTTCAACGACCTCATCAATAGCTCTGGCGTGGTCATCGCGCACCTGTTCCCCAACTGGAAAGAGGCCATCCGCAAGGTTAACGAAGCTCTGCTTGCTAGGTACCCAGACGCAGAGCCGCGCAACGAGAATAGTGTGTCTTCCATGGCCGAGCGCGACAGCTATGCGAATGACCAACCATCCCTGGGGACCCACGAGTGGCGGGAGCTTGGCAAGCTGCTGCACCTGCTGAAGCAGAAGAACCCCACCCTGGACTTTCCTAGGAACGTTCTCTTTCCAGGCCGGGATCCGATACCCATGGACGATATCACTGCCATGCAGGCTGGCGGCCATTCGAATCCGTCGAAGAAGGCGCCCGGAAAGATCAAGCGCAGCGAGAAGCGCATCCCGAAGCTGATGGTGAAGCTGGAGGACGGCAAGATCATCGTCACCGATAGGTTCGGTGGTAAGGTCGTCAAGAAGTTTGGGCTCATGGACCATGTTCCTGACCACGTTCAAGACGACGCCGCTGGTGAGCAGGATCAAGCTGGCGAAGAGCAAGACGATGGCGAGCCGGACGAAGAAGATGGTGGCCAGGAAGAAGGAGAGGACGAGGGCCGCCAGCGCAAGAAGCGTCGGACTGACAACGGCCAGTAGGGTTTCGATCAGTAGAATGTCTCAGTCGGGGGATGAAGCTGGACTGAGGTTGACAGAGCCGCCGCGTCTTCTTGGAGGAATTTGAAATCGGGATGGATGCGGAGGTTTTTGGAAGAACGGGTTACTCGGCTTTCGCTATTCGGTCGCAAGGACGTTTGACGATTGCGGTGTGTTCGTCGGTTGACAGTCCCTGGTGTCGATAGCTATGCATCCTAGATGTGCACACATGCAACTCTTCCCCGTTTGCCCTGCTCGTGATTGCAGCATGCCCTTGTATTCTCCGCTAGCTACGTCGGAGGTACAGTTTTCCCCAGACCCGTACAGTTACGGCTGCCGCAAGTTGAAAGCAATGAACAATGCTGAACATATGGCCACATCCGATGTTGCTCTGATACAGGTTGACAACAACAATTATCTGCAAAGATGAAGAGACTCTGAAGGTGCTGAAAATGTGATAACGCGATGACAAAGGGTACTGAGGAGAAACGCTCTCTTAGGGCATCTATGGCCCTACCAACACATACATCAGCCCGAGTGAAGGCCTTGCCGAAGACACCAATCCTACGATGCCCCTCGGCGAGCATTGCGAGCATGAAGCCGACCATACCCGGGTCTGAAGAAAGGTGGCACATGACCTCGAAATAAGTGCATCCGTTGCATGAGACCTTTCTGGATACGAGGCCGAACCTAGCGATGGCGTGTCGTCCTGACAATGCGGGGTAGGAAGGCTCAGGCAGTTAAAGCGCGAGAGATTGGAGAATGCATGTTTGAATAGTGAGGCTAATGGTGCATCGGGGCTGGTGGACGAGCTGACGACGGTGAGGAGGGATGAAGAGGGAGAGACGTGGGAACGGGGTGGAAAAGAATTAGACGACGGTTACGGAAGGCGCGACGAGCCAACCCCGCAGCTCCCCACACACGAAACTCCGCCTTCACTATCGTCACCCCGTCACACCACAACAAAATCTACGCCCTTATCAAGCCCCTGCCGTCCCTGCATTAGGAGCCGCTACCGACGATACACCCCACGACACCCTCAGGACCGATATTATGTCAGACAGCGGATCCGCCACGGAGAGCTCTGTCGGCAGCATCATCGAGGACGCGAGCGAGCCTGATACAACCACCTTCAAGTGCCTCTTCTGTAAAGAGCAATGGAGTCGCGTCCCGGAGATGTTTGCCCATTGCCGGGCAGAACACGGCTTCGATGTCGAGAGCACCATCAAGAGCCTTGGCCCAGGTTCGTTATTCGACCTTTCCTGTTTCGTCGCTAACCACGTGGTCTAGACATCGATGAATTGACTATTATCAAACTGATCAACTACCTCCGATATGAATCGCAGAGGAAGACAGACCCCAAGTCCATCAATGTGGATAGCGAGACATTAGCGAGCGACAAGTATCTCCAGCCCACGCTACCCGACGATGCCCTGCTTTTCGAGCTAGGCGACTTCATGCCCGATCCAGATTCTAAAGTCGTGGATTACGAAGATTATGAAGTTATAATGCATAGGAACGCGCCTCATGACACGGAAAGGATGCATTTGGATGGAGACCGCGATATGAGCTACTTCGAATCCTACAAAGGCGCCGCCATCCATCGCGAGATGATCGAAGACCACGTCCGTACAGAAAGTTACCGCAACTTCATCGAGAAACATCGTGATCTCTTCGCCGGGAGGACCGTTCTAGACGTTGGGTGTGGCACCGGAATTCTTTCGCTGTTCTGCGCAAGAGCAGGCGCGAGAAAGGTCTTTGCGGTCGACAACTCCGACATCGCACAGCGCGCAAAACAAATCGTGGCACAGAATGGGTATCAAGAAAAAGTCGAGGTCATACGGGGCAAAGTAGAGGACTTCCACACACAGAGATTAATTGGGCAAGAGAAGGTAGATGTAATCATCTCCGAGTGGATGGGATACGGGCTTCTCTTCGAAGGCATGCTCGACTCTGTTCTTCGTGCACGGGACCTGTACCTCAAAGAGGATGGATTCATGGTCCCATCGCACTGCACGCTACGGATGGTTCCCATTTCGGATAAGGACTGGGTAGCACAGAGCAAAGGCGAGAAGTTCTGGAAAGACATCTACGGCTTCGACTTCTCGCCAATGGTGTCAGGGGGCCCGCTCAACGACCGCGACATCGGCGTCTTCGACGTACCAGAGGGCGCGCTCTGCGGCACGGCATGCACTTTCTATCAACTCGACCTCAAGCACATACAAGTGCAAGAGCTCGATTTCACGGCACCATTCTCAACAAAGCTACACCCGGGCGTCGACTCATTGGATGGCTTCGCGCTATGGTTCGATACCTTTTTCTTACCCCCAGGCCAAACTCAGGATGCCACGACGATAAACACGGCAAACTGGGGTAAAGACGGCAAGCCGGGTCTGGGGTTTTCGACGGGCCCGACAGCAACACCAACGCATTGGCATCAAGCGGTCCTCCTGCTCAGTGAAGAGGACCGCAAGAAGGAGGTGAAGGGAGGTAGTACATTGAAAGGCTCGGTAACATACAAGAAGAAGCGGAGAGACGATAGGGCGATTGATGTGGAGATCACGTGGGAGTGCGAAGGCGTGCAAGGTCCTGTATCGGGAAAGACGAAGCGGACGATGACATGATAACGATACGACGGCGTTAGTTATCGGATAAAAGTTGTGGTTTTCTTTTTGCGGCAACCTTATAGAGTGCATAGGATACGGCTTCAACACCACCATAACCAGGTACTGGGCGTCCCTCCAGTCAGTCTTCAGAGCGCAGGCGATCGTGGGAGGAAGTGGGCATCGTGAAATCGAGATCATGTGACATGCCGGAAGAAAATGCATCGGGCCGAGCTGACCGGGCATGCCGAGACTCGGAGATGCTGCAGGGGCTTGCAGATCCTGGGGCGTTCGCATAGTTACTTTTTCGACCCCTTATCTTGCATATTGATCTCGGATATGCTAGCATTGTCTGAACGCTTAGTATTTCGCTGTATCCTTCCCTCCTTGACTGCGAATGGTGGTCAGTAGACCCTCTCGTCGATCGGCTCTGACGACACCGCGTAGGGCCGTGCGCGTGAGCTCTACTGCAGCACCTCAGATGCTCGCTGCCGATCACGCAACTCGCAATAATCGCATCTACTGCCTGTAGCTCGCTCCTCAGGCTTAAGACCTAAATCACAGTCCACGAGACGATGCGGCACCGGTAGCAGCTTCTCAACCGCCAATTCCCATGCGCGACATCCTCCCCGGCCGGCCGCAGGCGAAGCTGCAAGCTGTCACCCATGGACTGTGGGAGGGCAACCAGATCATTGTGCGGCTGTTCTATACCTCTCTGATAAAGAAAATGATAGCTAACGGGCGGAAACGCCGAGTAGGCCTACGTGTCCGGCAATGCGCTCATCATCCTCGATTCCCCGAACCACGTCCTCCAAACGACCTACATCGACGAAGAGTCCGAGCTCGAAGCCGTCGCGCTCGATGAAAACACGGGCAAGATAGCGACATGCTCTACGCGCCATATATATGTATATCAGCCATACGGGCAAGATGAGGGCGCAATCAAGGTGGGGTAGCTGTAGGAGCTCCGCGAAATAGGCTGACGGGCGCAGTGGTCGCTCCAGGGCAGCATGTCCCTCCCCAACTCTGACGATTCCATTACCACGCTGTCATGGGGCATGCCCGACGAATTGCTCACTGGGAGCGCCTCCCTCTCGCTGTTCAACACACGCGGTACGACGGAACAGATTTGGGCAAAGCAGTTGGCGAATTCCGTCAAGTTCGCGCAGTTCTCGCCCGATGCGGAGATGATAGCTTCGACTGGCGCATACGATAGGTTGCTGAAGATATGGCGACGGGTGGCATTCGGCTCCGCGGACCAGCGCTTCGATTACTCCTACTTGCCTCATCCCTCCGTCATTACAGGCGTACATTGGCGCCAGCCCTTCCACCGCGAACAGACGACAGAAAATGTGCTATATACGATATGCGCCGACTACAAGGTGCGCATATGGGTGCCCGGAGAACACCATGGTGCAGAGGGGCTGGACTTGTGGACCGAGGTGGATCTGCTGGAGTCGATCAAGCCGCGGTCGCTAGAGCAGCACTCGCAAAAGAGATATGCCTTCTTTATCGATGGGAGATACTTCACACATGCCACGGAAAGAGCGGTGCAACAGGCTTCCATGCCGGAGAAGGACCAGATGGCGCTGAACCACCTCATTGAGGTCGCGAACCGCAATCCCGAGATATGTGTTGTGCTGGACGACCGGGGGAATATGTCTGCGTGGGGCTTCGAGAACATCGGAGCTAAGATAAAGAAGATTACCGATGTGTTCAATATCGCCCATGTGGACGGGTTGCATCTGCACTTTGCAAAGGGCGCTAGCGGTCTGCAGGATAATGTTCAATTCTACGCCTTTTGTCACGACAAGCCGGATTCGGTATTTACCATCCTTTCGCACCACTTCGACGGGCGATTAGAGTGGCTGCAGTCTCGCATCGATTACTTCTTCGACCCCTCGCCAAACCAATCTAATCGTATCGAACGTAAGGCGGTATGGACCGGGCATTCCCATGCCATCAAGAAGGTCAATCGTACGCCGAGCGGAAGGGCCTTGGTATCAAGAACCGTGACGGACGAATGCATAGTATGGGTTCAGCGGCCGACCGAGCACGGCATGACGCTCCATCGGCACAGCACTGTCAAAGTCACCGAGCATATCCATCGGACATCGCTTCTGCAAGATGGAAACTTCGTCGTTTTTCTGCATCACGAGCACATTGCACTATGGGATACGCGTGGACCGATGGCGGTGGAAGTCTCCCGTCTCCCGTACAAATTGAAGGGCAAGCCGTTGTGTCTGCTTGTCATCCCGGAGACGCAGCCCGGTGGCCGCCTCGTGCATATCGCGACCATCAGCTCTGAGATGAAGAGCATTTGCTGGGAAGTGCGGCTTCCGCTGCTTGAAAGAGATCCTGTTACCGGTCGGAAACTTTCCGCTATCACCCAATATACGAATGGGTACACGAATGGCTATCCCGAGATCGGTATGGAGGAGTTCTCCTCCTTCGATCTTGGCTCCGGAGATGATCTTGCGTTCGTCCTGCCTGTCGACCCTGCCGGCTCAGCGTCGGTAATTTCGGGCTTCCTCGACACCTTCGCGCGCGACATCGCCATCTCATACACTAAATCCGGCGTCATCAAGTCCTGGACTGCAAGGGTAAATGCTGAGAAGCGTAAGCTGGAATGGCTTCTGACATCGACTGTCGACACCAGCGTGTCGCATCCTTCTCTCGCTAGTGGAACCTCTATACGAAAGGCTGCGCTCGTCGATGCTGATAAGACCACCCTGACGATCTGGAACACCAGAAGTGCGCAGCTGGAGTACGAGGAGACTTTCAAAGGCAACGGCGTCATCCAGGATCTGGATTGGTCTTCTACGCCCGACAACCAGTCCATCTTAGCTGTCGGCTTCCCACACCGTGTGGTCATCTATGCCCAGCTGCGATACGACTACCTTAATGCTGGACCCGCCTGGGTGCCAATTCGCGACGTGCGCATCCGGGATATTACGCCGCATCCTATCGGCGATTCAGTGTGGTTAGGTAGCGGTAACCTCGTTATTGGAGCAGGTAACCAGCTCTTCATTCAAGATGAGAACGTGGAGGTTTCGGAAGGCTTGTTCCCTAGTCTTCGCATGATCTCTCGCAAGACGGCCTCCATTGACATCTTCACGGCTGTCAGTCGTCTCAACGGTCCACTTCCGGTATATCACCCGCAACTATTATCCCAGTGCGTGCTGGCGGGGAAGTTGCTGCTCGTACAGCGCATTTTGATGAGGTTATATCAGAAGCTGAAGTTTTACACCGAGGGCGATGACCTTGAGAGCTCGTTAGGGTTCTCGCCAGAGGATTTTTCGGAGAGTGCTGAGGTATGTCCAAATATTTCATCCTCTGTCCACCAGCTAACCCCAGGCAGGACTATATGACGGCTTCACGAAAAGAGCTTCACTCATCCTATGCCGATTTCTCTGATGACACCGAGCCTCAGACTGTGACCGAAGAAGTCGCAGCGAACCTCAATGGCCTGCTTCAAACAAAGCAGATTCCCCTCCTCTCCAGTCGCGAGCAATTCCATCTCGCTGACATTATAGAATGTGTCGGTATGGTCGAGAAACACCGTCGCTCCGTCGATGATAATGCAGGCCGCTTCTTGCTCTTCTTCCGGCAGCACGTCTTGAGTGATGGTCAACAAGGCCCAATATCATGGCGCGAGATCACTTGGGCCTTCCATTCGGGCAGCCAAGACATCTTGGTCGATCTCGTAACGAGGCACTTCAGTGGGAAGATTCTTTGGCAGCACGCGAAGGAGTGTGGGCTGTTCATGTGGATGACGGACATCACAACCTTGGTAAGCTTGAGCAGCTCTTCGTTGAATTCGACCTCCTACTAACTAATGGTGACAGCGTTCTCAATTCGAGATTATCGCCCGAAACGAGTACACAAAGTCCGAAGAAAAAAATCCGGTAGACTGCAGTCTGTACTACCTGGCTCTCAAGAAGAAACCTGTTCTCGTGGGCCTATGGCGAATGGCGACCTGGTGCAGGGAACAGTCCGCTACGAAACGCCTCCTCTCCAACAACTTCAACGAAGATCGATGGAAAACTGCTGCGCTGAAGAATGCATATGCACTCATGGGCAAGCGACGGTTCGAATACGCAGCTGCGTTCTTCCTTCTCGCCGATCACCTCCTGGATGCAATATCCGTTCTGCATAATCAGCTTGGCGATACTCAACTCGCCATCGCCGTAGCTCGCGTCTATGGCGGTGACGAATCGCCCGTTCTGCTAGACTTCCTGCGCGAGAAGATACTTCCGCAAGCTGCTCGTGAGGGCAATCGCTGGCTTGCCACGTGGGCATTCTGGATGCTCAATAAGCGCGACAGTGCTGTGCGAAGCTTAGTGACACCAGTGTCCACCTTACTCAGCCCTCCTGAAACACCAAATTTCAAGAGCAAGAGTTATCTGACGGATGACCCAGCGCTTGTGGTGCTGTACAAACAATTGCGGGAGAAGAGTCTGCAGACGCTTAGGGGCGCAACTATGGTAGGCATGCGCGAGGAATGGGAGTTCGTCCTGCATACGGCAGAGTTGTATGAGCGAATGGGCTGTGATCTTCTCGCTCTTGATCTCGGTAAACTTCATGAACACACCTCTTACACGTCCTATCGCTAACACACCCTAGTCAAAACATGGGAATTCCTCACGCCCCCACCCACAAAATTCCTTCCCAACCGACCACCACTCAGCCCCGCCATCCCGCACGCATCCTTCCACGCCCACACGGTCAATCGGTCCGTTACTGACTTCGACTTCGACCCGCGAAAACTACTACGCCGGCGAAGCTCCCTCGTCATCGCCGATCTGCCGACGAGAGAACATTTTGCAAACGCGCTGACGGAGAGTAAGGGGACGTTGCCGGAGATTGTGAGTGATGAAAGTGAGGAAGAGAGAGAAGAGAAGATGGAGAAGATGGAGAAGATGGAGAAGATGGAGAAGAGGAAGAAGCTAGACGGAGGAAAGAAGGTGGACGAGAAGAAGCCGCCGCCGACGCAGTTCCAGGAGCCAGATGCTAATAGTCTGTTGGACGCCTTTGGGTTCTAACGTGGTATTTTGTAGGTGAGAGGTGTATATGAATCGCGACCTGTATTCGTATATTGGGATCTGGCAGGATTAGTGGGGTTTGGGTCGGGTGCATAGCGCGGCGTTCGAGGCTGCTTGTTTTGTCTGCTTGAAGCCAAGCCTGAGTATAATTTCTCGATATCCTTCCTAACTTTTCAACCTCCTTTTCCCACCTACCACGTATTCTACGTTTTATTCAAAGACAGCTCGCCGCTTCCGATACCGCCTCCCCCTTGGCCTCGGCGAAAGCTCGTTCGCAATGGTCTCGTCCAGGCCAGACTGCAAATCCACCTCATCGGTCTGGATGACCCAGGGATCATTCCTCCCCTGCAAGATCCTATGTCCCAGATAGAAGAACAGGAAGATAGGAATCCCAATATACGACGTCAAGAATGTCAACGTGTCCCAATCATCCGTGATGAAGACCTTGAACCCGTTCAACAGCATCAAGCGGCCAAACGCAATCCCGGATACCCAAGACATGTATGGCTGGAAGCCCGAGCGATAGGGCAGGTCGGTGATCTTCTGCGCAAACGTCGCCTTTCGAAACCGAAGGTAGATGACGCAGACAGCGAGTCACGACTGGAACGCGCCCGTGTTGATTAGATTGACGAACCAGTTGAAGACGGTCGACCCCATCGCGCTGAGATTCATGTAGGCCGCCGGCGGAATCGAGGCCGACGCTATCAGCACATTGTACGGGATCCCGGATTTTGTGCACTTAGCGGGCGCGTTGCCCGCGAGCGCCATCGACCGGCTCGCCAGGTACAGATACGAGCTCCCCGCGCTCCACGCCGATGCGAGAATGATGCCGTTGATGACGGAGTCGAGGACCTTGATGCCCGCGAGCTGCGCGCCGATGGCCCAGGCGAGGACGCGAAGGTCGGCCGCATTCGAGGGGACGATGAGGCCAGCCGCCAGTGTTCCGAGGCAGTAGAACAGCACCAGCCTGTAGAAATAGCGTTTCCCAGCCGTTGGCAGGTTGCACCGCGGCGACTCCATTTCGCCGCCCGTCACGACGAGCAGCTCGGGCGCAAACGCAAACGCAAACACGGAGAAGCACAGGACGCCCGGAAACGCCGGGAACAAGCCGGCAAATCCGCCAACGAGGTAGCGAATCGCCGGCCCAGGGTTAATCCAGGACCGGAACCCCAGACGATCGTGCGTCGGCCCGCCGCCAAGCACTAGCACAACGGCCATAGACAGCAGCCCGATAATGCCAAACACCTTCATGCTCGCAATCCAGAACTCCGTCTCCCCGTACACGCTCACGGGGAAGCAGTTCAGCCCCACAATCACGCCGAACAGCAGCGTGATGAAGACGGCGTCGTGGCCCGCGAACGGAGGCGCCCAGTAGCCGATGATCAGGTTCGTGACCGTGATCTCCGGGGGCATCGTGATGGCGAATATGTACCAGTACATCCAGCCGAGGGCGAAGCCGAACGAGGGCGAGAAGAAGCGCGCCCCGTTGTACGACATGCTGAAGCCGGGGACGGGCAGGTAGCTGGAGAGCTCCGTGGTACAAGTGACGATGCCGAAGACGAGCAGCGTGAGCAGGAGGTAGACGGTGAAGAGGATGACGGGGCCGCCCATATGCAGGGCTTGGCCGGAGCCGACGAAGAGGCCTGTGGGGTGGTGGGAGAATGAGATTTTCGCTTCAGGGCCAGGAGCCCCTGGGATTGGATATTGAAGAGATGAGATGATATTCAATCTACAAACGTCTATGAAACTAAAAGGCCAAAAACTAGCAGGGTCATGGTGAATGAGCGCATAAAGTGAGAACTTGAAATCCAAATGAATGTACAAACATTGCAATACTCACAGCCCCTTTCCCCCCTCCAATTGCCCCTTTCCCCCCTAACAGAAACGAGTGTCCAAGTATCTTAGGTTCCATCCAGTACCCCATCCAGAACTTCAATCACGACTCTGTAAGTAACCCCTGGACTTGGCTGTAACGAGTACAGTAGCGGCCCAGCAAGCGAATGCGGCGTCCGACTGAGCGTCCGAATCTCCACGGTTGCGCAGAAGGTCCACGTAGCGTTGGTGGCTATGGGAAAGGGGCGTCCGGTTGCCAGCAATGGTTGTCTGGTCATTGGCAACTGGTGCCTGGTCGTCAGGAAGGGGTGCCTTGTCGTCGGCAGCGGCTGTCTGCGCATTGTTGGGCGAAATCTCCTCAGCCGTGTCGGTAAAGTTCTTGAGATCTGCCTCTCTAACACGTCCAAGCCGAAAAACAAAACGGCGCGACTTGTAAGGATGCTCGATGCGCACTGCGTTGTTTTCGTCGATGTAGATGCATGTGCTGTTGTCGGGCGTCGTGAGTCGTAGGTTACGGGTTGTAGGTTGCAGTTTGCAGTTTGCGAGTTGCAGGGTGCAGGGTGCAGGTTGCGGGTTGCGGGTTGTGGGTTTTGGGTGGTTGTGGATTGCGGGTTGCAGGCGGGTTGCGGGTTGTGGGTTGCGGGTTGAGAATCTTGATGGAGATCTTCGGTAGGAGACTGAGCTGGATTAGACGTGTGAGGTGCTTTTATAATCTCTGAGAAATTCTAGAAGCGTCTGGTTGACTTACGTTTGGTTTGACGAACGTGTCTAAAGCAATGTAAAACTCTAAATAGCAAATAAGCATGTTGCAGATCAGCTCTACACACATGGCGCGGATTGAGAAACAAGTCTTAAACTATGACGTTGAAAGGAAAGTTGTGGACGAATCACTTATTCAGTTTCGCATTTGGTGCTAGACCTGAAACAAGCAAACACATCGGGTCGCTAGATGGCCTAAACATGAGCTCTGTGCTTGGTAGGTGAATGCATGGTGGACTAGGTGTCTGCGCCACCACACTATTAGGTTGCGACATCAGCGCAGACTGTATTGGGGAGCGGATACTTGGCCTTGAAGAACAGGTCGGGCTTGAAGGTGGTGCGCATCCAAGCGCATGGCTGCCTCTTATGCCGCCAGTCACGGCGCTCCACAGCGTCCTCGCTGTATGCGAAGCACCGATTCCCTGCCGGCGCGCCTAGGTCTGTCTCTATAATGAGTCCTTGGTGAGCATGCTATGTCCTGGCCGCCTGGGGCAGAGCAGCCCAAGTCGCACCATCGACTGACCACCACCCCTCAAGGTATTCTAGACAACGAACGTCCTTCGCCTGGGACCTTGGTGGTCGAACGTCTTTACGACCCAGTCGCCCCACCCACCATCCGCTGCACCGCTATCGACAGCCGGTGCGTCGATGTCGGCGACGACGTCATCATCCTCATTCAGACCACTAAACGATAGCCCGCCGAGGGGCTGGTTCGTAGTCGTCCGACCTAGCAGCCCGTGCTGGCGGCGTGCTAGAGGCGCCTTCGTACATGGAGAGCCGCGAGGAGGCCTCGGGGAGGGCGGCCGGCTCCCTCTAGTAACACCCCCAGCTACGCCCGTCGCACACGATAATGAGCCCGCCGCGCCTGTCTGCACATGGAACCCCATGCACAGTGCCCTCTCCGTCCCCCATGTCCATTAGCACCCGCTGGTTCGCATTTCCCACTGGTTTTGAGCATCCTTCTCCTCTGCACCTAACAAGGCTGACTCATGAATACCTCAGGAAGCTGCTATCTAGCCGGCGTACCTGCCAGACAAGATGGGGCTGGCAAATTAGTGAGAAGACTGGGCGAACCGATCAGGCCAACCACCTAGATTTTCGACACCATGGAAGAACTGCCAGAAACCCTTTTTTTGGACGAGCTTTCGGACACCGGGTACACGCCCTCCGATCGCCTACGCGCCCCGAGTCAATCATCACACATACCCCGGATCTCAACAGCCTGTCAGCTGACAGCTCAAACGACCTTTTCGGCCTAGAAATCGGATCACCGCCCGAATCGATCGCGACCCCGGAAACCATCCCCGGAGAACCTCGCCTGTGGACCCTGCGTTCAGCTCTTGACGCGCGAGGAAGTAGGTGTCTGGCCTGAGCAGGTTGGAAGCCTCGCAATTGCGTGAGCCATCGCACAAAGCCTCACGACCGCGTAAGCCGCCTCCGAAACGAAAACGGCGAACCGAAATCAGGATTTTGCTTGCCGACAAAGGAATTGCTCACGAGCTTACTGGCACTGACCAACATCAGTCGAACAGGGTAGCCGAGGTCACCAACCGGATTATTCACGAACGCCTCATGGCGACCCTGCTGTCGAGCGAGCTGCCAATGAATTTGTGGCCATTCGTAGTACGCGCGATCGCGTACCTCTTGTTCACAACAAGACTGGGACAACGCAACAAACTGGCGGACAACAAAGGGACTCCGGTTCGCGTTCTAGGCTATCACGGCAACTCACATTTGCGCGACGACGGTATTATCGCCATTACGCATACCTGGTTTGCCTAGACGATATTCGGTCTTGCTTCAACGAATTTTGGGGACTCGATAAACACCCTAAGGAAATCAGAAGAACCACAGCGCCAAAGCGCCCCCTTGGAGACCAACAGCGCCCAGCCCCCTAAACGCCCTTGTGCGGCGGCAAGAGAGAGAAGAGTGCGCCGCAACAGTTCCTACATGAGCGCTGTAGCATGACGCACCTGCCTGGCTGCCGGAAGGACCTTCTAAGCCTGAAGGAGACGATGTGTGTGTGTGTGTGTGTGTGTGTAAAGGGGGGGGGCACGCCAATGCCCTCGAGGATAGCGCCCACTCATACCCAGGAGACCACACAGGTACCGAAGACCAGGAGAGCGGTGGAGGTGCCAGCGCAGGAAGCGCTGCTGCAAACGGAAACGGACAGTCAGCCGAACAGCCAACTGCGGCCCACATGTTATCCCTCAGGAATCCCTGGACAGTCACCCAGAGCTGCGTCTCCCCGCCCGATCGAACCGGGGAGTACCGCCCCAGTGATATGCCCCCATGTTCCCCCTCGTCAGCTCCGCCCTCCTGGCCGCTGAGGTAGTTGAGCCGAAATCGCTGTCTTAGGCTCGAGACTCGCCACAGTTATATATGTGGAAACAATGGGCTGAGGCAATGAGGCAAGAGCTGCACTCCCTGGAGGCGAACAAGACCTGGACCTTGGTACGGCGGCCTGGCAATCGGGTCGTCCTGCGCAGAAAGTAGGTGTACAAACTCAAGCGCGGGCCGGAAGTATAGATCCTCCGGCGCAAGGCGCGCCGGGTAGCGCACGGCTCCGAACAGAAGTACGGGATCGACTATAATGAGACGTTCGTCTCGGTGGTGAAGCCCATGAGCTACAAGGCGCTGTTCACCATTGCAGCCGCTCTGGACCATGAGATACACCAGATGGACGTGAAGATTGGTGTGCCGCCTGAACAAAGCCCTGTATGGATTGAAGCAGGCTTCCCCGTGGATCTGGGCTTCGAGCTCCTGGTGCCTGATATCGAAATACTCGTCAAGGGGCAATACATAGCGGTGTATGTTGACGACCTGCTGATAGCCGGCCTAGATCTGGGGGAGTGCCGGTACCCCGAGTGCCAGCATGTACGCCTTCATTGTTCCAGCATGATCCTGCCCGCTCTTACAAAGAGAATTACGTTAAAAAACAGTCTGGCTGGGGCAGTACCCAGGACCGATACCCCGCGTTCTTTCACGTCACGCCGCCCAACTCAATTTCCGTGATGGCTGACGCCGGCACTTGCCTCCATAGTTCGCCACAACTGGCGCTTTCGGCAACAAACAGCTACCGCACAACGATATACTACGGTCAGTACAAAGGGGTCTTCTTGACCTCAGCACACCTTTCATCCTACGCTACACTAAGCAGTGGAGTGACTTTCTAGTAATAGCTAATAAAGACTTGAAACTAGATCTAGAACTGCTGCCAAGTTACTTGTTCTGAAAACGGCGAATTATCATCTTTGTTTTGTCATTTTGAGGCGTCTCCTAGTCTAAGATGATTACGAACCCACGTTATACCAATGACTCGTAACAAAGGGACCCTTTGTCTAGCACTGCACATGACTCCGAGTACCCTTTGTGCTAGAAAGAGCTTGAGAAGATGCGGAATATGAAAGCAAATAAAGAAAAGACCTTTTTGTACTTCTACTTCGAATTTTTTTAATCCGTCATGTGGTCAATCATGATAGTATAAAAGCCTCCCTTCTTTCCAACTTTTCCTAATCCAAGTACAACTCTACAACTCTACAACTTTTCCTAATCCAAGTAGAAATCTACTCAGCTTATTAATTCAACATGCTGGAACAGTCGACCCTCTTTCGCAAGCATTTCGACACCGATGATCCCGACAAGATTAACGAGATATTGGAAGAGGAATTCCGGAAGGTACAGACTGGACCAGTGCAAGAATGGGTTAAGATGACTTTACCATTTTATGCGCCTGATCCCTCTCTTCCTTCCATACCTACTCCAGAAGAGATTGAGGAGTCTCGAAGCGGGGAATACACTAGATCAGATAAGGCGTGGTTCTTGGGGATCGGTGGGAGTCATGTGTATCGCGTTAAGGGGGTGTACGCTGTTAAATTCTCTGCTAGTAACTCCCTTATGCAGGTAAGGATATTATTCCCCCGGTTTAACATAGTTAAGCAAGCTAATATTAACAATCTATTCTAGGAAGCAGAAAACCTGTTGTTCCTCCAGGACTATAAAGTTAGGACACCGAAGATCTACGCGGCATTCTCTCATCAAGGAGCGGATCCTCTCGGCCTAACTATTGGAGCATCAGGTATGGAGCCCAAAGACCGCTCCCAGCTTCCCACGTTTCATTATCTGGTTATGGAATATCTAGACGGCATCACTCTTGACGAGAAGATGTGGAAAAACATCGAGCCCAAGGCTAGAGTAAAGATTTACGAAAAGCTTGCCGAACAACTACGACTACTTCGCTCTATCCCACCCCCCGGTCAGAGCTACTACGGCCGTGTGCATTACCAGGGATACGACCCTGTTTGCAATATGGTACGATATCGAATGAACAGTCTGGTTGGCCCTTTCGACACTTATGAAGCCTTTCTACAGCAAGTGTATAACACTCTTGAGATCAATCTTATCAGGCGACTGATCTTTCGTCCGGAGATCTACCCAGATATGCACCTATTCACCTCTATTTTCCACGACTGCTTCGACAAAACATCTAAGGGCGGGGAACCTAAACTCTCGCACATGGATCTCAAACTCGATAACATGATGCTAGTACCGTCGGCATCAAATTCATCATCGGACCGAATCGAAGACTACGATTTCTACTTAATCGACTGGGAGATGATGTGCTGGTTGCCGGCTTGGGCAGAAATTGCAGGAGGATCGGTGCGCCTTCCACAGGATGGGCATCACAATCTAGTCATGTGGGAGATGTCTAAAGGGATCAAGCCATTTCCTTATGCTGAAGCAAATTTCTATCGTGAGTGCGCCCACGCACTTGGAGGATCCTTGTAAGGTTCAGATAGATGGCCTTGCTATATTTTGTATGTGAGAATAATATAAAGATTGTTAAAGGTGCAACCAACAGAACGGGGCACCGCAACTGGGAGTGCCCTCCAACTCTGGTACTCTAACCGTGTTTGTTCGGCTATGACCTTCCAAATTCTCATTCTAACATTGCCATTTTGCAGGACGAGGGGGAAGAGAGCGTGACTGATGCTGCTTGTGTTTGTAAGTGGAGATCTTGACTGGGATCGTGCGCGACGAAAATGGTGATGCTTATAAGTTAGTGTGACTCGTAATAAGGCGGCCTTGGCTGGCTGGCTGGCTGATATCATTGAACTGACCTAAGGTAGCTCTGAGAGCTATGCGACTATTCTACAATTTTTTTCCCTGCAGGGCAGATGAAGGAAAACCACGCGAAGTGATGAAAAATCTCCCTCTTTTTACCTTTGATCTTCAAATTTGAAACTGCTTGAAGGAAGTGGGTCGCCCCCTCATCAGATGCCGATCCTGCATGTCCTTGTTCAACAATGAAAATTCTGCGGCGTTTGAAGGCGAAAGTTGAGTGAGAAGCAGGATTCGAACCTACGCTTGCTACGGCGACGGCAAGGTCGAGCAAGCCCCAGGTGTAGTCGCCAACCACCTACACCATCCTCTTTAAAGCGGCCTTGATCGTAATCTATGTTGGTGCCTGTCGCCGTTGAGGGGCGGTAGACTTTTTTCCCCAAGGAACTTGGATTTTTCAGGTTAACTTATTATGCTAAGAAACCATACTGAAGTCCCCGTCCGTGACAACGTATCAACCGTATTGTTCCCAGTTTATGTCGCTCTCCCTCCTACCTACAGCCACATGCACACTTAGAAAATCATGACGAGAAATGATCTCAATTAATTTCTTGACATGATCCACGTCGACATGCGTTACAATGTGCAAAAGCTGTCAAAACATCAATTCGACGAGTAATCTACAAACGCTTGATTCAGTCGTACCTAGCTATCCAGAAGCAGATCAACTTGGATTATTTAGATGAACGAGAGGTAAGGGGCTGGTGGAAGTGCTTCCTCGGGCGGTGATACGTGAGTTTCTTCCGCAAGAGGCGTATCACGAGCTAGCTAACATTGGCAAGGAATCGTGGAGAGCTAGAACGAAGCTGGTATGATCCATAAGGAACCGTGCAGTCCTTCCGAGACTCGTCGCAGAGGGATATAAGAATCAGAAGGTGGAGCGGGCACCCATCCTGACCTCGCTCCTTCTCCCCCAAAGGCAGCGAAGGACCACGCCAATATAACTGTTCGAAGTGGCGGAGCTGCATTGGTAAGCAACTGGAGGAGGAAGAGTCGGCCGAAAAGATAATCAGATGGTGATGAACTAGAACCTTGGAAGGCTCAGAGTAGAAGTGGTGATGTTGTGGACGTGTCCGGTTTTCCACGAGGCTGGTCGGAGCGGATCCCGGTTGTGTCCTTTCGGCATGAATTTGGCAGACGGCGGGACTGACAAAGCTGAAGCTAGGCTGCGAACAAACCGCGGATGGTGATGCAACTTGCTGGCGGTGGATAACCGTGCAGGTGCAGATTGTGCGCACCGACGACATGACCATGCCGGAGCGCATGGAGGACCGCATCGTCAAGATCATCCCCAAAGAGAGCCTCCCGTCTGTGTCGGGCGTGGACCAGTCGATGGTGAATGAAGCCTGCGATCCCGGGCACCCTGCCGAAGACTCTAACGACGAACAAGCGCGCAGCAGACAAGGCGTTTGGGAACGATCTGGACGAGTGGCCCAAGTCCAAGTCCAAGTCTGTGAATCCGAACGCGGCAGACTCGTACGACAACAGCCTGCTCACTGAACGCGTGGAGAGTTTGCCGCCCAAAGACATCCAGGAGCATCTCACCGAGGTCTACTTCGACCATGTCTACGGCCAAAACTACCTACTTCTGCACAAGCCAAGCTTAATGGGGAGACTCGCCTCTCTGTGCTCATACTGGCAATATGCGCAATATCAGCATGCTTTTCAACCTACCAAGCATAGAAGACTGAAAGGAAACGATACATCGTTATCGCCAAACGCCCACAAGCCTGTTCTGGTGAATTTCTTCCTTTCTTCTCTGATCCTCTCCATCCACGTGTCTACACTGGTGACAGCATGGCGGGGTGAGTGCTTATTTGTTAGCAAAAGGGACATGATTTCAGCCGGACTGAACTCCAGCTTCGGTACCTTTGCCACAAACTCTTGTGCCAGCTAGGGTAGGTCGCAGTTCTTTAGGGGAAACCCCGGATATGTGCGCAATCGCCGTCATTTCCTTCACCGAGGTTGTTTTGGGGGTAGGCCTGAGGTTCCAGTACCATTGCATTTGCTGTCGCTGTCCGGAAAACCAGAGCTAGGGCAATCGCCAGCTCTGAAAAGAGAAACTTGGCCGCTCGGGGTTGGCGGAGGCGTTGACTTGGGTACGATGTTCTTCTAGCTCCGATTCCGACGGAAGACCGCAACATGTCAAAACGGGCTCCTTAACTGATGGTGGAACACTACTCACCATGACGAATATCTTCCATATCCTCAGAGAGGGCGAGCATGCAAGATCGCTATGCCGTCCGGTACGGTATCCTTCAGTGCCAGCAGACGCTCTGTTGATAGGCTCGACGTGTGTTACACTGTGGTGCTCTTCGACCGCATCGACCTCCAAAATGAAAGGAAATCCTATCGCGAATTAGTAAGTTAGCACCACAATCTACTCCAATAATCCGTTTAGAGCCGAATTCGTCTTCGCGATGCTTGTAGCGTGGTCCATTCCTCCTTCGTCAAGCGATTCCCAGCCAGACTGGTAATGCTCTGGTTTCTCCGGAAAGGGGCCCGCACCACGTCCACAGACGACATCTATACCGATAGATTCTATTAGCTTGTAATAGGCGGGTAATACCTGGATCTAGCAAATTGGAAGGGCCAGCAACTCCAAACAGAGCGGATACTTGTATCGCCAAAAAGCAAGCCGCGCTAACGGACACGCTTGAGAAGCGCTCGAACATGCCGCGGTATGCTTCATGGGAAGATGCCGAATATCGCCCCGTACTGATAATCAGCGAATTGCATTGAAATCCGTCCTTATCAGAGTCAACTTCGTTTACTATCCCTCCCCACAAGCTACGTTTTCAGCTTTGCGGCACTGCTCTTCTTTTGCCCCGGGTTTGATCCCGTCTGGATCAGCGCCATGCTCTCCCTCAGAGTTTCAAGACTGAGGCCCGGAACTAGATTCTGGCCCGTGGCGGACTGGTTCGACGTTCGCTGAAAGATTGCTCTCCGCGTGGACGTCGGATTGCTGGTGGTTCTCCTTTCTGGATTGGACGATGGAAATAAAGAAAGAAAGGACAGGAGGAATAGAGGAGTTGTGAGCGGGTTTAGTGTGTGTATATGCTTGATAATCATCGTGTGTCGAGATGAAGGGATGATATTGGGCGGAGTGGCTGCTGTCGTAGGTTTTGTATGTCTCCGCTTCGGCTTTACCGGACGGGAAGGCAATGATTTTTCAAGAAGGCCGGCAGGTGGATGGCTGGGGTAAGCGCTCTAGCTGTCCATGTCCTTGGAACCTGCAACGAGCCTATGAAAGAACCCGAGAGCACTGAGCATGCATGGTGCTTTAAACCCGTTGCTCACTCATGAGTTTTCGTATCCAGGCGGGCCTCATATAAGGGGACGGGAGCAGAGGAAGCTGGTGTGGACCTACAACACGGGAGAAATTGCACCCCAAAACACAGAGATAAGTTTATATTTTCGAAAATATCATTCATTCCGTAGCCGCAGTTGATCTTCTACAAACAAGCGACGACGAGAGCGTGTGGCTCTATTCCAAGCCGGGTTCTATTCCCAGCCTCTAAGTATCTATTGTTCTTTTATTGTAAACATGAAAAAGACATCTGCTCGACGAGATACGCGAGACCGAACGCGACTCGTGCGAAGTAACATCAACCACATTCTACTCCTCTTGTACTAACCGTCTATGGCGCCACACCGTGCAACATCGCCGTGACACACATGGTGCCTAGAGAAACTGCATGGCCGGCGTTGGATGGAGCGACATGGAAATAAGGGTCGATGCTGCTTCCAAGATGTCAGCATCGGTTGTCAGGGAGTCAGTAGTGACAACACGGGAGTTCTCACCGTCCTTCTCCTTCGCAACGGCGGAGGCGTTCTCAGAGTCGCTCCACTCAATGGCTTCTTCCTCCGGATGGCGAGTTGATGAACCATCGACCTTAACGACAACGACTTCCTCAGCGATAAGAGTGGTCTCACCTTCTGCGTCGAGGACGTCCTCCGCGGCGGCGGTGATAGTCGCTGCTTTAGAGTCAACCACAGTGGAAAGAGAGCATTGGCCGATGGGCTGCTCACCGTCTTTTCCAGGCGTCACAGGCTCGGCGGAGTCAGACTCTTCGGTGGAGAGCGTGGAGGAAGACGCGGGGCTGTCCTGGGTCGTCTCACACTCGACACCAGCTTCGTCCATCTTCGGTTCGGCTTCTCGTTTGACGAGAGTAGCCTCATCGGACGCATCCGGCATCTGCGCATCATCTTTGCTCACCAAGTCCGGGAAGTACTTCTTCCAGTGCCCGATGTAGCGCTTGTCGTTCGCCATATCCTCCTGGGGGTTCAAGACGTCCTCCTCGACACCCTGCTCCGCCAGCTCCTCCATCATCGCCTTGTACTCCTCCAGCAACTTCGGCGTAATCTTCGGCCGGAAGTAGTCCCCCGTCTTCCCAATGAGCATATCCTCCGCCCGCTCCTTCAACAAGCCAATAACACGAGTCATCTTACTCACAAAGGCATTATGCTTGCGGGGCTGACGAGGCTCCGCCTCAACACCATCCCGATCCGTCAACACCTTCCCGACGAAGAAGCCATTGAAGTCGTCCAGCACATCCTTCGCCTTCGGCACCATGAGCCCATGCTTCATGCCCTCGAGGATCAGCAGATGGAAGTACAGCTCCAGGAACGCCTTCTCGTCCTCGTGCCACATCGTCACCGTCTTGGCCTTCAGCCCCGCGCGTCCGTACAGCTGGTTGCGCCAGCTGTTGATCTTGGCGATGTCCTCCGCGCTGTCCCAGTCGATCTGCGAGTGCACTAGCTTCTTGAAGTGCAGCTCCTTCTGCTTACCGGTCTTGGTGTCGTTGCACAGCATGTGCAGCATCGCCGTGTTTTTGACGCCAACGACGGCGCGCGAGCGCGGGCCGATTGGGATCAGCGTGCTGACGGCGCCGTTGGGGCCTTTGCGGGCTTTGGCGGGGCGTGGCGAGTCGTTGCTAGCTGAGGCGGCGGCTTTGCGCTTCGGCGGCATGGTGAGTGAGCGAGGGTGCGAGGTTTCGGTTTCGGGTCGGGGTGAAAGTGATGAGAAGAAGCTTGGGCGGGCGTAGAGAGTTGGCGTTTTTGGGTATTGCACTCGTGATGTTGGGAGTTGTGCGGGTCGGAAGGAGAGAAAGCGGAAGGAGCTTTATGTTTATATAGCTCGTGGATGGGGAAGGCGCGAGGGTGGAGGCTTGGCATTCTGTCGCAGTTGTGCGTAAACGTGAAATTTGTTGCGGGGATTGTTGGTGAATGGAGTGGTGCGGGGCTGTGTGTGCTGAGAGGAAGGTGTGCTGCTGTCGGTGTTGTTTTGTTACTAAGTCTGATAGGGGTTGGGATGGAATGTTCGGACATTGTGAATAAACGAGCACTGCAAGGAAAGGGGCGGAGGGTGGTTGTTTCTGGTCCGACATTGCGTATTTACTGACATACTTTAGCTTTGATGATATACAAGATGATTCGGTAAGCGATTGCATTGAGAACTTTCAGTTGAAGAGACGGGCGGTATCCGCTGAGACCTTGCGCCGATGCTGACGATTTTGGAGCCCTTATGACTGAGAGCTTTTAGAGGATGCTGGATAGTCGTTGACGGCTTTCTCTGGTCTAGGTCTTCGTTTTCTTTGTGGCGTTGGTAATGATGTGATTGCTACCTCGAGCTAAAGAGTAATGAATGAGTCTTCCTCACTTTTTGATAGCGCTCTCGTGACGACGTGACTGTTACATGTGCCGACGCCCCTCAAGCTTGGTTATACCATGGTGGTAGGTATGTCCCGATAGATTGCATGCGTTCGTCCCCCAGAACGCGATGTCAGGAACCGATCAGCGTGGACAGTGGGAGTCAGGTACCATTGGAGTGCACGAGTGTCCGCTCGTAATTAAACTAGAACCCCGGGGTATGTATTACATATGACAGACAGAAAACAGAGAACAAACAATATGAAAGAGACAACCGACAATCCGAAACTTAATGAGAGTATAGTCGACACAATCTCCGCGGCCAGGAAAACAGTGACCTACTCATACCTACTGGAAGAATAGTCCTCATTAGACCCATGCCCTTCGCCCAGTACTTCCTTGGGATCCGGATCTTCGGCAGGGGGCTGCCAATCCTCCTGGAGCCAATGCTTAGAACCATCTTCCTTCAGCTTCACAGACCAGAACACGACCGGTGCATCGTAACCGCCGGGGCAGGGCACATCCTCGCTCCCCGGTTTATCACCCTCTGCCCATTTCGTCCTCTTGCACTTTAGGCTCTCTGGTGTGCCGTCGTACCGGATTTGCCAGACCAGCGCATTTGTGCGTCCGAACCATGGGTCTCGAGGATGCTCAAGGATCAGGAATGGATCCTCCTTTATCGTGTCTTCAAGTTATTTTGCATGCTGCGGGTTCTTTTTCCACCACTCTGCACCCCCGGCTCTGAGCGCGCAGGACGAACATTCAGCGACTTTAGTGCCGATCCGCTGATCGCACTCCTTTCCTCGCTTCTCGTCACGGAATCCCTCTATCTCTTTCCTGTTGAAGTGGCAGGGCGTTCCCAAGAGACATTCGTCGCAGGCATTCCGGCAACCTTCGTCGCAAGATGCGTTCAGAAACCACAACTTCTTTTCAAAGTCGGGTAGCACTTCGGAATGACGAGCTCTATCCCTAACTCTTTTGCTGCCTTGACAATGTCCGCGCCTTTCTTGTACCCCCGTTTCTCCAGAGCATATGCTGGGGCTACGTCAAGCCACACTGCGCATCCAGGACAGGCCCACCAGCCCTTGATCAAGTCGACGATGAAATTTGTGTAGGATGTCGGCGGTTTGCTTTTGGGGATGCAGCTGTAGTCGATAGATTCTTCGCGTAAGTAGACTGAGGGGGGCGTTTTAGCGCTGCTAGGACTGGCCTTGTCGGAGGGCGCTGATGACATGGTGTGTACTTTCTCAACTGGGGTTTGCTTTTCTTCGCTCGGAAACTGTTCCGGAAAGAGTAGGTGCTTGCTGGGTCGAAGGATGTGAAGTATGTGTAGGAAGAAGGAAAGAAGCAGATTAGAGAAGCCGCTTTATATACCCATGAGTCTTCTTCATCCCAATTGAGTTCACGCTCTGACTGAACTCTGATTCATATATGAAGACTCACACATAAATCACAGTTCGCCATCCAGTGACGCACCGTAGGTATGACTGAGGGACCGCTTGACTGTTCGACTCGGAGTATAACTTTCAACGCCGCGACAGGCGCACGAAGACCTACACCATGGAAGGCTACCAACGACTATCCATCATCGCCTGAAGGCTCTCAGGCCCTCAATGGCCATACCAGCCCATCTATTCACTCAGTGCCCTCCTTGTCATCCTCAGCAGCAGACTGCTCAACCTGACTCTCCTCCCTAGCCTGCTCCCTAGCCTGCTCCCTAGTCACGGTCATGCCATGCATCTCGATCTCCCTCTCAGACTCCCTCCAAGATGTGAGGTACATCCCATCCTCTATCGGCCGCCCCATAGATGTCAACACGTGCTTGCACATCTGGCGCATCCAGAACCAAGCGGGAATCTCGCCGCGAAGCGCCAGCACGCGCAGCGTCGGATAAGGTGACATCGCGGCATAGACGCAGATGTTGTGGTACATTGGCCCGTTGTTGATCACGTTGTTCCACATAGCGTGCGCGAGCTCGTTGAGATGGCCCGAGACGACGGGGTCGAGCGGCGAGTAGGGCAGGAGGTGGGGGTTCCTGGCAACGGTGAAGTTGGTGAGGCTGACTCCGACCTGCAGTTGGGTTGACATGGGGATCGTGCCGTTACGGGTGCCCGGCGACTGGGTGAGGTTTCCAGCCTAGAAGATGTTAAATGGTGAGGCATAGTGGTGAGGAATGGACTTACGCGGGACTGAGGGGACGCGGTTGCGTTGGAGCCGAGCGGCGACCGCTGCGGAAAGGCGTTCGAGGTCTCGAAGACGTTGGCTCTGTTCATGTTGGACGTGTCGAAGGCCGCATTTGCTCCGTTCATTTCGCCTGCCGCAATCATGGTGTCCGTAGCATGTGGGCTTGTAACATTCATGTTTCCGCCGTTCAAGTTGTCTCCGTTCGCGTTCGTTCCACCCATGTCCGGTGTAGCGGGGGCATTCGCGATGAAAGGACTAGCAGCTTCGTTGTTCACGTTCGACATTGCGAAGGGATCGTAGGCCGTGTACGGGTACCGGCTCGTATTCAGTAGTTCGAAGGGATTGATGTGAACTGCGTACGAGTTGTTGTTCTTTCGCTCTAAGAACCTAGCCCCAGCTAAGCTGAAATTATGCGGTTGCTGCTGGAGTGAATGTGATGGAGCTCGACTGAGGTACCAGTTACCGAGGGGATTTGGGACTACCTCGTTCACCGGATTCCCTCTCACCTGAGTTGGGTGCTCGGTCTGCTGCGGCTGCGGCGCGATTGGTCGATCGAACTGGGAAGCCCTCTTCAGAATCGACTTCGGCTGAAGTTTAGGGCTAGAGTTGTCTGCGGTGGTAGATGCTGTCCGAATAGTGCTAGGAGAGGACCAGTGCAGAGCCGGATCCTGGTAGCGCGTCAGTTTTGGGTGTCCTTGGAGCGCTTACCTCGACTCTTCATGTCAACGAGCGGCAATGAATGCCTTCTCCTGCGTGTCCTGATCTCCCTTCACTCCTCCCCATCCAAGTACCGCGTGCCCAGGTGTCCTCCCTCCCATCCAAGTCCCTCCCAAACCTCCACTCAAACCAATCGGCAAAAGAAAGAATGGCAGTGCAGCGGCAGCTTAAGAACTTCAGCAACAGCGAAGCAAATACGTACCTCATCATCAATAGCCTCTTCGGGCTTATTATTCTGCTTCTGTATAGAAGCCTTCGTGCCCAGGATGTTGGCCCTTAGCTTTGCCCCCTCTGGTCCCCAAAACTCATGCATGGTTAGTTTTGTCGGCTATCCGAAGTTAGTGAACCCGCTGAAAGACGTAGAGGTAAGGGTAGTTTCCAGGGACACATACGTCAGGAGTATGCTGAAGCGGCGATCTCTCCTTCTCTGCCACCGGAGTGCCGAATTGTGGTTGGAAGATTCTCTCTCCGGCGGAGTCCTGTACCATTGTAAGCATTCGCTTTACACGAAAGACCGCTTCGCATCCTTACCTTCTCCGGCATCCTGGGTTTCTTGGGAGTGTCCGCCATGACCCCACTATTCGTCTTGTTTCGTGTTGTGTCTTGTTCGCTGCCGAAACGTTGCTGATGTTGACGCGAGAGTTGTTGACGGACGAGCGAGGTTAATGCCAGCGACCGCACAACAGGTAGCGGCGTGCTAGTGAAAGCGGTCTCGAGGGCAACGGGAGGAGCTGGAAGTGAGCAAAACGTCCTGTTTCGCACGTGATTGTATTGGCGTCCATGGAAGGCGGTGGGATGGGCGAACGTTTGCCCACCGCCTTAGAGACGGCAGCTGTTGCTTTGGTGCTGGGAGCGATGTGCTCGAGCCAACGTCTCTGCCCGGAAGGACCCAGAACGGTTCCCCGAAACCTATCTCCGTCCCCGGCCCTCTTCCAGGTCCTCCTTTCAGGCTTACTCTCGGTGTTGGGAGCGGGCACAATGTTAATAACAAAGCCCAGTATGCGGTGTCTTGAAGAGACGCCAATGGGCATGGCAATGGAAAAGGAGGTGCTCAGTGTCAGCCATCTGACATTGATATTGCTGTTACGCCCTTGACGGCAATCATGGGTGGCACGCGCAGAACTTAAAGAAAAGAGAAAGAGAGGCACGAAACATGATGAGTTCTTCAGAAATTCGTGGCCGAGAGGAACAGAGGAGTAGAACGCTACCCTCGCCACCATGTGGAGTATGAGAATGACTCAAGAGAGAAATTGTTATGATACCACCTTCTGTGACCGAGCTTAACCATTTATACCCATTGCCGAGTGGCCCTCGAGCGGCCAGGTACCGAGACACCACGCTTATGGAAGACGCCGGAGGATTCACACCTTAGTGCCACTACCCTTAGCGCCACTGAACCCGAATATGCCTAGCAATAAAAGAGATGTGCGGTCAACAGAGCGATCCCACATTTCTAGGCCTTCGCTTTAGCGCGCGCTTGACGTCCTCGAGCTCCGCCGCGCCGAGGTTTCTTAGACTTGCGCGGGGCCTCCTCTTCCTCTTCCTCAGACTCGCCGATATCGTCCTCTGCAAGATCGGCCTCAATTTCGTCCTCGTCTTTCACCTTCTTGGCACGGCCGTTTGCCTTCTGCTTCTTTCTAGCTGCTGTGGCCTCGAACATCTCCTCTGGTGGCTCTTCCATTGGTGTAGCTCTCTTAGCACCTCGGGACTTCGGTGCATACTTAGCTTCGAGATGATCGAAGAAGTTGCCGGCACGAGCCTTCTGTCTCTGCTGAATCAACGCTGCTAGGTCCCCCATACCACCGGAGTCCTTCTTCTTGCTCTTCGGCTTGCCATTGGCTTGGCCAGCTGCTTCTTTCTTTGCTTGCCGCTTGTCCCACTCCTCCCTCCGTCTCCTTTCGGAGTCTTTCGCCTTTTCACGCGCAGCATCGTTGTTGTCGCGTTCATATGCTTCGTATGACTCAATCGTGCCTTTCGCAATCTCCTCGTCGAGAATCTGTCGGTAGCGGTCGTCGTCCACAAGGATGTCGGACAACATCACCGCCCCGTACATGGCGTCCAACCGTCCGTTACACTTGGTGTAGGCGTTCAGCAAATCCCGTCGCTCCTCGGCGCTGCCCTTGTACTCATTCGCAAACCTGTTGATGGACTCCTCATTGACGACATCTTCCCACTGCCGGCGGTAGAACTTGAGCCAGTCGAACTCGTCGTCATCCTCGAGCACTTCAGCGGTGCTGCCGGTGAGGTCGTAGCGTTTGCGGCGATGGTCGTCTGAGAGTACGGCGTAGGCGAAGGCAATCTCTTGAAACCTCTTGTGGGCGGCTTCCTTCTCGTCTTCCGACGCCTTGTCTGGAGGGAATTAGCGTTGCTCGTGAGGATAGAAACGGCTGGCGCATACCCGGGTGATGCTTCAACGCCATCTTGCGATACGCCTTCTTGACATCATCGGCAGTAGCCTCGTTCTCCAGACCCAGCACCTCGTAAGGATCGATAGTCGGCGGGCTATCATCATCCTCCATGTCTTCCTCGTCGTTGACGAAGGGATCCTCCCTAGCTTGTCGCTCCTCTTTTTCTTGGAACTTTGTGCTGTGTCGTGCCATCTTGTGGGAGTGGTTGTGGATGCCGGGTGGAGCGGTTTGGCAGAAGACTCAGGACGCGTTGAGGTTGAGAACGCGTCGCGTCGAAAGGTGAGGTCGGAGTTTAGGCGGAGATGTGGCTGGAGTGAAGCTATGACCATCGCACCGCCACCGCCTCATCTACTTCTCGTCCTTTCTGCTCGACTCTTTCACCTTCACTACTCTCACCCGTCACCATGTGTCTCCAAACGCCTGAAAGCGGGGGTCTCCCTCAAGCACCAAGCTCAGTCGTTTATGTGGATCACAAGGCCCTCATGTGGGAGGCACTGGACCAAGCGAAGCAATCACCACCCAAGCCATCAAACTACCGCGTCGGCGCGTTGCTCGTTGATGGAGACACCGGAGAGGTTATGGTCAGGGGCTATACTCTCGAACTCGAAGGCAACACCCACGCGGAGCAATGCTGTCTCATGAAAGCCGCCCAAGCTCATGACCTACCCGAAGAGCGGGTCGGCGAGGTATTGCCGCCAAACACTGTCCTTTACACTACCATGGAGCCTTGCAGTATGCGACTGAGCGGGAATCTCCCTTGCGTTGACAGGATCATCAGGACGAAGGATGCAAATGGGAAGCCGCTGGTCAAGAAAGTGTATCTTGGCGTCAAAGAGCCGGAGAAGTTCGTTGGCGAGAACAAGGGCAGGGCGAAGCTGGAAGAGCATGGCATCGAATGCATTCACATCCCTGGGCTTGAGAAGGAGATATTGGAGGTCGCTACAGCTGGGCATGAGAAATAATCACATTGCCGCAAGATTAATTCGGGAAAGTGGTAAAGTAAGCGAGAAGAACAGACAACTGGAAACGCGGAGCACACCTCGGGAAACGCCTCTGCACAATTATAAGAGATGCACCCGTGCCAGAAAGTCCATTTCCTTGAAAACCAAAGCTCACCAGATGGCCGTTGGTCATGCCATGTCCCTCTCGCTCAAAACGACCTCAATGGGTTTCTTCTCCACCAACAAAAAGGTCCTTAACTCTTCCCACCTCAACGCCCGACCCTCCCTCTCCTCAACATCAAACCCCCACAGTAGCCTCGCAAGACACAACCGCATCTCCACCCACGCAAGATGCTTACCCAGACAAGCTCGCGGCCCGACGCTGAACCCCTGTACCGCAGCCCTATGGTCGCGGTAGAAAGGGGACGAGGGGTCAGCAGTAGAAGACTCGAGCCAGCGCTCCGGGACGAACGAGGAAGGCTGGTGGAAGAGAGAGGGTGAGCGGTTGAGTGCGTATTGCGATATAGAGACAGCGGTCTAGTGGACACGGACGAGGTTAGCGATATGATGAGAGGAGGGGAGAGAAACGGCGGAAAGATGCTTACACCGCCCGGTATCCAAACACCACAAACCGTCTCCCCGCCCTCTGGCACCCTCCTCGGCAGCACCCACGGCACCGGTGGACACAATCTCAACCCCTCATTAACAACTGCAGTCAAGTACCCACATCTTTCCTCCACCGCGCTCAGCGTGATCTCGCCCTCATCCGCGAACGCAGCCCGCACTTCATCCACTACAATCCTTCGCTTCTCCGGAAGCGCCGATAGGTAGTTCAGAACACCGCCTAGCACTGTCGCCGTAGTCTCGCTCCCCGCAACCGTCAGGCCCGCGAAGGAGTAGTAGATTTCGTCCATGGACATGCCCGTGCTTCCGTTCTCTTTTGCTTCTTTGAGGAGGTGCGACATGATGTCTTCGCGGACGACTTCCCAGTTCATTCTGCGCTGGACGCGGTCGACGACGTGTTGGAAATGGTCTTCCTATGTATCCTGTATTAGCTATCTTCCTCTCTCCCTCCATCTCTTCCTCCTTTCCGCTCCGATACACAGAGATGAAGTTAAGCGCCCCGTAGCAAACGTACGTACCTGCACCTTCCTCAAACTCGCCGGTATACACCACTGAAGCACCCAATCCAGCGCCGGATAATACTTCGCCGCATTAACAAACGCAATCCCCTTAACATTATCAAAGATCAGCGTAATCCACGGATGATACCGCCCATTCTCCAGACACCGAAAACTCTCTCCAAACCCCAAGTCGCCAAACACATCAAACGTGAGGAAATTGACCCAAGGAAAAACATCCACCGTCACTCCCTTCCTCTTATCCGGATCCAGGTCTGGGCCGCCAGACGAAGCAGCGTGCACTCTCTCACGCAGCCGTTCAATGAGCAGGCTCACGTAGCGCTGCACGACAGCCTCCTGCATCCGCAGCGCGCCCTTCGTGAACCCCGGCGTGAGCGTCTTGCGCATGCGCGCCCAGTCCCCCACGTCAATCGCGTTCATCATGCTCTTGTTGTTCGGCGTGCTCCACCACATCGCGTCCTTCAAGAACTGGCGCTTCCCCTGCCGCGGCTGCATGATCTCGGTCCACGCATCCGGATGCGCGAAGGCGACTTCATCCGGCGCGATCCGCATGATGGGTCCGTATTTCAAATGCAGCTTTTCCAAATCGTGGATCAGAGTGCCGCGGAGCAGGCGGGCGAGAAAGGGCACGCGGGATGCGGACCATGAAGTAGGGCCGGGGATTTTGGAGCTTGAGAGTGGGTGGAAGAGGATGTTGTAGAGGGCTTTGGCTAGGGGATACTGGGTCGGTTAGTGGGGTGTGGGGTGTTCTTTGGGGCGACAACGTACCAGGAGGAGAGTGAGGATGGTGGTGGAAAGTGTAGGGAGGGGGAGCATAGTTAGTGCGGTGTGCAGAGGTTATTGGTCTGATATCTTGGTATAGAGAACATGGTTGACACGCAGCTGATATAGCACCATAAGAACATCAATCCGGTCGAAGTCGGCCGAGAAGAGTGACGCAGTTTCCATACGCGGAATTCCGTTTCTCGTCCTGGTCGTGGACGCCTCATAGTAGCAGGGGTCCATGTTCACCCTAGTGCACGTATGGTCGGCGATACTAGCCGTCATGTATGCTAGTGCTTCTCGCACGAGAGTCAAATAGCCATCTCTCTCATTCGCGGAGCTAAGTCTCGAGACTTGTGTCTTGAGTACTGAGTAATGAACCTGCTCTGCTTACGGACTACACCCTCATGGTCTACCACAGTTTCGGTACCAGCATCGGTGTACTCTCCTTCCACGCCTTGTAATCCCTCCTATCTCCAAACTTCTTATCATACTTGTTCTCGCTCAGCGGAATACCAGATACCTTGAGCAACAAGAACGCGACGAAGGCCGGCGACGCAGCACACATACCAGCGACAGCCACCTTGCCTCCCAGGCCGCCCAGTCCGAGCCCAAGCTGCGCCGAGTTTCGCACGAGCAAGCCGCCGGCAGCCATAGCGATACCGGTCCACAGCGTGATCTCGCCGAAGTAATTCGGGTGCCGTGATTTCGACCATAGTCCACGCGTGAGGAATTCCTCAGAGTGCTTCTTCTCCTTCTTTTCCTCGCTCCACTGGCTCTTCTGCTTGTCCGCGATGACCTCGAAGCTCAGCCCAAACACAAACACGGCGAGGCCCAGAATATCCGTCCAGTATGGTCGAGCGGCAATCGCCTGGGGTATACTGCTCGTAACGTTCTGAAGCCGCGAAAGCGCGAATGCAGACCTCGGAAGCGAATTCGTCAGGATGACGGGGAGGAGGCAGAGCGAGACCCACATCGCCTGCGCGAAGAAGGCGGCGTAGAATTTAGCGGGCGAGCTGCGGATGTTGTCGAAGCGCGAGTCGGTGCCGTCGGAGGTTATGCGTTTGAAGAGGAAGGAACCCACTGCATCTGTGTTAGCAATCCGTTCTGGTCGTCTCGTCTGGAGCGTTGGTGGGGAATAGGACGTACACCTCGTAGCCCACATGCCCACCGCGGCGCTCAACACCGCCTGTCTCCACCACCAGAGACCCTGTCCCGGCGCCGGAGCGCTCAAGTACTCTGCCAGCCCTCCAGTTATCGCTCCAGCGCTCCTGGCTCGCAGGTACGGAAGGAATAAGGACAATGCCGTGCACGAGAGGTACGTCAAGCTCCCGCTTAAATCGTAAAACCGCTCGGTTTGGCCCGCAATCGAAGGCACAGCGACAGCGGTCTGAATCCCATAGGCAAGTGCGACGGAAGGAACCAATGTCCGTAGAAGCGGGGTGCGGAACGCGGTTGCGCGGAGGAGGGCTTGTACGAGTGTCATTGTTGTCGTGTCTTACGGTGGGATGCCTAGGTAAAATGGGGTCAATCAGGACGAAAGTTAGTCGGGATGGGTGAGATCAAATCGGCACTTTATGCGTCAAGAGCAAGTGCCGGTTGCGTGACGCGCTTCCATTGTTGCCTTCACATGTCGCGCTGCAGTTTTCGAGATGCTGAAGGGCGTGGACTCGCGACCGGAATCGATGGCGTCACTTCCGCGGGAGCCCTGCCAAGCAGCCCGCCAAAATGGGGGAATCCAGACCGAAAGACGTCAATATCTCTGTGTAAGATTCCAGAGTTCGTCCGACAGTGTCCGCGTGCTCCGACGTTCCTTCTGGGCATCCATGTTGCTTCCAAGGTTCAAGTAGGCCAAGACTGGCCAAGACTCTCACGCGGGTCGAAGCACCAAAGGGCAGTGAGAATGCATTTATACAAGTAGACTCGGTGCCGGAGCTCAGACACCGAAGATTCCCCCAAGAGCATCGATACAAAACCCACGCTCCAAGTGGCCTGCTAGATATGTACTCCATGAACGCCAGGCTAAGGCATACCGCACAACTTCCCACCGAAGCATCAACAACGAAGCATGCAACCTCTCTGCAGACTTTAACTCAACCAGAATATGTGAAAAGGCCAGTGTCAGAGTCGGCGCAAAGCTACCTTCTGAACGCAGCTGTCACCTCATTCGGACCCCAATCCATCTCCACCTCTCCAGAGTACACATCTTGATTGATGCGGATAGTGCGATCGTACACGTCGCTGTACTTTTTCTCGCATTCCTTGAGCACCTTGAAGACGAGATCGCGGCTAATTCCCGGGTCATCAGCGTCGCCAAAATGCTTGTCGACTCGCTTCTTGAGCGCTTCGATGCCCTTTCGGACCTCCTTGGCGTCGTATGAGTGCACGAGCTTCTTGAAGACGGAGCGTGAGTGTGATGAGCGCTGTGCAATCGACTGTGGACTTGCGCCAGCTTGGGAGAGCAACGTCTCTGTCGACTCGATGAATTCCTGGGTAACGTTAGCGAGATGACGCAAACGGGGGGATGGAGGCTATTGCTTACTAGAAGTTTTCCCAAAGGCCGCCGGATCACAGCGTCGACGTAAAGATCCATATGCTCCTTCATTTCGTCCTGAGCCTTGGCTTTCCAGTCGAGTAGGACGGAGTCGGTTCGCGCATCAACCTCCTCAATGTAGTGGTTCATGTTCTCAATGAGCAGGATGTGGTAGTTTAGAGCTTCCTTATCTTCTGGATCACCCTGCCCTTGAGTGGCCATGACCGCAGGCGACTCCTTGGCGATCACCTTCAAGCTCTCAAACATGGCCTTGTTGATCTTCTGATATGCGTCATCGACCATACGCCTGATCTCCAGTTGATCGCTCTCGTCGGCAGCAGGCAGCATGTTTTCGATGGCCACAGCGAAGTGAGGGAATGTTTTCACGAAAGCAATGACTCCTTTCCTCTTCTTGATCTTGACCTTAGTATCTTCAATAGCGCGTATCTGTTCGTCAACGAAGCGTGTGAACAGGCCTGTCAGCCGTTCGTGCGCCTTCTGGAGATTCCTAGTGAGGAAGTCTTGATTTGAATCTTCAATTTCGACGAGTTTCCGGTCGACCGCACATAGAATACCAACTCCTTGCCTACACCATAGTCAGCAAAACATTGCATAGCATATTTGATCAGCACTTACAAAGGATCGGCCTTGATAGCCCAATCTACCAGGGTTTGGATCTCCGTCGGCCAGAATGAGAAAATATCTTCCATGACATCGGCGACGCGTTTAGCCATCGCCCTGTCTGCCTCAAATTGCTTTCGCACCCATAGATTCGGTCCGCGGCGTTCCCCAGGAGGCGCCAGACTGACGGCTTCAGGAAAATCTACGGAGTCGGTCGAGGTCGCATGGAAGAATTCGGTGACGAAATTCTGCTCTGTAAGGAGCACGGGACCGATGTCCTCAAGGACTTTGGAGAAAACGTCGAACGCGAATAGCTTCCCGTCTTGTGCCTTGTTTGCTTTGTGCTCCTTATCTCCAGATGCTGCACGGAGTCCACGAGCCAAGGTCTGACTTCGCTTCACGGTAAGCTTCCTGGCGGCTCCAGTGATGCTCTCCGTTTCTTTTTCTTGGGTGGTGAACAAGAGATCCTGCTCGTCGCCAGTAGGCTTGCGGGCAAAGCGCTTCCATGATAAGATGTTGTCACGAATTTCGTCCTGGTATATTAGGCCGGCCTGGTTCTGGTACATCCGCAGCAAGGCATCCCACGATGCTCGGTCGATCTCCTTAGCGAAGAGAATGAGCGGACTGAGCATCCATAGCATAGTTCTGCCTGCGTCATGGGCTTCGACATTCGCCCTGGTCGACGGCATTGCAGTTCTATCAATATTAGCCAGCGCGTCCTTGGTCTGCAGGAAAGCGGCGCCAAAGGTTATATCCATGTGCTTCTTCAGCCGATCCAGGAACATTGCGCCCTCGTTGAGATAACGATCTTTCTTTTCTTGCAACGCCTGCATCGACGCGAGTTCGCTATTGCCAAAGCCAGAGTTGCTGGTGATCTTGTTGAGATCGCCTGCGGTGCTGCTTCTGCTGCCTTTGATAAAGGTGGGGTCGATAGTAATCAAAGCCTTGTAGAGGAGCACTAGAGACATTTCAATAGCCGCTAGTCCCTTCACTTTACCGATAGGTGCTCGCCGCAGCGGTTCGAGTTGGTCTGAAGTAATAGAGATCGTATCAACGAGTTGCTCGAGCTCACTCTGCAATAACCTTTGGTTGGCCGTTTGGACTTGCAGACCCTGACTCTGCGCTTCAATGAAGGCGATGTCATCGTTTAGGCTGCTTAGCTCGACATTATACAATGTCAGCAGGCCTTCTAGTTCGTCGCACTCTGCAATAGCCCTATCAAGCATCTTCTCCACGGCTTCGACACGATCGTCCTTTTGCTCTAGGTGGCTTAGCCAGCTGCCCGCTTCAACGCGCGCAATTTCGCGCTTGATGTCGGATTCCAATGATTCAATGTTCTTAGCCGACAGCTCACTGCTTCCCCAACCGAACTCGGAAAGGGCTGTTTCGAATTCAAGTCCGCGACCGTCCAGGATGCTTGGATCAATTCCAAGCTTGGAGAGGTTCATGATTTGTTGGTTCGACCGCCGCTTCTTGCGTCGCACTTCCGCCTCAGCCTCGGCTTTGGCTACTGGCTTCTCCGGACTTGGCGAGCGAGAAGGTGGCCTCTCCTCTACATTTGCAGGAGGGAGGACTGGGGTTGGTGACAAGGGGCTAGAGACCTTCACCTCAGGAACGACTTCGGTAACTATAGTCGGACGCTCCTTAGATGTCCTATCCGGCTGAGCTTTGGGTTCCTGCTCCAGCTTCTTCTCTGCTTCCTCCTTAGGCGCGGGTCGCTGGGGCACAAAGACGCCGCTGATGCCATCCGGCTCTTCGGACGTTTTTGTCTCTTTGGCAAACAATTTAGCTGCGGCCCCCCCAGCACGAGGTTTGAAAGCACCAGCAGCAGCGGCAGCCTTGCGGAAAGCACTTGCCGCGTCGGCTTTGCCTATCTTCTTTTTGATCATGGGGCCAAGTCCGGGGCGATGGAGGACTTCCTCATCCTCTTCGGTAGGAGAGAGAGGCTTCACTGCTGGGGCTGGTTCTGCCTCTTGCGAAGCTTGCTCTTCTGCCGCACGAGGCGCCTCATTCGGCTCTGCCGCCTTTGGTATCTGTGGAAGCGGAGATGTTGGTGGCGGTGGAGGCTGCTGAGACTGAGGAGGCACCATCGTGCTTTCTGGGGTGTCGACTCTCTTTGGCTCGGCGCTCGGCACTGGCTCCTGGTACGCTGTCGGCTTAGGCCTCTCCGGCATCTCTTGAGGCCTCCTCCTGGGTGGAACTGGCACTGCTGGTGGAGGGGATTGTGCTGGGGTATGAAATTCCGTATGCGGGCCGCTCTCTTGACTTTCCATGCTACGCTGTGACTGTTGCGATGGACGGGCTTCCATCATAGGTCTTCTTCTTGGGGGTACCTCTCCCGGGACCTCCTCGTAACGACTAAAAGAAGAGCTCGCATTGCTCTGGGCCGTCCCCGGCCTCAAGCCCCTAGGGGACGGATCCCGCCTGTTGGGCGAAGGATAGCCGTTTGGTCTCCGTTTCTCACCGGACGCTATGCCCAGTCCCGCGCCATCAAAAGACGGTTCGTCTAGTGACTTTTGCGACCTTTGTGACCGAGCATCTTCTGGAAATGACGGTCTTCCTGGGCTAAGGCTGGGCGGAAGGGACGAAGCACTGGCAGTGTCGGGTGTCTTCGGGCGTCCTGCCAAGTCCGATCTTGACGACTGCGGGCTTAAACGCTGCGATGGCGCTGGAATGGGCGGCATTGGAACTGGCACAGGCTGCAGCCGCTCTCGGCTCGGAAATGAGCGCATGCTCATATTGTCTCGGCTAGGTGGAGACCGCAAATTTTGTTCCATAGACGGCCGTGACCGTGACCGTGAACCATCGCCAAACTGCGCTGGTGAAGAAGGCCCTTGACCTGGAAAGCGGGGAGACTGGGGCATTCGGCCATCTTCTGGACGCCCGGGTGACCCTCCGCCGCGTGTCGCAGCTCCATCCCTTAAATTTGACATTGAAGGTGGTATCGGTTGTCGAGGCCTTCTATCGCGCTGTTGTTCATCTAGAGGAGGTGGACGCCGTTGGGATTGCATGCCCTCGCGGCCGCGCGACAGCGGGGCTCTCCTATCGTCAGCTGGCGATGGTCGCCTTAAGTCGTCTTGTGAGGGATACGTTTTCGGCGGAGGAGCACCAGACCTAGCCCTAAACTGTTTGTCAAAAGCCTCATAAGGCTTTTTATCATAATTTGGGTCCTTTGCCTTAATAGCCGCCCATTCCTCGTGGGCAGCACGAGCTTCGGGGGTTGCGTATTCAGGATGCCCCTCGGTGAGGCCGTTGAGCTCGGCCGGGCTAAATCCTATCAAGAGCGGATATTTCTCGTTGGTATACCTGCTGTAGATTTTCACCAGGCTGCCAATGAAGAACTCCTTCTCTTTCGCGGTGGTAGCCTCCCAATAATAGGGCTTGTTAATAGTAACAACGAAGCCGCTATCCCCAGCCCAGCTCTTCCGCTGAGCCTCTTCTTCAGTCTGAGGAACCAGGTGCACGAAATTCTCTATGGCGGAAAGATCATACATTTCCCAGGACTTGCCAATTGAAAAGCTACCGTTTGCATTTTCTCGCGCTTTGTGCAAAACCACGGCGGTGGTATTCTTGACCCCAATGATGATGACTCGAGCTTTCTTGTTGCTAGGATTTGAATTCGGCGGAGCGGGCGATTGTGGATAGGCGGCATCCTCTCGTATGCGGATATGGGTAATGTAGGATTCCATAACTAGCTTGAGTCAGCCGTAGTTGCGAGCTCTAGGGACGAAACAGAAAGAGGACAGAGTGGACATGGTGTAAATGCATTGAGAGACATACGCTGTCCAGTTGCGTCGAGTTTGGAGAAGCAACTTTGTGTGATTCGCCGCCGCTCATCCTCGAATCGCTCGGCTCGCGATCTTGCAGAGCTTGAAGATGAAGGAGGGCCCCCGGGGGCTCCAGGCGGACGGCGGTTCTCATTGCTGGGTCTCCGCACGCTCCCTGGACCGTTGGGGTAGTTGCGCGGTCCGGGGCTCCCGTCCATGGTGCTTCACGGCGAAATCAGGAGCCTGGATAGAGTCGTCCCCGGCGGCGCGCAAAGGTAGAGAAGGCGATTAGCTGTCCGATGCCATTAGATGGTTGTGGGGGGCATGCAGCATGCGGCTATGGGGTGTGAGAGATGAGCTGCAGTCGCGGAAGCAGTCGCAGCAGCAGCCGTGAGTGATGAGGCCCGAAACGATGGAGCAAACGGAGGCCGCGCCGGAATCGGAAGCACACCTACGAGGCGTGTGGTGGAACAATGCGGGGCGGTGAATAGCGAGCGCTGCCGTGACAGTCGGGGCAGGAGGTGTGGTGTCGTGTATGAGACGGCCACGGACCGCTTCGCAGAGGTGGCACGGCCGGGGCCCTGGTCGAGGGTGCCGCTCGTTTGGGCCTAGCGTGCCCCGCCACTGCGGCTGAAATACTTCGTGCCTGCACCGAACTTTCGAACTTTTTTCCTGACCGCCTTCGATCGCACCTCACCACCACGACAGTCCCTCTCGACGAGCCAATTGGTCGCCATGGCAAGCGGAAAGAGGGCTCGCGATGACCGCCGCCAGGAAAAGAAGATGAAGCAGCAGAAACCGACCGAGAAAGCCGCCGCGAAGGCTACCAAGCGTGAGAAGAAAGCGCCGAAACCCCCTCAAGCTCCCGCCGCGCTTGTCGGTCTCGTGCAGACCTTCCTGCACGAACACGGATACGTTGAAGCTGCTCACAAGCTTCGGGATGAGGCGCAGGGCACGGGCAGCACAACCACTGCGGTGGAGGGTCTGCCAGACCTGACCAAGATCTACGCAGAGTGGAAGAAGAGCGCAGGCGGCAAGGCCACCGCGTCTAAGAAAGAGGATGCGCCCGAGCCTATGGATGTGGACGAGGAGAGCGCATCTAGCAGCGACGGGAGCAGTGACTCAGGCAGCGACAGCGACTCCAGTGATGCCAGCAGCGAGTCTGTAGAGGAGGCGACAAAGGCGGAGCCTGTGAAAAGGAAGGCACCGGTGAAGAAGAGCAAGTCGGCGACCTCAAGCTCAAGCTCAGCGTCAAGCTCAAGTTCTGAATCCGAGTCGGAAGAGGAGAGCGCCCCGCCTGCGAAGAAGAGCAAGACGGCGAAGTCCACTTCGTCATCGTCATCTTCCTCCGCTTCCTCATCTTCCAGTGGATCCAATAGCGAGTCCGATGACGAGCCCGCAAACAAGCCTCTCCCCGCCTCCGACTCGTCCAGCGCATCGAGCGATTCGTCGTCAAGTGAGTCTGACAGCGAGTCCAGCTCCGAATCCGAAGCAAAGGATGCTAAACCCGCAGTGAACGGCACACAAAAGGCACAGTCCAAGGAGGCGAAGAAGGGGGCCTCCGCATCGTCTTCCTCATCCTCGTCCAGCTCTGATTCGTCGAGCGGCTCAGACTCTTCTGAAAGCGAGTCGGACGCTGCTCCCGCGAAGAAGTCAAAGGCCAAGAACGACGGAAAGAAGGCAAAGGATATCAAGAACGAAGCTTCGGATTCTTCATCTAGCAGCGATTCCAGCTCTTCAGAGAGCTCCGACAGCGACTCATCGGAGTCCGAAGCTGAGAAGCCCCAGTCCAGCCCATACAACCGCAAGAACTCCTCCGATTCCACAGTGACTCTACAACCTAGCTCCCCTGTTCCCGTAGTGGGCAACAAGCGTAAACTGGCTGGCTCGCCCTCCTCCGACGCGCCTAACAAAGCTAACAAGAGTCACGTCGAGAATCGATTCCAGCGCATCAAGCCCGATACTAAAGTAGACCCGCGCTTTTCCAGCAACCAATACGTCTCCTATGACTACGCCGATCGCGCCCACGCCGACTTGGCCGTGACTAAGGGCAGGGGATTCACCAAGGAGAAGAACAAGAAGAAGAGAGGTTCTTATAGAGGTGGGCAAATTGATACATCTGGCGGGAAGGGTATTAAGTTTGATGATTGAACTAACATTTCCTTTGTTGTAGGACGTGGTTATGGGCTGGACCGTAGTGGTGCACCGGGTGATGCACCGGGTGGTGGTCATGAACGAGGACGAGGACGTGGTTATGGACGTGGACGTGGACGTGGACGTGGCGATTAAGAAGGGGACCTCATGGAGAAGTGCCGGCGATATGCGATCCTCACATGAGGGTCCAGGTTGCGAATTGATTCTTGATCGCCGGCGAGCTTGGGGCGGATATGGGCATGGTTTACCATAGCGTCAATTGGTTAACAAAGGCTTCATACCCTGCATTGGCGGTCTGCGCATCTTTCGCGCTTTCGGCAACCCAATAAATTAGGTAGCCTTCCTTTTATTCGAATATACACACTTTCGAATTTCTAGTCTTCTGTACCCATACACGAGTATTATACATCCCATCATCCGTTAATAAGTCTCTTCCCTTTTGTGTCTGCCTGCACTTCCACGCTACGCAGAACATCTCACTTTCCCTCCCTTCCAGCGCCAATGCATCATCTTGATTCTTCGTCGTCTCCCTCATTTATTTCTCCCTCTGAAACTCCTGCGGTAAATCCATCCCCACCTTCCTCGCCGTCAACCTCACCCTCTCTTCCTCATCCATCCCCATACCCGGATTATACCGCTCAATCAGCGTTGCGTACATGCGTTGCGCCTGTACGTATTGTATCAATTGCTCCGCCTGTTGTATCTGGCTTGCTGTATTACTTGACGGTGGGTTCGTGATGGTCGCACGTATTCGGTGCTGTACCGTGGACGGTGAGGAGAGCTTTTGGTGCGAGGAGGAGCGCAGATAGGTTGGTGTGCTGGCGGAGCGTGGGGAGGGGGTAGAAGACGGGCGCGAGGGGAGTTCGCGGAGGAGCCGCCGGTAGAGGGAGCGGATTTGGGGTGTTGCTGAGCCCATTTTGTGGGATTGCGGTTCGGACGGTGTGGATTGGTGACTGGCTTTGGGTGTGGATGTATTGGAGGTGGAGGTAGGATTGAGATGGAAGAGGTGCTGATCGCGGAGGTGGTGCGGCGAAAAGTTGCCGAGGAGCTTGGACCACGGTGCACTTTTCCACCGACATTGACGACGGTTCGATCATCCCTTATCTGCGAGTCGCCATGGCCACGCTACCCAGAAGGCCACCCTATGTATGCTGGAACTGCCTTTATCGTACCCTCAGCCGCCCTCAATCGCCTCCATCTGCGTGGAATACGCTTCAATGGCGCGCATACGCCTCAGCTACAGAAGGATATGGCCCCAGGTTAACAAAGCATCTCGCATACGATTCCAAACAGCGACAGGAGCAGCGGATAAGATTTACTTTCGCTCCTCCTACAGAGGACAGTAAAGATACAGCTTCCCAATCCCCGTCTATGGCAGCACCACGTTCCTCCACTCCACGACGTAGATTGCGCGCTCGTAGAGTACAGACTGAAGACAATCGGCAGTCTCCAACCTTCTCGCGTTCAACAGGTCATTCTTACAGCTCCCTTCGAAGACTGGCGCCCCAGAGAAAACGGCCCATCCTGTATCAATCTGTGGGTATTCGGCGTCACCTCTCCTACGGTCGGGCACCTCGATATATAGGCGGCACCAAAATTTCAATCATACACGGAGAGACAAACTCCTTACGGGGTAATGATATCAGCAATAACGGCCTCGTGTCTTCGGCCACTACGCATATTTGGGCACCCAGCCGCCCAGTCACCAACGCAACTCTACATTTCAGCGCACTGGAAGATTTCAACTGGTACTGGGAGACCCTTCCCCCCACAATCGCGCAGAAGACGCAAGCAAACCACTTTTTCTCCAAGAATGCGCATGCCAAGTTTCTCCGCTCAGAAGGCTTCTTCCGTGCTTTTCCAGAAAGCGACGTCCCAGAAGTAGCATTCGTAGGACGCAGTAACGTGGGAAAAAGCAGCTTGCTAAACGGCATCGTAAATGCCGACGTTAAGGCCCTTCTAGCGCGCACCTCATCCACGCCAGGTTTCACTAAGACCATGAATCTCTACGGCATTGGCCCGGGCCACGGCGTCAACATCACCAAAATGCCCTCCGGACACGACAAAATTGTGGGCCCAGGCGGCCTCACCATCGTCGATATGCCTGGCTACGGCGAAGGCTCGCTTTCCGAATGGGGCGTCGAAATCATGAAGTACCTACAATCTCGCAAACAACTCCGCCGCGTCTTCGTCCTCATCGACGCGCAACACGGGCTCAAAGATAAGGACCGCTCGCTCCTCGCTTCCCTCCGTCTAGGCGGAATCTCGCACCAAATCATCTTATCCAAGGTCGACAAATTGTTCATTCCCAAATCCAAAGACATTAGGACTTATGATGGAAAGCGCCTTGCGAAACTGAAGCCGAGGGGTTCGCTGAAGGAACTGAGGGAAAGCATGGAGAAGATTCGGGGCGAGATCCAGCCCCCGTTTGGCGGATCCGCGTTAGGGGAGATATTAGCGTGCAGCTCGGAGATTTTGGTCGATGGGAAGAGGTTGGGGATCGATCATGTGAGGTTTGCGGTGCTGCAGGCCGCCGGATTTGCGTTTCGGGGCGAGGCCGAGAGGGGGAAGAGAGTCAGGGAGCAGCTTGCGAGGACTGTGAAGACGAATTGAAGGAGGGGACATGGGTTCTTTGTGGCAGGATGGTGGTTGGTCCCCAGAGAAGACGCTGATTCTCGGACTCCCACTTGCCGTATATCTGCAATATGCGATTGATCGTTCTTTCAAACAGCACATCGTGGACTGGGGCAGTTAAGAGGAGAATCTGCAGTAAATGGTGCACCAAATGATAAGTTCAAAAGAACTAGTGCCTGTATCCTTCCCAAAGCATTAGTATAATGCGATTGCGATTTTACCCAGCGTCGGGCTACGTTTACACATATCAGCATGTCGGGGTCCCTTCTATTGCCACCATCACCCAGCAGCGGCACGGAGGCGTTCATTTGGCCTACTCCTCCCTTCCAGTTTCACCAGCGACCAGCTTACTGGCGCCTAGGGCGCTTGCCCGACTCTGGATAGGCCGCTCTTCCCAGAAGCAGGCAGACTACCTTTCTCTTAGGTAATATGGCCATTATCTCGCCCAGCAGCTCCGTATGGAACATCACCCTTCCATTGAGATTCGTAAAACCCTTGATGCGTAGAGTTCTGGACAGATTCCGGTTGGTATTGTGCGTCAAGCCAGGCCTGCGTGTTGGTACCTGTAACTGACCCTGTCCTACGTCAGTTTTCATGCTACGACTCGTCACCGTCCAGAGCAGCTGGCATATGATTCCCACTTACCCCATGCAGGCGTGAATGTCTGGTCCTGAATCGGGACATCCTCGGTGCCTCGCATCGACCGTTGCGTCTGCGCTTGTGCTCCCTGTAGTTGGGGAACGACGAAATCGTTGAAGAGGCCAAGCAGAACTGGCTTGTCTGCTGAACGATTAAACATTACGCCGTGTTGGAACAGGATCCTGCGCAGTTCTGGGGCTGACATCCTGTTGGCATCGATCCCCAGATCGCGCGAGGATTCCTTGGCTTGTAATCCAGGTCCCGTACTATTGGGCCGAATCGGCAATGCGACCTTTGGGTAGTACGCACTTCTATCGAAATACGTAACAGAATCCGAATCACTATCCGGCCAAGATTCTAAAGAATACAGTGAGCTGGAGTCTGAGTCGTCTTGAGAGACGGCTCGGCTTCTTTCTCGGGTTGCAGAGTGTTCTCTCCGTCTATTCCTAGACCTCCGCGGGCCTTTTCGCCTGAGAAGTTTGTTCGAGCTCCCTCTCTTTGTCTCCTTACCAACGGGTCGACCTGTCACTCCGATCTCTCGCTCCCATTTCTTCATTTTACTGAGTTCATCCTGGAGTCCCTGTTTATCCTGGTTTGTGAACTCTACGGTTCGAGGTTGAGCCTGCGAATCGAAGGAATTGCCCCCGTCGAAGAGCCGCCTTCGGAGTTCCGCAAGCTTGGTTTGCGCCGTCTCTAAGGAATCGGCTAACTTCCCCCGGAACTCGGCATGTTGAGGCGATTGTGGAAGAGAGACCTCTTGTAGAGGGAAGACAGATGATGGTTCTACTGCACCGCGCGTAACGACGGGTCCTTCGTATAGACGAGGCGTCTCTCTGTTGCCACGCTGACCTGAGACATTCCAACCATGATCAGACGCGTCCTTTCCGGCTCCATCAATATTCCTTACAGCACTCTCCCCGATGTTGCCATTGGTATCACCCGATGGGGCTTCTGTCTTTTTGCAGGCGATACCGGGTGAGGGCGCCCGAATCGAGATCATATCGGGTTGAGTAGATATTCTTACAGCCGGAAGGGGCTCATCATATATAATACCATGTGCAGGAGCCCTATCTGTCAGATGTTGAGCGGATCTCGCATTTTGAGGTGGATGAATGCCAAGCGTCGCACTCGGATCGATCAAGCCCTTCCCCGACGCTCCGATGCCCTGCAATTCCCATGGGAGTGGAGACGGATCAGGAGTTTGCGATCTTGGGAACCCATGAGACCTTTCCTCCTTCTCTTCCAGCTGAGCCCGATCCAATGTACTCCATTTTGCAGATGCCCCTGTAGAGACGACTGCATGTTGAGTATCTCTAGGCTCAAAGGCTGACATCGGAAACATAGAATCATTCCTGGAACAAGTTAACTCCCGACTACGTTATGTGTCATCGGTTAGACGTACTGAACTCGCTCTCTCGGCGACGTTGGCGAGGCATCTTCCAGTGCTTTTAGCCAAGGATCTCGACGCGCTTCGGAGGCAGTTGGCCGCTCTTCAGGTTTGGTTCTCATCATCCACCCTATGAAGGCGCACCCTTCTTCGCTAGTCTCGTGAGCGCGTAGCTCGCTTGAAGGAAAGTGCTCTTCATCCCTTATGTAGGCAGCGATCTTAGCCAGTGACGAAAATACCGGAACGCCAGCACGTATGCGATAGAGTACTTCTCCCAAAGACCAAATGTCGACTGCGAATGTGTACTCTCCTGTATTGCCAAATTTATCGGAGTCAACCAAACGCTTACGAGCCAAGATTTCGGGTGCTTGAAACCCAGGCGTGCCCACGAATGTGTGAGGAGCCGTTGTTCCCTCCACCGCACGCTTGGAGATGCCAAAGTCTCCAATTTTGACCCACCAGTTCGGCCCCGGCTCTTTGACGAAAATGTTCTACGCTCGTCTATCAGCACACTATCCAGATACTTTTAGAGATACATGCTCACATCGGGTTTTAGGTCGCGATGGATGTAACCGTTTTCGTGCATGTATTGGAGCCCTTCCAGTAGTTGCAACGCAATAAGCTGAACGTCGGGCTCAGGCAGGATAGTGAGCTTCCAAATCGCCGTGTTCGATAAATTCCATTGCAATGTGGATCGCCGTGTCACTTTGGAACCATCCATATGACTGCACGAAACATGGGCGGTACTAGAAGCATGTGAGCACTCAATCAATGCCCTTTATAAGCGCAGCCCACCTTCTGCTGAGAGAACTTTGCAATCGCGTCGAGCTCTCTTCCATAGTCAATGGGGGCTAAGGCGTGAGCTTTTTTCTTGATCACCTTGACTGCTCGCTCACGCCTTTCACCTCTTCCTGACAACAATATCTCTTTCCACACCACTCCATAACCCCCTCCTCCCAAGCATTCCACCCTTCGCCATACCTGCCTCTGAAAACTGCTCCTGTGCTGCGTAACGCCGTGGTTCGTGCCGTAGAATGTTGTCCCAGGGATTTCCGAATCGTGTACCAGATCTGATAGCGGTTGCATTGCTCAGAAAAAGGCTTTAGTGACAAATCCAGCTTTCTTCAGCAGCTACTGAGACAGTTGTTAATACAAACCTGAAGCATATTGCTCACGCGATCGCGAACCAATACGAGGTCGCACGGCTGAAGGAAGCACATGTGGTCAGCCACTCGGGTGATATGCATCTGAAAGGGGAAATATTAGCCTGCATGGTGTGGCGCAGTTTCCCTTTGGGATGGCTGGTCAGCTAACATTGGAAGAGTAATAGCCACACAATATGGAGTGATGTGGTCTTATACGAGCTTCCCTTGCTTAAAGGCTTCGATTCCTATCTCAACGCATTTATATGCATCGCGCATTGTATTTCGAGAGATGCTACGGCTCATTTATGATATTCTCGCCATCAATCGACTAGAACAATGTCAATTTTCTCTCTTTGGGTAAACCAAGAGTTAGAAAAGTTGAGAGCCGATGCACCGTCGACATGCCGGCCGAGCTGGTATTAGCCGGATTAGCAACTGCTGATCTAGTCATTAAGTGAGTCCCAGAGGTCGCCTACCACATTGAACGAGCGTTCCAAGTTTGACTTTCGGCTTTAGATACGGAAAGATACTCATAGAACTTTACTCAAGTTTCAAAGGCGCAAATGCCGAAATTCGGGAGAGAATAATCGCAGTCGAGGCAAGTTGGAACAGGACCCGGCTGCGGATTAACATCATCGAGCGCATACGTGACACACTCGATGAGAGGCATCGGAGGGTGCAGGACGATATACTCCAGATACTATTCACCAAGCTACTGGCCGCCAATCAGCAGGCTTCTCGGGTTGTACGGGAGGGCTCAGCCAAGAAGGATGGGAAAGAGGCCAGAAAGTGGAAGTATCCCTTGGTCAAAGAGAGCATCGACAAGGCAATCAAAGAACTGGACAATTGGCAAAAGATGTACGATCCTTCATGGTTTCTCATACTTAGGATGGCCACTCCTGTTATCGACGAAGCTCTGGACAATGATTTGGATAGTACAACAGAGAGGAGCAACCCGATCGCCACGGCGAGGAATATGAGAGAAGCAATGTTAGCATTTCCCCAGTCGGTAAGCTCTATCTTCCTCGATCAGGCCAGTTTAGATAGGGCGCATCGCAAGAACATTCCGTACTCCTCCGCCGAACTGGCGTTCAGGCCTTTGACGCATCACTCGTACTTCATCATCGATTCGATTCCAAGCCGGCAAGGGATACTCCCGGAACTTCTCACGCGTGATGTGCGGGAACTTGCAAGGAGACTGTCAGCCGCTGATCCATGGACATTTGGACTCCTTCCATGTTATGGAGTCGTCAAGGTCTATGATCAAGACACTGAAAATTGCCATGGCGTTCGGCTTTCTCCTGCATCCTTCGATTTTGTATTTTCCGTTCCACCGGAGCTAAAGAGTCCCCGAAGCCTACGAGACATCCTTCTCAGGCCAGATCAGACCATATCACTCAGTGTCCGTTTCAGAATAGCGTGGTAAGTCGCTCAGTCAGTGAGCTACGTGCACGCCTTCGGGTTTGTGCATAAAAGCCTACGGCCAGAGGCAATCCTTGTCTTTGGCGACAAGGAGCGAGCATTCGCTGCGACCTTCTTGCTAGGATTTGAAAAATTCCAGCTAGCATTCGGCGGGCACAGCCTACAGGCTGGCGATTGCGCATGGGAAAGGAACCTGTATCGACATCCTCAACGTCAAGGCCTCCATCCGGAAGATTACTATTCCATGCAGCACGATATCTACGCCCTTGGTGTTTGCCTCCTAGAGATCGGATTTTGGAAGTCGTTTGTCGTATATGATGAAGAACGGGCGCGCCCATTGCCTTCGGATCTCCTTCCCACTGGCCTCATTATTAAGGATTCCGACGATGACAACGGAAATGCTACACTGCTCAAAGGCGCTTTAGTTGACCTAGCAACGGCAAAGCTGCCGAGCCGAATGGGAGACAAGTATACTGCCGTAGCGGTAAACTGTCTGACTTGTCTCGATGCTGATAATCCTGATTTCGGAGATAAGAGCGAGTTCGAAGATGAAGATGGGATAGCCATCGGTGTACGGTATATCGAGAAGGTATGAATGCGTCGTGAATACGAACGATCGCCGCTAAGATCCCCAGGTTCTGCTGCAACTGAACAATATTTCGATCTAATGCTTGGTTGTTGTCATACGGACTAGTGGTTGGTAAAGATTGGGCAGGGAGAGGGTGGATTCAGGCCCTTCCATCCGTTTAGGGATGAACTTAGCAGGTTACTCACACTTTGGGGGTCCGTCAACGAATGACAACTGGAGATACCGTAGGGCGCAAGGCTGAAACGAAGGGCCTTCAGCCTCGTCTCTCCCACCTGCAGTCCTTCCGCCTAACCAATCCCTTTGCGCCGCCTATTTTCCTCTTCCAAGCGAGTTGCATGCCTTTCTGCATCGTAGTCCGCCATCACCATCCGTAGCCTAATAACCTCCACCTACAAGTAGCAGCCGGCAGAGCAAGCTCATAGCCCATACCTCCTATCATGCACTATTGTAGCGTAACAAACTGCTCCCAGCACGCGCTTAGCCCAGGATATCCCTGCCGACGCCACAAATGCAGCGAGGAAGGCTGCTGGGGCACTGTTACCGAGCCCTCTGTGTTCTGTAGACATTCGCGTATGTTTCAAACTGAAACGACACTTCAGAACGACGCGGCTAATGGCGGACTGGAATAGATGAATGCGGACATAGAGACTGCATTAATCGGCGGTCGGAAATTTGTCCTGCGAGTGCGGTTTGTAATGCACGTAAGTGTCAGTCAGCATAAAGCGGACATATGAAGGGAGACTGGCAGTCATAGATCGTTGCGCCGAAGATTATTGCCCTGATCCTGCTGCATTGCCTTCAAGTTACTGCTTCTCGACCGAGGTGACACAATATCCGAACAACCGTGAGCCTCTTCTCCTGCCTTCCCGACGCGAAGACGTTTACACCAACGAAGACAAATGCTACAACACCGGATGCCTAAGTCATAGGATAACCATGGCGTCCGGCATCAGCAGTTACTACTGCACTGATCGTGCGTCCGCTTTTTCGCTCTCTCCAAGATGAGCGTTAATGATGGCGTAGACAAGTGCCGCAGCGCGAACTGTCCCAGCGCGCGTTTAGACACGGACGTTCACTGTAATCAACATGGCTGCCTTGCTGCTGGCTGCACGCAAGAGCGCATGGACGGGTACCATCTGTGCTATAACCGTTCGTCGACCCCTTTACTGCCTACTTCCTTTTTGACTGGGTGATATCCTCGAAGCTGACAAAGCCGTACATGAAATAGATAAGTGCGAGACGAGCAATTGTCCGTATATGAAGCAAGCGCATATGACAATCTGCGGAAAACGTAAGTGTGGCCACCACGCACGTGCCACGCAGCGTATTCAAGGACTAATGTCGTTTAGATACCGTAGCAAAGCAGAGTAATATGTCGTATCACGGAAGATACTAAGACTTAGAGTGAGGGTGTCTTGAATATCGGTTCGACAGATGATTCCATCTCCTGCCGGGAGTGTCATTCAGTCTATAAGTACCGTAGGGATACCTATGGTGCAGTAAGACAGACGATGTAGAAGCTCGTGAGGTTAGAGAGGTAATAAGCGTGAATCAGCGTAGTACTTATATGGCCGCAATGTCTACTTCTCTATTATTTCCACAATCAATGTCGTTGATAGTAGTGTATAAGAACCAACGAGCCTCATTGCATTACAATCTGGCAAACGTCCCGGAAGTGGGCGTCTTCCTGAATATCTCTGGACTTGCAAGGTACGGATCGTGTCTCCAAGTCAACTTCTCCACCTCGCCGTTGCAATCAATTTCGAATCGGAACAGATGCCAGTCCTTGTACATGAAACCCCACATCGTCTTGGTACAAGTTTCCTCCTCTCGATCTACCGGCCAGTAGAAGGTATCACCGTCGTACGGCAATAATGTGAAGCCCGTTTTCCCCCGCTGCATATTCACATTCAAGCAGTCTCCGGCACTGGTAACAGACAGCACGAAGTTGTGGATGGCGTTGTAGTAGTCACCCTCGTAAGCAGCAAGAGGCTTCGTAGGGGGCACATTCGTCTTTCCCTCGGCGACGACTTTTTTGAGCACCTCATAATTTTCCAGTGTGATGGCCCTGCCCAGCTGAGCCATCTTAACGAAATACACCATCGGTTTCTCCCCTAGCAGGACCGACAATGCAAGCTGCGCCGCGAAATCGACCGGATCCATCAATGGCTGCGAGTTGGTGAGGGCAACCACGGCACTTTCGGTCGAGGGAACGAGATACATTGCGCCTAGGTGGCCTGGACCGGTGCCGGAATGGTGGAAAACCTCGGTGCCAGCAAGTCTCGTGCCGTAGGGTGGGAGTCTCTTTCTACCCAGCGTGTAGTAGAAGTTTGGGCTGGCAAAACTTAGATAGCCAGGGAGTTTCGTGCGGTATATGCCCATACAATACGCGACGTCATCGATACCAGAGCGGTGGGGAGGACCGAAGCCGACTTGGGGGGTGAATATGGCTCTCGTGAGAGGGAAGATTGAGCCGGGAGTGACATTAACGCCGTTGTCGTGTTGGTTTTTGTAGGCGGAGAGAAGCGCCTGTAAGAAGATCATGTAGTCTTTGATTGAGCTTCTAGCACCAGCACCAACACCACTGCCGGCTTCGACCAGAATGGGTGCAAAGTCTGCCTTTCGAGTGGGTGTACCGTCATCGTGGGTGCAATGCGTGTGCGCAACATTAGCATCGGATTCTTGAGGACGGTCGAAGGAGCTGCGAGTCATGTGAAGAGGACGAAAGAGGTTTTGTTCGATGTAATCGCAGAGGGAGGCGCCAGTTACTTCCTTGACAACGTCGTCTACCAGCGCGTAGTTCCATTGCGAGTATACGAACTGGCCGAAAGGTTTGGCGGAGCTCAAGTACGTGGCTGTGAATGTGGTCTCGCTCTTCTTCATAAGCGGTTCGCTATTCTGGAAACCCCAGAGGTTATTCGCAGGTGTGATTCCCGTGCGATTGGACAGAAGGTCCCTCAAGGTAGCCTTGAGCCCGAGCTCATCTTGACGAATGCGAAAGGACGACAGGTATTCCCTGATGGGTACGTCCCAGTGAAGTTTGCCGTCATGGACGAGTTTGGCAATGGCAGCTGCTGTGATCAATTTTGTCAGAGATGCGACCCAGTGTATTGTGTCATCATTCGGCAGCTTTGACTCGTTTGTGTGGAGATGACCAAAATGGGCCGTGTGGATGATGGCTCCTCTGTGGAGGACACCGAGAGATAGGGCGGGCGAACCACTGATTTGGAGGATGTGGTCGATTTCGGGGCGGAGGGCTTCCAGCTGTTGCTTGATGCTGTCCATGGCTGCGGTTCGAGAACGTAACAAAGTAGGAGATACAGGGAATGTTTTGTTCTAGTATACTGTTCACTGAAGGTGGGCGTCTCGCAGGTGGTAAAGAGTCGCCCGGCCAGTTTGAGTCAGCGTAGGTCAGAGGCGGCCTGACGGAAGATTAACGACAGATATGGGCCATTTTTTGCTCGGTTGCAGGGGGCGAGGTCGGGGCGATGCGGCGAGGGTGCTGTGCCTCAATATACTGGACTGCCACGCCGCGCCGTCTGACGTCTCGAGCTTTCCCCTCACTGCTTATCTTTCGCCTTGCTGCACTTTCATCCGTACTCAATCTCCAGCTCGAGATGTCTTCAATCACGCATGTCTTTACTAGCCCAACCCCCGCAGCCTATCGTGACTGGCTGGCTCTACTCTTTGCCATTTTCCTTGGCTACGTAAGTCACACCTTGAACCTTGCCCGTCGAATGCTCACTCATACTGGGATTCAGCTCATAGCGCGTGCCGTTTACGATGTATTTTTCCACCCCTTAGCAAATTATCCCGGTCCGTTCGTCGCCAAAATATCGAAGATGCCGTCCTTTTACCACGCTGTAAAAGGCGATCGCCACATCTGGATTTGGCAGAACCATCAGATCTACGGTTTGTACCACCCCTATTTTAGCTGACTTGGCCTCTTCGAAGAGAATCTGACCGCTTATTCTTAGGGGAAAAGGTCCGTATCTCACCCAACACGGTCCTCTTCCTGGCCCCGAAAGCGCATCAAGACGTCTATGGCTCCAAGGCCAACGTGAAGCGAGCCAAATCGTATGAAGCCTGGGCCAAAAATGTGAATGAATCCAATACTGCCTTGACCACCGATCCAGCGTCCCATGCTCGGAAGAGAAAGGTCTTGAACCAGGCCTTCACGGAGAAGTCGGTCAAGCATGCGGCTACTTTCATGACCAAGCATGCCGAGAGGTGGATTGATCTACTCGTGGCTGACAATGACGTCTCTGCCGAGCATGGCTGGACCAAAACACGCAACATGTCGGAATGGAACGACTGGGTCGTCTTCGACATCCTGGGCGATCTGTGTTTTGGCCGTTCATTCGAGACCAAAGAGCCAGGGCCAAATCCCATTAGGGAGATTCCTCGTCACATCATCCGTCATGTCCGATTATTCTACCCTGTAAGCCTCCTCTCTCAGCTGGTTTCTGCTATTAAGTTATTTCAGATTCTCCAATCTCCCTTTATGGAATTCTTCGTTTGGGCCAAGCCGAAAGGCCTGGACTATCTTCTCGACTTGGTCACACCTGAGGAAGTGAAGAACTACTATAAATTCGTCGATGACAGCGTATCCGAAAGGATAAAAATGGAACAAAACAGCAAGGACACGGAGAAGTCCAGACTGGATATATTCCATTTCCTGTGCGCTGCAAAAGACCCTGTGACCGGCGAGCGCTACTCGGAGGATGCACTGCGAGCCGAAGCCATCATGCTCATCGTTGCGGGATCTGACAGCGTGTCCACTATTCTTGCCGGATTCTGGTTTTATATATCGCGCAACGAATCGGCATATACTAGGCTGACGACCGAGATCCGCAGCACATTCAAATCCTCCGATGAGATTGTGAGCGGCCCAAAACTGGCTTCCTGTGTATACCTACACGCCTGCATTGACGAATCGTTACGCATTGCGCCAGCTGGACCCAGCGAATTCGCCCGTGAGGTCCTTCCCGGCGGGACAACCATCAACGGGGAATATTTCCCACAAGGGGTAGTGGTGGGCTGCTCAAATTGGGCAATGGGCCGTAATGAGCAGATATTTGGCGATCCGAACCGCTTCCGCCCTGAACGGTACATACCTTCCGAAGCCACAGGAGTTACCGTGGAAGAAGTTAATCGAATCAAGTCGTACTATCAACCTTTCTTGATAGGCCCCACGAATTGCGTTGGGAAGAACATTGCCATGACAGAGCTTGCTCTTATCATCGCGAGGACTTTGTTTCGTCTTGACTCGCGAGCTTCTCCCGGCGAGGATCTTGGAGCCAGCCACCCAAGTCTAGGATGGGGGAGAAGGGATGAAAATCAGTATCAAATCATAGATGCGTATATCACTGTGCATGATGGACCAATGTTGCAGTTCAAGAAACGGACAGCATAATGGTAAGGGAAAGGTTTACGAGTAGTTCTTGGATATCCAACATTGTATGGTCGTTGCAAAGGATGTGGGCCATGAAAGAATTATTCTACTGCACCACGAACTCGAAGATTTGGAAGAGGGCAGTTTTAACCTAGCTATTTGACCCGGCTAGAAAGTCGTAAACGGCAAAGTCTGCAAAGTTGGCACTTCAATGAATAGTTATGCCATTACTATTCCCTCTCTTGCCTTGTGGAGACAGAAGGATCAATGGAAGAAAGAAGCAAAGGGTGTGAGCGAGTTGTGCAACGCGGTAACGTGCACTTTTGTACACCCCTGGCGCGCATGAGGTCCCCAGCATTGGGTTGAAGGAAGCTCCGGAGCCCATTGCCAAACTCGCAAAGCGCTGTATTATGAACTCTGCCTGATAGTAGTGTACAACGCCGCCATTGCTCCGGAGCCTCTTCCTCAGCCCTTACATCCTTCCACTGCCAGCGACCACGTCATTATCCATAGATGGCCTCAGTGCCTCGGGAAGAGATTCTTTGCTAAGCATTACCAGACCGGCTGGAATATGCGCCGCCGCAAAGCCAATAAGAATAGTCATCTGCAAATCGAAACCACGATGAAAACTGTCCCGCACGTGAGCCTGCGTATCCTCAGGAAGGGAAGGGATCATCTCCAATCTTTCCAGAATTGCATGCGTCTGCTCCGGCGGGATGGCCTCGAGCAATGCATCCCGTATGTGCGGCGTAGAAATGCAGGTGACGACGGCGAGAGCAACGACGCCACCGAGAATCCTGAATTGGGCTACAGTGCCTGTGCCAACGGCTATGAAGATGTCAGAGCGTTTCCCTGACAGGAGAGACCGCAGACGGCATATGAGGAAACAAGGAAACATACCTAAATCTCGCTTCTCCATTTTGATTGGAACGAGGAGGAAGGTCGCTGTACTGACGAAGCCAATGCCAGTGCCAATCAATATCTGGAATCCGTATTGCTGTGGTAATGTTTCCCTGCTAGTTGTAAGTGTCGCAAAAAGTGCGACACCAATAGTTTGGAGAGCGCCGCCTATCAATAGAAGGGCGTTGGGTGTAACGAGCTTCTTGTCCAAGAGTATGGCTGAGCAAACCGAGCCTACAGGCGTCATCAAGGCAAAAGGTAGAAGGCGGACTCCAGCAGCAAGAGGATTCATGCTGTACAACACTATGAAGCGTTGCGGTATCTGCACGGTGCAGGCTGCCATCACGCACCCCGAGAAGAAAGTGTTTCTGCTATTCGTTAGCCTAGATATTCGAAGATATGGAGCTGTAGAGGGCGAATGAGGGCGGTCCGTACAGTATGATGCTTATAGAAGCGCGGTGGACCAAGAAGCGCCAAGGGAACACAGGCTCCGGGACGGTTCGTCTCGTTGTAGCGTACCACTGCCAGGTGAGGAAGCCGACAAAAAAGAAGCCCGTGACTAGGAGTAAGGGCCAGACGAAACCGGAGCCAAAGGAAAAGCCCTCAGACGCTTGCTGGAGCGCAGTAGTCAATGGCACGGTTATGCCGAGAAGCATTGTGCCTCCGAGCACATCGAACCTTCTCAATCGTTGGGCGATTGACTCCTCTGCGCGATTCGCCGCAGGTTCTCTAGATAGTCGTTTAGGGAAAACTAGAAAGAGAACGACGCCAGCAAAAGCGATCACCGGGATACTAACGAATATTAGCTAAATTCCGACGAGACCAGAGAATACAGAACTCAAGCTTACTTTATCAGGAATATCCATCTCCACTCCCCCTTTGAAGTAAGCGCTCCTCCGACAAGCGGACCCGTCAAGTAAGACAATGAAACGACCGTATTCGTCACGCTCATAGAGACTGCATACTTTGAGGGAGGTATGAGCTCAAAGAACACTAAGGCGAGGGAGAAAATTCCGGCGGCTCCAATGCCCTGGAGCCATCGAAACATAATGCTAGTTTAACGTTAGAACATGAAAGAGTACATCTTGTTGGAGAACTCACAGTTGTACAAGCGTTTGAGCCGCCCCGCATGCTCCAGAGAATACAAGAAAGAAGACCATGGCCGCGAGTAAGCAGGGTTTTCGGCCAGCGATATCTGAAGCTTTGGCCCATATGATGGGAAACCCTAGACGTGTTAGTTACGGTCATGAGAGGGCTTAGCAATAACCTAGAAGTACTACCTACCGCCAAAAGTCAACAAGTAGGACGTGAAGAGCCAGGAACTCTTAACGTAACCACCCACGTCGTTCGTGATGGTAATCACGGAAGTGCTGACGATGGTGGACTCCAATAAAGTCATGAATAGGGCTAGCTCGATCCTGGCAACGGTGAGCACACCCACCAGAAGTGAGTTTCTAGAGGCTCACCCAAGGTATATCAAGGACAACTTTAAAAACCCCACCTCATAGCCTGAGAAAACGGCTTCGGCTGTCACTTCAACCATTACCGCGTTCGGAGCTTGTCCGATGTTCTCCGTTAACTGATTTGCTAGGCCCTTTTCGTCATCCATGGTCGCTTGGGACAGCTCGGTGTTCGTTGGATTCAGCGGCATTCTTCATATGAAATTGTCTCTGCTCGACACTCCGTACGTTCTTCGTGGTTTCGCGTGTTGAAGGAGGTGGAAGACGGCGGAACATTGATTGAGGCACAGTCGACCCACAAGCGTCTGACTGCATGCACCTAGACGGATAGGTAGGCCGACAAGGATTCTAATTGCGCAGTCATTGCATCCTTGCAACTTCTGCAGATTGCTTTGTCGATGCATAGCGCGTCCACTACGTACGTCAACATCAGGTAATGCACCAAGACTATCACCTTTGAAGGGATACTCGGTCATAACAATCAGGAATGCAAATGATAACCGATGCTGGAGGAGGGGCGTATATCGTATGTCTTGTTTGTAAGGCTGGAGTGAACCGGATAATAAACGTAGCACTCCTTTGATGCTGAAAACTCCCCCATCAGATTTCCGCAACCCATTCTCACATATACAACGCTTTCGCTGCCAAGCTTACACAAGGATAAACTCCTTCCGTGGCTCACCGCTCTCTTCCCATTCCCTGACCACCTGCCCTTCCATGATGCCATGCACATAACACGCACCGAAGACTTGGTATTGCTCTCCCTTCGGCCGCAGCAGAATCGGCAGCCCGCTCCCAAACAACACCGCAACGACATCCTCAACCTGCACAACCTCGGGCCCAAGACCCAACATCCCTTTCTTCGTGATGAAAATTGATCGTGCCTGGAGACAAACCGAGCTCGCTCTTGAGAAGCGGCGCCCGATTGTGACCAGGTCAGTAGTAAGGCCACTGACAGCATCGGGCGGTGGAGCAGCGGCGACTGTATCATCCCTATCAGCCGAATATTCACTGTCGGAGTCGGAAGGAGGTTCGACTGGTGTTTCCGGAGCCAAGGCGCTGGGATTACACGCTAGGAAAAAGATAAGTTCGGATATGCGTGCGGCGAGATCAGACACTGCGGCTTTCAGGTCGAGATCCATGCCGGCCGTGAGGAGGAGCGCGATGGTTTCGAAGTCGGTTTTTGTTTGAAGGGTGCGGACCAGTTGCTTGAGGCGCTCCGCAGTGGCGGTGTCATCGCCCACTGTGTCTGGATCCAATGCATTAAGGACTTCTGCTATGACATCGACTTCGATCCCGGAAATGGATAGAGCAGTACTTTTTGCGTCGTCTGCAGGGCGTATCTGGGGCTGAGTGTCGCCATGGGCCCGAAATACAGCGTGGGGAAACGGTTGAGCGAACGTCTTTCTCGAGAAATCAGGAACCCAGGATGCTTGCCAAGGCAGAATGGGCTCGGAATCAGGATGTTCGACCATACAAAGGACATCAGCAATCCTGAGCTCCAGCAGACACTTCCTAGCGACGCGCTCGTACACCTCATACTCGGACAGCTTATAATCCGGTTCAATGAAGAACTCTCCTTCAGAAGGATCCGCATCCTTAGTGGCGAGCCCAATAAGCGCATACACCTTGTCACGGGCGTCCGTGGCGTTGAAGTGGTCGGTGTTACGGAGTAAGTCGAAGAAGGAGAGATGTGCGGTTTGGCCGCGTGAGGTGCGGTGCATCATGGCGCAGTTGCGGAGGCCGGGCAAGGCAATGCTGTGATCGTGAAAAGTGGAGAGGAGGTCCTCTTCTAATCGGACTGCGGTCAGCGCGACCCAGTCGAAGTCCACGGCGTAGGAACCCCAGAAAAGGGTCGCTGATGATGCAAGGGCTACCTCCTGATAAACCCAGATTCGAGTGAACCCTGCGTATCGTTATCATTAGCGACGTATAAACCTAGGGACGACAACGCCTCGATCGCAGCTTTTACCAACAAATTAGAAATGCTCACTGACTGCGAAGAAGTTAGCATTCTGATGGGCTACCCCTTAGCTAGACTGCACGAACCATGGGCAAGAGAAGAGAGGGACAAGCGGACGTAAGGTATCCGGGGTCAACGTCACGGGGCCCCTTCTCCGGTGCCTCTCACAGCCAACGTACGAGAGCGAGTCCACGTAGCTTGCTGGCCTACCAGTGTCCTTCTCCACCGCGCCGTACTCTTGAGCAACGATACGACACGATAATTCTACCGCATTCCGGACGTAATCATAGTTTTTGCCTTCACCCGGATCTCCCAACGAGACGAGTACGCGCGACGCTCTCGAGTAAATGTCGCGCATGAGCTGGACCTGGTAACTCTTCTCTTCGAGATCGCCCTGATTGATACAGAGACCGTCTGCCCAGATGAGGCGCCCTCTCCTAGGATGCCGGAAGAACCGCAGCGCGTCGTAGAGACTCTGCTGGATACGCACCAATGTACCGTTGCAGACGATGAAGGTTTTGCGTTTAGGATCGCCCCACGTATAGGAAAGTGCCTCGTAATTTAACCTTTCGTCATCAAGCGAAACGTGAATCAAAGAGCAGCGAATGATAAGGAACCAGTATCCCGGATCCAACTTCAGCACCCTTATCCATCGCGGTCTGGGCAAGGGATCGTACTCGAGGTCTGAATCAGGAATGGGCGGCTCTGCATTGAGGTACGGACCATCGTCTTGGTTGTCGGAGTAGGGAGAGAGGGGTTTGAAATCCCGGGCTTCGAGGGCGGCTAGGTACTCACGGCTGTACTCGGTGTTGAGAGGGTCATCTCCGCTGTTGCTAGGGGGAAATTCTGGGAAGAAAGCCGTGGGCATTAGTATAGACGTTTGAACGAGGAGGTAGGCTATTCGAAGGGTGTATAAATGTAGGGAGGTTGCAGCCGCAAATCTTGGTCTTAAAGGTCGCTCCTTGTGCGCCGATGGAGGCGCCGTAATACGCCGCCATGTCTTAAATGGATGGATTTAATCGAGAGGGAACAGGGCATCTGCAGCTTTGTGTCTCAGGCTGACGGCTGCGGCGAATCAGACAAGGACGAGACGAAACGTCGCCCACATCAAGAGCCGGGGCCACCTCTCATGCTCGGTCTCGTACGCCCCACATCAGCAGCAGGTAAAAACAGTGTCTCTTATAGGAACAGAGCTATGAGAGGAAGGTGGCGGATTAACAAGCGCTACACCGGCGCTTAGGCTGCAGTCGGCGGTACCGGGCATTTATGTGACACGGTTGGGGCCATCCTGAAAACGGACGCGCCTTACGTTGAGAGAGTTATTGCTAGTGGCCAGGGTCTATACTGTGTAAGTCTTTTATATCAAAGCTCCTGCATTCATCATTATCTCCTCTTTGCGCCGCCTAGCCTCGAGCTTCGCCTCTTTCTTAGCCAGATACTCGTCGCGCCCCTTCCGCTGCTCTTTCCTCTTAGCCTCATGTTCAGCCTTTAGTCTCTCATACTCTTGAGCCCTCCGCTTCTCCGCTTTGATCTCCTTCTTGATCTTCTTGCCCTCGGTCGAACCGATATGCCACGGCTTAGACAGCACCTCCTGCTTGAACGCAGCAGTCTCCGCCCAAGCCTGAGCTTCCTCATTCGTGGTCGAGACTGTCCAAATCCTCTTCAATTCCAATTGCTTCAGGCCGCGAAACTCGGATATAGTGCATTTTGCTTTTATGACCGTTCCGATGTCCAATCGCTGGTGATCGATGGTTATTTCGAACACGCCGAGCTGGCTGATGACATCCACATTGTCGATTGCAGTGTTCGATGGACTCTCGACGGGGTTATATAGGTCCGGAGTGAGCCGCACGATCTTGACCTCGATGCTCACGCCGCTGCCGTCGTCCACAGTAAGAACGGCGTATTTCGGGTTGATGTCATCGATCGCGACAACGACTCCGACGAGACGCACAAATCGGATAGGGTGGTTGAGGTGGAAGTATATGCGCTGGCCTAGAGTGCGACGTGTCAGCGCTCGTCATAAGAGACGGTTGGGTAGTGAAGTACTTTGGAAATTGGGCTCAGAGCGCAGCGCCTGAACATCGGCTGCGGTCAGCTTCACCCAGGCATTGTAGGTAGGCGATGCCCTAAAGCAGTATGCCGGATACAGTCGGTATTTGGGCGCTGGTAGATGCGTGGACATATCATGTTGCGTTAGTGATGGTGGTGAGGGATGGAGGGCATGAACGCGCCAGCCAGATAAACACCCTCCCGCGCTAGCACGTGATGTCCCAACACGGACTAGCGCGGACATGCAAGCTGCACGATGATCGCGGCACATGCAAGAAAGCCTGCAGCAATCACCACACCACTCCGGCGTAAAGCCCATCCGGCTGAGCCGCTTTCAAGGCTGAGCACCTTTCCAGGGAGAAATCAAGGCCCTTTCACCGTGACAGCTCCCATCACTTCGATTTGCAATGCCAGCACAGTCTCTGGATGAGGGGTAGCAAACTGTGTGAACCAGGCTTCCCGGCCCACAACGCTCCGTCCCACCTCAACACCGCCGTTTCTGTCTCCAGTACTCGATGTACAACTAGCCAACAAGAACCTCTAGCGGAAGCCGGGCAAACAAGACCGGGGATTCCAAGATAGCGATGTGGCTCACCCCACTCGCCGGCGTCAAGCCGTCATGACCTACGGGGCTGACCACCTTGCTGCAGCACCGCAGCTCGGCCAGCTCCTCTTTGAGCTTTCTCCAGGGTCCTGTCGAGGTCATAAGACGGTGTCGCCGCCCGCCGCTGTGGCCGGCCATTTCACCCGATCGCTTTTTCATGTCCTGTCTGCTGGCCAGCTAGACGAGCGTGCCTCGAAGGCAGTTTTTACTAACCAAGGCGTCAACAGCTCTGCGCAGCCTTTAGCTCTACCTTATCGTTGAAGCTTGCCCTGCTTGCTTCCTTTTGCAACCCCCGTCTATTCCACAGTTATGCGACTCAGTCGCCTCCTTCGCGTCATTTCCTTCCTACCTGTCGTTTGCGTCGCAGAACCCAAAGCGCAACCCGAAGCAGAAGCAGAAGCGGAACCCCAGACATACCAGAACAACGCGCCAGTCTCCGGCGCCATCTATATCGTCAACCCAGATGGCCAGGCGGTCACGGCGGCCGGCGCGAACATGTGCCCAAGCTACGCTTCGCTAAGTTGTAGCAATATGGGCCAGCCCAGCTGGTCAGCATAGCTACTCCAGAACGACGAGTGCAAAATTGACCAGTCGCAGGTGCTGTCCGAGCGGATATACGTGCGCGGCTCCTGCGGATTCGAACGGCATGATCGGTTGCTGTCCGTCCGGAAGCTCCTGCGGTGGGAGCGTGAACGTCGCATCTGTCACAACTGTGACTGTGTACGGGGCACAACAGACGTCTGTCGTGTACGTCCAGCCTGCGCCGACCACAGTAGTGGTCTACAACAACCCGACGACGGTGGCTGTCTACAATAACCCTACCGTGCAAGCGGTAGGCGGTTTCTGTCAAACGCTTACAATGGTGGGAGCCGGCGTGCCAACTACGAGACAAGGCGAATGCGGTACGATCTTGATCGTGCCACCAAGCGAGGGGATAACGAATTATAGGGTGGTTGGATACGGCATGGGCGGAGCTCTTATTCTTTTGCATCTCGCAATTGGGCGCATGTTTCATTGGATCTGAACGTGAGTAGAGCTGGCACATGGGTATAAGGCATGACTGGATCTAGGGTTTACGACTATACGATTTACGAGTATATATCTACTCCGCAACCATAAATCTTCAGTCCTCTTCGTATTGACCACTTCAGTTTCCCTTCTTCGCATCTTCCTCCTCATTCTTCGGCACATTAATCATTTTCGGCACCGAAACCGCGTTCAAATGTCGAAAAGCCTACACAAAGCCAATTAGCAAAGACTTTTAACACATAGCAACCTTTTTGACCCGCACAAAGAAATGCGCAACACGAACCCGCCAGACCCTCGTCTCCCAAGTCCAGCTCCACACCCAGAAGCCCCACGCCATCCAATAATACACCCACCAAAACGGGCTCAGCAACTGGAAGACAGAACTCACATTCGCAATCGAACTATCAGGCAGCTTTCCATCCCACTTGTCCTCAACCTTACTAATCCTCCCTTGCTCATCCAGATGAATCGCAACCAGGCTCTGGATCGTCTGCTCCTTGCCAATGCCCTTCACAACATACCGCGTCTTTAGATCCATGAGAATCGGGTTCCCAGCATCCTTGACGCTGTGGTGCAGCCGCTCAATCTCGCTGAACGCGGACTGCAAACCGTACCACTGCGCAGCGTACTTGTCGCGCCCAGTCGCGATGGTGATCGGGTCAGTGAACGTGGCGTCGTCCCGCCAAAGGGCGAGTTTAGCCAGGGACGGCCAGCCCGCGAAGAGGTCGAGCACGGAGCCGACGATCGTGCGTTGTTGCTCCGAGAGGGTGACGCCCGGGGCGGTCTGGATGTCGGTGCTTTCGATGTTGAGGTTCCCGGAGGGGTTTACAGATGGTACGCCTGCAGACCGACCACAATGTTAACACGATCCAGAGGAAATGAAGCTGGCACGAGCTTGCTTACCAGTAGACATCTTGGCTGTAGCTACTCTCTGTACCTGGTTAATCCGTGACACAGCGGGCTTTGTAAATGTTCGTAGTAGAAGTGACTTGGAGCAAGCTTGCGGAAGAAAAGGTCGCATTTGCAGGGTCTTAGGGTATTGCAGGTAGTAACTTCTGCGCAAAGACAGTTTTTGAGCTTTCTTTATTCTAAATATGTTTCCTCCGCTTCTACTTCTACGCGTCACAGCTCAGTCAGAGACGCGCTGATGCTCCACGTGCGAAAGTCATGACGCCATTGGTATGCATGCATGCGCCAAGCGATCGCGAACCCATAGGTGCGGAAAATCGGAATATGCATTGTAGACCTGGGAAATGGATTATCTTCTACGGCAATAAAACTTCGGAACTTCTACTAAACCCTTGTCTCTTCACGGAACGCTACGAAGTCCTGAGAGAGGTGCCCTTGTGGCCAGTGGTGGCAGTGGTGGTGGTGTAACCAGGCCATCGACTTCCACAGCGACAAGTCTACAAAGAGAATAGAATAAAATACACCTCCCCTACCAATCCCACCAATCCCAAGCACACACATCAACACCTTACTATCCCTATCCTCCCCTTCCCCCTTCGCATGACAATCACAAGCCCACTTCTGCGCATTCCCCTCAAGCCAGACTATCCGCCTCCCATTCATTTCATTCTCCATTTAGCCCGAACAACGCAGGCAGGCAGAAAACGGACGTAACCTTAGCCCCAGATCGGCGGAACAGCATGTGGGACGTTGCTTCCAGGCGGGATAAGATATGGGAGACACGCAGCTAAGGAGGTGGAAGGAAACCGGCGGGTTGGAGAAGGGAAGGAAAGGAATGCTGAAAGCTGGGGGTTGCGTAGCGGGATATGGCTTTAGTTTGAAACTCGTGTCTATGATTCGTTGAAGCTAAGTTTGGTATGATATCGTGCATGTGTGTGCTTTTAGAGGGGTTTGAATCCACCCCACGCAAGCTCGCTAGAGTACGTTGTACCGGAAAAGCGCTGGCGTGACTTCAAGCGAATCTCGTGCTTGTGAAAGACAATTAGCAAAAGTGAAGTATGTTGGAGGTTTCAACAAGGGTCAAGACCAAACGAAGTGCGTTAGATATCCAGTACCTCTATAACCTATAACCAAGTCCTCAGGCCTACCCTAGGCATCCCGTCCCATTCCCAAGACGACCTTAAAACGCTTTAGATATACATATCCAACCTTAAAACCATTTTCCCGAATACATTTTTTCTTCTCCACTTCCCATTATCCCCCCTACGCACCACCTCTGGGCCGCATCTGGTGGATAGGGCGCGGATTGTCTCGGTGCCTATCGATGCGTTGTTAGCCAACCCTCGATTTAACTAAAAGGGAGAATTCAAACTCACTTCTTAACGATGCGCTCAATAGCATCCATACCCTTCGCCAGGACATCCATTTTCGGCCCATAACTAAGCCGCACGAAGTGATGGCAAGGCGAATCGAAAAGGTCCCTACGCTTCGAGGGATTTAAATCGAAGAAGATGCCCGGCACGACAATGACCTTCTCCTCCAGACAGGCGGCGAAGAAGTTCAGGCCGTCGTTGATGCTCTCGGGCAGCCCAGACAGATCCAGCCATAGGTAGAAGGTGGAGTTGGGCATGAAGGGGAATGTGAAGCCCATCTCCTGCAGGCGGCCGATGACGAAGTCGCGCTTGGTGCGGAAGTGCATCTGCAGAGCGCGCATCTCGTTGCGCACGCGCGGCGGCTCGAGCATCTGCACGGCGGCTTCTTGGAAGGGCACGTTGCACCCGCCGTCGAGATACGAGCCGCAGCTGCCAATGGCCTGGATGAACTCCTTGGGGCCGAGAACCCAGGCGACACGCCAGCCAGGCAGCCGGAAGCGCTTGGTGAGCCCGTCAAGGATGAGCACGTCGTCCTCGTCGACGTCCTCGACGTTGTCCGCGGCGGACATGACGGCGCCGTCGCAGTTGGTGGTGTAGTTATAGCCGCAGTAGAACTCGTCCATGATCAGAGTAGCGCGGTCGCGGCAGATATTCTGGATCTGAGCGAGCTCGGGATTAGTCACCATCTGGCCGGTGGGGTTACGCGGGTTGGAGGTCAGGATGACGGAGGTACCGCGGGCGATTTCTTCGGCGATCTTGTCCGGCGACATGTGGTACTTGTCGTCTTCGCCGAGGGGAATAGGAATAGCAGCGATGTTGCGGAAGAGCGACAACATCTCGTTGTACGCAGTATAGTCTGCGTCCGTTAGCCCCACGGCCATCTACTCTACTAGAGATGCACGCACCGGGAATGAAGAAGCCCAAGTAGCAGTTGCCCAGCACAGCAGCGATGCGGATTAAGCCCGCACGCCCCCCTGGCACAATACACACGTTCTCCCACGTATACTGGCTCTTCCTCCACTTGCGATGGTGCTCGTTATACAGCTTCGCGACCGCTTGCCTTAGTGGCTTGATGCCCGCTGTCGGCCCATACTCGCGTCCATGGCTGCTGATATCCACCTCTTTGGGCCTTTCGAAGCACCCCTGGATCTCGTCGTCGACCTCAGGCGCACCCTGTCCCAAGTTCGCCCATGCCTCTGGGTCCTCAAGGAAGCCGTGCTCGTAGGCGCGCTCGGAAGTCCATACAACGCCGGTCGAGGCGCGCGTGGGGTCAAGGCCGGCGTGCGGCTTATGGCCTTCGTGCGATTGGCGGAATTGGCGGTGGATTTTCGAGGTGAGCTCTGTTGGGGAGGGATCGGTTAGCTGGTTGAGGCTCGGGTAATATGTGTCTCAGGACAACAGTGGCTGGGGTTGGACATTGCGCGACATTGGATTGGGATTGTACGAGCGTGGAGATGTAGATCGGAGAGGGATGAGGTGTGGATGCGTTGGGCTTATGGGGGTACCAAAATCAGGAAATGGACTGGCGGATACTTCTTTCCGCTTGCACTCGCAGGAATCAGCAATTGGGCGCCCTAACAGGCCTCCAATTCTCATTCTGCAAGCTCTACAGGAAGAGCCGAAGCCCACAAGCGATGACGTCGCCAGTCGAAAAAGCAATGCGGAAACCTCTCAAAGAAAAAGCTGAACGGTTTCAAACTCACCACTCTCGGTAGGATCCTTGCTGCTCGAGAATCTCCTCTGGCTGAAGGTCCCCGAATGCTTGAGTATAGGTACTTTGGCGGCAGAAAACGACATGGTGGTAGACGTGGTAGCTAAGCTTTCCTAGCGCGCTTGGTGTGTGGAAAGTCGGTACGGAACGAAAAGACCGTAAGGATTGCGCTTTCCAATTCAACTGCAGTACCACAAGGTGGCGTATGGAAAACCAACGGCAGAGATTCGAGAAAGAGGAAGAAGAAAGGCTCCCGGGAAAAAAAAGTCGCGGCACGACTTTTATAAACGCACCAGCTCAAGCTTCGTTCGCTGGACCACCCACCGCAGCGGCGCCCAAGCTCCTCCCAGCTGCCTCAGCCACTTGTATAATCAGGGCAGGTCACCGGCATATGCCCGACACCGTGTCTCACCCCTGGGCCACCCAATCAATCTGCTTTGCTGCCACGATCCCTGATGCGCGGCCCGCCGCCTCGAAGCTTCGCACACCGCCGTCACTGTCCCCACGGCTGCAGCCTTATCTCCACCTGCTGGACTCACTTGGACCGGACCAGCCTGACCGTCGAGCTTCAAGTTGCGGTCTGAAAGGATCTACCGTCTATTTTGCAGAGAGACAGAACGGGACGAATCGAGGGTTACAGTACTTCGTAGCAGACCGAGTAAGCAGTCTGCGAGCCCAACGCCTCAGCCGCACGTCGCTGCCTCTTCCGTGCTCGCGCCGCTTTCGAGCGAGACGTCCATATCCAGGATGCGCCTCGCACAGCCATCTCTTCTCAGGGGCTGCGATGGCGACCGAGGGGATAATGCCGCAAAGACAGGCCGACAGTAACGTGCTCGCCGCGTGTTTCTGCCAACAATTTTTGCCTCTTTTGCTGCTTCCGCTTTCCGATTCCGACAAGGCGGCCATACCGGAACCCAGAGCACTGTTCAACGCGCAACACCCACCCGAAACGCTAACTGTCCGCGCCCCGTCTCCCAACCGTAACACCATCCTGCGCGATTTAATCTCAAGCCATATGAGTTGCTGACGGTACATACAAAGTCGTGTACATTCTATATACACACCACGGGCCAGCCAACGTCGCCACCGTAGCGCATGTGGCGACGACCCGCGCACTCCGGTTGTTATACTACACGGTACATTACTCAAGGAAAGGGAAAGCAAACGCCCAGCTATTCTACCGGATCCTCCTCGAGTATCTTCTCAAAACTGAATGGCTCGAAAGGCACACCGTCGCCTATGAAGTGCTTGCTCATCGCTTCGACCCAGTGGAGACGCAGCGAGTGCAACATGGCGCTGGTGCCCTCCATGACACAGAGTACAAAAACTGTCAAGACGAACCAGCCGTAGAAGACCACTACCATCATGATCGATCCCGCAATCCCCGTCACGCCGAACGCGTTCTTCATCGTCATGTCCCACAACACGATCGACAGGCGCTGATGAGCGAGCGACAAGGCCCAGAGACGGAGGTAGGATGCCGTATGCGATACGCAGTTGAGACAGAATTCTGTCCCATGTTAGCCACATCTGCGAGATCGCAATAGAGACAATAGCTTACCGATGGTGTGGATAACCTGATGAATCATGATCTCGCCGAAGTCGAATTCCTCGTGCTCTTCGCCATGCCCAATGTCTTGCGTGATCATAGCAATGCCGTCCTCATCGTCCCCAAAGCTCTCCCGTCCGCCATTGAGCGTGCGGCCCTCCTCGTCTTCGTCATCGTCCAGGGCGCTGACCCGAGTGCTCTCTCCAATACCACGGTAGCCCAGGGCGCGCGCCTTGTTGTGTTCCCATCGGAGGTAGAAAGGCTTCAGGAAAAGCAGAATGGGCACACAAACGACAGCCATGAGCAGTAGAATGATCTGCACTGTAGCTTGTCCCTTGTACAAAGGAGCTTTAGGATCCTCAAGCGTACCAGGTTGGAGGAACATGTAGATCAGCATGTTCAACAAACTAGGCGGGTTCTGTCCTCGAGCCGCCCAGTCAACACACCACTTGTAGACGATGCAGAACGCCAGGTATCCGAAGATGGACTGGAAGAAGATCAGCCCTGGGAGGAAGTTACCCCAGATGTCGATCGGAGTCTTGAAGTAACGCGCGTTGACGAGCGACCACATGAGGGAGAAAGTCATGTGGGTCCAACCCAGGAGGATACTGAGCTTCATCTTGTAACTGTTGCTGAAGAGCAGGTCGTTGTCCGTGTCGTGCCACATGTAATCCAGCCCAAAGGGGTATGTGTGGCCCTCGACGCGGGAGGCAGTAGGGCCATGGCCATCGTTGTCCCACGCCCACATGGATTTGAACCATGGAAGCGATAGCGAGAAAGCATCGCAGTAGAGCAAGCCGGTATAGATAGAGAATATACCCATCATAAAGACAATGTACCGGCCGTAGAATATCATGGAGAACAGTTCGTCCAGTTTAGCCCGCTGAAGCGGGCGTTCGTAATAGATCATGGCCAGCGCAGCGAGGAGGAGGATGGTACCGTGGCCGGCATCACCGAACATGACCGCGAACATGAAAGGGAAAGTGACAATGGCGGGGAGTGCGGGATTGATTTCACGGTACTTGATCGTGCCGTAGGCGTCGATGATGGTCTGGAAAGCGAGGGTAAAGCGGTTGGTCTTGAAGTAAGTCGGTGGCGTCTTCGTAGTCTTGATCTGGTTCACGATAGTAGGCACGGACAGCCCAGCCCGATCGTTGACGTCTGAAAGGGTGGACTTGATCAACCCAAGTGAGTTCGTCGGCGCCCAAGCCTCAGCAATCAGCGTCTTTCGCTGATGGTCGTACGAGAACTTGTTCAGCGTTTCATAGGTCCCCTTCTCTTTCTTGATGATGACCATCCACGCGGCCAGGTTGCGGCTAATGGCCGTCAGCTCCGCATCCAGCGTTGATTTCGTGTTCCGGAGGACGCTGGCTAGGTCGCTCAGCCGGCTATTGACCTCTCGGATTTGATCGCGACGGAGCTCGCTATTCTCGTCCACGCTATAGAGGTCGGCGCCCATGGACTCGGAGATCTTCCGAATTTTTGCAATAATTTCTTTGCCGTGCGCGAAAATGATGAACACATTTTTGTTGATCTCCTCGTTCGTCTCTGGGTTAATGATGGGTTCCGGAATCTCGGACTGGTTCATGTATAGGTTGCCACGAAGCGTTCTCCATAGGATCCTTTCAAAGGCTGCAATGCGCTCGCGAGGGATGACACCAGCCACAAATCCAATATTCATGACAGAGAAAGATCGGTCCGCTGAGGCCTCGCCTTGGCCGTGGTGTTCGACGTCTTGGAGGAGAGGCGCATCATCGTTATCGAGGGAGTGGCGGATCTCCTCGGTTTGACCGCGGGCCTACCAGTATGTTAATTGGGATATTCAATGCTGCAGGTTTTCGGGGCACACACCCTGTCGAAGAAGCCACCCGCCTCCCTGAGCACCCACCTCCACTCCGTGAGCTCGACCTCTCGCTTCTTCAGCGTCTCGTAGCTCTCATTAAGAGACGAGATTCGATTCTCCAAGCTCTGGCATTTATCGGAGAGCTCGTCAATCTCGGAAGCGGAAGGCGAGGCAAACTGGTTGTTGAAATCGTAAATGGAACGCATCGAAATGCTGGCCTTGTCCATCTGCGAGCGGAAGTATCCTTTTCCGGGTTAGCCGCAGCTCACCCCAGTATTTCTTCTAACGTACGAAGCTGCCGCTCGACATTGTCCAGTCTACGGATCTCTTGCGTGAAGGTACGTTGGAAGGCGGTCGTCTCGGAGTTGAGCTAGAAGAACAAGGAAGTCAGCGCTTGTTCCCATCAAAGCCCATCCGCAAAGCTTCATTCCCCGACCTGCATCCATCTAGATGTCACTCACATCTCTGAAGTCCATGACACCAAGCTCTCCGAGGCCGGAAACGACTTCGCGCCCTATCTCGTTAGCGATGTAGAGCTGCGTCAAGGACATGTCCGCCGAGCGAAACATGGTATCCTTGTGGGGCGCCATGATGGCGGCTCTAGAGACAAGCGTATCCGGAGGTGGGAGCTTGTCTGATCGAGTCGCGGCGTATCGGTGAGGGATGTGATGGTTGATGGATACAGCTGCCTCGAGCTGTGGCCGATGATGCAGGCATGGGTGACAGGTGCCAAGGCTGATAGCTTAGTCATATAAGATCACGTGGAGTGCAAATCCCCTGTCCAGCACCAAGTTCCCGATCCTATGCATTGGGATGAGGCCTTGGCATTCCAAACGGACCTTGCTCGATCCTTTCTTCTATTTAAAAACATATTACCTATCTGCCTAGATAGGACCCTCGATCCTAACCCGACCCTATCATCCCAACATAGAAGTGAACCTCCCTACATCTCGCCGTAACCAGACGATCCATCTCATCGCGCGGCATATGATAACATTGCGTGTCAAAAAAACGTCCCAGACAATTTCGTAGCTCTCTACCTCTAGAGAAGCACGTTGCTACCATCCCATAGCGGAGAGAGTGCGACGCTCACTTGAAAGGAACTCTCTCCTTAATCCACCAGCTCCACAATGTCTCCGAACTCCTTGAACAGCCACGGCTCAAGATCTTTGAAAGCCTCGGAGATTGGCACGCCCCGAGGCTCGATATTCACCGATGTTCGGGGCTCCGGATTTGTCATGCTGGAAGGCTCCTGCGCATCACCATCTTCCCACTCTCCATTCGAATTCTGTTCCACTCGTGGGCGCTGGTTCTTTGCCTGCTTCAAGTCCTTCGGCGGCGGGCGTTTTAGCATCGACTTGGCTGGTTTGAACCCATCATAGGCTGGATGGGGGCTACTCGTATCATTCAGGAAAAGGGAGCGGGGTTTTGCCGGGGGCATTCGCGGCACTTCGCCAGAAGAGGTCGAGATGTCCTCGGGCGCGATAGATTGCTCCTTGGTCTTGGTCGCGGCTCCCCCAATATTAGCTGGGAAATCTTCGTCGTGGAGATCAACGTCGCAGTCCGTGTTAAGGGATTCTTCTAAAGCCTGGAGATCCTCTTCATTGGGTTGATCCGCAGTACGAAGATACTCTGAATCTGCTAAGCCAATAAGAGCGTCTGCGAAGATTGAGTCACCGTCACTAAACGTATCCGACTGACGGTCCGGAGCCGTGTTCTCGATCGGAGAACCCATGACATCGTCGAGCTCCATCGCATCTTGTGTCTTATTTACGGTCGAGCGTATGATGCTGGGCTTGGAATGCTCAAGCTCAGCAGACAGCTCATCAACTTGGATATCGCCGTAGTCGCTGGAGATCGAACCCGGCCGCTCGGCAGCAGGGTCGTCCTTCAGAAAGGAAAGACTATGTTCGCCACCCTTTCCGTAACAATACGCTGGCTTCTGGCGCATGATAGAGGATATCGATGATGGTGGATCCCGGTTTTGGATACTCTTATGGAGCTTGTGTAGGTCGCGGTAGTCCTTAGGACCGTGGAGAGCATACCCGGCCCTCCTCTTTTTCTCTTGTTGCGTTAGATCGAGCTCTTCAATCGCTGCCGAACTCTTCCGTTTGGAAGATGACAGCCGCAATTTGGTTTGTGGTTTCGCGTCTTTTGCGCCTAGTTCTTTCGGCTTGGACTGGGAACCACTTTCGTTCGATGCTATACGCTTTAGTCCGGTCTTCTTGGGCGGTTTGTCGAGCCCATCTCGGCAACACATATGCTTGCAAGCTGTCTTGTTCTTACACTTGTGATTACAAGCCCATTTGCCATTGTCACGTTGCTTGGGTTCGGAGTTCTCCTCTTCGAGCACAGTTTCGACCGGCTTAGCGCGACCTTTACTTTTTGAAGCATTCTTCGCCGTGTTCTTGCGCGTGATGCTGTCAGTGGGATTGGCGTAGTTATCGATATGATCGAAGTCAAGGTCGTGGAATGAGGCTTTGACCAGCTCCTCGTCATCGATGCCGTCATTGCTAAACTCTTCATCCCCAGCGGCGGTGCTTCGTGCGGCCACGGTGTTTTCGCTGCGACGTCTGGACATATTAGAAGTGGGTCGCTCGAGCGCACGCGGAGTGAATGGTTCAGGAGGCTTTGTGGCAGGAAACATTGATGAAGCAACCTTTGGCTTAACAGTTGCGCTTCTCGTGGTCCCGGCTAACGATAGTCAGTATGCTACGATCCAAAGCGCTCCACATCGTTCTTACCAATCCCGTCGCACATGATATAGCAGTTGATGCTCAGATCAGGTGTGGTTAACAGGGCAGGGAACGTCAGACTCTGGCCTTTGCCAAGCTTCTTTGAGCTGGTCCCGTTAATAGACGTCATGGAACGGCCAGTAGACGCCTACCTTATGCGAGCAAAATGGGCTTTGCGGCCATCAGAGGTCTCTGCCAACAGGCATACGTAGACGGCCTTAGAACCAAAGGCCTCGGGGGGCTTCTCGTTGATGAAGCCAATGTCAGCCTCCACCTGCACCTTCACGCCATCCGGAGTTGTCGTAATCTGAACTCCAGGTGAGTATTGGGCAATCTAAAAGGAAGGGCATTCTTACCGATGATGGGTGTACATGTAGCGAAACGCGTAGTTTAGGAAATCGCTTCAGCTTCTCGAGGACCCCCAAGCCAAATGGAGGATTCTTCCCCAGAACGACATCTATGCGATGAGCATCTGTGCACTCGAGTTCTTCGATGGTCCTGATGCCGGCACTAGCCAGTTTCCGGACCGCTACAACTCCTAGCCCGTCAATTTGTTTCATTTGCAATGGGCTGTCATCCCACACTCGTGCAGCAAAGCTCCGTTCCAGTATCAGGGCATTGATGATGCTCGCGGAATCGCCAATACAGATCTGACAGTCAATGATGCAGCGTATCAGGCGGCTGATGTACTTGAATATCGTCATCGCCTCCGTATTGTATTGCGCTTTGTGCTTTGAAAACTCGCCATCCCAGGCAACGTCGGCCGCTCCAAGGACAGACTGAATGAGTAGTGATACCTTGTGTGCCGGCAGATCAAGGTTCACCTGAATTGGAAACCGAATATACGGGCATTTGTTGATGGCTCTGTACAAGTTCTTCTCGCCTGATCGAAAGCGGATGTCTTCGAATTCGGAAGCTTGAGCGATTGCGGAGAGCTGAGGATTCAAGTCAGTATCACATTTTGCAATGCCCGGCTTCAGAAGCTTACAATCTCAGAAATGGAAGACTTTGACTGAAGCCCCATGAAGATACGCATGGTGTCAAAGTGAACGTAGTAGCGTGCCATGGCATGGCCGAACTCTGTACACCTGAAGTACTCTTGGCCCGCAACTAGGTTGCTGTCGCGCAGAAGTGTGGTGTCTCGGAAGCAGATCTCGTCAAGTTGCTCATCGATGCCTTGCCCACTTCTAGTGTCCTCCAGCTTGTAGTACAGAGGATTCCGCTTGAGTCGAACATATAGGAAAGTACCTGCGAGCCATTTCCTCGCCGACGGGAGGTCGCGTATCGTCCCAAGACCGATCTCGGCGTTTAGGTGATCGATGAGGTTAGAATGGAGGGTGCTCTCTAAGATCTCTTGGCCGCTCACCATCATTTCATACTTTCGAACCTTGTGCTGACGAGTCATTATGACCGCGACCGCGCTATCATCGAACTGGGGTCGTCCGGCTCTACCAAGCATTTGCATGATCTCAAGATCGGCGTACTCTTGAACACCGTTTTGAGTGAAGGCCACAGTGTTTTTAATGATGACGAGGTGGCAGGGCAGATTGACCCCGACGGCGAGGGTGGAAGTGCAACAGATGATGCTGATCTCGCCATCCAGGAACGCCTTTTCAACACCCGTCCGGTCGTTGATCTCGAGTCCGGCATGATGAAACGCTACCCCAGAAGCAGCGCAGTCGCGAAGCTCACGGTTCTGGAAGGGAAGGGGCTTTGGCGGCGCGTTCCACATACGGTCCGTAGGATTCCTCGTGGCCCACCAGTTCGCAAGCAACTTTGCTGTGCTCACTGCAGAATTCCTAGTGAAGCAGAAGACCATGATCGGTTTACGTTGTGAATAGCGCTTGATGACTTCCGGGAGTTGGCCGTCGAGGTGCTTCTCAAAAGCAAAGTCATTGTTGCTGGTGCTTGGGTAGCCGCAAACATGCTTTTGTAATCTGACCGGTCTGAACTCTTCGCCAAACTTCTCGTTGATAGCGGGCGCACACGGGTCCGCGGAGCTTCTACCCAACCATGTTCCCACGTCGTCGAAGTTTGGGATCGTTGCAGACAGGGCTACAAAGCGAACGTCGGTGCCGATAGACTTCATGCGGGATACGACCGCTTCCAGTATGGCGCCGCGGTCTTCCTTCAGGATATGGACCTCGTCGATCAGGAATAGTTTGATGAGCCTCATGAGCTTCTCATGATCCTTCCATTTCCGAGTGATACTGTCCCACTTCTCTGGGGTGGTGATAATAATGTTGGCGCTCTGCACGTTGCGAAGGTCTGAGGCTTCAGAATCGCCGGTGAGCTCCACGCAGTTCAATCCAACTGGGCTGAACTTCCTCTGCCAATCCCGTTGACGTTCGGAGCAAAGAGCTTTTGTTGGTGCTTGATAAACGATCTTGTACTGCCCTGTTGCAGCGGTGGCAACAGCTCGACAGATTGCCAATTCCAGGATCACTGTCTTCCCACTGCCTGTAGGTGACGCGACCACAAAGTTATTATCGGATTTATACACATTGTCGAAGCATTTGGATTGAACCGCGTTGAACATCGGGAAGGGGAAGATGGTACGAAGTCGATCGGGAAGTGCGGATATTGGCACCAGCGGTATGCCTTGAACCACTGGAGCATGGGGCTTATCAAAGGCGCTAGGCACGGGTCGGGAAGTAGGAGCCTGAGGCCACGAACGTGGAACTTGCCGGTGGAGGTCGTTGGGTATAGCTGGTTGCTCTTCATAGGGCTGAAGCCGCTCTGTTTGCTGAGCTGAGTTCGTGTAACGACCTTCAGCGCGTCTCTGACCAGCCATGAATGTCGGACTTGACGAAGCGCCCAGCTGCGCATCGGAGCTGGACTGCTGCGGTTGCGTAGCGCTGTAGGCATATTGGCCTGCTCCTCCGTTAGCTTAGAACGTAGGCGCAGAGGGTGTCTCGGTGCCAGACTTACCAAGACTTGGCTGAGCCCGTTGCTGGGGATAGCCGCGTTGGCCTAATGAATCGTCAGCACCAAGGGGTAAATTCAGTAGGGGTGACACCTGCCGCCGACATCATACACCGCGTTGGTATGTGGACGGAAAGAGGCATGGGGTTGCGAAGAAGCATGCGGAGCAAAGAACTTGGACGGTTGCGGCGCGAGTGAGAGTCGCGCCTGCCCTCTTGTTGCTTGCCGTTGACGGTCTTCATAAGGCTCCTGAAGCAAGGACTCGTCTGCACAATCAGATCAGTTCCAGGTCGATTCACGCCGACCCAACGCGTACCGAATGAGTCCAAGGCAAACTCTTGCCCGTACTGGTCATCGTCCTCCACCCTATCATAGGCAACATCGTGGCGCGGAGCGCGATAACGATCTCGTCGAGGGAGTGGTCTGGCTAACTGCTTGAACTGCCCTTGAAGGAGCGAGTGCTGTGAGTCCTGCCCCGCGCTACGGCTGTCGAGGTGGTCGAGAAGTGAGAAGACCTCATCCCCCATGACTGCTACATGCGTTCGAGATCACAAATAAGATGAAAACGAAATACACACTAGAGGTTGTGAGTGAAGGAGTGAGCAACAGAACGGTCGGGGGGTTGAGAGGGGTGGGGTGGCGAAGCGTGTGAACAAGGCTGGAATGAAGAAGGAAAGCGCGGCCTCGGGCGTCGTAGCCTCAGAAGCCGCCGTCCGCCGCGCTCGAGGAAGACGGAAGAAGCCGGCAGGCTCGTTCCTTCCTCGCTCGACAAACACAGCACCTGGCCTATCTCGCTGAACCTACTCTCTTCTGCCAGATACGCAGCTGTCTTTAGCTTCCTGGTACCAATGATCCTATATCTCTTGCAACCATGGGTCTCTTGCGGTAAGGGTAATTCATAAGCTATACATGGGGTATATACATGCTCTCATACAACGTGGCGATCCAAAGGGTGAGGCATCTTGTGCCTCTCAAGCAGGCAACCCTGCATTCCGCCAGGCCGCGGCACTATCCAACAATACGCACTCTCGTCAATACGCAGCGCCGTCTCTAGAAGCCGTTCCAGAGCCACGGTCGTTCATGCGTCTCGCTTGGGGAATTGCTTCCGCTCTACGGTAGGAGTACTGGGTCTTGACGAGGTCTGGCCGTCGGGTCGTAAAGGCGTTTTGAGCGATAGTGGAGGGCGCTCAGAGTCAAAGTACGCCGGATTTCCGTCAATGGTAGCCTTTTCGAAATCTACAATTCTGATCGGACCGGCTCGCGGCCGCTCAGGCTTGCTGTAAAGGTATGTAGCGGAGATGACGACGGATGTACCAACCAGGTACTGTAACGAGTCAGTGAGTGAACGCTCGATCGTCCTTCATTCTATTCCCGATGGACTATCACCCCTTTATCGATCCGGAAGGGAAAGAAAAGCAGCTTCAGGGGAACCGGAAACATCACTTACCGATGTGCTGATCTGAAAGTCAAAGAAGTACACGCTCGCCAGACAGCTGATAATGATCGATATAGACGTCGCAAAGTTCTTGGCAATGTTGTCGGCATAGTTGATAACCAAAGCAACAATAACGCCGCCAGCAGCCTGGAAAGAAATCGCCGTCCAAACGACCCAGTTGTAGCCAGCGAAAAAGCCTGTCCTCGCAATATTCTCGCCGTCTACCCAAATCACACCGAGGAAGAGAGCCGGGAAGAGCGACCAGAAGGAAAGCTGGCAATTGCGGACCCAGAGGGATGCTGTTTTCGAGGTCGACTCTTTGAGGACCTTCTCGAAGGAGACGCCGGCGAGCCCGGATAGAGCGCACGCAACCAGCACAGCTGCCAATCCGACTGAGCTGTTCATCTGGGGGTGCTGCAAAGCCACGTCCTCGTTAATTCCTTCGTATGTGGCAGATCGCTTTGTAAGATGCCCCGCGGCCTGTCTTCCAAGGCCACCCAGCTGCCCCAAGGAGCGTCGCCAATAACTCGAGTTGGGATCCTTCAAGTCTTCCATTGTCACCTCGGGGACGCGCTGGGGCAACTGCACGATGGAGACGCCAACGATTAGAAGGACCAGTGACGCCCATCTCCGGGAAGAGAGCGTTCTCCCCAGCAGCAGAACGCTGAAAATCGCGGTTGTAAGGATCTTCAGCTGATATGTGACCTGGAACGTCGCCGCATCCAGATTGCTGACAGCCACGTACTGCAGCGTATTTTGTAGTGTATAAAGCGCCGCCGGTATCGCCAATTTCCAACTCTCATTCGTGAACACGGCCGACAAAAGATTCCCAAAAAGGACTGTGGCCGGGGTATTCGGCGGGAGGTTCGTCGACATATCGTACAGCGCCATCGTCAGGCTAATGCCGAGCTTGATAACTTCGTTCAGGAAGACGGAGGTCGAGGTATGGTATCGGTGACCGTTCACTAAGGGCATTACTCGCGAATAGTGCATTATCTGCATGCATCGTCAGCACCGGTATCGCGGTCGCAGCCTCGTCGTCGCCGGCGCGTGGGCATCGTTGGACACACCAAAATCAGCGCGGAATTCTGGAATGTAAGCTAAGAGACGTTGTTAGCCAATGGTCCACGCTGTCGACCGTCCGTAGCGTACCGTAATCAGAGAGAGGTGCTTCATTGGCACGCCAGCCAGCGAAGCGCCTCTGTCAATCGCCATGATGCCGTCCGTTCTGTTTATCGTGCAAAGTACAATAGTAATCGCTGCCGCAAGAAGATACCGCCAGAACGGATATGCAGGTAGTTGGCGATGTGTGCCTTAAGAAGAGCGCCGCGGCCAAAGGAGCGTAAGAAGTTGGAGGGGGAGGCGTAGGTGAGCTGGAGGGCTGAGTTGGGCCATCTTTACGAAAGTACCCCAGAATATCAGCCCGCGCTAAGTGAAGCCCCTGTCGCCCTCGCTACCGAATGCGCGCTTTGGAATGCCGATTCCAGGGCAGGGCAATGCGCAGGGTCTGTGTAGAGAATTGTGGATCCTTCTTTTGTTCCAAGGTTCTTCAGTAGCACTTTAACCGACGTATTCTGCGCAGTCGACGCGAACATCATCGCCCTCACCAGCATTTCCTTTCGAAAATAAGCAAATGTGCAGTGTCACTTTCCGACACCAATGAAGGCTTAGGCATGCCGATTAAGCGTTGCCAAGCATGAGCTGAACCTTCCCCTCCACAGCCTCATTGCTCCTAAGCCAGGCACCAACTTGCCACCCTAGCAGACGCAGGCACAGAGTCGAACAGCGCCGCTGTGGGTCTCGTCTAGTAGGAGGTCTTTACGCGAGATGTTTCACTAGTTCCGACTTTTCCGGAAATCAACCATCAGTCTCGAAGGATTCCTGGGCCAGGCCATTCCATCGCGCTCACAGCCTGAGGCAGTGCTTATGATTGGAGCTATGGCAGCGCTAGGGTTACGCAAGGGGAAAGTCGACCTGCATTGAGCTTGCACCTAGTAGTGCCGACTTTCCGCCCGCATCTATATACGAAGAAGTACTAGCAGTTTTTTGCGCGGCAACTTAACCCGCCCGGGTGGAACGCGTGAATAACACAGTCACGTGCTTTCGCGAAACCGCGTCGCGTGCACCCTAGTCCTGTCTTCTGACTGCTCAAATGACCATGCCCTCCACCCACGTCTCAACACCTCCATGCTCCCCGCCGCGGTCGCGAACACATCTCCTGGAACCCCTTCGGGACCACCTTATCCCCTTCACATAGAAAAGGCTAGCACTCCTGCCGCAACATGCCTCCATATGAGGCCGGCGTCCATGTCACACAACAAGCTTCAGAAGAAAGACAGCATAGTGCTCGTGCATGAGGACAATGAGTATGAGACAGACAGCAAATATCATACCAGTCTCTCGCAGATGCCATTGCGCATCCGTAAACTATGATACAAATGCCCGTTTCGGGCACGAGAACGCTCTCCAGCTTTTAACCCGCAGTTGAAGTACACCCCATACCCCATGTTGATAGGAACATACCCGCATGTGCTCCAAAAACCGTGGAAACGAAAAACTGAAAAGTCCGACATGCTCGCAGAACCGATAACAAATGAAAACCACAAATGCAGGCAGATACTCGTTTGTCGAGCATAGACGTTGCTCAACACCATCTTCCTCCTTCGTTCACGCACCGACCGTTATAGATGTGTCCCTCATCTCGATGTGTGGCTTCTTCACTCTTCGCCGTCTCCACCACCGCGACCACCTCTCGCACGCTTTCCACCGCGGTGCGAACCGCCACCATCATCTTCAGCTCCGCGCTTCTGTCCGCGGCCACCGCCAGGCTGGAAATCTGGTGCGCCAGGGTTCATCGACTGGCCTTGGCCACGGCTGCGACCTCCTCCGCCTCTACCGCCACCACGGCCCATCTGAGCACCTGGAGCGTTGGCGTTCTGAGCCAGCTGATTCTGCTGCGATTGGCCGCGGCCGCCGGGTCGAGGAATGTTGGATGGCTGGCCCTGGCCCACGATGTCTCGGAGTGCAGCCGGCCCGGTGCCAAAGTTTCCGCGACCCCGTCCGCCTTGCTGGGGTTGCTGTTGGCCGAAAGGAGAGTTCGGTCGTCCTTGGTTCTGGTTGAACTGGGGCTGCTGGTTCTGCGAGGATGCAAAGCCTGGTTGAGCAAGACCGCTAAAAGGACCGAAGCCTTGACCCATTTGATTGTGCGCTTGGCCAAGAAAATGCTGACCTGCACTGGAAGACTGTGCAAATGGGTTTGCTGCCGCCTGGCCCATGCCCGGCTGGCCAAAAGCAGGTTGAACAATGGATGGCTGGCCGAAGGAATTGGCCCTCGCCCCATTGATTTGGGGAACGCTGCTCGAAGCTGGAGCAGTCACTGGCGGGGCGGATTGCTGAGACTGCGCCGGCCCGGCTTGACCGAAGGATTGCGTCAGAGCTTGAGGTGTGGCCGGCGTGTTGGCAGGCTGGTTCGGGGGTGGTTTGGTTTCCTTCGCAACCTCATAAACCTCCTTGACCGGCTTCTCTGGTGTTTCCCTCGCGGCAAGCTCCACAACGTCCCATTGAACCTTCAATCTGGTGAACTTGCCCTTGGCAAGGCTCTCTTTGGCAGCGTATCGCTTTTCGGCCTCCAATCTGGCTTGTGCTCGTGTTTGTTCGACCTTATCTGCCGTGATCTTGTCGTGCTCAGCTTTAGTAAAAATTTGCTGGTTTGTATCGGCATTTCCCGTCGCCTCAGGCACTGCGGTCTCAGTTTTCTCGGTCTCAGTTTTCTTTTCAGATTCAGTCTTTGCCCTCTGGACTTGATTGGCAACAGTGCGCTTGATGATGGCTTGGACTACGGGGTTTCCGCTGACGAAATGTTTGATGTCGAGGTCCGACGCGCCGGGGCCGGGTAGTTCGACCTTAACAGCCATTTCCGATTCTGGGGCTGTCGACTCCATTGCGGTATTTTCCTGGGGTTCCAATTGACTACCTCGTGAGGAAGCCGACTCAAGTTGTTGTCGGAGATGATTCAATTCGTCGGTGAGCTCGGCTTGGAGCTTACTCTTGTCATCCTTCGCGGCCCTGACCATTTCGTTGGCTTTAGCCTTCACATTGGCCATCTTTTGTTCGGCACCGGCCACTTTCGCTTCTCGCTGCTCGAGGTCGGCTTTCATCGCGGCAACACGCTCGGCAACTTGCTCCGCAACTTGATCCGCAACCGACTTGGCGCCCTCTTCGGTGTTGTTGCCAGCAAATGAGTCAGCCATGTCTGTACGAGTGCGAAGGTCCTCGACCTCTTTCTGGGCGGCAGCGAGCTCCTCTTTGAGCTTCTCCATCTCTTCGGATGGGAAGGAGGTGACTGTAGTCTCAGAGGAGAGTCTGGACACCAGTTCCTCCACCCGTGCATCAGCTTGGGCCTTTTGGCTCCGGGCTTCTGAAAGTTCGGAGTTGAGACTGGCTATCCGGTGTTGCAATTCACTCTAAAAGTTGGTTAGCAGAGCACATAGTCCTTGGGTGGTGGAGGAACTTACAATCTGCTTCTCAAGACCCCGCGCGCGTTCCTCCAGTTCTTGGAGTTTCACATGGTAGCCAGCGGCTCGGTTCGCTTCTTGTATAGCCTCGTTTTCGGCTTTGGTTACGCGGGCTTCCAATGCAGCCTTCTCCTCATCCGAAAGGCCAGAGTGGCCCTCATTCAGCTGTCCTTCCTCTGTCTCCGCAAGCTCAGCCCTGGCATTTGCCGTGGCAACCGCTTCGTCGCGAGCATATTGGGCGGATTCAAGCTCGGCTTGCAATGATGCAAGCCGTTGCTCTTGCTCTGTGAGCTTCTGTTTTAGCTCATCTCGCTCCGTTTCGAGGTCATTGCACCTTTTCTCTGATGCCTGGTACTTTTCATTGAGCTTCTCCCTCTCCTGCCGCAGCCTCTCCTTGAATTGATTTGTAAGGTTCATCTTTTGGTCGGTTTTGGCGGCGATTATCCTGGTCTCGATTTCTTGGAGCGCATCCTCGCGCTGTGAAACCGCATCATCGCGCGCCTTCTGCAGAACTTCAATCTGCGTCTTGAGATCCTCGAGCTCCTTCGGATCGATACGATCGTACCTCTGGAGCACGTCTTGATGACGCTTCTGCCAGCGGTCGCGATCCTCTTCGAGAACTTTCAGATGGCCACTATTAATCTCAAGCTCGCCTTCAAGTTCGAGGACACGAGCCTGTAGAGGCTGAAGTTGGTTGTAGAGGGCTTCGGCCTCTTTCTTCTTTTCGTCCAGCTGAGCCTTCAGCTGGTCTTTCTCATTGCGCAGGGCGGTATTGCTCTCGCGATAAACGTTTATGTTCTCGATGCTTTCTTGAAGGGTAGAAAGGTCCGTGCCACCCTGTCGGCTCTGTGCTTGGATTCGCTCAGCGTTTAACTTTTCGAATGTCTGGTCGAGCTTAGCCTGCGTGTGGGATAGCCGTTGATCAAGGCTCTTGACTTCCTGGTCCTTCATGTTGAGCTGGATCTCTAGGATGTCCTTCTCTTGGCGGAGATAGGTGACGATTTCTTGAAGGCCGCTTGTGTTGTCATCCATGCTGGCAATATCAGCCTGTCCTGCTGCGACGGACACGCGACTGCTCTTCAAACTAGCGATTTGACCGTTCAATGAATCGAACTGTTGCAAGAGCTTCTTGTTGTGCTCGTTCAGGTCATTATACCGCGTTCGAGCTTCGATAAGCTCGCTTTCGTATCGCTCACGCGTCGCAGCCCAATGTTCTTCACCCTCGACTAGAGATGCACGAGCGGCCTCGCTATGGGTCTTGTACTGCACAACTTCCGTCCTGAGCTTATTGTATTCGTCGCGGACTGTCCGCAAGTTCTCCATGGTCTTGCCGTGTTTTGAAAGCTCATTCTCGTAATCCTGTTGTGCCTGCTTCGCGATTTCTGCTTGGGTTGCCACAAGCTGCTTTTCATTTTCCATTGCCGCTTTATATTCGTTCGAGTCCTCCTTGAGGCGAACGATCTCAGCTTCGAAGAGCTCCTTCTGCTGTGAAAGCCGGAGATTCTCCTGTTCCTGGGTGTTTCTCAGCTCGGACAGCTGGGTATTGGTCGTTGCAAGCTCGTTTGAGATCTCTTTCACTCGATCATTGAGATCACTAATCATCCTATCCTTCTCCGTTGTCACACGGGTCATTTCTTCCTGCAGCTGCTCTTGCGCCTCGACATAGCTCTGCAGCTGCTCCTCAGCTGCCTGTGCGATGTTTTTGTATGTTTCGATCTGCGTGTTGGCGCCGTCCAATTCCTCCTGTGCCTGGTCATATTTGCGCTGGGCCTCCGTGAGTTGCGCAGCAAGCTCTTCCTCACGGCTCAACTCATCCAGCTCGTTGGATCCATTCAGGCGCGGTGTTGGTCGGACTTGCAGGTTCTGCACACGCTCCTGGGCGTTATGCAGCTCAGTCTGTAACTCATTGACGCGTGCCTGAAGCTGGTCTCGCGCTGACTTCACGGATGTGAGCTCTTGGCGGACCTCGTTCGTAGCTTTGAGCAGATCGTCGATCTTCCTCTGCTTTTCCGTCTGCTCCCACTCCTGTCGCTGCAGCACCTGCTTGTGTTCCTTGATTTCGTCTTCGAGCTTGCGCTGGGTATTTTGCAGCTCCGCCTCGAGATCCTCAGCCTTACTCTGCAGGCTCCGGCGGCTCTGTCCCTCGGCCAGTTCCTGCTCATGACGCAACTCGTTCATTTCTTTGATGAGCCGTTCATGGCGATCTTTTTCTTCTCTGAGCCTCTTGTTATCGTCGTTCAGGCGATCCTCGACGGTCTTCCACATAGCCTGCGAAGCCTTCAAATTCGCGATCTCCCTTCCCAAGCTATCGATCCGGCTCTTGGCTTCAACGAGCTCCTCAGCGATCTCTTGCGTCCGGAGATCCTGTTTGGCAGAAAGATCTTGCAATGAATCGCAGCGCTTCTGGAGTTCGCCCTTCTCCGATTGCAAGGAGTTGAGCTTGTGCTGCTGGAAGTCGAACCGTTCTTGGGCCAGCTGGATCCTGTTGTTTAGCCGCATATTCTCGCTCTGGAGTTGGTTGTTTTCCTTAGAGAGCTTTTCTGCTTGCTGCCTAAGAGTGGCACGGTCTGTGTTGCTCTCCTCCTTGAGCAGATCAACGTGCGCTTGGAGATCCTTGACAAGCTTCTCGTATCCAGCGACCTCTTTAGAATGCGGAGTTTGTTCGATACTCGGCGCAATGTTTGCTGGTGGCGGGGTTGCCGTTGCTCTATCGCCCATGGACTGTCCGAACATTGACGAGGCATCGATTCCAGGAGGGAGCTGGCCGCGACTCGTAACGATGCGGCGGTACATGTCACGCTCTTTCATGAAGCTTTGGGAACGAAGCTTGTGTGATTTAATCTCGTCTTCGTACTGAGCGAGCTCGTCCCTGAGGCGGGCAAGCTCCTGGCCGTCTTTCTCGTGCTGGTTGGCCTTCGCTTGAGCCTCGCTGCCTTCATACGTTTCCGCGACCTGTCTGATAGTGCGCAGCAGCTCTTGGTTCTTTTCCACGAGCTCGTTAACATTCTTGAACAGGACCAAATGTTTGCTAAGCAGTCGACTGGTGGGAGTGTCGTCCTCGTCCAGCAGACGATCCGGAATCTCGTTATCCGCAGTCTCTCGCAAGAATACCTTCTGCTCGTCGGAGAGGGAATCGAGTCCTTCCACTTGAGCCAACTGTTGATACAGGACGAGCTTGGTCTGGAAAGTGGCATCGCGAATCAGCTGGCGATCGAGCTCCTTCTGGCGAAGGAAGCCCTGATAATCGCCCTGCAGTTTCCGCATCTCCTTCCGTGCCGCCTCCTTTTCAGCGATGGCCTCCTCAAGGAGCGCAGAAATCTCGCTTGCTTCCGAGGCCAAGCGTTCATTTTCCTGCCGAAGGTCGTCGTGCTCGGGCTGTAACTGCTCTAGTTGTTCCAGCATATCGTTCAATACGACGGTTTGTTTCTCGTTCTGTGACGTCAGTTTGCGGATCTCTGCTCTAAGATTGGTGTTCTCCGTGTAAAGCTGGGTCGTGGACATGCTACCCTTCAGGCCGGTGCCACCAGGTGAGAAAACGGCTGGTGACCCGGCCCTTCCCGGCGTGTCGAATGAACCGTTCATGGGACGTCGTGGAGTGCCCGGAATTTGGGAGTTGGTCCGAAGCTCCGACAACTGAGATTCGAGGGTCTCAACCAGCGACTCCAGGTCGGTCACCCTACTCTCGTACCCTGCCGCCTTGTTCCGCTCTGATTCGACCTCGGCCTGCAATCGCCCAACCTCCTCAGCAGCATCATCGCTAGTCGCGGTCAGCTGGTCTTGGACCTCCTGCAGACGTTTCTTCACGGTGTGGGCGCTCTCTTGGTGGAGTGCGGCGAGTCGGCGGGCGTTGTCGAGCTCGGCGCGGGAGGATTCCTGACTCTGGGTCGCGTCTTCCTGCAGCTGCTGCACCTGGACAATGTATTGCTCGACCTTCTGCTCCAACTCTTCAATGCGTTGGCGCTGCGAGGCCTCGGTGCGGCGAAGCGAGTCGATGGTATGATTCGCGTCTGCAATGGCCCGCTGCAGCTCGGCAATCTGAGCATTCTTCTCCTTGCGGAACTTGGTATGGTCGGCGGCACGGGTCCTGAGCTCCGTATCAAAGTATTCGTTGTTCTTCCGCAGCAGTTCGATTTCCTGCTGGAAGTTGGACTCGCGGAACTTGACGTTGGTGGCGGCATTCTCCAGCGACTGATTCTTCTCCTCCAGCTCAGACACCTTCTTGCGAAGGTTGACGAACTTTTGGTGCTGTGCGGAAAGCTCTTCGGTGAGGCGGTCGTGGGCGGCAGACTTGGCATCATGCAGGGCAACGGTGTCACGGTTTTGAGACTCTAGTGTCTTGATGCGGGATTCGAGGGACTGCACTTCAGACGTCTTTGAGCTGGCGGTAGTCTGGGCGTTCTTCAGCTCCGTCTCGATCTGCTGGCGGGCGTGTTCTGCGGAAGGTGGCATATTAGTGCACCACTCGGGGCCAATCGTACCGTGGACGCGCTTACCTTCTTGCGCGAGTTTCTGCCGCAGCTCCTCGGCCTCCTTCTGGGCTTTGTCGGCTGTGGCTTTGAGAGTGCGCGTGCGGGCTTCTGCATTGTGGATAGCCGACTCCAGCTCCACGTCAGAGCGGAGTTTCTGCGACTTGAGGTCGTCGTACTCGCGCGCCTTCGCCTCGATCTGGGTAAGCAGCGACTGCACAAGCTCGACAGTGGGTGCAGAGAGTAATGATTGGACGGTCGCCTCCGGGATGGAGTAGGACGCGGCGACGTAGCCGACGTCAACTGCAGCCGCAGCCATGGTGAGGGAGTAGAGCAGTTGCGAGCTCTAGCGCATCCTCGAGGGTTGTGGGCGAGAGGGGGAAGAAAGGGAGGACAAAGGAGCGTGGGCAGCGAGCTTCAAGAACGGATGGAGGAGCTCAAGGTCGCGGAGCGTTTGTTTCTGCGGCCCGAGCGCTGCCAAGCCCTGGCGCGCCGCATTCGACATCATATGGAAAGTGCGCCGGTCGTTCCTGCTAGCACTCTCTCTTTCACCGACCCGCCACCCTCGCCTGCCCGCAGTTGCTGCGCGGCTCTTTCCTAGACCTTGCGCGCTCCCGCAACACCACCTACCCGCCACACCTCCGCAACCATGTCCCACCTCAAGCCCAGCTCTGCTGCGCGCATCTCGGCACCCTCGCCGACGCCCTCGAATGCCTCTGCCAGCGGCGCCAAGCGAAAGCGCCCCGACGATGGCACGCCCAACATCGTCTACTCGCAGCCCCAGGAAACTGGCACCGGGAGCCACATCTACACGCAGCTCACCTACACCGTCGAGCACCTGCGCGCCAACCAGCGATGGATGAGCTTCAAGGAGATCACAGACTACCTCAACGTACCGGAGAATGACCACCAGACCCGCCACCACCTTACTGAGCTATTCCGGAGCAACAACCCGCAGAACCGCATAGCCTACAATCCCGCGGATAATACATACCGCTACAGGCCCAAGTTCGAGATCCGCAATGCCTCAGAGCTAAAGGGATATCTACAAAACCAGAAGTCGGCCCAGGGTCTTTCTGTGAAGGACCTCAAGGATGGGTGGAGCGCCGTGCAGGATGAGCTCAAGAGCCTGGAGGATAGGAAGGAGGTGCTCGTCAAGCGGAACCAGAAGGATCAGCAGGCGAGGACTGTGTACGTCACTCTTTTTAGGGTGGCTAGTCCATGCTAACCTTGGCTGAAGGTGGATCAACGACCCGACCCTCATGCACAAGATGGACCCCGAGTTCCAGAACGAGTGGCACAAGATCCAGATCCCGCCGAACCCCGACGACTTGCGCAACAGCCTGCTGGCAGCGGGCCTCAAGCCGTCGAGTGCGCCGCGCGAGGTAGTGTCCACAAAGCCGAAGGAGAAGAAGCGGAAGGCCCCGCGTCGCGGCGGCAAGCAGACCAACACTCATATGGCGAACATCCTAAAAGATTTTTCTCACATGAGGAAGTAATTTTACTTTTATTGCATAGCGTCGGCGATTGGGAAACCTGGGCATTCATCGGACCGGGTCCTCATTCAGAATGATAAGGAGGACAACATTATGTACAACATGCGAGGATATGTGCCTGAGAGCTTTTGATTCCTCGTTCTGTGGAGGCCTTCGCGGCATAGATCAATATGTGCTATAGAGCACAGGTTCGCAGTGCAACACGCTGAACTGTACCTGTCGATCATTCAAGCAGTTTAAATGTGGCCCGTGCTCCCAAACTTTGTGGTGACATCAAGTCAAGCTCCACCCCTACACGAGTGAGATCTTGAACTTCTTGAACCACATCAATCGCAGCCATGAAGCCGCGTAATACAACGAGGGCGCTTCGCTCTATACACTCACTCACAGCTCCGACAAGACATCGGCCCAGACCACTCCCCTATGTACGACCCACCGTTTCAATTTCCGCAAACCCAGCTCCCCGACTCTCTTCCACTATCTCATCTACGCCCGACGCCTCGAAATCCTCCGTCGACCCAACAGAAGTATCCCACTTCAATGCGCTCGCATCAAGTTGGTGGGATCCCACCGGCCCCTCGCGACTCCTCCACCTCATGAACCCACTCCGCCACGACTTCATATCGCGATGTCGAGAGACAACACCAGGCTCACCGGCCTCCTCTTCACAACTCCGCTATCTCGACATCGGCTGCGGCGGTGGAATCTTCGCTGAGTCTGCAGCACGGCTTCCACACACGCAATCCGTTACCGCCATAGACCCCACACCCGAAGTCCTCAAAATCGCACAAGGCCACAAGAGACGAGACCCCGCGCTCATGGCCTCGAGCAAACTAACCTACCTTAACACATCTATCGAAGACCTGCCTCCTCCCTCATCCCCCGAACAAGCCTTCGACGTCGTGTCCCTCTTCGAAGTCCTCGAGCATGTCAACGCGCCCGGTCCCTTCCTCGACCACGTAATACAGCACGTCAAGCCCGGCGGCTGGCTCATTCTCAGCACAATTGCAAGGACATGGGCGAGCTGGGTGGTGACTAATGTGGTGGCGGAGGATGTGCTGGGCATGGTGCCGAAGGGGACGCATGAGTGGAGTAAGTATGTTAATGAGCAAGAGTTGCGGGAGTGGTTTAGGAAGAAAGAGGGGTGGGGAAGTAATGGTGGAATCAAGACGATGGGTGTGGTGTATGTACCTGGGCTGGGATGGAAGGAGGTCCCTGGTGGTGAGGGATGGGGGAATTATTTCTTTGGCGTTAGGAGAGATAGGTAGGATGTATCTGTAGGTACGATACTCAATTGTACACATGATACCCGAGATAGCAATGTACGGTATGTATCCAAGGTTGTGCCGATTGTACGGCTATGGCATCAGACGATGTGCGATGAGCCAGCGTCTCATACGTCCCTTTTTCAGTCGGGAGATCCAGATCTGACAGTCAACGATCCCATGCTATCCACAAACGCCGCGTACTGCCTCCTCGATCCATCAATAATGTACACACCCCCTCATATCATCACTCCGCATCTAGAGTGTAGCAGCCCAGACCCAATCCCGTATCATACAACCCTCTCACTTTCCAATTGATCATCTAGCTCTTAGATCTCGCCGGTTCTTCCCATACGTCGGGCTTGTTCTGAAAAGTGTCCACCAAGTCGTGACCACCTTCCCTCTTCCACTGCGCCAGATACTCCTCGCCCGTTATCGTCTTCTTAGGGACCTCCCATTTCGTCTGGTATTCGACTTCGACGTTCTTGGAGAATCTGCTGCTTACGAAGGGGGTCAACTGGACTCCGAGTCAGCTTCCTTCTTCCATACCATCTCTCCTCCACAACATCCATCTAAAGCTGCGCTTAGCTCCAGATGGTGGACAGGACTGGCTCACCTCGAAGCCTTTTATACCCTTGTTCGGATACACGTATGTCCGTATCTTGTCATAATCGGGGTGAAACCGCCCGTATTTATCGATCGTGCCCATAGATCCTACGCGGTTGCCCTTGTAGTATTCCTTGCCGGCTTGCTTGGTGGAGAGCGGGAGGCGCCGGAGCGTTTTCTGGAGGCATGGCGTCGCTTTGAACATCTTCGGGTCTCTCCCTTGTCGGCGCGGCGATGAGGTTGGTAATACGAATGAGGCGATATCGTCAATGCCTTGAATCCCTACGATGAGCTTTCCAAGGTCGGACATTCCACGGCGTAACTTCGGGCCGCAAAAATGTGAGCGCCAAGATTTCGATCCCACTTCTTGAATTTGCCCTCCGCAAAGAATTCTTCGAAGGAACACCACGCAATATGCCGGCGCGAATTTCTCGAGGCTCGCTGCAGAGCTCAAAGCTCGCAAAATCCAAGCCTTCTGGCCGAAATCCCAAGAAAGCGCAAAAACGAGCGCTCAACGCCTTCTCCATTGCTTCCCATGAGCATGCCGACCGAGTGAAGATTCGACCAAACCGTCTCGGAGAATCAGAAGGGTTCTCGCACCGAAAAAGGCCGCGTTACGAAGAAGGTGATGACGAGGATGAAGACGAGGGGCCTACTCAATCGAAGAGGAGGAAGCAAGGGAGCGGCGGTGCTGAGGAAGAGAGCCTGGACGAGGGAAGTGACTCTGAGGGCAACGCTTGGACGATGGGCCATGTCGATGAGGATGATGATAGCGACATTGACAGTGACGAGGCATTTGGAGAGAGCGACGAGGAGAAGTTTGAGGGGTGGACGTTTCGGGGCAGCTCTCACAATCGGAAGGGCAGGAAGGCGAGGAAGCCCAGAAATATGGAAGAGATGGACGGCGAAGACGGAGAGATCGATTTGGATGAGGGAGACAGCGCAGATGGGGAAGAGGATGAAGAGGAGGATGACTTAGGCGAAGACGCCATTGACCTTGCCACGGCGCTCGATCAATACGAGGAGAGCGAAGAGGAAAAGAAGGAAAAGAAAGCCAAGAAGTCTAAGAAGAGAGCATATGCTTTTGACGATAGCGATGAAGAACCCAGCGAAGTGGGCGACTTTGCAGCAGATGGAGCGTCCGACTTCTCCTCGGACGAGGATGAGGACGAATCGGACAGGCGGGCACAATTGAAGGACCTCATTTCATCGTTGGCAGAAGAAGATGAGCAGCGCTCAACCGCACGAAACCCAGACACCCACGAATCAGCCGTGCCCTCAGAATTCGGTGTCTTGAGGAAAGTCGACCTCGCAAGCTTCAAATCCAAGGTCGCCGACCCCGAGAAGAAGAAAGCACTCAAGCTGTTGCAGGATGACAAGTCATCGAAACGGAATGATATTGCTCGGAAACTAGAGGCGCCGCTGCCCAAACGTCAACAGGATAAGCTAGATCGAGCCGCTGCGAGCGCAAAAACCAATGAGACCCTCGAACGATGGGTGGATACCGTAAAGCACAACCGTCGTGCTGAGCATCTGTCTTTCCCCTTATATCAACCGGAAGCTGGCCAGCGTATGGGTGAAACTCGTCTCTTGCCTACCACAACCACGGCTCCCGCCAATGACCTCGAAGTCACGATCCAATCCATACTGCAGCAGAGTGGGCTCTCCAACGGAAAGGATGATGAAGAGCAGATCCAGAAGTGGGAAGAGCTGCAGACGAACAAGCTCCCTCTGCAAGAGGTTATGAAGCGCAGGGCTCAGCTTCGCAAGGAACGAGAACTTCTTTTCCGAGAAGAAGTCCGCGCAAAGCGCATCAAGAAGATCAAAAGCAAATCATACCGTAGAGTTCATCGGAAAGAGCGTGAGAGGTTGCTTCAACGTGAACGCGATGCTCTCAAGGCTGATGGCGTTGATGTCTCAGAAGACGAGCAAGAGTACAACGTCCGCCGGCGAGCTGAAGAGAGAATGGGTGCAAAGCACCGTGAGAGTAAGTGGGCTAAGGGAATCAAGGCCTCTGGCCGGTCAGCGTATGTACTTCAATGTCCGCTGAGATTGTGATCATCAGGCTAACTTTTTTCAGATGGGATGAAGATGCTCGCTCAGGCGTGACGGAGATGGCTCGACGAAACGACGAGCTTCGCCGCCGCATCGAGGGTAAAGAAGTCCGTAACGAGGATTCTGATGCGTCTGATCTCTCCAGCGATGGGGAGAGCGAATTATATCCTGACGAGGAGGATGGTCATCTGGAGCGCCAGCTTGGTCTGCTTGAGAGCCCTTTCTCATCTACAGAAAACAACAGCAAGTTGTCGATGATGGCCTTTATGCGCAAGGCGGAGGCAACAAGGAAGACAAGGAATGATGAAGATATCGAACGCATGCGTCGCGAGTTGGCCGATGAAGAAAGTCCAAGTGAAGAGGAGGGCTCAAATGCCGCGAGGAGAGGACATAAGAAGTACGGCCCAGGGTTAATTTCAGAGACCCCTTCTATTCCAATTGGCCAGTCTGAGTTCGAAGAGAGGGCTCCATCGGATGAGGAAACAGATGACGCCAATGGTACTGCTGCGAATGGTGTAAAGACTACGAGCGACCTCTCTCTTGAAACGCGGAACAGCAACGAGCCCAGGAATCCATATTCTGCAAAGTCAGAACAGAATCCCTACTTAATGAAGGCTTCCAAGGAGAAAAGGACCAGAAAGCAACCCGATTTGGTCTCACAAGCACATAATACCATCCCCGCAGTCCAAGAGCCGTCAAAGTCCAAGACGAAGTCCAAAGTCAAGTCCAAGGCAACATCCAAGAAATCATCCGATTCCGATCTTCCCGAGCAGATCATCAGCGCCCCGGACGCCAATGGCTGGCAGACTGTGTCGTACCAAAATCAGAGTGACGAGGAAGGAGGCGAAGGCTCCATACATTTGAATACTTCGCAGTTCGAGCTCACAGCAAAGGCCTTCGCGGGTGACGATGTTGTAGCTGAGTTCGAGGAGGAGGTAAACTTCGCGCCCAGGTCCGCCCCGCTTATCTTAGCTAACGGGTTTCCTACAGAAACGCGCAGTCATTGACGAAGATGACGAGAAGATCGAAAAGAACGTCTTACCCGGCTGGGGCTCGTGGGCCGGCGAAGGCCTGAGTAAAAAGAACCAAAAGCGCAAAGGGCACGTCACCTACAACAAGAAAGAAGGCGTCAAGCCCGAGAAGCGCAAAGATGCGAAGCTCGACCGTGTCATCATCAACGAGAAGCGTGTCAAAGCCAACACCAAATACCTCGCTTCGCAGTTGCCGTTCCCCTTCGAGACGAAGGAACAGTATGAGCGCTCGCTCCGACTACCCAAGGGTCCAGAGTGGACGACAAAGAAGACGTTTTCGGAGGCGACGAAACCGCGCGTCTTGGTTAAGCAAGGGATAATTCGACCGCTGCATAAACCCCTTGTTTAAAGAGTTCATGTGGGAGCGGGTAGACGCATATATAGCCAGACACATATATACGCCCAGGATCGGCAGACTAAAGAATTTCAGGTCTTGTGTTGCGGCTCGGCTGATACCGAATCTTCAATGTGACAGCTGCAGCTTTATCAATGTGTGACGAAGGAAGGGGTGGTTGAGCTGGAGGTTATCATGGGACTAAGTCGATTTGGGATAGTCACTGGAGATCAACCGCAGGGATCTAGGGTCGGCTCCGGGATGTCGGAGAAATTCTCAGACTACCTGTGCAAGCGCAGAACACCTACCCTTTCCACAGCCGGTCGGTCTCTACGATCAAGATGTTCACAGTATTGGTCGATCATACGTTCCGAGTGGGAGAGTGGGAAATTGGGATGCTAACCACCATTGAAGCGACTGTTGACGGCCCTTTCTCAAACCAACTACCAGATCCGCGACCTATATTCTCCTCCACTCTCTAGTAATATGCCGAAACAGGTCCATAGCCTATATCTGGAAGCCTCATGTGGGGAAGTACGAGTGACCGGGGACTCTACCACTGGGGCCGCTCTGTTTCTGAATCTTTAGGTCCGATGAGCATCAAGTCTAACCTCCCTACAGAGGGTGCGCCTGGGGATGGTCACGTATATATCGAGCCATGGCCCCGCTGGCTGCACGAAGATAGAGCCGTTTATTCTAGTCCGAAGGTGCTTAGACTCCAGTCTGCGTCCGAATCCTTCTCTTCGGTCTTTGCGAATTTTTGTGTGCTTTGACGTCTCCCTGGCTATACTCCTTTGTTTCTTCGTTCGCAGAACTACAGCTTCAACGCTATAGAGCAGGATAATACTCTTTCTCTTCGATCTTGGTTGGTTTTCCGTCATTTGTCGTCGCAATGGGTTGGAGCAGTGCGGATGGACAATGTGGAAGTTTATTCATCGGACGATGTCGGGCAGGAGACCGCTGTCGTCACGAAGACGACGGCTGTGTCCGACAGCTTTGTGGAGTTCGACTTCGGTAACGAGACACGAGGCGATGCCAATTGCGAGGCCTAAGTTCTCGACGGAATACAAGACACCTACTTCAAGTGGCTGAGGAGCACTGGTGCGGCTGAAGCATTGAGCATGGATGCATCTTCGACGCAGTCTTGGGTGAGTGCGAGATTACTTCGCTTGAGGCACTTCATATCAATCTCAGTATATGGGAAGTCCCTACGGTCGCGACTGCTAGATCACTCCATTGTAAAGGTGCCTTCCTAGTATACACCTTCCGCCGCCAAGTCTATCCGGACAAAAGCTCACCCAGGCTCCGATGCTTCCCAAACTCCTCGGCTTTGCCTTTGCGCAATTGCGCAAGCGCACAACATGGCAGTCAATGCTGACACATCGCTCCTTCCTAGTGCTCCCATTTGCCTCCAAATTCTACGACACTCTCAATTCTCTCGACAGAGTTATTATGGACATCCACCCCTACCTCATTTATCCCTATACCAACGAGCATATTCTTCAACTCGGTTGCGACAACCACACGTCCCGAATACTACCCGCCGCTCCCTTATACAACCTACATATTCGCCAACTCTTCGCCATCGCCACCGCCTAGTTCATCCATCACGTCTATGGGCAAACCCCATTCCACCCTCCAGCCTCCTTCTTCGAAGAACTCATCAAGATTAGCGCTATACCAGACTCTGAACAACACCTTCGCGTCGATCCAATCGCCGCCGTCGACTACTGCTACCAACCCGATTCCCGCCGATAACATATTCGTTCCCATTCAACAGGATAACATCCTTCCGCAGATCCCCATCGGAAATCACCATCCCGTCCCGCGGAAAGGAATCGAAGATAATGATACTCGAACACTACACACGAACAAGTTCTATGCCAACGCCTTCCTAGGCGAGCAGAACCAACCGGTCTGGACGCACCCATATTCGATATGGTGGGGAAAGGGAGGTAAAGAGCTCGGGTACTTTCCGACCTGGGGCATGAATGTAGCATTTGTTCACGCGGCAGACGTAGTGTTCGGAGAGGGTGATCCCGCCAGAGTATTTCACAAGATTGCATAATGGAGGAATAGGGACTGACATTGTGGCAGACGTACATCAACCCCAAGAAGCAATCGATCATCCTCTCTGCCCAGGAATTTGATCAAGACACCATTCTCACCACAGACACGATTCTTCCTTTCTCGGTCAATATCAATCTGAAGCGCGGCAGGGCGGTGGATTCGCCGAGGATGACGTTCCCTGCCGTTCAAGGAATGAGCTTCGTAACCGCCCGCTACAGAAACGCTACGCCGATGATCCACACTGCTCCCAACGGCTTCACTGAAGTTAGCTTTCCGATTACGATTGGAAAATCAATGAAATACCGCGTCAAGGATACCGATGGCAGAAATTGGGTTATATACGTCAACCCTATACCGAACTTGAGCCATGATGTCTGGAGATTTACCAAGGTTAGCAACAACACACTGATAGGACGCAGCGGCTTCAGGGGCACCATCCAAGTAGCGAAGAACCCACTCGGTTCAGAAGGAGAGTCTCTCTACGACAAGGCCTTTGGGACCTACGTCACCGAAGCCCAGCTCGTCGCCACCGTCAACGAGACCCGGGGAAGCTACTCGCTCAACTACAAGAAGAGCGGGGGCGCGCCTCTCCTGATGTTCGCCCTTCCCCATCACATCCAATCGCTCGACCCAGAGCTCAAGAACCACGTCACGAGACTGAAGCTGCGCACCACGACCAAGGGAATAGCCACGGCAGTCTGGGGCGACAGACTCACTTTCATCGAGCCCAACCTCCCCACCAGCATGGGCTTCGCGCCCTGGACACCCACGCTCGGCGCCTCGAAGATCCGCTACCCGCCCGATACCCTCGCCTTCCTCACCGCGGTCGCCGAGCGCGATCTCCGCCGCGCAATGACGGACGACATACCGCAAGACTCGCTGTACGCCGCGGGCAAATCGCTCGCCAAGTTCGCAACCATCGTCTGGGTGCTCAAGGAGCTGCTCAACAACCCCGTGCTCGCGCACACGGGGCTCGGAAAACTGCAGGCCGAAATGGCGCGATACATCGCGAACCGCCAGAGACACGCCCTCTACTACGACGACGCCTGGAAAGGCCTCGTCTCCTGCGCAGGCTTCCCCGCCGACCCCGCCGCCGACGGCGCCAATACGTACTACACCGACCACCACATCCACTACGCCTACTTCGTCTACGTGGCCGCCGTCATCGGCTACCTGGACGCGGACTGGCTGGCGCAGGGCGACAACAGGGCGTGGACGAATATGCTGGTCAAGGACTTCGCGGAGAGCGCGTACGCGGGCAGAGACTATCCGTTCAGCAGGTGCTTTGACTGGTGGCATGGACATAGTTGGGCGACGGGGCTGTTTGAGAGCGCGGACGGGAAGGATGCGGAGAGGTCGGGCGAGGATGGGTGGGCGAGCTTTGCGGTGAAGATGTGGGGGCGGGTGAGTGGGGATGGGGATATGGAGAAGCGAGGTGCGTACATATCCCACATTTGAAGTATGCAACGGACTGCATATACTGATGAGGTGGTGGTGGCACACAGGCAACCTCATGCTAGCCATCCAAGCCCGCGCCTGCAACGCGTACTTCTACCTCCTGCCCACCAATACAAACCACCCCCCGCGCTTCATCAGCAACTCCGTAACAGGCAGACTTTTCGAAAACAAAGTCGACTACGCTAGTAAGTCCCTCATCCCTTCCTCCCCCTCCACCCTCGCTATATCTATCTCTCTAACCCCCCCCCTCCCCCCCTCGCAGCCCCCCTCACCACCGTCCCCACCTCGCCCCTCCCCATCCACATCCACGCCGCACACATGCACCCCATCTCGCCCGCAACCGCCTACCTACGCCCGCGCGCCTTCGTGCGCGCAGAATGGGACCGGCACTTCTCCTCCTCCAACTCGGCGCTTGTCGACGCCTCTCTTCCCGACGACAGCGGCGGATGGCGCGGGATCCTGTACGCGAATCTCGCGCTCGCCGACGCGAAGGCCAGCTACAGCTTTTTCAGAAACGGGGTTGCGGGGGTGTGGGACGAGCGGTGGGTTGATGGCGGGGGCGCGTCGCGGACGTGGTATTTGGCTTGGGCGGGGGCGTTTGTTGGAGGGCGGTGAGGGGAGATAGGGAAGTGGGAGGGAAGAGAAGGGGAACGGAGGGGTTGGATAGATAATAGGTGGTTGATTGATTGATGAACCTCCTACATACATATACGTATCACTCACTATAAATAAAAAGACCACCCGAATATCAATCAATGACAATCCTCAAAGTCTCCACAGGGTCTACATTTACAATTTCCAAGCTAGCTACCTAGCTACCTACATGTCCCAAACCTATGAAGCCCCAAACCCAGTCCCCTGACTTCCCTTTTGATCCCCATATCGGCCGTAACGCCAGGACGAAAAGCCGCCCGTCCGTCCGTATTGACGGACCAACAGTACTCGTACAGAAGAGACACCTGCCATATACCTAGACAGATCGACAAAAAGAAAAAGGAAGACAACACAAGAAAATAAAAGTATTCTGGTTCGTCCGGACACAGGAAGAGGTGTACAAACCGTGGCTTCCGCTGCCAACGATTTGGAGGGTGTACAGTACCGGACGCAGAACAGGTATCCAAACTATGTACAAAGGAGAAAACAGGAGGGGTATGGTATGCCCGTGGAGGCGCCGCACCGCGGATATCTTGGAAAGTTGGTTGGGTTGACCCTTCAAGGGGAGAGAAAATGAGGTGCTGCTAGGCGCTCAATGAGCCCTGAAGAAATTCCTGATGAAATTGCCCGTGAGATTTCCGCTTGCGTTGTCCGGGTACACGTAGAAAGCGAGGGCAATAATAGCATATCTATTTCAGCCGTTAGCGATCCGTCCAATTTTTTATTTTAGTTTTTTTTAAAGAGGAGCTGAAGGAGTGCGCTGCACAGTGGCTGCAGCGCGCATCTGCACGTCGGAAGGAGAGATGAGTAAGACTTACGTTCCAAGACACATGGCGCCCTCCAAATAATTGCTCTTTCCGTCCTGGATTAGATAATTCACGATCAAAACGCTGAGGAAGAAGACCATAGTCTCGAAGCCCTGGAACTGCAGCGTCATTGGCTGGTGCATAATCCAGCCGAGAATGACGAGGAAGGGGGTGACGAAGAGTGCGATCTGCATGGAGCTGCCGATTGCGACGTTGATGGCCAGGTCCATTTTGCCCTTGTATGCGACCACCACGGCGGTGACGTGCTCGGCGGCGTTTCCGACAATGGGGATCAGGATCAGACCGATGAAGGTGCGGCTTATGTGTGCGGATTCGACGATGGCGTCGATGGAATCGACGAGGTATTCGGCGCAGACAGCGACCATGACGGTGACTACGACGAGCACGACGCCTCCTGCGATGGGGGTGAGGGTCTGGCCCTCTTCCTGTTCTTCATCCTCGCCGTTCTGGTTTTCGACGTCGGCAAAGAGGGCATGGTGGGATTTGAGTTGGAAGTAGAGGTAGAGAATGTAGAGGAGTAGCAGAATAATGGAGGTCCCGCGCGACAGAAGTTCGACGCTCTTGTCCGTCTCGACCTCCTTGTTGTCCTGTATAGCGGCGTATAGGGTTGCCGGTATGATGAGCGATGCGGAGGAGACGGCCATCAGGGAAGACATGGTCGATGCGACGGTCGAGTTGAACTCACGCTCCTGTGCGCGCAGGCCGCCAGCAAGGAAGCAGCATCCGAGGACCTGTTCCGACGTTAGCGCATAGCCATGGCCGGTAATGCAGTTCGACTCACGAGAAGCATGTTGGACAGAATGCTACCGAGCATACTGGCCTGGACAATGCGAATCTGGCCTTCCTTGAGCGCGACTATAGAGACCTGTAGCAATTGGTTAGAGCACTGTTGTGGCGCGGACTGCGTCCATTTGCGCAGTACTCACGATGAGTTCCACGGCATTTCCAAACGTCGCATTCATCAGTCCACCGAGTGTCTGCCCCAGCTTCGCAGCCAGCTCCTCGGTCGCGAAGCTCAAGAGTCCAGCGAGCGGCATGATGGCGATGAAGTTGAGAACGAAGACGGCGGTCGGACTCCATCCCAGGGCGCCGGCGATGATGCCGATGGGCACGAAGACGAGCAGGACGTTGACATAGTTGCTGGACAGCGTCTTCCACGTTACGTTGGCGACGTGCTTTGGGAAGGATTTCCACCGCGGCTCGTCGACGTGCGGGCGGCCTAACAACGGGGTGGACTCGCTATTGAGCGAGCCATTGGCGGGCGCGGGCATGGCAGCGTTTTCGGATCGCGAGTAGCTGCTGTTATGACGGCCGGCACGATGGAATTCGCGTCTTATGTGTTCTGTGTGGACGAGGCGCCAAGCGCATGCAATTAGCCAAGATAATGATGCCGAGCAGGCGACGAAAGGAGTGCGGTAGTGGTTGTGGCTGCGCCGGGCAGTGTGGAATGGTGATGGTGTTGAGGCGGCAGGCGTATGCGACCAAGACCACTGACAAAGACGGGAGGGCCAAGAGACGGGCGCGGTGGGAGTCAACCAGGCTGTTACTCACTCATTGCTGTCGTCGAGAGGGAATTCTGCCAGAGCGCGGGACGGTGGCTCAAGATATCCCGGGGCGTCGCTATGGGACAGCGGTCGGCAGCGGTCGGCGATCTGGTCGGGGCGCGCCGCAATGGGTTAGGCAGTGTCAAGAGACGCCTGGAACAGCGAATGAGTAATAACGGCTATCGAATGTTCTCTGCGATAGAGCACGAGTTGAGGGAGCGGGGAAGAGGGCGCAGCAACAGACGCTGCTCCGGAGGATACAGTGCGAGTCTCGCCATGACGGCGTCGTCCCAACCCCAGGCTTGGCGGCGGGCCAATCAGGAATATGCGCGCGCCCATGCACAGCCCGGATGCCAAGCGCGACAACGCAGTGCTGCATCCCCCGCCGAGCGCCGTCTCACGGCGGGCAGCTCGCATTCAAGCTCGCAGAGACTTCTTGGGAGGGCAAGAATTTTCTAGATTGCAAACCTTGTCGCCCCCCGAGGCTTAATCGCACTTCCAGCTTCGTGTAGTCGACGCGGCTGGAGAGGCGGCATCGAGGCAGAGCTGACGTCAAAGAGGCTGGCGCCGTGTTGCGGACGACGACGCCGTCATCATATACGATGCGCGAAGATCGCACGAAGCTGGAGGACAGCTGGGAGGACAGCCGGCTGGCAAGCCTCAGGCACAAACGCCAAGGGGTGTGTATTACAGTTATCCCATAACACCGCCCAGTGCTGTCCGCCAAAAGAAAACCCGCAGACGCAGTGAGCCTGACAGAACTCCGGCGCCGTCCAGTCAAGCCAAAACTCCTCGCCGTGACCGCGTCCGCATTCGTCTCTTTGTCTATCCAAAACCGCAATGCTCCATAATATTCACAGCGTCGTCGTCGTACGCACAACCCAACCACGCCTCGTCTTCAATACTCCGCCGCCTGGTCGCCGTCGTCTCTGCCCGTCGAGATGCTGACGCGTTTCTTCGGCTCGCCCCAGAGCTGCTGCAGCACTTTGTGCTTCTGCGTCTCGCGGAGCCCCTTGAGGAATCCGTATGTCCCTGACAGATCTGACAGCTGCTGCTCGAGTCCGAACGAGTTTGACTGCGCGCGCCGGATGAGCGGGGAAATCAGGTTCTTGCGCGCCTTGTCGAGCTGGTCCTTGACCGAGTGGATGATCTGGATGTGGCTCTTGAGCTCAGACTTGTTCGTCAGAGTGCTTGCCCGCACGTCCTTGAGCAGCTTCAGATTCTTCTCGTATTTCTTGATCTTCATCTTGTTGTTGATGGTATTCCGCCACATCGACGCCAGGAACTCGTCCTTCTTGGTAGCGAGGCTGTCTTCCTCCTTGGCCACCGACCGGTGAAGGTTGTGGAACTGCCGGTCCACGCTCTCGAAAAGCTGGAACAGGACGTCGGCCCGCCCTAGTTCGTTCGCAATGTTCTCCTCAAGCGTAGATAGAAGGTAATCGAATGTTCGCTGCAGAGTAGCCTTAGACCGTTGCTGCGTAGTGTGTCCCACCACGTCGTTGACCACGCGGCCGATAGCCGTCGGCTCGCCGTTACGCTCGAGCACGCCAATCCTGCTAAGGCCTCCGTGGATGTTGCCAATCACCGTGTCAATCATGCCGACCTTGGGTCCTTTGATGCTCTGAAGCTCCCGCTTGGCCCACTCCATGGTGATGAGGATGCTGTCCATGGTTAGTAAAATCAAGACGCGCAGGCAAGCAGTACATACGAATCCATATCACCGTCTACATTCGTGAAGAAGCTCGTCATCTTCTCTGACAGTACCTTGAGGCTGTCGCCCAAGTCGTCCAGCTGATCTATGATGACCGTCGACGCTGACATATTGGTCGCGCGCACGCTCTCGCCCAGGTCCTGCACCGCTATCGACGCCTCCGCAAGCTCGCGCGATCGCGGTATTACGTTTTCCGACGCGTACATGAGTGGCTCGAACTGCTTTGCCATATTGGCGACATTGGCCACGTCCGGTATCAGACTCGCCGTCCATGGCTGCAGCAGAATCCAGGAGATGATGATGGCAAAGATGGTGCAAACAAGGTTTGCTTTTGAGCGCGTGAATACGTGTACCCCGCTTGCGAATGACGAGATGGTGTCTTCTATTGGCGCAGTGCGGAACAACGTCTCCCCGCGAATAGCGAATCGTACAACTAAGGACGTTAGCATACCAGGCTGACACCGTATATAAGGGACAGCGCGGGCACGTACATCCATCCAGGTGGCCAGCCTGCTCCTCGTGCTGCGACAGGGCCATCTCTTCTTCCGGCCTCTGTTGTGCACCCGCGCCGGCCTGTGGCTCTGCAGACGGGCTCTGCATTCTCGATCCGATGTTGTCTGGTGTGAACTGCCTCTGGTCCTGCTCCGACATGGGCTCTGGGCTTGTTCGCGGCGTCTGCTTGCGAGGCGACTCGGGGAGCGGTATGCGCGAGGGGGTAATTTCACGGTCGCTCCGGTAGTCGAACGGACTGGCGCCTGGGGACTTGGACGGGCTCGATCGCATCGCGCTTTCACTCAGCAGCGACTTTCGGTACCAGTGGCTGTTCGACCTCTGCCAGGCTGGAGGCGCCCACGGTCCGTCTGATTCCGTCTCCGACTCTTCTTGTTCCTGCGGTGCGCTCCACCGCGACGAGTGCATGTTCGAGCGCGCGCTGTAGGCCGAGTGTGTGCTGCGCTCCGGATCGAAGGCCTCGAGTGACGCGCTCAAGGAGGGTATGTCGTGGTCGTAGATGCTTCCGCGGTCCATTGTGTCCATCATGGCAGTGGAGGGCTGGTTCGCAGCGACAGTGGAGGGGTTATCGTGTAGGTGCAGAGGGGGGGCTGGTTCGCTGGTCCGAGCTAGAGTTGTACCACAGGGGGTGCGTTGAGGCTTCGCCGGCACATGGAGCAACCTTGTGATGCGCGAGCCCTATAAGACATCGGTGCCTGACAAGACAGGAGAGTCGCTGTCTCGCTGTCTCTGGTGAAGAAGCGTCGGCGGAGAGAAACCGGCTCCGTGCTCGCGCTGCTCGATTGGGTGTCGCATCGTCGCGGGGTTAACAGCTGGCTAGGCCAGGGGTGAGGGGTGAAACGCGGATGGGTGGCTGGGAGCGCGAGCGCGATGGCCACGGAAGGCTGGCGGATCCCTGCTGCTGCCTGAGGCCAAGCGTCGACCACGCTAATATAGTCTACGGGAAGTGCATTCACGCGACCTGCCCGCTCCGATTGGCCAGACACTCAATGACGCAGAGCGGACGGCCCTTCGCGCTGAGGATCCCCAACAAGAACAGTATAATTTTCCAAAAGCAGCTACCTACATATCTAGGTGCATTAACGAGAGACATGAAGAGCCCTAGAGCTAGAAAGAATTTCAAACCATCGTGCAAGTGTGCAACATGGGCTGGTGGGCAATATCCATTGGTCCACCACCGGACGAGGACGAGAGACAAAAGAGCGGCAATGCCCCGTTAGGTAGGGCAAACTGGGGTCGTAGTCTTGGGTGGATGTAGAGAACGGGGAAAAGGCAGGCATGGACGCATAATCCACATCACGCCTCTCCTGCCCGGCAGTGGGAAGCAAGACAACACGTGAATCAATCTGTCTGTTTCCAGTGGGTGCAACAGGACTTTCCTTCTGTCTGAAGCAAAGCTACCTGCCGCCCACACTGCCAGCATGAGTGCAACCTCCGAAAAGGGCACCACAACATTTGCAACTCGTGAGTTGCTGAATGGCTCAGTGAGGAGTTCAAAAAAGTCATGTCGGCCGGTATAGATGTCGTTGCGAACGGTAAGAGGAAGTCCCTTGCATCGAGCCTCTTAGAGGTAATACATGGTATCGATGAGGGTCGCGTGCACATCCTTGTGCCAATCGTTGGCCGCAAAGGTAGCGTCGCCACCCTTGAGGACTCCGTGGAGGTATGAGCGCCCGCGCTCGCAAAGAAGGTCGGCGTAATATGCGGGAGGACAGATGCTTACAGCACGGGTTGCGCGTGCAAACATATAGCACAGGTTGTGCGTCTGCCAATCATTAGCATTTGCCTAAATGAAAGCCTCCCAGCAAAGGGACACTTACAAGATTCTGAAGCTGATCTGCACCTAGCTTGTTTTCATCCTTGAGGACAACATAATGCGCCGGCTTGGAGGTGCCCTGCAAACCTTGGTGGGCGAGGAGGAAGAAGTCGAATAACTTCTCGCCAGTGACGCCTCTATCGACCACGGTTCCCGGCTTGGGGTTGCCGGTCTTCCCGTCCGTGTCTTTTTGCTGCGTGGGATAGAACCGCGTGTGGTGGCGCTTCCCGACCACGAGGATGGACAATTTGGGGTGCTTGGCTTCCGCTCCATACAGTTTCTTGAAAGCAGCCACGAAGTGAGGATACTCTTGCTCCATCACAATGCGGTACTGACCCTCTGAGACACCGTCACGATAGACAATCACCTTGCTGGGCAATCGTCCTTGGTTGCGCTTCTGCCAAAGCTTGAGACGCTCCACGATCATCTCCTCCAAATCACCCACCATCTCTTGTCGGCCCCTTTGCGTCCTCATGCTTGCTGGATATTGCGCAAAATTTTGATCTACTGACGCAACGATACCCGCGATGCTTGGGGAAGACTCCGAGCTACCGGGTGAAGGATGCGTCACATCGATGCCGAAGACGATGGTATTAGCATCGAGGGGAGAGAGACTGCTGATATTGACCGTATGGTTTATGCCGCCGAGCTTCTGGTTGAACTTCATGGCTACGTTCGCGAAATACTGCATCTGGCCCTTCTCCTTGGTGAACTTGGATGCGATGCTGCAGATGTTCATGACACCTAATTGCACATCGCATACTGTCTTGATGCAGTCGTACAACGCGGCGTTGTCATTTGGAAGAAGAACAAACAACATGTTTGGCTTTGCTTTGAAGCCGGTTCGCAGCGCCTGTGCGATCTGCTTCTTGACTTTGTCGAGGTCCTTGGTTTGAGGTCCAATGTCGGCGGGATGGACGCTGATGATGAGCGGAGTCTGTACAGGGCCGGGAGTCATCCCATAAGTGTCGAGGGTTCTCCTGAATAGCTCCAACTGCGCCTTGATCGCCGGTACACCGCCCTCGATAGTCTCATAACGCCCAGAGTTAATGACTAAGCAATTCCACGAAGCAAGGGGTCGTGCAATGCGAAAGGGTTTGTTCCCGAGCTTTCTAACATCGAGATTCCACGACCCGTTCGCCGGCGTCGCAGTCATTGTTCCCCTGTACTGCAACAGCGGAGGGTGCAGGATGCGGCCTTGGACGGTCAACAGCTTGGGATTGATATTGATCCCGAACTGGGCAAGGTGGGCGTTCAGGCCTGGGCTAATCTTCGTAACTTGCAGTCCGTCTTTGGCAATAGAGTCAGCATTCTGGAAGGGTCGGCGTGCGGCGAACTCGATCATCCTCCGCGTCTGGTCGCCAAATAAAATACGTCTCGCCATTTGCCCGTCCAGCACAGTGCAGAGTTCCGCGGGAATCCACTTTGGATTGTTCGCTTGACCATAGTTGACCAGTGGTGCCTGTGGGGACTGGAGTTTCAGTTGATGAACTCGAGCAAAGAACTGCTCAACGGTGATGTCTTCTTCCTTGCCGCTGGGATCTGTCCACTTGAACTTGGTGTTCTGGGCGTTCCTGCCAAAGGGCGACAGATCGCCAATGGAGTGCACCTTGCGCTTGAAGACCGGACGTTTATTCACCATCCTGACCTTGCCGTTACCGTCTGTCTCGCGAATGTACTTGGTCTCAACACGCAGTTTCTTGACGAAATTGGCCATAGCCCGGTATTGCTGTGGATTCTGCGGCGGCCCGTTGTTGAACTCTCGCATCAGGTCCAGCAGAGAACCAGCCTTGTAGAAAGCCCCCGTAGCAACATTAACGTTGACGAGGATCCTGTTGATGCTGGTTCGGACACTGGTGAAATAACCGCGAATTGCTTGGAAGCCACCCCCCAGGTCAGCGACTTGTAGTTGCGGGTGCGCGCCGAATGGGTAAAACTTGTTTCCTCCGGCGGTCACAATGTTCGGGTCCCTGCTGGGGCCATGCGCTAGGATGATATTCAACGCTTGAATAGTCTCCAACTTGAGGGGATACTCGAAGTTGGATTGCTTCAGGTCACTCATGAGGTCCTTGAGGGATACAGTACCAAGCTCCTCGACAAGCGCCCTGAAAGTGTTTTTCCTTCGGGCTTGAGATCTCTGCGCTGAATCCTCAGGAGTGGCAGGCGGCAGTGGCTCGCCATCCTCGGGAAACCACTCAAGATCGTACACAGGACGTTGAGCACCGAGGGCAATCTTCTTCGTAGAAACGAGCACCTGGGCCCAATCGCTCGCAATCGGTACGCCGGCAAATGGAGCCTGTTGCAAGAGCAGTTGGATGAGGCGTTTCTTCTTCGGCTTGGGTATCTCCTCTTTTGACTGGAAAGCGACACTGTATCGGTAGAGCATTGTATCGGTCTTGATTGCCTTGAGATCAAAATAGTTGGTCCAGAGGACGACACCGTTGCCGGCTGTCCCATACCCAGGCCTACGCGGAAACTTGTCGGCAAGAGAAGTTGCGGCGAGTGCTGTCGACAGATCCTTGACCGAGGCGTCCTCGAGCCGAGTTACTTCAGATTCTGGTTGGGGAAAGACGCCATCGCTGGAAGGAAAGCTTGTCAGCCATAGCCCGGGAGGAGGAGCACCATGTGAACGTACCCATATATCCTCCCCGAATCAAACCCTCCACCACCACGGCCACCACGGCTGCCACCACCGCCTCCTCTGCCCCCACGGTCTCCACCACGAAACCCTCCTCCACCACGGTCGGGCGGGCCGCTGTATCCCCCACCTCTTCCTCCTCGGAAACCGCCATCTCCTCGACCGCGCCCCCGGAAGTCTCCACGACCGCCACGCCCGCGATCAGCCATCTATCGTCCGATCGTCCAATCGTACGAGCCGAGGCCAGAGGGTATCTGTGGGGCGATTCTAGAGTTGAAACGGTAAGCTAAAGATCATGGTCAGCATATATTCCGACCAGAGATATACATGAAGTGAAAAGGAATGAGAGTCCAGGCAACGACCAAAGCGGGAATATGGGTGGCATGTCGAAGTCAGAAGTCGGATGAGGGTGTAAACGAAGCCAGCTTTCTTCAACACAGCACCAAAAGCTTGGATGATAAGGACAATGACTCGACTCGGATCAGGGCGAAAAGGGACTTGCTTGCTTACCAGCGAATGTCAATGTCGTCCAAGCTATCGATTCCAATTGAAACCAAACGATAGTGGGCCGTGTAGAATAGTGATAGTTGGAATATCCAGTTGGTGATGGATGGTAGCGATAGCGACAAGATGGATGAGAGAAGAGGTGCGAAAGGGCGGCGGGGAAGGCTGGCTTTCGTGCCTGAGGCGCGTCGGCACTAAGGCGCGGAATCGGGCAGTCACGTTTCGACAGGGGTGCGTGTTTTGGCGGTGTGCGGCGGTGACTACCAGAGCGAAGCAACAGCGACGGGAACTCACCACCGCTCTGCTCAGGTGCGGTTCAAAGATTTCTGGACTGGAGCGACTTCAGATGGGAGTATAAGGGAAGAATTGAAGAGACGGACCAGCGTGGTTTATACGCCCCTTCTCCGCACTTCAGGGTCGTCTTCATTGTCGGTCGGCCCTCACGCTCGGGCTCCAGACTCACATATCGGTGGAACCGTTTCTAGCGGGCTGCATCGGTGTGTGGACCCACCTGCGAAAAGCAAACAAATCCCCTCGGCGGCCTGGCGCCACAACGTAAGACGTCGGCTCTCTTGCTGAACCACCTCCCATGCCTCAATCAATTTCTGCCTGGTGTGTAACCCTCTTTGGCCTGGTGATTGGATGAGGCTCGGATGAGGGACGCGTTTTGCGTCTTGTCTGCGCCGCGGACACCATTTTCGCCTCCTGCTGCATCCAATGGAACCATACTTGTCGACGGGACGCATACCGATCGCCGTGGGTTGCGGCCCGAGGAAGCTCACCGCTGAGGTCTGACGTCTGTACGGGCCACTGACCTGTGCCGGGTATAGAGCCACCGGGTTGGAAGAGGAGAACGCGCAAGAGCTCGTACATTAGTCCAACTCCTTTCTGTCAGATGTCTGACCAAATCACTGTGCCGCTGTCAAGCTCAGCCTCGAATCAGTCCAAGCGCTGAAGTCTTGAGCACGCCACCAGCCGAAATACCGCGTTATTCACGTCCCCAAGTCTCGGTCCGAAGACAAGGATACTGGCAGCGTCTCGATCATATCGGTAAGACGAGCTCCGGTGCCCCTTTGGCGCGGCGTTCTTGGAAGAGGATGCTGTGGAAATAGTGAACTTCAAACGCTCATATCGACGGCGCGTTTCAAACAGCATAACACGACTTCGGAACAGCTTCGGGGCACATGATGGGTGCAGGCGGCGTATGCCTCTCCTTATCTGACATTCCTACCTGCTACCATACTTAACGATCCGTCTGCAGTCAATTTACTGACCTATGGCCCCTAAGAGCTGGTACTTGCAGAGTGGACATGACTGACGAGTGATGTCCGTTCCTAATGTATATATACGTGACACAGGATCATTGTACCGAGCATCATGCGCTAACCCTGTTTGGGTAATCTGTGAGATATCATCTTGAGCAATGGTTCGGCTAAGCGGCACAAAGCCATGCATAGTCTCAAAATGTAGCCGCTTAGCCAGGTCTAGTTCCAAGTGTTCCTAATCCCCGTCAAGCTCTTCTATAATTTAACTTCGCAATAACGTCTCTATTATCTTACATCTATCTTAACTAATTAGTATTAATGTCTCTATTCGCACAATAGACGCAGTATATAATAAGAGGTAAGAACACACGTATTTTAATAAAATAGTGTAGAGAAAAAGAGAGAGCTTAGCAGAGGTTACTTAGTTAGGTAAGAAAAATAAGAAAGAAGATTACTATATTAGAACTAGAGAGCTTAGCTCTCTCTATATAGTAATCTTAGAGTATAGAATAAGTTATTCTTATATAGTACGTAGCTTAGGCTCTATAATATACCTTCTAGGTGTACTACAAAGTAGCGTGCCTGCTAAGTAAGCAGGCTAAGCTTAAGGTAAAGGCAGATTATAGGTAAGCTTGTAGTAACTATAGATTTAGCAAGCTTAGCGTTTACGTAACGCTTACGTAACCTCTCTGTTTACTACTTATAGAGGTAAATAAGCTCTCTCTAAGCTTACTTTTTCTCTCTACTAACAAACTCTCTATAGCTTGCGTACGTATTATTTCTAAGAGCGTCTAGTTTTTATACTTAACCTAAGTCTCTATTACAAGCTCTAAAGAATTGTATACTAACTATGTGTAGCTAAATAAGCAGAAGCGCGCTACCTACGCCCGCGCTACTACTGCGCACGCTGCTAGTGGTAGCTAGCGCCTATAAACTCCCCCGCCCTTAGCCTCTCGCGCTGCCCCCCTCTACGCCCGCGCGCCCCTCTTTAGCCGCGCGCCTGCTTCTGCTACGCCTGCTTTCGCCCCCGCTGCTTCTACTCCTGCTACTTCTACTCCCGCCGCGAACAGCACTTCTTAGTAGAGTGTCTCTAGCGCTCTCTAAGCGCACTCTTACTAGAGGTGTGTAAGGTTAGCGCTCGTAGAGCGCTCTAATAGAGAGTACTATAACTTTTCTACTAGTAGCGCCTAGTATTAGCGTTACTCTTTAGAGTATAGTTACGCCTAGCTATACGTTAAGTATTATATACCTTATTATTATGCGCGTAGTAATTATTTATAGCTCTACTATTACCTACCTCTACGTCTACTAGCTTATAAAGGCTATTTAAGCTAGTAATAACTAGATAAGTATTCTTTTCTAGCTCTTTCTAATATTATAAGCTTCTTTAAGCTAATTACTCTATATTTTTTTATATAGAAAAGAATTATACTAACGTTATTTTTTAGAAGATAGTCTATCTTAGAATAGTACTGCGGGCGCTTATAAGAGCGCCTTCTAGTGCTAGCTTAAATAAGCTAAGAAGTAGAGAGAAGAAGAAAAATAAGAAGAAGAAGTAGAAGTAGAAGTAGAAGCTATAAGGTAGTAGTACTTCTCTACTAGATCTTCTAGCCTATTACTAGTAGGCTAAGAAGATTCTAAAGAAGCTTATTAACCTTCTAATAGTTTAGATAGTATACTCTCTAGTAGAGTTAAGAGAGAGTAAAGATTCTCTATAACGTTATTTCTCTAGGGGAGGAGAGACTATAATATCTCTCTAGTTAATTATACTATACTTCTACTATTATTTCTCTACTCTTTATATTTACGTATTATAAAAGTTTAGCTACTTTTTAAAGTGCTAGAACTACTAAGCTAGTAAGTACTTTATAAGTCTATCTACTAGTATATTACTTATCTTAAGGTAAAGTACTTTAAATATACCTTTTATATACTCTTAATAGAGCTATATATTCTATATATCTATATAGTATAGCTAAGTTATTATTTACTTATTCTCTTCTACTATAAGCTAGATTATCTACTAATTATTATAGAAGATCTACTATACTACGCCTAAATTTAGAGTTAGCTTATAGAAAAAATGCTTAAGAGTAACTAACTTCTTTATAACGTATTCTAGAGTAAGTAGCTCTACCTCTATTATAGAGGTAGTTACTATTTACTAGCGTATAGCTTTCTATATTACTAGGTCTCTAAAGAGCTTAATAATATAGCTATAGAATAATTATCTTATTTCTAAATTATCTATAAATAACGCGTTACTATATATAAGAAGCTATACGCTATTAAAACTCTTATATTAGATTTCTATATACTAGGTTCTATATAAGTATATAATTATCTAGTTTACTACTATAAAGTATTTCTTACTTAGATTTATAAGAAAGTATAATAACTAGAAGGCTATAAACGTAACGTTAAGGCGTAGTATAATTACTATATATAATATTAACCTAATTTACTCTTAGTAAGCCTTAATTTATAGCTTTATTACTTCTTCTATATTCTTTATAAGCTTATAGCTTAGCAATAGTATTATTAGAAAGCTTCTAGTATCTATAAGCTTAAATTTCTTTATAATCTTATTAATATACGTGTTATAAACTAGCTTAATTATCTAAGTCTCTCTATTTCTAATTACTTATACGCCTA